ATGTATTTAATCTCCAAACTTCCACTTGATGCAGAGCACTTTCCCACCAATGATAGACGCAGAACGTCGACGCGCCGCCGTTCAATGTTTAATGCGTTACTGATATATTTAGAGCTCTTAGTTTATTTCGGGGCTCGGCATTTGCCAGTTCATTATGCTCTTGGACAGCCATCAAAAGGCTCTCAGTGCAGCGTAGAAATCCGTTCAATCATCGCTCTGCACGCTTCCCCCACTCACGGCACATGGTTCAGGAGACAGCGTCGAACAAAGGCGGCGGTCACCGCATCGCGCGGGGCTTACAGGCGCGCTTCTGCGGCCGTCTGGAACGCTCTTCCATCCGACGTTAGGAAGCCTCTGGAGATGCGCACTTTTAAATCATCTCCTTTGAAAACTAATTTCTTTAGAATTGCTTTTTGCATTCAGTTTGTTGTCCTTCCCCCGCATTTCTGATTAGCACGCCAGTCGGCTACGAACAGTGCAGAACAAGTTCAACATACCATACATACAATAATATTGTGCATTTAGTATTCACAGTATATTCTCATAGCGCAAGGCAATCACGCTATGTTTCACACAGCCTGCAGTAGTTTCACAGCAGAGGGGCGATGATTGCTCTGCGTAATCCCAATTGAGGAATTTGCAGGTAAAATATTTCACCCATAAAACAGGTTTCCTGGGTTAGATCGCGTAAAAATATGTAAATAGATCGTTAAACTTTCGGCAAAGTGCTCATAGGGAAGATTCTTACCAAGCAAGCAAGTAGCAATGTGTTCATTTTTAACATGGATTTTCTTTTGTGAAAGAGCAGACATTGGAAGGCCATTGGCCAAAAAGACTTTACACCCAATGAGGTTATACTTTTTGAACTACAGAGAGTGTGTGTGTGAATACATTTGTGTGTGTGTGTTCGACGCTGAACCATAGTTTGTGTGAGTACACACTTCAAGTCGGGGACATTTCCAGGATCATCATTTGCTGATAGATCTCAAGCCCTGTGGTATAATTAGTGATCATAATCACGTGTCCAGAGGTCACTTACAGGGATTTCCACCCTTGTGCATCGGAGGTGCTTCGCCAAATGTGTAAATTCCACATTGCTATGGCATGTACGTCAGAATCAGAACATTTATTGATGTTGGTGGAATCCGATAAACGATTCATCTCTTTATTTTGCAGATGTCCAGTAGGGGCGGGTAAGAACGTGACAACAACACACGATACAAAACACGATAGAAGTGCAAAGTACGAGAGAGGTAAACAACTTATTGGTTCTTTCGGTAAAGTCATGTAGAAGGGAAATAATAAAATAATAAAAAAGTAAACATCATAAAATAAACATTTTTTTTCTCAAAAAATGTAATTTTATTTTATTATGTTTTATTCATATTATTTTATTATTTCCCTTCTACGTGACTTTACCGAAAGAACCAAGAAGATGAATCCCTGCAGTCACGAAAGCTTTAAATCGAGAGGTAAACAAATCACCCAAACACAAACAAATACAACAACTAAACCATCCCCCTCCTACTAGGTGAAGCCTCCTGAGCTTATTAACTTATTTGTCAGAAGCTACCTGGCCACAAATGATAGCAAAACAAAGTGTCTCATCATTTGGACATTTATAGCAGAAAAACAATATAAACAATCACAATGCATGTTTATAAATGTGTGTTGAACTTCTTTCGTACCATACATGGCCAACCGTGCTAATCGGAGGAGGTGCGGGAATAGTCTGGCATGAACCAGACTATGGCTTGGAATTATTATGATGATGATGATGATTTTATTGCCTCTATTTGAATTTGCATGAACAATAATACACGTCCCCACTATACAATGAACACCCAGGTATCCCTTATATATGTCTATAAAACGCATCCTAATGGATCGTCAGACCTGATTTAATAAGGGACGACAGCATGAATCGCAACAGGTACAAACATGCATGTGCTCAACTGAGATGCACAGGAGGGGAAGGGTAGCGGGGACGGGGGCAGATATTTTATCCAAGCAGGCGTGAAAGATCACTTCCATTAGACAACACGAGGTGCACAGAATGAAGATGGTGTTCAAGATTTGCCTGTGGGCACAAACAAATCTCTTTTTTGAGCTCTCGCGATGCTGTGCCCGCCGACGTCGGGCGAGGCAAAGCCGCTGCCGTGTTCGACTGCGGGAACCGCCGCGCTACCGCTCCCCAATACCGACCTGTCGACGCGCGCGCACGCATGGCGATGCGCGAATGCAAACGAAGCCGTGCGCACACGGTCCAAGACGCAAAGCGCCAAGCGGCGACGCGCCGGAGGAGCCGCTTGGCACGGCCGCGGAAAGAAAAAAAACAACGCGGCGGTATAATCATTGTTCCCAAACGCGCCCGATAACAGTTTTAGCGGTGCGGCGCTGTTGCGATCAATGTTGTTTGTGTGTGTGGTGGGACACACACACACACAAACGTCGTGTTGCGAATTAATTGATCGGCTCATAGGCGGCTGAGGGAACGGGTTCGGGTGGCAGGTAGGTTAGGAGATAACAGAGGCATGCAGACTGATACAGAACTATAGCGAGACAAAGGTGCCCCGTATAGTCTTTGACAGACTATCTGGGGCAAGTGCAGTTAGCGAGTAGCACGTGTGAATTCTAGATTTGAAGCTTTCGTGACTGCAAGGATTCATATTCTTAGTTTTTTTCGGTAAAGTCACGTAGGTAAAAAATTAAAATTAATAAAAGTAAAATAAAGTAAAATAAAAATGTATCTTACTTGATACAGCTATCGTGCTGTGACGGTTCCACCTGAAGACGGAAGCTTGTGTTGCCTCCGAAACGTCGTGATTTTTATTTTACTTTTATTGTACTTTTATTAATTTAAAATTTTTACCTACGTGACTTACCGAAAAAACCTAAGAATATGAATCCTTGCAGTCACGAAAGCTTCAAATCTAGAAATAATTTGAGGCTGAATCCACCTAGGGGACGCCCAAGACCGCTTCAGGACATCGTCACTGGTGTTGGCCATGAGCGGGAATCGAACTCGGGTGACCCAGGTTTGTAGTTCAGCGTGCCAACCGCTGCACTACCGCTCCCCATACAGAACTCTCAACACAGACACACACATACATGGATACATAAGCAAATAAAGACATGCGCACACAATTGAAGACAAACATCCTCAGAGTATAAATTACGATTTAAAGCTTTTGTGACTGCAGGGATTCATATTCTTGGTTCTTTCGGTAAAGTCACGTGGAAGGGAAATAATAAAATAAAATAAATTTACTTTCTATTTTATTTTATGATGTTTTATTTTATTATTTCCCTTCTACGTGACTTTAGCGAAAGAATCAAGAATATGAATCCTCAGAGTAACTACCATTCACAAGCACCTACTGTGGCCAGCACAGCATGGTGAACAGGGCGATGTAGCCTGCACCATTACCAACTCGCCTTTGTCTCCTGAATGATGACACTTACACGCCGCACAAAGAACACGTGTGTGGGGCAAAATGTGAGCACTCTCACATCTTCCAAAATGTCTGGCCAGATTAGAAGAGTAGGCCCAAAAACTCTCTCTCTCTCTCGGGGTGCTCTGCAAATGGGAATATTACTGGTCCCTGGAATTTTCACCTGGTTTAACAAAATAAACTTGAACTTTCTCGAGACATCTCTACTGGTGGAGGTTCTACTGCCTGCAGTAGCGTGATCAAGTGCTTACAGGGCCGCAACACTTTTCCCTTACCTAGGGGAGGCCCAGGGCAGGTCGAGGCACCACTTACCACTGAGGCATCTCACCTCGGGCAACCTTCTCTTCCTGATTAAGCCTACAATGCTTCTCTGCCACGTTCTATTCCGCTGCACAGTGGCGGAGCAATTACATCGAGGGGTGTGGACGAGAGCAAGGTCGCGAATGAGTCTCCGATACCAATTACTGGGATTCTCTTCGTAAGCAGGGGCGGGAGACTAACTCAGCTCATTGAAATCAAAATTGATGTATGTATGCTGAACGTCTTTTTCACGGTACGCAAGCCAAGCGTGCCAATCGGAGGCGCGAGAAACGTTTTCCAAATCATAATTCTTCCTCTGCAATGTACGGCATTCGTCTAGAGCCTGTTTCGCGATTGCGACTGTTTATATTGAAACACTGTGACGTGTAGCTTACGTCGACTGGACACTGACCGACTCCCCGCTTCCCAATATGAAATTATTCGAGAAACAAAATTCTACATTTCGTGTGCAGTCGATCGGCAGGTTGTGCGTGCGTGCGTGTGGTTGGGTGACGTGTGAGCACTGACACCTCTTTCAAAACAGCTGGTCAGCGTGGAACAATAGGCCAAATACCCTCTCGAGAGCTCCCTCTGGTGGAGGCCCTTCCGCTAGCAGTGGTGTGAGTGAGCAATTGCAGGGCTGCACCTTTACCTGTACAATTTTCATCCTGTTGTCGAGCAGGATACTTTTTTATTGGAAGGAAGTACGTGTTTGTATTCGTCTTATTAATTCTCACAAACAACTATCGATAGAATAAATGACGCCTATTCGAACCAAGAATGAGAACTGGAAACCGAATGAGAGTGTGGAATAGTTATTCTTGGTTCTTTCGGTAAAGTCACGTAGAAGGGAAATAATAAAATATAAAAATAAAACATTATAAAATACAATTCTCACGACGTTTCGGCCACAATGCAAGCAGACGTCCCAAGGTGAAGAACAGGTCTGTCGGAAAGACAGCGTCTGGAATAGTTGATTTGCAGGTGAATGACGTAGCGAGGCATATAGACAGACAAAGGTCCCCCGTATCATCTTTAACAGACCGTTGGGGCAAGTGCTGTTAGCGAGCGGCACCTGTGAAGGCCGACACGGCACACGAGGTAATGGGTGGCCAACACCACAGCCGGTCACCTTTGTCTCCCCAGTTGCATGGTTAATACACCGTACCAGGTACTCACTTAAGGCTGAGTAGACCTAGACAGACAGGCAGACAACAGCAGAGTAACATCAGTGAGAGTACTTACAGGTAATTGGCCAAGTTGTGCTCTTGCAAGGTGTGCGTCTCAAAGCCATGTGGAACGGAGTCAAAGTAATCATTTCCAATTCCACAAATGAAGCATTTCGTCTGAAAGGAAACACAGGGGAGAGAGATCATTCATTAATCACACATCGGGTTCTCGTTCACTCTCCTCCCAATGACCTTCAGCAGCCCGGCCATCGCTACGAACAATAATGCCATCGCTAACAACAATAATGCATCAATGCAACAACAGTGCTTTTGAATCGATCAAAGACGGCCATCGTGATCATAAACAAAAGAAAATTCCATTAGCGAGGACCTGTTAAGGCTGGCACAGGACAACAGAATGTTAGCGCGGGAACGTGACTGGTCGCAATTTTCTCCCCCATTGCTGATGTACGCGCATCCCGATGGAAAGTCATGTCGGACCACAGGAAATGCAAGCCAGGTTCAGATATCAATCGTCAAGGTCGCATTTGGATCAGGAATGCCAACCGCTATAACGATAATACTGATAATTATGACGATTTTTATATCGCACCGTTACATTGCAAGCCATTTACACAAGGGCACTCAGCAATCGTCAAAAGACGTTTAGACATTCGTCACTGGTCCATTGTGAAGAGGAAAAAGGCCACAAGGCCGCCCCATGTTTAAACGGAATACCATTCAGCCGGCAGGATATGAATGAACGCCTCACCTTCACTGAAGACGTAGCTTTATCACCGAGTGCTAGACAAACCTCACGCATTTTTAGTAAAAAAATAATATTATTTTAGTCTGAGATATGTGTAGCTCACATTTTACTTCTCAGATTACTCCGCCTCAGGAATACAGGGGCCGGTAAATTCCTTCTATCGAGACAGTGACTGGGCCCAAAAATGCACTGCTAAGTGGATTGTGCCTTGTGTCTTTCTACAATGCAATGTGCCAGCAACATTTTAGAATTTTACTTTTAATATGAACGAGTTAAGGAAAATGTTTTGCTTCATGAAGAGTTTGTCTGCTACTCAATAAACACTATTAATTAGGTAACTGGTCATATGCCAATTAAAAAAACTGGTCATCGAAATTTGTATTTATTTTATTCTTATCAGGCCGCATTGTGTAAAAGTGCAGTCTCAAATCATCCACTCTGTCTCCCTGGCCTCTCTTGTTTATTTGCTGTGAAGAATAGACGTTGCCTGAAACGCAGCCTTTGAGAATTCTTGCCTGTTAAGGCCCCATTGTCGTTGACGAGTGTGTTGAGACTGGCGCAGATAATATTCGCTACCAATGCTAGCCGTGGCCGGGAATCGAACTCAGGTCACCGGGTTTGTACCGCGGCTGCGCTAATCACCGTGCCACAGCTCCACCCACGCGTGCACATGAATCACATGCTTTGTTCCAACCAATCCTGTTTTCATGGTGACATAAGCATCGGCCTGAAGCCAGTGGTGAAATTTCACATTTCCACGGCAGGGGCCGGTTTGTCCACGGCACAACCGCGACTATGATGGGCTGATTCAACCCCTGAGGTTTGAGCTCTTTTAATTGCAAGCTGAGCACCGTCACGGTGCCACCCTGGCTGTTTAATAATAATATTATTATTATTATAAAATAACTAGCTGCCCTTTGTCAAGCCAGTACCAGATGAAAGCCTCCCCCACGATGCGCGGGGTCACGAGAGTCGTCAGATGGCAACGAGGCTGACTAATTTAACCGCTTACGCCAACCAATCACTGGCGATTAATGCACTCGCAGATTTGTACCGAGGTAGAACGGAGTAACTGCTTACTGCGTTTTGCTACGTGCAAAACACCAGTTTGATAGATGTCTTTAGTTCACATTTTCCACTGCGGTGTCAATCAATGCGAACAAAAATAACCTCTCTGAATATATATCGACAGACGTGTGGCATAATCAACTCTGCGATAGAGAATTCATCATGTTTGGATAGCCGTTCGCATTGCTCTGCCTCGAGTCAATTTTTATAGTTCTTGAGATAATGCAAGAGATGTTGCTGAAATCAGCTGGCTCATTATACTGGCTCGATACAATAATGAACTTAGCATCAGCTAAACAGGCTTTAAATAATGTACACAACATATGTGTGGGGGGGGGGAAGGAAAATGAATAAATTCTGGACATCTCCACTGGTGATTGGACCCGGTGGAATTGTGGGGCAGAGTACCCATTCCGATAACCATAACATTTAGAATTTTAATCTGGGTCATGGAGCATTATATATCTTGGGTCAATACAATTGCGCCTAATGATCTTGGAAAGGGGCCATTCCAGAAGTTGTTAAATAACTGCAGAAGTTGGACTGGTGTGACTGTCTCAGATTGGCCTGAAATGCAATTTGGCCAAAGACCGTGTCTCCGATGCTTACATTTCTGCTGGTACAGTCCAGAATGCTGTTCCAGGAGTTATCTTAGCATGCCCCACTCATCCATCTGGCCTTATTCTGTCCTCATTATAACTGCAGTGGTAGGTGCCCGTGGTGTAGCGGTTAGCCAGCTGCACTCGGGATCTGGCAACTCCAGTTCGAATCTCACTCACGGCCAACACCAGTGACAATTATTTTAACCGGTCCTGGGCCTCCCCTAGGTCGACTCAGCCTCAATTGAGTACCCGGTGCAGTGTGTGTGGTGCCGGCCACCCACCCCCTCGTGTGCCGTGCCGGGCTTCAAAGGTGCGGCTCGCTAACAACACTCGCCCCAACAGTCTGTGAAGGCGATGTGGGGGAAGCGCGAAAAAAAAACTCATTCATGTTTTGCTCAGGGTTAGCAGATGTCTCGCAGCATGGTACTTCCAATTAATAGGTGCACCTTGTACTTCCAAGCAGAAGTGCCCTTCGCCGGTACACCATACTCCTAGCCAGCCTACCAGCATTCCCGAAAATATCGAGTGAGAAATCCAGCCGTGACCGTGCCCGTTGTTGAACGTCTTCTCTCCTGGGGTGATGGTTGGACCTCAACGCGGTCCTCAAACCTTCGATGAGGATGTTGCCGTGACGATGGTTTGCCCGAAATGTTTAAGCTGCGGCTCTCAGCGCCGACACGATCATCAGGGGGCCCCTCTGAGCCACCCGTAGCCCCTGACCGTGCGTGTGAAGCTACGAGCGTGTCAGAAGGCACCGTACCTCCATGTCCTCCTTCACTTGCTCCTGCTGGTCTCTCAGCTCACCGAACGCGTCGATGATCAGACCTTTGGTGGTGTACAGGGGGGGGGGGGGGGAAACAAACAAATTTGCCAGTGAGCTCCCGGAGAACACATACCTAAGTGACAGAGGTCGCAAACGGGTTTTGATTCCTTACCCGTACCCATACCTGGCCGCACCAGGGTCGCAAACGGGTACCCGTACCCGGCCGGGTACGGATAGCCGGGTATCGGGTAGGGCACGGGTATCGGGTACCCGATTGCGACCTCTGCTAAGTGAGGGGATAATGCGAAGAAGTGACAACTCAGAATCGGAATGTTTATCTCTCCTGGAGAAGTCCGAAGGGCTATGAATCTCTTTCTCACAGATGTCCAACTCTCAGCCACCTCGCAGCCCAATGGGTTGGGACAATCGTCATCATTATCAGCCACAGTGAATCGACCGCTGGATGAAGATCTCCCCTAGCTATCGCCATCTCCCCCCAAAGTCACGTGATGCAACAATCCCCGGTATGAACATGAGCTGATTTCATTGCTCTGTCTCCTCGACCGTGACTTGGCACAAAGTGGCCCAAGCGCTCGCTTCCTGCAAGTTGACCTGGACACCCAAGGGAGCATCAATAAGTGAGCCTTTGGGTCGTTTTGCCCTCCGACGTATTTGCAGGTTGTACCGTGTGTGTGCCGCTCAACTGAGCCGTTTCATTTCCTGAAAAAGCTACCCAGGGCACGTAGAGCGGAATCGCCAGGACGTCGTGCCGAAAACAACGAGCGGTGCGGCCCCAAAACTCCCCTGTGGAGCTACGCAGCAGCACTACAACCGCAAAACTCTACGCACGCAGTATCTAGTGATTTGGCAATAACCGCCACAATATGCCCCCAAAGTGAGACACTGGCACGGGTAAATTGGGAGGTGCCGTGCTGACGAGATGTTAACGACCTCGCCTGGTATCCAGGACGTCGTGGGTTCAATCCCAAACCCGATGCCCGCTGTATATTGGCGTTTGCATGTTCTCCCCACGGTTGCGTGCATTTTCTCCGGGTCCTCCGTTTTCTCCCCCTAAACACTTAGAATCAACGTGCCTTTAGAGTATTTGGCGGCAATACATTTTCACATGAGCCAGTTTGTTGAGTAGTCATTCGTTATAGCCAGGTTGTTTCTGAAAAAGAGCTATATAGCTCAGTGGGCCTTACCCGGTAAAAATAAAAAGTTTAGTTTACGGAGGTGCGTGGACCCCACAGGCTCATGTAAACGCGTGCAGATTACCAGTCCTACGCACAGCTCTGTGAAGCACCGTGGAATTAATTTAGCGCGTCGATATTTGGCGCGGTGAGTGACCTGACCCACCCACGCTTGATGTGCATGTGTGAATAATCGTTGTGTGTGTGTGTGTGCCAGAACAAGGACGCGCGTATGATGTCAACGCGACCCAGGGAAATTCGTTTGGCATTAAGCGTCGCACAGGACACACTCACAATTACTTTTAGTCACCACCTCGGTTAAGACCACGGTCAAGGTCAAGAGGTCATGACTTTTGACGCGACCGCTCATAACCGCCGTTCCTTTCAAGTCTGCCAGATCACTCGGATGGTGCACGGTAGACACCTTGACCTCCAGACACTGCTCTTACAAACACGAAAGAATCAAGTGCTCAGCAACTGCCAATGGCACTTGGTTAATAAAGTTGAATCCTGTCCAGCTGCCATCACACAGGATAATAATAATAGCGATGCTGAGCGGTAGGTTGTAGGTAGATAAGCAGGATGGTGGATAAATTGGTAGGTTGGTACGTTTAATAAACTGGTAAGTGTATACAGATAATAGAGAGCAAACCAGTAGGTATGTGTTTGGATAGACTAGAAAGTACGTACACAGGTAGGCAGGTAGATATGTATGGACAAGTACAGCCTTTTTGCCAAATCCACTGCTGTATGAGGGCCTCCCCATGCCATGCGAGACATGCGGATGATTTGACCATACTGTATTTCACTCTGCTGGCGAGTGTGGGCTGGCGAAAGTGACGCGCATAGGCATGGGTGCATAACGCAGTAAAACGATGGTATTGATCGGGAGGTCGTTTACGAAATGAACAGATAACTCTACAAGAAGGCCGCTGAATAAAGCAGGTAGGTAGGTATGTGAGTACACAGGCGGGTGGGCAGGAAGGCAGGTGCATTCACGGTCTCCATGGAAAGTCACCGCACGCGCGTTCCGAGCGCGAACGATTTTGCGATCAGCGGGCTCAGCGGCACTCAGTCCGTCAGCGGAATTGGTGACGGAAGTATTCATCAACAAAGTGTTCGATTTTTTTCTGAGTCAGCAACGGCTGCGAGTGGGATGAAAACCGAGAATAGGTTTTTCCCCTTTTTTCTGGCAACAAAACAGGTGATGTTAAAGCACCAAACTGAAACCTTTTACAAGGAATCATGTCTGCATTAACCACAATTCTCTAATAATATATGCGTTGTCTTTGAAACTGATTGGTCCACACTGAGATGAGTGGCCGATGCACCACCTGTGCCGCCTACTGTGCCAACTCGCTGTGTTTTAGCCACCAGGCGCTCCGCTCGTTGCGAGCGTCGTTCCAACGCCCTCCGTTGTTGCTGGAGGGCGACTGCCTCCAACTACCCAGTAGCAGCGTCCTTCACGAGCCTCCTCCACAGGCCGAACTTGACAACACTGGTACCAGTCTTTGGCAAATCCACTCAACTCCACATCCTCCTGTACCACATCACTCAATCTCCTCTTTAGCCCGTGCCACGCCCGTCCAGCCCCCCATATCCGGCCGAACACACACGCATGCACACGCGTGCGCCAAATGAAATGTAAAAAAAAAACCGCCCGGGGTGCGTTAGCGGCGGCACGGCTCACCCTGGATGATGGCGAGGAGGATGACGATGATGAAAAAGAAGAAGGTGATGTCGAACATCATGCGGTAGACCTCGTATTCGTCGCCCGCCGGGTCCTCAATCTCGTCTCCGATGCCCCCGCCAGCGCGCACGCCCACGTACAGGTGGAAGATGTAGCACTGCGCAGGGGGAGAAGACCAGGCTCGCTTGTGAAACGCTTCGTGGCAGTTGGGCAGAACAATTCAACAAACAAAAAAAGATCACTTTGTATTGACAGCGTTTTAGTCATCCTATGGAGAGACATATCTCTGCCATGGTAATGAGGAATTTCCACCATTACCTCATGGCTTCCAGTGGATGCCTCTTGCCACAGTGGCGAGATGTTAACTACCTCGCCTGGTATACAGGAGGACGTGGGTTCGATCCCAATCCTGACACCTGCTGTATATTTGGAGTTTGCGTGTCTCTCACTCTCCCCGTGGTCGCGTGGATTTTTTCTTCAGGTCCTCTGGTTTTTCCCTCCACATTTAGGATCGACGTCACGCGTTTTGAGTATTTGGCTGCTATAAATGTCCACATGAGGATGATGAGCCACTTCGTTCAGCTATCATTTGCGGCCAAGTCGCCTCTGAAAAAGAGCTAAATAGCTAATTGGACCTTAACTGTTAAAATAAAAAAATTGTTGAAAGTTTTGTTTCGTTTTAACAGTTTCACCCGCCATGCCTGGGATCGAATCAGCGACCTCTGGATTGCAAGTTCCGTCTTTGAGCCATTACACTTTGGAGGGGGGTGGTGCTCATTATACTGTAAAACAAATATTCAGGCAAATAACCTTAACTTGCAGGGGCTCAATATTCCATGTTTCAATACAACTGACAGACGAACAGGCTTCGTTTTTGGGCGAGAAAAAGTTTGCACATTGAGAAAAAGTTGCAGCCTTCGCGAACTTACAATATATATAGCACGAATACACATTTCAAAAGCGAGTAGAATCTGCAGTCTCATTAATACGGATCATAAAAATGCTGGACTTACACCTTACAAACGCGCAATTCCACAGGTAAAAAACTTTCTCTCAAATTGTGAATTGTGCGTTCGGCGTGACAGAATAATTTTACAAACAACGCATACTTATGAGATGAGGTTTTACCCTTTCTGGCAATAAAACAGTTGTGTTAAGACGTTAAAACACCAAACAGAAACCTGTTGCAAGGAGTCCTGTCTGCATTAACCACATATACTTGTGGCAAACATGCAAACTAAAAAACATGCTCTGATAGTATATGATGCATTGTCTTAGAAACTGATTGGTCCACACCAGAGACAGCTTTGCCAGAACGGGTAAAACCTCTTCTTATATATTGATACCGGCAAGGGAGGTCCCACGATGTAGCTGCTCATCCCGAAACAACACCAACGTATTGATAACGCTAATAATAACAATAATAAGCGTCATTCGCATGTGTAAAGTGTCGCATTTCGTCCGTAGATCCCAATGCGCCACCGTTGTACGGAAAGCCGGGAAATAAACAGAACCTACGGGAGTTTTCAAGACGGGACTTTAATATATCTCGCAACTCCATAAATGACGTCACGCGATTTTGGACGATTTTTTACCCCCCCCCCCCCTTCGTCACACGGCGTCACAAAAAGTCAGACCCCCCCTCAAATATGACGTCACAAAGTTCTGCCCCACCCCCAAAAAAACACATGCTTCAAATCGCTTTAAACTATTGTCATTGTAGTGCGTATTTAATGCGGCGCTGCACTCTGATGTTGTAGGAGAAAACGTTTATTAAAAAGTCTATTTAATTAAGTAGAACGTGTTGTCTATATTTATTTAAAGTTGCGCATTTTGATGGGACGTCACATTTCTCAAACACCCCCCCCCCCCCCCATCGTCACACATCGTCACAAATGTCTGACCCCCCCCCCCCCAGGTGCGTGACGTCATTTATGGAAGGCCCATTATCAGCAAAGGCAAAGTGTTCCCAAAGCTTGGGGACTGCAGGGTGGTAAATTCCCGGTCACCCCCTGCAGGAACAGAGGCTTGGCCTCGCGAGCGCTTAGGAGGCAGCGATCCGAAGATCTGGATGACCTCGTTGAGGAGTAATCGTGGATCGGTTCCCGCTAGACGTCGCGGGGATTTACCCGCTGAGAGCCTTGGTTAGCTGACTTGAATGTAAACTACAGTAAAACCTTGGATTGCGAGCATAATTCGTTCTGGAAACGTGTTTGTAATCCAAAGCACTCGTATATCAAAGCACTCGTATGTCAGTTGTGATCACGTGACGCTCGGCAGACAAAGCGTATACGCGTACTACTCGTATTGCAAGACCTCGCTCGTTTATCAAATTAATATTTATTTAAATATTTGCTCGTCTTGCGAAACACTCGCAGAGCAAGTTACTCGCAATCCAAGGTTTTACTATATAGAAAAAAAACCTTCATAAATGACGATTTTTTTGTGTCGTTTCGCAAAGGTTCAGCTTCACATGTTTTGGGTCGAGATGGGGCCCGCAGCTGTAGAGCGTTCGTTGCTAGTTGCAGGAGTTCATGGTTCGAGTCGAACTTGATTTGTTTGTTTGTCAAGGGGTGGCGTAGGTGGTATATACCGCGAATTGACATTACACCTGTAGGTAGAACTTCTTTCACACCGTACGTAGCCAACCATACTCATCAGAGGTGCGGGGTGAAGAGGACAAAAGAAACCAATTATGAACGATGCTGTCGGTGGTTTGGTAGTAGGGCAGACAATGTCACGCCGGTAGTTTTGTTCGAGTGTGGGACAATTACACTTGGTCAAAATGCTGCAAGAAAGCGGATTGGCCTGGGGCGTGCGATGAACACCAGCATCGTTGGCCATGGTCAATCCACTGCTGGACGAAGAAACCCTTCCCAATCTGCCGGGCAATCGCTCACAATTCTTACGACGTAATGAATCCACCTGCCGCCTGCAGCAGGAGCCGATTTCATGGATCCGTCTCCTCGACGATGATTTTTTACGAGAAAATAACGATCCGCTCAGACCGTCAATATAAGCATCGGAAGCAGGGGGCAATGATTTCATCGCTCCATCTCTCTCCCTGGTGGGGCCGTCCCGTCGGGATGCGTATGGCGATGGAGAATGGATTAATTTAGAATGTGGTGATTAGCGGGAATGTTGTGGTACGTCGCACACAGAGTTAAGCTCAGTCTCTTCCACGGAACATTCTCTGCATTCCGGAACATCCTCTCTCTCTCTATCTGTGGACCTGCATCTGCCATCCATTCATCATGCTCCCAAATTAAATCCATACCCGTATATATATCCCTCGCATAACCTTTGTAAGGTTGTGCACATGGGCTATATAGTATTTTATAGTAGGGGTTATTTATTGAAACAAATGTTATTTTCTCTCAAAAATACGACACGGGTAATATTAGTGAATCTATATATTTTTTTAAAGCAACGCATTTGGCAATAAAAAACTGTGTTGCCTTAAAAGGAAGAAAAAATTATAAGAGGCGATGTTGGTGATGTTTCTGGCTCGAGCAGTTTTTTCACAGCACACAAATTGCCCAAAACGTTGCCTATTGGAATTCGTTTTATATTTTTTAAAATATTTTTTAAAAATATTTTTTTATTTCTTTTATTTTTCTTTATTTTACATTTTTTTTAAATTGAAATTATATTTTTTATATTTCTTTAATATTAAAAAAAATTGTGAAATATTAAAAAAATATATATATTTGTTTATAAATATATCTTTTTTTTGTTAAGGCCACAGTATGTCTGACGCGCCTGCGTCGAGTTTTCTGTTATTTCGTGCTGCTCGTGCACCAGCCGCCAGCGTGGCATCACTCAATAATGTATTCCACTACACAGTGCCGTTGACATCCAGTGCTCGTTTAAGAATGTTTGGGAAACATGCACGTTGCTTTATTTTGGCATTTACGTATTTGTATGGACAACAGGGAGCATCGTTGTTGTCGTGGTTTGCTCTGAACTTGCTTACCTGAGTTCAACGCTTGGCCATGGCTAACAATAAGCGAAGTATGGTCAGACAACCCAAACCACTGACGCAGTCGGGGGAGGCATTCATCCCAGCAGTGGGTTGACAAAGGGCCGTACACATTTAAATTTTGGGGAACGGTGGCGCAGTGGTGAGTGTACGATGAGACAAACCCCACAACCTGGGTTTGACTCCTGGCCACGGCTGACGTCAGTTCGTGAGTGATGCCTGAAATTGTTCTGGGCATCCCTTTCACCGACCTGCGCCGACCAGTATGGTGAAGTATGGTCAAACCACCCCCATCATCAACAAGGGGCGGGTGTGACCTTCATCCGAGCAGCGAATTGACAAAGGGCTTTACACTTACAATCGGGGAGTGGTGGCACAGTGGTTTGCACACTGCGCTACACTCCCAGCAACGTAGCTTATGATTCCTGCTCAAGTGCAAAAATCAGTGCCAAGCGATGTGAACCCTGGCCAGGACCTCAGCTCAGCCATTTAAGCTTCAAACAATGACGAGATTCTTGCCACACCACCCTCTTCATTGTATGTACTGCGAACTTCTTTCACACTGCACGTAGCCAACCGTGCTAGTCGCAGGTGCCGGGGGAAGGACAAACAAAATGAAACACATCACCAAGCCTGCGTTGATGTGTGGATCACTTGTGCACCTGCTGACGCCCTGCAGGATAAGCGGGGGATCTTGCCCGTTTCGTTGTGTTTCAAAAGGCGATTTGTGTCTTCAAACAGAAAATTAGCATTGGGGCTCCCCCCCCCCCCCCCCCCCCCCGCCATCTCATTTGGTGGGTCCCCCCAAGTCCAGCGGTGGAAATTCCACATTCCCTGGGCAACAGGCAGGCTCTTTATCTCTTGTTATTTCAGTTGCCTATGAAGGGATGCAGCCCTGCATTTGCTCGATCGCGTGACTGCTGCAGGCAGTAGGGTCTCCACCTCCCAGAGCCTATCTGGGAGGAATTTGGTCTGCTCTTAGATGAGGTGGACGGAGCCACACTTCACCCCACCACACGCGATATTCCAATCGCCTGACTGCGGCGTACACCTATGTAAGCTGCTGGGTGGACAGAGGTGGGTTTGGAGGGATTTAAAAAAAAAATCACTGCCAACATCGTTTCAACTTGCCGCGCCGGGAGACAAAATTTAACCAGCATCCTCCGGATTGCAAATCCAACGTGGTGACCGATTTGTTGCACGGGCTGGCTACGTACGGTGCGAAAGAAGTTCAACGTACGCACAATGTACATACAACAACACGGGCCGTAGAGTTGACAGGGCACTTCGCTAAAACCCCTCGTGGCAAAAGTAATCGGATGCCTGCCCATGAATCAAACCGTGAGGTCCAAACAGACCGGCGAGCGTCCGCCACAGACCACTCTAGGCAACCGAACCGCCGGTACGAGTAACCGGTACGGGCAACCACTGGTACGAGTAACCACGCACACTGCTTGTTATTCCTCCGGATTTTCACCACCTTCCTTCTCCCCCCCCCCCTCCCCGTTTCGCGCGCCAACCAGGCAGGCGCAATAAATCATCACCGGGGGCCAAGCAGCCGGCCCCCTCGAACACCGAATTTAACACCAACACCGTGTTAAGAGGCAACACCTGCGACCGTCGCGTGGCAATTATTCGAAACCTTTTGCCGTACGGATTTCGCCCGAAATGTCACGCGGAGAGCCGAGCAATGCTTGGCCCTTTACCCTGACGATGGCGTGAACTCCAGCTGCAAGCTCATCAGTGATACCACGTCGCGGTAATTGTGAGAGTGGACATCGGATACGGTGAAGGAGGGGGGTGAGGTGGGCAAAGGTGCAGCCCTGATATTGGTTGTTCATGCCACTGCTAGGCCACACACACCTCAAAACAACAACAGAAGGGCCACGAGAAACCCCCCCCCCCCGCCTCCAGGAGGGTATGCTGGCCTACTTTTCCACGCTGGTCAGACACCTTGGAAATGGGTGGGCGTACCCTCACTTCACGCCATCTCGCACGCGAAAGCTTGCCGATCATCTCTTCTTTCTTTGGCTGTCCATCGCGAACGATGATGACCGCGGAAGACGGCTAGCTGCGGCAGCATTTCCCTGTGCGCCAGCGGGATGAGAGCCCAGCCCTTGAGCCGGAGCATCTGTGGGGGGCAAGAGTTTGCCGCTCGTCCGCTGGACGGGATTCGCGTCGTGCCGTTGCCGCTGGTGCTTTGGTGCCGATTAAAAAAGAATGTTGTGCCCTTTAGTCTTCAACTCTCTTGACCGAATCGGCCGCGCGGCCACTTCTCCACTGCTTACGGTTGCCTCTTGAAATTTTCCATCCCACATCTCCACATTGATATTGGCTGTCTCGAGGTGTCTTTTAACCATGGTGAACCCACGTGCGCTGCTTGGTGGACAGAAGGAGAGGCTTTGTGGGGCTGCAGTCCAATGAGATTTGAATTGCCAGCCTAGCGTGCTGCTGATCGTTAGACCGCGGCAGCAACGCTCGCCACTATGCCGCTGCAGCAGCAGCCACAGCCACAGCAGCAGCAGGGAGTGGATACCCAAATAGAATTGCCAAGGTTGCTCTCGCCGGGTGTAGTGGTGTGTGCACCCACAACGACGCAGTCGCTTTCGAAGTCGTCCTCTTCGTCTTTCTCTGTCTTCTTCTTCATCTCCTTCTTCATCTTCTTCTTCCGTACGGCTGATGTAGATGCAGAGGCAACAACCCCAATTTCACATTCAGGTGGTTAAGCCAGGCAACTGCGTCAGCAGCAGCGGCGGCGGAGTAGTGTATCGCCGCGATGTCTCCTTCGTGTCTCATGGAAGTGAAGTTGATGGATCACACAGAGATCAGCGTGTGCTGCGAGATTGCCCAGTCCGCTTGGGCTACGAGGTGACCAGCAGAAAAACAGCGAAGGGGGGGGGGGGGTTCCTAGCCCATCTGTGCAGACCTTTGACCTTTAATCCCCCCCCCCCCCCCCCGGCCTCCGTGGGCACTGCAGTCTACGCCCATGTATGAATCGCGAATTGAAAACAATCCATGGATTGGGATGGTCGGCCAATTAATTTGCTCGTGAATGCTTGCGCGAAAAGTCAAGAGTGATTGTCTTGTGGATTGACTGCTCCTTGCCATAGAAAAGTGGAATGCACACCCTTGGGTCTGGGCCTCCGATGGAGATGAGGCCCAGCTAATGGCGGCATGAGCATGGGTGCGCATTGTCTTTTAAACTTTAAGGACGCCACCGTAACTCTCCTCGCATAACCTCGGTTAACAAGACGTATTTTACACGGGTTCATAAATCTCATTGGACTGCGGCCCCACATTAAGAACACGACCGCACTTGAGATGGCTTTAAATTACTTCCTTCATTCATCCATTCACTCGGCCACCAAGAACAGCAGTGCTGCCTTCTGCCCGTTTGATGGAGGCAGCCTGAGGGACTCGCTGCCATTACGGGCCTACAAAAGACTTCTCATCCATCGCGTATAATTTGACGAATAAGGGCCAGAAACTGTGGAACTCCACGGTCGCTTCGTACGAATGGCAGCACGGGAAGTCCTCCGGAGTAGCTCACACTGAGGCGAGCACTCATCTGCTGTACAGTGTGTACAGTATCAAAAACATATTTCTTTGCAAATTTTTGTTAATGCAGACTCGAACGCCTTGTAACAGGGCTTCTATCACCTTAACACCCTCCATGTATGAATGCCAGAGAGTATAAAGCCTATTATTTTTTTCTTCCATCATTCAATACCAATGACAGTGGGAAAAAAAGGGCCCCCGTAGAGATTTAAGCGATGGGAAGCGTCCCTTATCTTCCACTCGTGGCGGAGACGAGTGTGTCGACCGCGCAGCGTCCGAACGCAATCATTCACCGCCGTGCAGAGTTCACGGGGAAGCAAGAAGCCAGGAAAGGGGTTCGGTTGGCCGGGGGAGGGGGGAGGGGAGATGGGCGGGGGTCACTGATGAGGTCTCCAGCGAGCAGAGCGGAGTTCCACTCACGGTGAGCATGTCGTTGCATTTCATGTCGGGTTCGTCCTCGTCCTCGCTCTTGTTGTAGAACTTGCGGAAGAAGTTGAAGGCAATGACGGTGTAGAGGTAGACCACCACGGCCAACAGCCCCACCGTCAGCACCAACTGCGCAGCACACACGCGCACGCACACGCACGCACAGCATTGGAGCCATCAGCATGGCTCATATCCAATTCCTAATGACCTTCGAAGCAGAGCTTCAGACGTAGGATCACTTACGCGCACAAACAAAAGACAATGACAAAGATGCCCCCCCCTCCCACTCCCCCCCCCATATAGCCTACGTAGATTGTTGGGGCAAATGCTGTTAGCGAGCAGGTATGAAGGCCGGCACGGCACACGAGGGGGGGTGGCGTGAGCAACACCACGTGCAGCGCATCGTCGTCTCTTCCTGCCGCTGATGTTTACACCTCGTGCTCGTTTAAGGCTGAGTCAGCCTAAAGGAGGTGGCTCCAAAACAGGTTCAAACTTGTTTCTGATGTTAGCCGCAGCCAGGTATCTAACCGAGGTTGCCAGGTTCGTAGTGCAGCGTGCGAGAACCACAATGCCACCGCCCCTCACACACAGCACTTGAACAGCAATAACAACCGCCATTCGCCGCACCAGGAACGCATTTGAGGCTGAGTCAACCAAGGAGAGGCCCAGAACCGGTTAAAAATTCGCCACTGTTATTGGTCGCGAGCGGGAATCGAACTCGGGTCGCCGGGTCTGGAGTGCGACACACTAACCACTGCTCCACACGTCCACATTCACACACACGCACGCGGCCTCAAATGAGCATTGAGGCATTGGTGCTAATCTCCCGTTTACGGCCATGAGCCGGCAGTGAAAATTCCACATTCCTACGGCGGGGGAAAGATTATCCCATGGGACAAGCAAAGGAAGAGCTTTAACCCCCATGTCACGCCAGCACCCTCTGCACGCCGCTCGCTGAAGCGACCTTGCCGGCTTTGCAGGCGTTGCAGAGATATGCACCACCACGCAGGTGGCTTATTTTTGTTTTTAATAAACCGGGGAACCATGCGAGCACATTGTTTCCGTGACCTTCAAAAATAGCGCACCCCAGTTCTCATTATACAAATGCATGCCGCACGACGTCACGCACAGTCAGCAGAGGCTCAAACTCGTGAAGGAGTGCCGAGCGTCTCTCGTGGGAATGAGAGGCTGGGAACTGATCGAAGAGGAGAGCATTCTCGGATCCAGAATTCGGGATTCCAGAATTTCTGGATTGCAGGAGAGAATTCTGGGATCCAGAATTCCCAGTAGAAAATTTTCTTCTGGGGTCCAGAATTCTCTCCCGGATCCCAGGAAGAATTCTGTATTTCTGGATTCCAAGAATTCTCTCCCAGGAGAAAATTCCCAAAATCTAGAATTATCTCCTAAGATCTAGAATTCTCAAGAGAGAATTCCCAGGAGCATTTAACACGTAGGCTTTCGTGACCAATATTATCCAGAAAACAAGACAAAAACCATCGATTATGAATAATTCCCAGGAGAGGATTCTCTCCTGGGATCCAGATTGAAATTGTTGGCGAAAGGCACGAAGAGTTTCCTTGACGCACTTAAATCTCGAAGCCTTTGTCCCCCCAATTTTTTTATTTTCCAAAAACATCTTCTAACAACAGTAGTGGATTCATCATGGCTATGATGAGAATGAGTTAAGACTTTGTCCATCCATGCTTGACCACGGAATTGCAAGCGTAGCATGAAATCAGCAAAACACAGCCTCGTGTACATGCTTTACACAAATAACAAGAATTGGCTGCTACTATTACTGCAAGGTGAGTTCAAATTAATGTTGAAATGTTTGTCAAGACATTTACACTTGGTCACATGGCACAGTGGCCACTGGCGGAGGCAGTGGGGGGTGGCACGTGCCCCCCCAATGATCTGATCGAAATCCCTAACTTCGATCGGATGATTGGGGTTCATTAGTAATGAATCGGCATTTTGCGACCCCCACTGCCACTGTGTAGCATATTATTACGTGCCAGGGACTCTATGAGATGATAGGACAATAGTCTGAGTCCATAATTGGCAATAAGTCACGGCAAAGCAGTTATAAGTGATTCAGAATTGTGCGTAGTTGCGTATACAGTACACGAATTCCCTGAAGGCATTTACCTTCAGCGAGCGCGATGCCGATCACACAACGCGGTTCGAATTCGACCCTCGATCGATGGCTGCGTCATCGCCGCACACGCGTCGAATAAGAAGCAAGGGACAAGTTCTTACTTACTAACAATTCCTCTATCATTTTCATTGCTGGAGGGGTTGCCCCCCCCCCTACCTAAAAATCCTGGCTCCGCCATTGACAGTGGCAATAGCGGTCTGATGCATTATCTAAAGGCTGTGATTTCAAATTGTGGTTGGGGGTCAACTCGGCTCATGACTATACCTCCGGTGTGAATACAATGAGGAGTACCACTTTGCGGGACGACTGCAATGTGAGTGACGTACGCTACAGCCTTGATCCGCACCAAACTGACATGACAGCGGCAACATTCAGTGCCACAAACAAAACCTCAAAGACTTCAAAATGACCGTTTACTTTTTTATTTACCAGGTAAGGCCCACTGAGCTCTCTATAGCTCTTTTTCAGAAGCGACCTGGCCACAAATGATGGCTCAACGAAGTGGCTTATCATTATGTGGAAATTGATAGCAGCCAAATCTTCTAAACGCGTGTTGAATCTAAATGTGGAGGGAAAAACCAGAGGATCCGGAGAAAAATCCATGCAGCAACAGGGAGAAAGAGAGACATGCAGGGTCGGGATCGTACCCACGACCTCCTTCATACCAGGCGAGGAAGTTAACATCCCACCACCGTGGCACCCCGTTTTAAATGGATTGCGGTAAAAAAACTAAGATGCCATCAATGTAAGTTTATTGGCACAGAGAGGCTACGTTATGAGCGAGGAGCAACCAGACCCTGTCCGAACGAATGAAACAACGCCTGGGAAAAGAAATTACGGTGTGAAAATCATGTTTTTTTTAAAATATGCATACATTATAGACGACAGTCTTCTTTTATTATGAGCACACGTAGCTTTTGTGTGCGCGCGCGTCAACGAGAAGATGTTGCGTCGGTGAGGAGGGGGATGTGGATTGCGCGAGCACATCTGCTCGGCCGTCTGACGCATGTTTGTGCTGCTACTGGTCGAGAGGTTAACCCCTTTGGAGATCACACCCAGTCCGTGGGAGCGCCACTCTCCTCCGCGAATCTCCCCATTACCGTGCGGCCTTCCAAAAATGCAGCCCCAACACACACGGGAGCTGAGGAATCGACGAGGGAACTCGTCGCATCCCTACACGCACGAAACAATCCTTGCAGGGCCATCATTTCAGCGACGAAAAGTCTCGGTCGTTATGCCGTTGGTGGTGGACAAGCGGTAGAAGCAACGTGCGGCGGGCGACAAGGTTAATGATCAGAAATTGCCTGGGATGAGGTCGTAACGAGTGGTCCTCCATTAACGATTTATTACTAATGGGGTTTAGCAGCACAGGAGCCAGCCCTGCACACAAATCGCTCATTAACCCTTGCAGGACCTGTACAAAACCTGTATGCGATGGCAGCAAAACAATTATAAAAAGCCCGTTTGTTTTAATGCTCACGCTTGTATGGTGTGTGTGTTTCATTTAAAATGCTCCCAAGAATTACCAGACATTTCCAATATGCTGATTAATGTTCGGCACTGCTCATAGTGTACGTGTGTGTGTGCGTGCGCATGTGCATGCATCGCCGCTAGGGACACAAAGGCGGTCGGGCGTGGTTGCTGGCCACCCACCCCCTCGTGTACCGTTCCGGCCTTCATAGGTGCTTGCTTTCAGCATTTGCCCAAACAGTCCGTTAAAGGCTACACGGAGGATCATTGTATTTGTCTTTGTTGTATGTATATATATTATGGGAAGTGGTGGAGCAGCAGCTAGTGTACTGCTCAATGAACCTTGGCGATTCGAGTTTGACTCCTGACCGAACTGGTTCTGGGCGCTCTGCTGAGTCTACTCAGCCTTAAATGAGTTGCTGGTTCGGTGTGTAAACAGCAGCACCGGGGGAGACAAGGGCTGATCACAAGGCCTTGTCGTGCGATGTTCTGGTTTTGATCGGTGCTCGCTAAACAACCACGCCTAGGGTTGCCACCTGTCAGGGTTTGACACGGACAGCCTGGACACGGCCTGCTGCGTTCAGGTGGCAACAGGAATTAATTTGCACCACAATCCAGTGCCCGGTATGTGTTGTACTTCATCGCAATAAACCGCACAGTTTTTGTTTTTAATCAACTTGGGCCGATCGAGAAATATTTTCGGCTTTGGTCTGTGGTAGAATAGGCGACAACCAGAATGAAGCCCATCCGCCTTCGGAGACAAACACGTGCCCACACGCTGATAGGTAGCACTACCGCTTTCTACCCACGTGCGCACACACAAGAATGTAAAACGGGGATCTCTGAGGACCGACTGAGCCGGGTGCTGGTGGCAGTGTTCCCCACCTGCTTGCCGTTGTGGGTGACGGACGAGAGGATGGTTCTCAGTGTCTTCACGCCCATGGCGATGTCCAGCAGGTGGGTGGCAAAGAAGAAGTTGTTGTAGTGGCCCAGCATGGACATGATCATGTACCATGTCAGGTAGAGCCAGGACTGCGAGAGCAACACGGCAAAACAAGTGTTCGCAATAAAGATTTTTGGGTTAGATCGCGTAAGTATAAATGTGCCGTAACACTCCACCACCCGACAAAGCCAGTAGGGTTTGTCACGGTAAACAACGAATAATATCAGTCGGAAAAGCCTACGTGTTGAACCGAAACATAACAAAAACATTGTATTCCGGCACAACGTGTTGGTTGCCAAAAAACGAATATATAAAATTCGATCCATTCCCAAAAGGAGTGAGCAACGTAGAATAAAAAAAAGGTTGCAAATAGAAGAAGACCTAACGATGCAGGCAGTGATGAGATGGGAACTGGCAATATCTGGACACGTACGTAGGATGGACAACAAATGGAAGATTAAAAGTGTGTTGTTGTTTAACACGTAGGCTTTCACGACCAATATTATTCATAATAAACGTTTTTGGGTTAGATTGCGTTATTTATAAATGTGTCGAAATCCTCCATCACCCGACACGGCCAATCAGTAAAAAAAGTGTCACGTTGACAAAAGACAAATAGTTCACTACTTTAGCCCACCGGTGTGTTGAAGCGTGGTACCAGAAAGATGCGGCCACTACTTGAGCCATATTGACACAAGACAGAGAGACAAGTGGAAGCAAATGACGAAATGTGCAGTGGACACCCACTGGGCGATCTGCCCATGGATGGTGATGCCGACGACGACAATGACGACGACAATGATGACGACGACGACGATGATGACGATTCGCAAGAAATCTGTTGCGGGTGCTCATCTTCAATTGGATTTCTTTGAACGGCAGCGCTTCTTTTTTGTTACCTGTCGTTTGCCGATTGCTGATGCTGTTGCTGCTTTGGCGGTGGTGCGCAAAGCACAATTAGCAGCAAGAACAACAAGAAACTCGTTCGTCACGAACAACACCGTGGCTTCTACCGTTAAGCGCCTTCTAAAAAAAAACTCCCCTTTTATTTGACTTTTATTGAGCGGATCTCTGAGCTGGGCTCTCCGCGCCTCAGGGTCGCTGCTTCGGGCAAAGAGAAAATTGTGCGCGTTGCAAATTAGCGGACGCATTATTCTCGTAAAATCGGCGACGTGTCAGGTGATGGGCGGCTTCTTCCGAGCAAAGAACTCATTACATTTAATTCCATTTACGTGCTATGAAGATGTCTGAATCATCACCTATTTATATATATATTTATTTTTAAGGATGTGCTACTGACGAACGTTTAGCGTTTCTTTTTTGTTTTATGATGGGTCCATTAGCACAAATTATGCTTCTGTAGAGACAACGCAGAAAATGTAAGAATTTGAAAAAACATTTAAAAAGTCATGTGCGACCGCGTGCGTGCTTTCTGCATTCAGTAAACGGCAGTGCGTTTTGTGAACGCCGAAGGCACGCACCACAATTTAGTGCAAAAAAATGCAGCTTTGTGTTTCCCGCATGCTGCTTTTGTACGCACGTTGAACTTCGTTCACACCCTACGTAGCCAACCGCGCTAATCGGAGGCACGGGAAGGGTGGTGGTGATGATGATGATGATCGGGGTAGTGGCGATGGCGTGGCGCAAGAGTCCAGTCAGACCAGACGTGTCATTTGTCGGTACCAGCTGAGGGCAGCAGAGCTATAAGCTGTTCCAAGTTATTGATGCGGCTAATAACCGTGAGACATGTTCGAACCGTTCGGATTGAGTGGGATATTAAACAATCCACTCTTTATTTGTCAAATAAACACATCAGCATTGCTAAACTCTCGCCACCTTAGGCAGGACCAATCTCTGCTCTGGCAACATGGACTCATTGTTATCACACTATGTAACACAATTTTTGTTCCTGGGTAGTAAGTGTTATTTCGTAATTTCCATTGCCTAAAAAGTATATAAATGACTATTATTCCCCACAAATTTTGCTTTTGTGACCAGGACAGTGATATTTAGAAATTTACCTATTTTCAATGAGAAAACAGGCGAATTTGTGTCTTTTCGTTCACGTAAACTCAGAAGAAAAAAACATAAATCAAAATTAACATGTATTTATACTAAAGTAATACAAAAAATACTACAAAAGATTTAGAAGCGAGTAGTTTTTCGAGATTTACGATTGTATTGTAAATCACTTTCACGAATCAGCCCCCAAATGTAGTCTCCTATCATGTTCTCGTTATATTGTCCTTGGTAGCGGCGTTCAAAGTCCAGTATATCCTCGTGGAAGCGCTCGCCTTGCTCCTCCGAGTACGCTCCCATGTTCTCCTTGAATTTATCAAGATGAGCATCAAGGATATGGACTTTGGGGGACATCCTACAGCCCCCATTATGCCGTAGTTCTTCGCCAAAGTCTCAACCAGCTCCACATAGTTTTCGACCGTGTGATTGCCCAGGAAGCCACGGACCACTGCGACAAAGCTGCTCCAAGCCGCTTTCGCCTTACTAGTGAGCTTCTTGGGGAATTCATTGCACTCCAGGATCTTCTTCATCTGTGTTCCGATGAAGACACCGGCTTTGACTTTTGCTTCAAACAGCTTAGAGAAGAAGTCTTGAAGGTTCTGTAAGGCTGCCGACTCCTTATCTACAGCTCTGACAAATTATTTCACAAGGCCCAATTTGATGTGGCATCAGCACCTTCCAGGGGTCCACCAGTGGCTCCCATTGGACGTTGTTCCTCCCCACAGAGAACTCGGTCCGCTGTGGCCAGTCCCGCCTGTGGTAGTGCGCCCAAAGGCAAAGATAGCAGGGAAACTTGGTAAAACCGCCTTGGAGACCCATTAGGAATGCCACCATTTTGAAGACTCCGATGACCTTCCAAGGCATCCAGCAAGGTCTTGATGCTGTTGTAATCCTCTTTGAGGTGCACCGAGTGAGCCAGGGGAAGAGACGGGTACTTGTTACCATTATGGAGCAGCACGGCTTTGAGGCTCCTGGATGAGCTATCAATGAAGAGGCGCCACTCATTCTGGTTATAGGAGATTCCGATTGCCTCGAACAGACTGGTCACATTGTGGCAGAAGCAAAGCCCATCTTGAGGGGTGAAGAAGCTGCAAAAAGGTTGGTGACACTTCCTCTGATCTGCGACTTGCACATTTTCATCCAACAAGTTCCACTGCTTGAGCCTAGACATCAAACGCTCAGCATTGGATTTGGGTAGACCAAGATCTCTGATCAAGTCGTTGAGGTCTTTTTGGTTGGGGTAGTATGGGTTTCTCTTCTCAGCTCCACCTCTGAAATTGTCATCTGGATCTACAACGTCTTCCTCGCTCTCTGACTTGCTGCTCTCTTCTAAAGTTTTTTTTTCAATAACATTGAAAATTGTAAAACATTTGAAAATTAAAAACTTTTACCATTTTAAAAAAATGTCTAAAAATATATATAACATCAAATTCCGAGCAACAATTGTCCATCTTATCTTCCAGAGTTTTTTTGCATTGCTCGCAGGTAAAATGAGGTGTCCAGGGTTTGTCTTGATCCCCAACAGGAATGCCGAAATATGCCTTGTAGGCCTCACACATCTTAGCAGATGCTTCCACAGAGTACTTTTTCACTTTGTCTTGATAAATTGGCCGCAGGCATAGAAACATGAGTCTGTCGGATGCTTGCAGCCTCTTGATGCCATCTCAGAAAAATGTAGATATGGATCCACTTAGGCAGCTGGAACTAAACTGAACTGGTGGGCTTAAGGCCCCTGTATTTATACTACTATTTATATTACTGGAAAGTTCTAGAATGTTCTAGAAGTTACTCCAAGTTTACGCAGCACTGAATCTATCTGTAATGTTCTGGAAAATAGGTAGATTTCTAAATATCACTGTCCTGGTCACAAAAGTAAAGTTTGTGGGGAATAATAGCCATTTTCTGTACTTTTGCGGCTTTAGAAATTAGGAAATAACACTACCCAGGAACAAAAAAAAATATGTTACACAGTGTCATCAGTCGCACCAGAAGCAGCAACAGTATCAGCAGCAGCAGAGGCAACGGTCGCTGCATCATCAATCAGCAGCAGGAGCACTAACAACAGCAAGCCACATCAGCAGTAGCAAGAGCATCAGCAGCTGCAGAATCAGCAGCAGCAGTTGCATCGTCAACATTATGATCAGCAGCGAGGGAAACAGTTGGAGCATTAGCAGCAGTTTAGACATCATCAGCAGCAGTATCATCATAATTATCTGTAGCTACAAGACCAGAATCAGATGCATCAGCAGCAGCAGCTACATCAACATCAGCAGTGGCAACATCATCATCAGCAGCACCAGCATTAGTTTCGTCAGCAGCAACTGCATCAGCAGCAGTATAAGCAGCAAAACTCAGCGTCACCATGATTATCAGTAGCCGCATAATAATTATCAGCGGCACCGGAATCAATGTTAACCAATGTTAAACCAAGAATGGTTCAATCCCTGTGTGACCTCCAGCCGGCTAGAGGTCGTCGGGGTGATGCGGAGCGCGTGAATGAGAGAGAGGGACGCCACGGGCTGGAGGGTCGGCATCCGACGGGCAAAACAAAAAAAAAACACAAAACGCGTCGCCCGGACACACCACTCACGTTATCGGTGAACACAACGCCAAGCTTCCAGAGCTGATACTTGAAGTCGATGTAGTTGATTCTGGTAAGAAGAACAACAACAACAACACAAATCAGCGAGGACAAAGGTAAGAAAATTGCAAACCAGCGGCGCGAGCACGTGGCCATTACCAATGGCGCTGATTTCCTCCCCCCCCCCCCCCACACAATCGTGCAAGTACAACGGAATTGGGGGCACCAAGTAAACAACAGTCCCTCCCCCCCCCCGACCTCGCCCCATGTCCCCTCCACCACCAACCAACCCTTCTGTCAAGTGTCCCTTTTTAAAAAGGCAGGAGAGGTAAGGCTCTCTTCCCCCCCCCCGTCACTGGATGCGCTTCTGCGGCGGCCGTCTGGAACGCTCTTCCCTTCCGATATTAGGAGGTCACTGGGAGCTACGCACTTTTTAAATCATCCGGATTGGAAACTCTTCTCTTTAGAACGGCTTTTTTTGTTGGTTAGTTTGTTGTCCTGCCCCCCACCCCCGCACCTCCGATGAGCACGGTTGGCTACGTACGGTGCGAAAGAAGTTCAACGTACGTACGTGCACGTACTGGGTAGGATTAAAGATGGCATTGTTGGTGTGCGCGTGGCAGCTGCCTATGACTTTTCCACGTGTCGGCAAGCATCTGTGCTATTGACACAGCCGCTGTCAATCCACTGCTGGATGATGGCCTCCCCCACACCCTGTAAGTCACAGGGGTAGTTTGACCATACTTCGCATGAACGTAGTCTTTACAGAGGAGCTTTGTCTTGCGAGTGTGTGTTTCCCTGTGGGGAGCGGTAGTGCCGTGGTTAGTGCGCTGCCCTACGAACCCAGCGACCTGGGTTCGCTTCCCGATCACGGCCAACACCAGTGACAATTATCTGAGCCGGTACTGGGCCTCCCATAGGTCGATTCAACCTCGAATGAGAGCCTGGTGCGGTGTGTAAACATCGCCACTTGGGAGACAAAGGCGGCCAGGCGTGATGCTGGGCACCGACCTCTTCGTGTGCCGTTCTAGCCTTTGGAGGTGCTCGCTAACAGCTCTTGCCCCAATGGTCTGTTAAGGCTATAAGGGGGACCTGTATCCTTGTTACCCTGTATGCGCGAGTGTCTGTAACATGTGTGCAAGTGAACGCGTGTGATTTTGCAGCGGTCGTTAGACCACTTGTGACAGTTTGAAGCAACCAAACTTTCTATTGGCCACGGTTCATCGTTTTGTAAAATTGCTGCCTTCAATTGGCTCCTCTCGATGGTTAGGGCACAAAATGCAGTCATCATTCCTGAATGAGTACCTTGATGGGCTGTGTGATTCAGTGGCGGGGGTCATCAGATGCAACACTGGAGGGAATCATCAAACCAAACTCATACGTCCCATACATTAAAAAAACGAAATCCCATTTGGACCCTACAAGCCACTCTAACGATATCCTCTTTAGGAAATGTCTGCACACAAAATGTTTGCTGTTGGTTTTTATTTTCTTATGTAATCTTTCATGCGTTTATTTTTGCGCTTTTCTGTTCTGCAAACAATTCCCCAATTCTTCCTTTAAAATGTACAAGGGTCTGTCTGTAAAGTCCACGTCCTATTTATGTTGTGTGGAAGTCATCAAATTACCTTAACAAACCAATACTCTAACCACCAGATTGCACGCAATGGCACAATTAGCGTTTGTTATAATTCTCGACTTAAAGCTTTCGTGGCTGCAGGAATTCATATTCTTTGGGTCTTTAGGTAAAGCCACATAGATAGAAAAAATAATAACAATATCACGATATTTCGATCGCAACACAAGCAATCGTTCACCTGATGACGATTGCTTGTGTTGCGATCGAAACGTCGTGATATTGTTATTATTTTTGTTATTTTTTCTATCTACGTGGCTTTACCGAAAGACCGAAGTAATTTGTTATATTTGTTATTATTATTATTGGAATTATCGACCTAAATTGTGCGATCGTGCGATTACTCAGTACATCTGAGAGGCTGGATGAGCTGAAGAAACAGTGAGGAATTCAGCTGGAAGAAATGTGCTATGAAGAAATTGCCTGAAACATCCCCGATAATATAATTACGTATTTACTTTCAAGGCCACACAGCATTATTGACGTGACTTGTGAAATGTGTAGGAAATGCGAGAGGAGTTATCTCTGCATCACGTACGTGCTACTAACTGGCTGCCATAGTAAACGTTTGCGATTAGTTTGCTGCCCTACCCACCGCGACTCCGATTCGCACGGCCGGTTGTGCGACGTACGGTGCGAAAGAAGTTCAGCAATACGTACAAACAACTAAACCCAGCCGTAGTTCCATCCGTTCTAATTTAGAGGAACTAAAGCTACGTGTCCACGACAGTGAGTGAGAGCAGTCTGGGCTGTGGCGGCACGCTTCTTACCTCAAGCGACCAAACCCCACAGCCTCAGCGACCTATGACCCTTCCCCATCCCTACCCCGCATCCCTTCACCTTCTCTTCACCTTCATAGTCAGGGGGCGGCGGCGTGGTGGGGGGAGTGATCATAATTAGTTCCGAGCGACGTTTCACATTCAACTCGCTCGGCTTGAGACGACGGCGCCGTTCAAAAGCAAACATGCGCAAGGGACGATGGGCGCGCGCCGGATTTCGTAAATGCATTTAAGGCCGAGGAGGCTCGTAAAAATCTGCCGAAGATTAAACAATTGCCGCTGCGCCCTGGAGAGGTCAGACTCTGTTGAAACATCGAGGAGAAAGCGACCGCTCCACAAAGTGCACGGACACCGCACTGGGCGCGGACGATTCATCGGCCGCACTGGGCGCGGACGATTCATCGGCCGCACTGGGTGCGTGGAACATTGTGACTGTTGTCGCTGCCGCCCCTGCGCCACGCAACATTTAATACGGAAGCAGAAGAAACAAAAAAATTGAAAATAGGACGGATTACATTTGGAGGCAACCCTTGTCAAAGTGAAGCTCTTGTCCTTTCCTGACCCCCCCCCCCGCCTTCCCCCCCCCCCACAAAAGGACCCACAGCGGTGCTGGCTCAGTGCTCTGACAAGGGCATTGACAATCGGCCAGAGCCACTCAGCCACGCTGCTGCTATATCGGCATATCCCTCCTTAAGAACCTTAACAAAACCCAAGGGAGGGGGGGGGCAGGGGTGGAGGTTTATTTTTGTAAGGGATAAGCTACAGTTAGGTTTAGTGAATTATTCACTCGGGGGGGGGGGGCATTCTACTCTATGACACATGAGTGGAAGTTCAACCCCACACCCCCATGCCCCTGTTCACATCAATGCAATTCGTTGGCTTCCATGACAGCACACAAACCGGACACGATTTGATGCAATCGAACATTGCAAAAGTCAGTTTTGACAATCAGACGATCCAGAGTTCTGGGATCTAGGCCTCGCACGAAAACATGCTATTCCTCTTTAAGATTATCCCATTTTGGTCCGACAAAAGCATGAATTGATGTCAAAGTAAAACAAAAATCCTTGTTCAAATTACAAATTGTATGGGAAGATGGCACCACCGGTAGACCTGAGCCAGTCATGCAAATCCCACATTCCTATGGCACGGGCTAGCCTATCCCTACACACAGCCACCGTTGATGTCTCAAGGTGGTGCTCATTTGATCAACCCGTAAACGATAACTGCTGGGCCCGAATTTAACATCCTGCCAGGATGCGAATTCTCAGCCTTCTGGTCCGTGAGTCGAGGGTTCGATCCACAGAGCCCCCCTCTTGTGCATTTACGCTTCTCGGATTTGTAATCCAACAATCTCGGGGGCAAGGTTTGGTGAATTCACCCAAATGTTAGAGCCATCAAAAGCATCTGACGATGAACTGATGGGTAATGACTTTGGTGGGGCGGAGGTTGGGGGGGGGGTGGGAAGAACAGCAAGGAGGTGTCTAAAGAATCCCGCTGAAAAGTTTGAGCGTTGTTCGCACTACGTGGGGTTTGCACGCTGCTCCCATTCAAAGTAGACATTCCATGATATCTGCCACGAATATGCCTGTAGGCGCGTATCCAGTTGACAAGGGCAATTTTATTTCTAAACACAGAGCTTCCTCGGGTTCCAATTGATTAAATATGATGGGATGCCACTTATTAAATTGTTTGTGTAGGGTAAAGGGCTAGGGGTCAGGGGGTTCAAGGTTAATGTTTAGGGTTTAATGTAATCTGTTAAGGTTAGGGATAGGTTTTTGAGTTATGGGTTTAGGGTTAGGAATCAACGTTTTGGGTTTAGAGTAATATGTTAAGGTTATGGATAGGATTTTGAGTTATATGTTTGGAGATAGGGTTAGGAATTTACGTTTAAGTTTTAAAGTAATCTGTTAAGGTTAAGGATAGAGTTTATCACTAGGCATTAGGGTTAGGGATTTAGGATCACATTTAAGGGTTTGGGCTTATGGATAGGGTTAGGGCTCATGGGTAGGGTTACATGTTTAGGGGTTAAATGTTACGGTTTATAATTGGGCTTTAACGATTCGGGGTTAAGTGGTATGGGTTAAGCGTCATGGCTTATGGATTGGGTTAAAGGGGTTAAAAGTTCGGGTTTCAGGGTAAGGCATTAATTTATGGGTTTGGTGTTAGGGCAGGGTTAGAGGTCAGGGATTAGGACGATGGGTTTGGGTTATGGTCTCGGGTAAGGGGTTGTGGTTCATAGTTAGCATTAGGTTTTAGGAGTAGGGGTTAATGACTAGGAGTTTGTGGTTGGGCTTAATGATGAAGGGGTTAGACTCAAGGGTTAGGAGTTAGACTTGGATTTTTAAAGTGGGGGGGGGCGGGTTATGACATTGGAACCTGAGACTGCTTTTCTCGTCACGCATGTGTGGGGACAGTCGTCTGACAAAGATTCCGGTGAGAAATATTTGCCTCGTCTATCAACACAATGAACGCGCCTCCCTGGTGGCAAATATAGTAGTCATTAGAAACGACATAGGGCCGTAGATTATAGTACTGCACTTAACTCAGAACATTCATGAACTTTGACCATGCAATACTCACTGAATCTCAAGACTGTTTTTAAGGAAAGTTCCCACATTATAATGTTTTGGGCCAATTCCGAGGAGTTTGTATGTGGGAAGAAACTGGATTACTAAGAGAAGACCTTTGCATACGAGGGGATAACACACTCAAAGGGCGAGTTAATTAACCTTCTTGCTGTACTACCATCACCCAGGGCCAGCAGTTTGGGAGTCTCACTCATCTTATATGAGCCACCAACTCTTGCCTCCAAAGTACTGGATCCACCAGTGGTGTTGTTGTTATTATTATTATTATTGAGATTGCAGAATGATCACTGGTTATAAGTTTTAGTCTACAGCAGTGGCCTGAAAACAGTGGCCTGAAACCAAACGACAGGACCAGAGGAGCCCTAAGCAAGCGGCCTCACGTGTCCATGGTTTAAAGTGCCGTCACGTTTAAAACTTGGGCCAGCTTCACAAATACATGGGGGTGGGGGCAAACGGGATTCGGCTGCCAAGATTAAACACGTTTTAAAGGTTTGGTTATGCACTTACATACGTAAATAAAGGTATCACAACTGAGCGTTGAAGGAACATAAGTAGGTGAAGGATCATCAGTCGGTCAGTAGGAGCACGTTAATATACAGAAATGTTTGTAAAACGCGAACAATGAAAAAACGCATTAATGTGTAATTCAAATCGACCATTGAATAGCGATACCCGTAAAAGAAAATAAGTGAATAGTAAGGAATCAACATGAACTCCGTCAATATTACTTGAAAAGTACATTGAGTGACGGGTGAAAAGCGAAAATGAGCGAATGGGTGAATGAATACAATACCTGTTTTCTTCGCACAAAAAAGCACTAGGGCCGTATTGAGCCAACACTTTACACATTAGCACATTTCTCAACGTGGCTCCAGACACAGCAGGGGGTACACAACTTTCGCCATTGGCAATGCTCTCAATGCAAGCAATGTTCAAGTGTGACTCTACTCCACAGACTAACACCAGGCAACACGCAGAGCACTGAGAATTCATCAATAAACCATGTTTATACTTAAGCTAAGACTGCGAACACAAACGTTTACTAAAAGTCAGAAATTAACCCCAACTGTGTTTGCGACCTAGGTGAAATGTCTATCTGCACCTTTTTGCATTGAACGTGGACCCATTTCTTACAGAAAAGAGTCCTTGCCTACAAACATGGAGCAGTTCAACAGCGTTTGGTTCAAGCTAACACGACTCCTGAAATCGGTCCACAGTTTGCTAACATTGGAACAATGCACCCAGAAGGCCGTGCAGTCGATGGATGGTGGAAAACAGAATTGCACTCTTTGCGTGGAGAAACACACGTGGGAAGGAGACATTATTTATGTATTTATCTGTCCTGTAGCGATTGCTTCAGGGGGCTCGTATTTTTTCCCACAAGAGGCTGTGTTTCTCACATAGTCCGTGACCTCACTATTGCAATAAACATCTCACGAGTCTTCACAACAAATCGTTCAACCCCTATTACCAGCTATTGCAAGAGACACCCTAGGAATGATCTCTCCAAGGTGAACTCTGATACAAGCACGCCTGCTGATTCGAAAAACAGCCTCTGGAATTAGCCTGTCCTTTTTTACCAAATGAAGGCCCAATAAGTGTGACAATTGGATAAAGTGCCAGAAAAATGGTGCAATGAGTAGAGCAATATTATCCCCATTGTTGATTCATCCTGCACCAATAGACTTGATATCCTAGTGATCAGAACCGTCGGCATCGAGGCATTTACACAGCGGTGGCTGGCCTGGCATGGGGCGTCGAGGCAAGTGTGTCCCACCGTCAGATTAAATTCGTCATCACAACGAGCCATGGGTCACGGTCCACTGCTGGATGAACGCCTCCTCGGGCTGCCACCACCTCGCAAAATAAATGTTGACCCACCAGTTGCCACTGTATTTACATGGGCTCCAGGAAAGAGTCACCTGGGAGATACTGACGGTTTGATTCCTACTAAAAACCACGTCGTAATTTAAGTGATTTTCGTCGTGAATTACCAGCAAATACCATCAGCTGTAAAGTGGACGTTCAATGCCCTGTGATATAACTATTGAAGTGATTCGCCCGAGATGAAAAATTGAAATTCCACAAATAGCAATAACTGTCGCAATGTAACAGAAGTTGATAGATTACGCTATCGAGAAAATCGTGAATTTTTCTGTGGAGTATTCACGATTTTCAAAGTGGTGGTAGCTTCTCCATGAATTATCTTCCCTGATGAAACCGAAAACTAGAAACCTGTCACCTCGCTGCGTTTGCCGCCTGGCGAATGGAGGGTGTCAAAAATGACTGATTTGAAATAAAATGGTAATAAGGACAAAAAAGTTGTATCTGCACGTGTTTTTTTTTTATTTACTCGAAAACACTGCAAGCAACTGGAGTGGAGTTTTACCCCCTGCACGGAATGGAGCAACGTTGACAGGTTTGACCCGGGAGAGCAGAGTGGGGGGGGGGGGGGGAAGGACACTGTGAAAAGGAAAGCAACGTTAAGAGCATGCAACAACAACAAACCAAGAGAAGAGAGTCAAAATGATGGGTCTACCTTTTCTGCTTTCCAGTAAATAACCCGCTTCACAGTGCAAGCGCGTCGTGGAGAAAAACAGGGTTATGAAATGAACAACATACGATTAGCAATGAACAGCAAGCAACATACTCTGTTTCATTGCAATGAAGGGCTCTTCATTTCAAACAGACACGTGTGATCTCAACAAGATTTGAGAATCATTTAAAATAAACATTGAATTATGCTTTTTTTTACGTACTGTATATTAACAACAAATATTTTATACAATTTTATTTCGAAAAGTTGTTCCCCCGAATTGTACCAAGATTGTGTTATTGTCGTCGCGTCATCACAAAACCAAGAATCCGCTTGGATGTTGCGCCAGAGCAGTGTCGACCCTTCCATTAGAAAACAGCCCACAGAAGTGGATATTACAGAGCTGCCTCTGAGATCCATTCAAGTGACCTCTGGTTCACACGGAAGCAAGCAGCACAAACCCCACTCACCCTGCATATACGAGTGAAGTTCATGGGAGTCAAACGGATAATTTTGTTCTCAATAGCTGTAATTCAACCAAATTATCAGCAGAACCAAATGTGATGGTGTTTTTTGTGCCATCGCTGGAAGCCGGGCTCAGGCGATCAATTTACTCAACTTAAGGACCCAGTTTATTCACATGCAGCTGCCTGGATTGAAACCCAGGACCTCAGTGGTGCATTAATTCGTATTTTTTATGCATAAAAAAACACATAATTCAAGATAGCATGTAAATCACATCATGAAAAGCAGCTGTACTTTTTAATGGCTGAGGTTTCAGATCACACATCAAATACGCATGGAAGTTCACGTTTTCCTGTTTTGGGTTATGAACGTAGACATCATTCAATATTTGAGGAGATTTAGATATCTTTTTTTACTGATCAAAATCGGGGAGGATGTTGAGCAAACATGAGAACATCGTCAAATGTGTTTATAAAACGTGTTCTACACTTTAAAAGGAGATAATGGAAACTTGCCCAATGCATTCACGCACTTCAGAAAATACTACACGATTGCATTCTTCTTTTGTTCTTTCAATGAGGGAAAAAATAATGATCTTCATCACCGTGGAGAGCATTCCACGTGCTTAATGGATAGGACCAAAGCAGCTGTGTATGCTTAAAGCAACCACTTCACCAAGTGGTGACTAATGATAGTGACTATTTTTACAATCTCATCAGCCCCGCTACCAAATGAATTTATCCGAGACGTGTGTCCGAAACTTACGATCAAGGTGCAGCCCTGCAATTCCTCGCTCGCGCCACTGCGAAAGGGAACCCCCCCCCCCCCCCTTCCAGACAGAGCTCAGGAGAGCCCTTCCAGCGGGGTATTTGGCCTACTCTTCCACGCTGGCCAGACAGTCTCGGGAAGAGGTGGGAGTACCGGCAATTTACCCCACCACACGTGCCCCCCCCCACTGATCAACGAGCTGTGGTGAACCCACCGAGACAGTCGGGTGCACAGAGTCGTTGATGGGGATTTTTGTGTTTTAAACAAAAACTTGCCCCACCGCTCTTTCAACCGCCGTGCCGCAGAGATCGAATCAATCGCAAGTCCATCACACTGACCGTTACGCCACGGCGGTTGACCCAACTATGCCTCGTGTGTCCAGCGGTGTGAAATCGGAATTTCCCGTTAAAGACGCTGCTCCACGAAATTATAATAATTGTGTTCATAGCGAACACTGCTGTAAATAACGTGCATGAAAGGGGCCTTTTACTTACACTGGTCTTAATGGGAATTATTTAAAATGGAAACGTGGATTCTTGGGTGTAAATCTGGGCGCAAAATCTGCAAAAACGCAAAATGATGAACTCTCCAATTTTAACGAATAAGCCTCAGAAGCAAATCGTCGTACAAATTTGGCCCGACTAACCTAGCGTTGTGAAGCAGACCACGAGCGAAAACGAACACAACTTAGTGTGGCTTTCAGGGGTGGTGGTTATTGAAAACAAACGAGTGGCATTTTTTTAGTCGAATTGCTGTTAGTGGCAGACACAATTTGAAAATGCATCTCCAACAATGCATTGCGCTTGTGATGATGACAGAGTTTGCTTGAGCAAGCCTCACAAAGTTTCTGGAGTGACATTGGTTGTGACAAAGCGTGGAGACAAATTCAATAAAATTCTGACACCTTGTGTAATTATGAGCACGGGGGAAGTACGAAATCTCACATTATGTCCAACAATTTATATTTAGCAGACAATTTTACGTATATAATTGTCATAACTAGCTTCTATACGCGACATATTCAAATTCAATTACTATATTTGAAATGTTAAACATGTTAAGCATTATGAAATTCTAAGAATTTTTTTATATGTTATCACCAATTGTCTTGTGTTATCACTTCTGCAACTGTTTAAATCATCAGAATACCTCTGTGTCATATTAGGGAATGGTCCTAAAAAATAATATCGCAAAACCTACGTACTATAAAAAGGCATCTCTTACACAACATTGAGCAATGCTCATTGTATGCATTGTAAAAACTGTGGTTTAAACACTGCATAAAAAGCTGTGGTTTTTACACATCAGTGTTCTGCAATATTTAACAAAAAATTATCCCTCGAAATGGGACAGGACATAAAATGCACATCTCCTTATCAATCCACTGCTGAATGATGGTCTCCGCATGCCACGCCAGTCGTGGGGGGTTGTTTAGCCATACTTCCCCATTCTAGTCATTCATTAAGGGTCGGTGAAGTACGCTGAAGGGATCCAAGATCGGTTCAGATATCATTTGCTACTGACGATAACCATGGCAAGGCATCTAACTTGGGTGACCAGGGTTCATTGTGTAGTAAGCTAACCACCGCTCTACATTATCCTCAGCACCATTATCCTCATGAATTCAGAATGCGAAAACAAGAATGCAGTAGTTCGCTGGCTCGCAAAGCCACGTAACTATGTCGGCAAAAAAAAAACGGTGTACAAAATCACTACGAATGTTTTCGGCGTCAAAAAAACACAGCTTCGTATTTTGACGAAGCATGAAACTAAACCGCATTTAATCTTTTCAACTACATCACCAATAACGGACTCTGCATTTTGTCCTCGATCTACGAGCACTGTTCCGGGGATTGCTCGAAGCAGCCTTGTGTGTTGCGCTGGAAACGTATGAACTGCCGCCGTTATAATCCCAGCGTCATCGCTTTGAGTCGCAAGACAGCCTCTGACGGGCACGGCCAACTGGGCATTTATTTGCCTTCATGCAAATACGTGCGCCCTGAGAAAGGGGGGGGGGGCAGATACGGTGACATTGCTTTAATCTCCGCTCAAATGTCACGCGAATTAAACCCCCGTGATCCGGTGAGGTGTGCAAACATCGTCGTTTGCGTCACACGCGCGTGTCCCGAAGCCCGTCGAGACTACGACGCAGCCGAGTAGTGGCGAGCCAAACCACGTTGGAAACATACTCGTGAACGGAACCGGCCAAACATACCCAGGGGGGGGGGGCAGGACCCTTCTGAGAGAGAGAGAGAAGAGTGAGGCTAACCTGAAAATAACAATCAAGGACTATTAAGATTTTATTTCCGTTCCCTGCGATGTCACCGTAAATGCTGAATTTTGGCCAAGGGGTGGGTCTTTTCACTTTTCGTATCGTGGCGATCGCGGTGGATGTAGCGTCTCTGGTGGGCGTTGGGGTCGTGTGCAGGGACGGATTAAGGCACGGGGCTTTCAAGGCTGCAGCCCAGGGGCCTCCAGAGATGAAATGCCATTCGTGAATGCTGAATTCTATTTGTTGTTAGCCTTGTGAAAATTAATTTTATTTTTCTTTAACTTTGTTTTCCTTTGGAAAATATTACGGGGGGCCTCACAGTACCTGTAGCCCAGGGGCCTACATAATCTTAATCTGGCCCTGGTTGTGTGAACACATTGTTATAGGTGATCATGTAAATGTCCAGCTCTTTGCAAGTCCACTGCTAGATGAGGGCTCCCCACAGTGTGTCAGTTCTGGGCGTAATTGGAGCATACTTCTCAATGCTTCTAAGGGCGCGTTTAGATTATTTGGATGAGATTATTTGGAGAATTTAGATTAGCTGGCTGCGATAAATTTTCTTATGATAAGCCAATTCGTTGAGCTATCATTTGTGGCCAGGTCGCTTCCGAAAGAGCTAATAGCTCAGTGAGCTTTACCTGGTAAAATAAACATATATATACTTTTTAAGTGATTCGCTTACCTTTTATAAACTTTGCACATCCTTTTGTGCTTTCGGATTGTTTAATTGTAACTTTCTGACCCAGTGCCCAGAGTGGACATCTGTGAAAGAGAGCTTTCTAGCTCATCGGATTCCTCCTGCAGTATAACTAAAGATTTTTTATTCTGGTTGAAGGGGGGGATGTTTGGGGCGGCAATGAGGGCGGATTCGGATACCGTTAGCTACTCGAATTGGAACTGCGGCCAGGGCTCAATTCATAATGAAGATTTTTTTGGGTTAAATCCCGCGAATATAAATGTGCATGATACAGCCAATTAGTGAGGGTTGTCACGTAAACAAAAAATGTGGCAATTCGTTACAACTTCAGCACACCGGTGTGTTGGAGAGTAAACCCACAATATTTACAATTTGAGTACACTGGTGTGCAGAATAAGTAACGAATCGACACGTTTTATTTACGTGACAAACCTCACTAATTGGCTGCGTCGGGTGGTGGTGGGCTAACGACACATGCATATTTACATGATCTAACCAGGAAAAAAAAACGTTTTTTACGAATAATATTGGTCCCGTCTTGAACTCAGAAGTCAAGTGACTGGGTTCCCAGCGCAACTCACAAAATCATCACGGCACTGAACTAATCTCATGCAATAGCAGATACTCCAATCGGAATCAAAGTAGAGCAACACGAGCACTATTAGACGTGTGTATTGTGAGCGTAATAACCGACTTCAATCGATGAACCGATGCATCGCTAAATGCCTCTCATCATTACTTTCCATAATAATTGTTTCTGTCCTGCCTTTCACCTGGTCACCCGCTGGGATTAGTATAATTGGCTTGCTGAGACCATCAAATTTTTGCCACTTAATCACCTGGTTGTATCTCCTTGGTGACATCGTGGGAGTAGAGAGTCAAAATCTCATGTTTTTATGATGGCACTTTCAGCCGCATGCAACTTCTACGTGTCTGATAGGTGTACACAGACAAAGAAATATAATGCGAATGCCCGGGTCACCAGCTCCAGCCTGAGACACAAACCCTTACAGTCACTTTGTGTGGCAAGGTCTCCCCACCCAAACAAACACAAGCCGCTCTCTGCTATCCATGTACCCTGCCTGACTTACACACACACCGACGCTCGGCTGTTACCATGTACCCTGCCTGACTTACACACACACCGACGCTCGGCTGTTACCATGTACCCTGCCTGACTTACACACACACCGACGCACGGCTGTTACCATGTACCCTGCCTGACTTACACACACACCGACGCACGGCTGTTACCATGTACCCTGCCTGACTTACACACACACCGTCGCTCGGCTGTTACGATGGAACCTTCCAGACTTACATGATGGTGAGGAGGCTCTCCTGCTCCTCAGGTGCGGACATCTCCTTGCTGAAGTCCAGCGTGTTCTTGTCGAGACCCAGGAGCTCACTCATGCGGTCGCGGCCGTAGAAATCTCCGTACTTCTCCATTACCTGCGTGCCGATGCAACGATAGCGACGGGTTAGGTTGAATCGAGGGAAAGCGTTAAAAACAAGTTCGAGTTTCAAGTTAAATTTGATTAACCAGGTGCGGTTCTCCCCGAGCAAGCTTTTTCGGCTCATGGAACGAGACGTCGGACATCACGCAACAACGCGCGGCACGACCCAAAAACGCACTGGGGAGAGCTAAAATATTCCCTTAGTTATCAGACCGAGGTGCGACGGCCATGGCGTTGAATATTCGCAAATGAGAAATATAAACAAGAAAGATCAAGGGTGTTCTCAAAGGTATCATGTATTATTGATGAAGGTAAAAGCGCAGCTCTGCAATTACTTCCTGCAGCCAGAAGGGCCTCCGCTCAGAGTTATTTTGGCCTACTCTTCTACACTGGCCAGACACCCTGGAAGAGGCGGAATATCCACACTCTACCCCACCACACGTAAAATGCCGATCGACCGCATGTGGTGAACCCATGCGCTGTTTACCGCTGGGTTGGACAGACGCGGGAAATATCAGAAACTTAGTACGGGTGCATGTTGAACTTTTTCTGCACCGTACGTAGCCAACAGTGCTGATCAGAGGGGTCAACTTGCACCATTGTTTTCCAACTGCCTCGTTAGCAGATGACATCGAAGTGGCGATCCTTGGGTATATATAGAGAGCAGATTGAGCTACGGGCGATGCAACTACATACACACACAAGCTTGGTATTATTATGATTCTATAGTCCGGGATTAATCCATCTGAACTTCAACACGGTTGTCATGGCGACACACACCGCACTCGTTTGAAACGCTCCGACGTCAGAAAGTGAAAACCCACCGGTTTAATGTCAGCGCGGTCCTAAATCGCGGCAACTAGTCGGATCGCTCGCACGATAAGTCATCGCCACACTCGCCTCTTTGCATAATCCACTTTGTGCTTATCCAACAACTGACGTTAATGCGGCCTCTTTGTGTGTCCGCTTCAACGTTACCCCCCCTCTCTCGGGTGCACAAACGTGCGATTCCGTATGCCACACCAGAAGCACGGTTCTCAGTGGTGAATGTAGACATAACGGGATTACATATTTCACTTTAATGTTCTTTATTTAATGACCGGAGAAGCGTCCTTTTTTTATTAAACACTGCAACGGTTGTTAGTCCGCTCTGCCCGAAGCACGTCCTGAGTGTTCACTTTCATACCTTACGCTTAATGAACTTGTCCCAGTAGTTGTTGGGAAATGACCTGCGAGCACAAAAGTAATGCAGTTAAAATGAGAGGCATGCATCAGCTCTTGTTATTGACGATGGCTGATGCGTGTTGGTGTTTTAGCGTCAGCTGTCGCTGATGGTGGAAGTCTAATTGTGTTAAAATGAGCATTTCCTACTAGTGGTTCCGAACCAGTTGTGGAAATTATACATTTCAATGGTCAGGACCAATCTATCCAGAGGACCATTGTATAAATATATATATATATTTTATGTGTGCGTATTTCATTGATCCACAGAGGGATGATTGGCTGAATAAGAGGTTAAACATGTAACCATGTTATTACCAATTATTATGCATTGTCTTTATGCATTATATATTTTTTTCTCTCAGGAAAGATCCTAGTGATTATCAATATTCTTTCAGGAAGGTAAAACTGACTTCCCATGGTAAAACTGGACGTCCATGGAAAAACTCGACTTCCCATGGTAAAACTGGACTTCCAGGGTAAAACTGGACTTCCCATGATGCAACTGAACTTCCTATGGTAAAACTCGACTTCCCATGGTAAAACTGGACTTCGCATGGTAAAACTGGACTTCCCATGGTAAAACTGGACTTCCCATGGTAAAACTGAACATCCTATGGTAAAACTGGATGTCCCATGGTAAAACTGGACTTCCTATGGTGAAACTGGACGTCCATGGTAAAACTGGACTTCCCATGGTTAAACTGGACTTCCTATGGTGAAACTGGACTCGCATCATGAAACACGATATCGCAGCAACTCTCAGATCACCAAAACCGACAGTGACTTCCCGGTCAAATGAGCATCGATGCATTAGTCGGTAATCTCCTGTTAACACAGCCCTGAGCCAAGTGGCAGAAATTCCACAAAGCACCGGTTTCCTTCCCCGCAAAGTTTGACGCTCCGACTGCGAGCCGCTTGCTCTGCCGCTGGGCCACCTGGCGCGTGTGGGTAACTCCGTTGACGCACGCATTACGTGGTTGACTTGCACGCGTGCACGCGCACGTACTGGGTGTTTATGACGAGTCCGTCCCACTGGCCCTTGATGTCGTCGTCGTCCGGCTGCTCCGTGATGTACAGACCGTCAAACTCAAGGTTCCGGGCCAGTTCCTTCTCCCGTTTGAACACGACCAACGGCACCTGCGCAAAACAACGAATTGTGAATCAGATTGACACCCGCAGAGATCCCCCCGTAGAGTATTTACAGTCTTTAGGGGCGAGCGCTATTAAGCGAGCATCCATGACGGCCGGCACGGCACACGAAGGGGTGAGTGGCCAACACCACGCCCGGCCACCTTTGTCTCCCTAGTGGTGATATTTACACGTCACACGTTTAAGGCTGAGTTAACCTAGGAAAGGCCTGGGACCGGTTCAGATAATCATCACTGGTGTTGGCCGTGAGCGGGTATCGAACTCGGGTCGTGGAGTTCGTAGTGTAGCGCGCTAGCCACTACACTACCGCTCCCCACACACACGTACAAAGACAAAAATCCCCCGTATAGCCTTTTACAGAATGTAGGGGAAAGTGCTGTTAGCGAGCACCTATGAAGGCTAGCATGGCACACTAGGGGGTGGGTGGCCAGCACCACGCCCGGCCGCTTGTCTCCCTATCGGTGATGTTTACACATCGCACCAGGTACTCATTTGAGACTGAGTCGACCTAGGGGAGGTCCAGGACCGGTTCAGATAATCGTCACAGTGGTGTTGGCCGTGAGCGGGAATCGAACCCGGGTCGCCAGGTCCGTAGCGCAGCGCGCTAACAGCTACACCACCGCTCCCCACAACACACACACACGCACACACACGCACGCGTGTAACGGACGACCGTGAATCCCCTTGCTCGCCCCCCCCCACCCGTCCCCATCAGCAGGCCGCGCACCTTGAGGCAGTAGTATCCGATGATGCAGAGGATGGAAAGCACCGTGTGGGCGATGGAGAGGAACTTGAGCGACGGGGCCATGTATCCCGTGCTCTCCTCCAGGATGAAGTAGGAGAGGTCCTCGTCGTCGTCGTCGTCGTCGCCGCCTCCGCCATTGCCTCCTCCTCCTCCGTCGTCATCGTCGCCGACGGCCGAGCCCAGCAGGTCGTCGAGGTCGATGCCGGAGGCCTCCTCCAGCTCCTCCGCCATCTCGTTGAGGTCGGTCGTCACCTGGCCACGCGAGTCACCGGCGTTCGGAGCGTTCAGGATTAGTGCCGAGCGACAAGATGCAATGCACGCATCTACGGTGAACTTCTTTCGCGCGGCACGTGGCCGACCGCGCCGATCTGGGCTTGTGTCGTTTTTGGGATTGCACCCCGAGCGGAACGTAAACCAATCAAAATTCACTTCTCTCAAGGCGTCCCTTCGAACGTAACATTCTCGTCCTCCGTTAAAACATTACAAGCATGCACTCGATTAGCACGGTTGGCTATATACTGTGCGAAGAAAGTTCATCATTTACACATACACACTTAGAAGAGTAACCGGGTTTCATTACAAACGTACATTTGAGAATGTTTAGTGTTCGTCTGCGAATGCCAGGCGAAACAGGTTTGGGGTTTTAAGTTCGTATTGAAAATGTTGAGGGTCGGGCAATCCCTGAGTTTAGTTTGCTAAGTTTCTTGAACCAGCTGGGGCCAGGAGTGGGCAAAACTTGACCCCACCTTTCTCCCGAGCAAATAGAGAGCGGCACAGACTAAGTGTTTCTAACCGAGAGAATTCCACAAGGTAGGAGCCATGTCAGCAAAGGAACACACCTTACATATTCCCTCTTCTTCCGAGTTATCTGACCAGCATTGAAGAGTAGGCCCAAATATTGCCAGAGAGGTGCTCTGTAGAGTTCCCTTTAATGGATGCCCTTCCGTCCATCTTGGGGTAAGCAGATCACGGATTGTGACGATGATGATGATGGTGGTGGTGGTGGTGATGATGGTGGCATCTTGCCTTGTAGAAGAGAAGAATGAAGTTGATTGCAAACGCGACGAACAGGGCCAGCATCCTGAGGTTGTAGAAATTCCGAGCCAATGAATTCTGGAAAAGAAACCAACAACAAAGACGCACAGTGTAGAGCACGTGGCATGTGTGTGTGGGTGTGCGTGCGTGCTTCAATGTTTAAAATATTAAAACTGGTACGTCAATTATGAGGCTTTGAAGAGCTTCAGAGATATTGAAAGCAAAGAAAATGTTAATTGGGAATTAAATAATGTAAACAAAGCCTAACCGCCGCGTAAAAACCCATTACATTTAGCGAACAACTATAAACCGAACCTTACAATGAGCTGATATAATTACGAAAATTAACTCCCATATTAAGTACAATTCCGTACATCAATTGTGTACGATAATAATACGCACGTGATTAAACCCCTGCGATGGTCATGTTCCCGAGGGGTGGCACAGTGGTTAGCGCACCGCGCTATGAAACCGGCGACCTGAGTTCGGTCCCCTGGTCTCGGCTAACATTAGTGGTGAGTGAAATCCCAACTGGCCTTGCTTCCCCCCCCCCCCCCTTCATCATCATCACGACCCATGGGCAGATCGCCCCGTAGGTCTCCACTGCAACATTTTGCCATTTGTTTCCACTTTCCTCTGTCTTGTGCCAATATTCTCCAGCAGTGGCCGCGTCTTTCTGGCACCGATCTCTTATGATGTCAAGCAACTCTCTGCGAGGTCTTCCTCTCTTTCCAGGCCCTTCCATTTTCCCAAACAACAACGCACTTTCAATGCTCCTGTTGTTGCTCATCCTACTTCCCCTCCACCTCTTGCGGTCCTCCCCCTGTGTAAATTGGTTCTCGGGGTAAGGCGAGAAATGAGCAGTGCCGCCGCTTGCTTGCCACCACTCTCGCTGTTGCTTACGCGCAAGAGGTCTCCCCGATCACGGTTCTTTTTGCGGTTTTCAAGTCGAATTTAGCGAGAGAAGGAAAAGTGTCCGTTTTTTTCCACCCTAAATTGATTTTAATTAATTCGTCGAGCATAGAGAGAGAGAGACAGGCATAAACACCCTCCCGTTAATTTGTACTCAACTGCTCCATGCAAATTTCACGCTCAACAGGGATTGAAAGATAATTGAACAAATTAGCATTCTCACCCACTAAACATCAAACACGCGTACGTACGCGTCTGGGCATAATGTATATGCATTTTCTTATCAGGTATGTAAAGATTCACTCTCTGGAGATTGCAAGATCCGTCACAATTTAGGGCCACGATTAAACTCGACAACGAATGTTTTCATCTGCCTTTGGTCCCCCATATTGTTCACACGGCGCCTTCTGTAATTCCATCCCGCCCGTACCTTTTTGTTCACCCCACCACCGTGACGTTACTAAGGGCTCGTGCCTGGCCACACCTCTCCACTCATTCATTGCCGTCCTTCCCCCCCCCCCCCGGCACCTCCGATTAGCACGGTTGGCTATGTACGGCGCGAAAGAAGTTCAACGTACACACACACACACGACTCTCCACCTTGTACACATCCACTCCCCCACACAGGCCTCCACAGCCTGGCGGCTCACCACTTCGAGCCACCTCTATCTAGGTCTGCCTCTCGTCCTCCACCCCTGGCCATGTTTGTTTGTTGTAGTACGGAGTTAGACTGATGGCCTTAATCTAAGTTGTCTTGTGGTTGATTTTTGCACACAGCGTTGGTGTACGGTGCTTTTTCTGCAATATTTTGCTGTCTTTTCTTCTATTTTCTGTTTGCACATAGTCACGTAGTCACTTTAAGATGTTTTCTTGTTCATGTTTTTTTGTTTATTGCAGTTGCACCCGATTCAAGAGCCGAATGGCTCACAGGGCTATACCTAATAAATGAAACTGAAACTGAAAACTGGTGCTTCCCTTCCACATCTCACCCTTCCTCTCTTCCCATGTGGGTTTTCTCTCGTCTTACGGAGCGCGTGTCGCCCCCCCCCCCCCCCCTCTCTAGCCGTCTGAGCCGCTTTTCTCTCTCGTGTCTGAGACGGGGAAGACCAACCCCTAATTCCACATTCCTCATCTATTCATCTCAAATTTTTGCATTCCCATTTCCGCAATTTGTTCCACTTCGTTCGAAGTCGAACGTAACCACGGCAGCGTGTTACGCGGCGCATCGCGGCGTTGCACGTGCTGATTATAACGATTCAATTTATAATGCACATTCCATCCTAGGCTCTCAATGCGCAATGCACGAAAAGCAGGAAAGCAAAACGGAACCAGGGGCAACCGACTAAACCGAAGAGGGATGGCTCAGTTTAAAGAGATTATCCCATGCGGTCGGCATCTCGTTTCATTCGTGCGTCGGTAATCCCGCCGCAGTGGGGAAGGTGCGGATTGTCGTGTGCGTCAACAACCACGGCGTCTCCGAGTTTCTCGCCCAGCGGCCAGTCCTCCTGCGCCGGTGATGGTGAGCTCCGAATGGATCTCTCGCGCGTGCGCCGACACAATTACTGCCTGCGTCCTGAACGTGCGCGTGTCCTGAACGTGGGCAGCAATTAAGCTGAAGCGAGTTCAGAAATCTGACAGCGCCAACAAAAATAACACCCGGCAAGCAATGCCCATGGGTCCCACTACTACCTATCGCCCACCCACCCAGCCACCCGGCCAGCTCATGAATATTTTAATTTTTTTTATTAATCTGCGAGCCCATCGCTTTGTAAATTCGTCCATCCATCAAGTCGGCACACGGCCGCCCTCTTAACTGTGAAGCATTCTTTCCAGAGCTCCCTCCTCCTTAGGTCGCGTCCCATTTGCCGGGCGGTGCCACGCGAAGGAACAGATCACCCGTGCTGCCTCATGCGTCCGCCGGGAACGATGTCTGACGTTTTGCCCCGCGTGCTCGGAGAATCCAGTTGTGCTGGGCAAAGCTCGGTAACAACCGGAAAACACGTCCGAGGGACATTTGGCTCTCTGGAGATGTTCACTTATTCATAATCAACGTTTTTGGGTTTAGATCGCGTTATTTATAAATGTGTCGTAACCCTCCACCACCCGACACGGCCAATCAGTAAAAAAGTGTCACGTTGACAAAAGACAAATAGTTCACTGCTTTAGCCCACCGGTGTGTTGAAGCGTGAAACCACAACATTTACAATTTTTGAGTACGACGTTTCGCTGGTAATTGCATCCAGCATCATCGGGCAATTCGCCAGAATCAACTCATCAGGTGCAACGAATGAAGAACAGAAAATTCGGTTTCACTCCACACACGTGAACTGGGGGAGCTTCTTCGGCAGATTAATTCAGTTGCCAAATAATGTCCCATACAACGGTGGTGCCAAAAGCCGACAGGCTGTGGAACGTCACCCAATGCATTTGTTTTAAGACCGAAGCAGAAGGATCTCTCCAGAACTCTGCCTGTCCGCCTGATAATGCTGGTCGTGATCACTGGTGAAACGTCGTACTCAGATTGTAAATGTGGTGGGTTTACTCTCCAACACACCGGCGTGCTGTACGAGTAACTAATTGGCACGTTCTGTTCACGTGACAAACCTTACTAAATGGCTGTGTCGGATGGTGGCGGGTTTAACGACACATTCATATTTATGCGATCTCACCCACAAACCTCTATTATGCTTTTGTTTACGCGCACGCTGAGACACAGAGCGACAGCTCCGTTGCGTCTTAGATTTTTGCCCCGTATAGTAAAAAAAAAAACCACGGCAGGTTGACCTCAGCCCAACACTTGGGGTAACAAGGAGCTCACCACGAAGGTCTTCTGGTAGGCAGTGATGTTTTTCCAGAAGACGGACTCCTCCTCCTCAGTCTCCTCCGCCTTCTTCGGCTGCTTCAGCCGCCTCCTCTTCTTGGGGGTCCCCTCGGTCTGGTCCTCCCCTTCCGTCTTCTCGCCGTTCTCCTTGCTGTGACGAGCAAGAACATCTTAAATTAAACAAATCCCCCCAAAAATGTCCTTTTGATTGTATTCCTCCCTATCAAAATGAAATGCCGCGGAAATGAGAAATAAGTTTGCAGCCGTGATGCTCGTGAGTTTCGGCACGGTCACGGCCAACCACAGACAAGCGGGAAGCCGGCCGGAACCGGCTCCGACGATTGTCCAAGTTCTGTGGTCCTATATCGGGATGAGCGTTTTTAGGTGTGGAAGGCGGTGGGGAGGAGGGTGACACTCAACCCCCCGTATAGGTGGAAACTGATGGAAATCAATCCACTTGCTAAACTGCCTTCATACCCTGGCAAGGAGTGAGATGGGCGACCTCCATGGAGTCTACACACGGGTGACGTGTGGAGTCTACACACAGGTGACGCGTGGGGTCTACACACAGGCGACGTGTCGATGATTTAGTCGAGAGATGAGAGAGAGAATCCTTACTCTGCCTTCTCGGGCTCCACGCTGGGCTCCAGGGTGCGCGCCTTCTTCACCGCCTTGTGAAGAGGGGACAGCGAGAGAGTGAAGTCCAACGCTTAGCGAGCGACCGCTCGAACACAAACCGCTATGCGCACTCGCGCTAAAGGCAGTTGGCCCCACGCACATGTACACACACGCACACGCACGTACACACAAGTACATGCACGTACGTCACACACGTGCACCTACAGACACGCAAGAACACTGCGCGCACACGGATGCGTAAATACAAAGCTCGTGAAATGTTTCGCCCCCAATTTCAGTCCCCGTTGCCGTCGTCGTCGTGACGAAGAACCCACTGGGAACTCTGGCACAGCGGCGCATCGCCCCCCGTGTTAGCGAACGGTCTGCGGAAGGAAACGTCACAGAACTGCTTCCGAGACCTCTTCAAGCGACCTCTTCTCCCGTGTGCTGCAGTACCGAGGTTGCCCTTCGTCGCATGCCAGCCTGGGGTCAAGTGAACCTATTACCTCGGTTCAGTGCAGCTCGGTGCTCTTGATATCAACACGATGGTCATCATCATCAGTCAATTATCATCATCATCATCAATCATGAGAATCAGAATCTTTATTTAGAATGGAGGAATCCAATGAGCTATTAAACTCTTTTTCAGAGATGTCCAGTATGGGCGGGTCAATCAATCATCTTCAATCATCTTCATCTTTTATCATCTTTTATCATCATCCATCAGCAATCGTTATGATCAAAAATCATCATCAATCATCCATCATCTTCAATCATCATCAATAATTATGATCAATAATCATCATCAATCATCATCCATCACCATGATAAAAAATCATCATCCATCACCTTCAATCATCAACTTCAATCATCATCAATCATTATAATCAACAATAATTTTCAATCATCATCGATCACCATGATCAACAATCATCATCAATCGTCATCCATCATCTTCAATCATCAACTTCAATCATCATCAAACATTATAATTAACAATAATTTTCAATCACCATCATCATCCATCATCATTAATCATCATTGGTCGTCATCCATCATCTTCAATCATCAACTTCAATCATCAACTTCAATCATCATCAATCATTATAATCAACAATCATTTTCAATCACCATCATATTCCATCATCATCAATCATCATCGGTCACCATGGTCAACAATCATCATCGATCATCATCCATCACCATCAGCCACCCATCAGCCGCTACGACTCAACTCCATGCTCCCTTCACCTTGAACGTCTTCATGATGTCGGCGGGCGACGCGCTCGCGCCGCCGGAGGCCGGCTCGGCTGGTGTCGCCCGCCCCCAGCCCGGACTCCTTCTTCAGGTCCACGTTGAAGATGTCCACCGACAGGTCGGCCTGGTCGTCGGCCGCCGTCAGGTCCATGAGGTCCTGCGTGGCCTCCTCCTCCTCCTCCTCGTTCTGCTCCACCTCGGCCGCCTCCCGGCGCACGTCATCCTGCGTCGGGTCGGGCATGCCGGCCAGGATGTCCGTCACGGTCATCTTCTTGACGCCCTCGACGAGGTTGTCGCCGAAGACGCTGCCCGTGACAATGCGGACGAAGCCGTGCCCCACGCTGTAGAGGACGCTGAAGAGGGTCACGGCGGAGGCGGTGGAGAACGCGGCGACCGACGAGCCCATCTCCCTGAAGGTCATCTTCATCAGCTTCCTCAGCTGCCGCTTGATGTTCCAGGGTGAGACGATCCACAGCGCGGTCAAGACGTGCCCCACGGCGGTGCCCGCCGCCGACCTGAAGAAGCCCAGGGAGAAGATGCCGTGGTCTTCCATCTCCCCGTCCACGCTCTCCTTCTCCGCCTCCTCGCCCTCCGCCTCCTCGCCGTCCTCCTCGTCCTGCTCCGAGATGTCGGCCGCGATCTGCATCTCGAAGATGGTGTCCTCGCAGAAGTTGACGAACATCTCCATCTTCTCCTTCTCACCGCCCATGTTCACCACGTCGAAGATGAACTGCCGCTTCGACTCCTTCACCTGGGGCATCTCCCACTGGTTGCGACTCGACTCCGAGATCTCGAAGTACACACGCTCGATGCGCTTGCCGCTGCCGAGGATCTCAATGCGGCCCAGGTAGGGCGTGAAGTAGTTGAGCAGGCTCTCCGACTTCTCCAGGAAGTTGTGCAGGCGCACATCGTTGGGCATGTGCTCCGAGAGGCTTGTGAGCAGCACGGCAAGGTTGAAGCCGATGTCCTTGGCCGGCTCGTGGAAGCGATCGGCGAACTCCTCGTAGTCCAGCATCTCGTTCTCGTCGATCTCGCCGCACGACAGCAGGAAGCGGACCTCTGAGGGGCTGTAGGCCTTTTGGCAGTCCATAGCCTTCTGGAAGTCGCGCTTGGAGATGCGCCCCTTCCGCTCGGGGTCGTAGTCGCGGAAGGCGTCCGAGGAGACGATCTCCTTGAGGCGCAGGAACATGTCGAAGAACTTGATGATCATCTCGACGTTGTTGGACGACTCCACCAGCATGTCCACCATCTGCTTGCCGATCATCCCGTTGACGACGTTGCCTGAACGCAAAGCAATCGTTTGAGGGGGTGAAGGGAGGGGTGAGGTTAACTTGACTTCTACACAACTTGGTACCGATTTTATTGACCCCTTTCTGGATAATGGGCTGAGTCAACTCCACGCGAAAGCGCTCTAAAATTTTCCTCCTCTTGAATAACTCGTGAAAAAAACTTTTACCTGGAGACAGCGTGATGAAGTATGGTCAAAAGCTCCGATGATCGAGGAGGCATTGGGGAGGCATTAATCGATCCGCGGACGAGAATAGATGGAATGGATGGAGCGGATCTCACGTTTACAACAAAGTAAATTAATATTGAGATAACTTTTGATGAATCTTTCGATTGAAAATGACACTGCAATGACTGTAAAATTATCTCAAGTTCAGCAGAATGAGCAGAATGCAGCTGAGTACAAAATTCTAAATGCCAGCGTTTAAAATTAACCAAAGTATATGTGCAACTAATCTTCAACGCAATACAGACAAGAACCAAGAGATCAGTCTGTTTGCTCAAGAGTCTTGGCTCTGGGTTACTGATGGCAATTTTACATTCCAATGGTGGGGGCGGGGGGGGGCACCAGGATACCCCCAAAACAACCCCTTGTCCCAGTAACCAACGGCGGTTACGCTAGAAAAACGCTCGTGAAAAACGACGTCTTTGAAACACGGCTCTCTCCTGTTAAGACCCGTGAACGACAACGGCCAAAAAAACCCAACCAACCTTCCAGCATGGACAGCAGCATGACAATCATGTCCTTCTGCAGGTCCAGCAGCTGCTTCAGCAACTCAATTTGCGCCGAGTCCTGCAAGAGTCGCAGCGCAAACACACAGGCCCGCATGTGGTCGCTGGACAGGCGAAACATCCGTCTGTCTACCTTTTGCACGTAAATAAGCGGACGGTAACGGGATGTGCAAACGGCGCGCTTTTATTCATTTGTTGAAGTCGAGGGGCAGATATATGCGAATAAGGGCAACTGTCCGCTGAATTGTTTTGTTATTGTGATGCCAATGGTTATCTTTGCGCCACGGTGGCGAGATGTCAACTACCTCGCCTGGTATACAGGAGGTCGTAGGTTCGATCCCCATCCCTGTTGTATATTTGGAGTTTGCGTGTCTCTCTCCTCGTGGTCGTGTGGATATCTCTCCAGGTCCTCCATTTTTCCCCTCCACATTTAGAATCAACATCATGTGTTTAGAGTATTCGGCTGCTATAAATTTCCACGTGATGATAAGCCGCTTCGTTGAGCTATCATTTGTGTGGCCAGGTCGCTTGTGAAAATGAGATATATAGCTCAGTGGGCCTCACCTGGTAAAATAAAAATAAGTTTTAGTTCTTACACAAACATCCGCACGGTGTCCTCATGATCTGGGAATATGTCGACAGTGGAATATAGAAGATGACGCAATACAATAGTACGTTTTTTGTGATGATGGCATACTCTACACCAGCGGTGGGCAAACCTGCCGCTCCGGATCCGCACGCGGTGGCTCTTTAAGGACTGCTGCTTCGTGACAGTTATTTATTAAGGACCCACCGTCTCGTATCCACCACTTGCACTGCGGCTTTTGAACTATTCAGTTTTTTTTTTTTACAGAATTTGACAATAAAAAATGGATCTCCTTCTCATTGCGGCCGCTGACCCCCCCCCCCCTGCTCTACCCCGATTAAAACCCAACGTACATCGTGTCCATATTCGATAGCACACACAGTGACGCCGTAGCTTCGATTGCCGAATTACGCGTCAAGATTCGACACGATGTCAGAGTCGAGTGTTTTGCCATTGCAGAGTGGGTGATTTGTCTACGTTTGGCAGGCACCCCCCCCTCCTCCCTCAGAATCCGAGGCCCTGAGCTGCACACCTCCTACCCGCCACGAAACCCCAGTGTGTGTCAAACCAGACACTGGGCAAAGGAAAGGACATCAGTGAGTGTCCGTTCACAATGTTCAACATCGATTCATTGATTCACTGCATTCATTCAGTGCTCTTTATTAACACAATTCTTCACACAATGGCCAGCGTTAACTTTTTGGGTTTTTTTTTTCATTCAACCGCCATGAAACACACGACCACTTACCCACGACGTTAAACTCAACCGGTTAAGCAATTAAAATTTGCGGTCGTGAAATTAACCCTGAAAGAGGGACGTCGTTAATTCTGCGTCGTGCGTGTTGCAGTCGTTGCCGTTAGATTCTATTTTGTGCAAACGCTCGACACGGCTCCTCAAAAATGCCAGCCTGCGCGCCTCCTCATCAGCCACTCTCTTCGACGTTAACAATCAATGTCCCCCCCCCCCCCCCCCGCTCGATCCGAACAATCGTTGGAGGGGCACCCGGAGATCGACAACCCCGGGGGAATTGCTAATGCCAGATGGTGAGACGCCGCGAGACGCTCGGAGGTCGGACATCGAATGTGCAACGTGGAAGGAATTGAGCAAGAGGAAGGAAGGGATGGTGGGGACGTTGGTGGCTTCGACGTCATGACCTCTCGAACTTGGCCAGCGCAACGGAAAGTACAGTACAACGTCGCGTATCCAAGTCCCTGGGGACTGAGGAGCAGGTGGATATGTGTAGTGGTCGGATATGCGGACGTCTATATTATATGGCAGTTACACCGTCGTCACGCACGCGAACACAAAGTGCAAGCTGCTTCAAACGTGGGGAAATGCTTCAGTGTGCTGTATAAATCGGCACATCCACGTGAGATTAAGAGCACATGGCTGCGTGTGAAATGGTCGGTTTTGTGAAGACCCAGGGAGAACGAGAGTTACACCGGGCACAAACACTGCACTTGGGCCGGGGGTGGTTAATTGGTCAGGGGGGATATGTGACGGGCAGAGATGGTGATGGTGCAGTGTAATTATCGTGAAATTAGTGAAATTGTGTGCTTGTTGTTCTGCATCTACATCAGCCATACGGGATAATAAGAAGTGTAATTATAATCAGCAATTGCAGTGCCTTCAAAAACACTGGGCCACTGTGACATGTGTTCTTTGATATTTTCTTCTTGCCAGAGTCTCCCCTCTGCTGTTTACACATGCAATTAATGCTCCCCGACGCGTACCTAAAGACGATCCCAGTTTCAAAGGCGCTATCTCTGCGCATGGAGATCTGGAAGCCAATTGAAGAGGTAATTACTGCGGTCGAAATTGTGGTTACAGAGCAACAACAAAAAACCGTGGCTTCCATTCCAATTAACGGTATCAGAAAGCTCATCCGCCACCGGGGAAAAAAATGTGCGACAGTGGCGGGAAGCTACGGAGGGGAAGGGACTGGCGTCTGTCTGTGCCACGCTCCGATACCTTGGAACCAATCCTTCATGGTCGCGGAGGGAAAAAAATAAAATATCGACTGTCCTCCGCGCTCACACGACCGATGATCGTGACGACGAAAGTGAAAGTGCTTTCCCCCGCTCAAACGAGCACGGGGGCAGCAGCGCCCATGTCCTCTTTACGGCCATCAGTCAATGGTGGAAATTGCACATTCATATGGAGGCATTCGGTAATTAGCACGCTGAACTCGTCTGTAGATTGGGAAGAGGGGCCTCCCCCCCCCCCCCCACCGTTGAGGGAGGCACGGAGACAGAGCGTTGGGAAGCGCCGTGCTAAAATGAACCTCGGACGCCGGTTAGTGAAGGGCAAAGTGTGAGTGAAGAAAAACCGCAGAGTAAAGTCACACTGACAAGGCACGGAGCCTATTGTGAGGCACGACGCAAGGCTCTTGGCCAGCTCGGTTGCAAATCCAAACATCACCGGGGGGGGGCGGGGGCCAAGGAAAAAGAGGACAAGAAGTGGGGAAACATTTGCACGGAACATTTGCACCAAAACCGCAAGCTGACGTCAGGCTGTTTGTGGGTGAAATCAGACGTAGCGTTAAAACGCTAATACGGCTTCTTCATTCATTCAGACCCCATTACGAGAGCGTAGGTCACGGGACCGTTTAAAAACAATCGAAATCGTGTTCGTAGTTTAGAATGGCCAAGAGGAGTCGTGGTGCGGATGATTGACGACGTTCTACGTTGGACGTCGATGCTGCTGCTGCTGCTGAGGCAAGTCGGGGGCTGTGGTAGCGACGATATTGTGAATGTCCGAGACGCTGCTGCTGGTGAACGAGCGGAGCGCGTGCATTACTGAATGACGCGTTCCGTGGTTTTTGGCCGATAGTCACAGTCGCACGGGGTGGACGGGAGGGACGGTGGGGTGTGTGGGCGGTGGGGGGGGGCTGCACCTGCCGTGCGATGTTCTGATGCATCAGCCAATGAGCATATATGTTGGTCAACTCTCAACGGTTAACAGAAGATACGTATCGCAGCGCTGAACTTGAACTCGAATGCAATGGGTTGCCAATGGCCTGAATGCACGTTGGGTGCGTGTACCTGATTTCCAGATAAATCAGAGATTATATCTCTCCGGTGAACAAGGGCCGTTGCTTGGAATGTACCTTATTTTAGATGTTTTAACCCTTTCAATCATTAGATCAATCTATCCAAAAAATGTAATACACCATATTCAGCAAAAAAGCTGAGACAGTAGCGCGGAATGGCACATACAAACATTAAAAAAAAAACTAAACGGAAGAGAAAATAAATGCTCTTCGTCCGGCCTTAAAAGCACCGATCATCAAGGCTGAGCAGACTTCAGTTGGCAGTGTAGGCCTATAACGCATGAGTGTGGATGGCATCACTCAGAGAGCGCGGTGTTTTCCACAAGCTTGCCGAGCCTCGGTTATCATTTGCACGGGATTGTATTGATTTGTTTTTGGCCCCTCCCAGGAACTCCCATTATTTCCTTTCTCCCAAACAGTAACAAAAATAAACTGTATTAAATAACGATTCGTCCAAGCATATGAAGCGAACAAAAAGAAAAGCTTTCTAGGATTAAAATGGCTAAAATAGCCCTCTCTGGGAACAATCGTCTGATATTATGACGCACGCTTCAGAGACTCCTGACGTCAGAGTGCGATTGGGGTGCCGGGGTCAGGTAAGGGGGGGGGGACCCTCTCCATTAAGGCGGTTCAAGGGTAAGGGGAGGGAAGAAGCGGCAGGCAGACAGGCAGGCAGGCGGGCGGGCGGGCGGGCGGGCAGGCGGGCGGAACGGGCAAGCATGTATCCCTTACATGAATACGAAAGCCCGTCCGAATGTCGTGAATCTGGCACAGAGAGAAAGAACCAAACACAGAAAGGTGGAGAAAAGAAAATAAAAACGAAAGAGAGAAAAAAGCGACACCAAAAATGCCCTGAGACATTGTCATGCGCACACCGCGCTACAGCAGCGACATCCCACCGAACAGTGCGAGGCATTTTCAAGGCAAGGCTGGAGCCGGAGGGTGGAGTTGTTTTCAGAGTGCAAAGGTCGCCGCCGCCACGGGTGCGGCAGCGTCGCCACGTTAGCCGTTTGCATGGCGAGCAAATCAAGAGATTTGTGGGGGCCGATCGGAGGGCTTTATTTTGCGTTCGTTGACCTCCACCGAACGCCGCTTACATTTTTTGAACGCGCAATCGCATTGCGCGTTTCCGTCAACCAGGATGGGTTAAACAATGCAATTATGAGCAGAACACCCTGCTGACTCCACACATGTGCTAAATATATTTGTTTAGTCCGTCAGCCTATTTATTGGATTTTCAGACTAATATTATGAACAAATGCTGATTGATAATATTGGTCTGGATAGCTAATAGGCTTATGAATTAAACATTGCTTTTTGTGCGTGGAGGCAGAGAATGGAGTGCTGCATATATGCACTTTACACATACGTGGCAAATTAATATTTATATTAATTCTTTTAAAATGTCGACAAACTTTTTGTCACATTTAAATAAGTTTAATAACTTTTGACAGATTTTTGATTTTGGAGCTCATCAGCAAACCATAGTTGCTTTCTTGATTGCCAAAATGTTTGCTTGGATGTAATAGGCAAGAGCCAACGTGTAAATCGAATTGTTTTCGCTGAAACACTGACCTATATTGGGATACATGGAATACACCGTATGCATGTATATGAAATATGCCTTAGAGCAGTGGTTCTTAACCTTTACTGCAGCCTTACACCCCTTTCATTCTCAATCGTTAAAATGCTTAAAATGTTAATACATAGGTTTGATGAAACAAAGTAGTTGTACTTACGTGCCCTTCCTTAATTTCTGTTTCAATGATTTACCTTTTAAACAAATCTGGCCATGTCTTGCACCCTACCTCCCCCCAGGTTAAGAACCACTGCCTTAGAGGAAAGGCATATAAGATCAAGATGCTACCCATTAGACAGATTGAAACACTCACAGATCGGTGTCTCATTCACAATGATGACGAATGGATGATTGTCGACAATGACTATGGATGTCATAGGTCATTCATAAATGTCCACGGCCAGTATCTTGATGACGAGTAATCGGTTCAAGTTGCCTTGTAAAATCACCACATGTTCATTCATTTCCATAAATAAGTCAGCAAAAATAGACCATATCGAAGCAGATCAAATTCAGCAAGAGCCCTTTTATCAAATAACGCTGCTTTTAGGGTACTGAAATATGCACATCTTCAAACACAACCTCATTAAAATCTTGAACATAGCAGTTTTAATGACGCATGAGCATAAATTACTGAACGTTTCTGCCTTGAAAAAATAAAATCCATGATCAAATGAGCATTGCATAGCCCTCTGATAGCTCTGAGTCAGGAGCAGAAATTCCACATTCCCATGATGGTGTGTCTGTCTCTCCATGGAACAACAGCTGTTCACTTCCTACAAAGTGGCACTCGTTTTTTTTCTGTAGTCCCAAATCATAAAAATAGTAACAAAATTGTTCTATTTTTATACGCAGCTGCGTCACGTGTGCAAATTGCATCTCAAACAAAAAAATCCGTGGACTTTGTAATGCGCGCAGCTTTTCGCGCAGAGGTACGGGATGGCACAGGCAACCGGGGAAAGGAAGCCAGGACTAGTGCGAGCAATGTGCCGGAGCTTGGTGAATCTGAATTGGGAAAGTATGGCCATCCCACATATAAAAATACGGGAAGATGGGTTGAAATATCTGAAATATCTGGTTGGACTTTTCCTGGGGGAGCACAGCGCTCAACTAGCAATTGGAAGCTTACGCGAATTACATACTGGTCAAAGAGGCAACTTAGCCCGGGGTTCGATAATAATATTACCACACTGCTCGAGATCTTGAGTTTTAATCCAGACAGGAGCCCCGTGATTCAACGAAATTCAACTGGGTTCTCAAGTGCGGCGAGCTGATGATGGTCCCAGCCCAGTGGCATGTCGAATATTCCTCTCGGTGGCGGAGTGGGGGTTGAAAAGTGCTGCCCTCTACCACGTGGACTTGAGGTCAATTAAATGGAGTTCGGAAGTAGTTCTGCAACATCTGCTTCCATGGACCACTCTCTGACACGAAGGGATGCAGCGCTCTGCGAGAAACCCGAACGGATACTTCGTCCCATCACAATCGGGATAAACATGAGGATTTTTTTTGTATATAAATAAATCTAAATGATGACCCAATTAGGACTTTATTGGGAAGTCAACCACGAGTGTTCCGTAGCCGCTGGCCATCACCATCTACACGTGGGATTTCAACTCCTGTCTCAGCTCCGCCAACAGTAATTAGCGGAGGGCAATGCATGGATCAATCACGTGGGCCGTTATTATGTTGGCTCTAGAACAACAATAACAACTGTTTGCACGTTACAGCTGCTGCTAACAGTCCCAAAAGCAGCTCTCTCCCCCTCCTGGTGCCAACTTTTCGCAGGGTCGTGAGCGGATTGACGCCCCACTCCCCACCTCCTCCGGCCGGCAGACCCGGTGGGGAGAGGGGGGGTGTGGGATGTGCTCAATGTTTAGACTCGAGACTCCAACGTGCACCGGGTGGGGAGTGGGGGGGTTGCGAACGACCGCATCGCGGATCGTGGGAAATCGCGCAAGCACTTTCCCTCGACGAGCCGGGGCCATCAGCAGCTGTCCCGCATTTGGGATACTCTACCGCGCTATGAGAATCATTGCTTCCATGAACATACATGCATAGCGCCGACTGCGAGATGTCAAGCGTTTGGATACTCTACCACGCTACGAGAACAGGGAATTAATCAAATTTCAAGGGAGCAAGACGTTTTCTTTCATTAATGTTGCTTTTTTTTTATACGTGAAATATGAATGCCTTTCGAGTTATTGAATGCACTCTTAACGCAAGCACGCTTACATGGATGGCTACTGTGGACTATTATTGTATCCCGGGCAGTATAAACGGGTGACACCACGGTTATTCGGGCGGCAGGTCACACGCGGTGAATTAAGGCCAAGTTCGGGTGCTCCCTCCGATTCCAAGACATCTGGGCAGCGTGGAAGAGTAGGCCAAAAGCTACCCTACACAGACGTGCTCTGGCAGACCTCCCTCTAATGGGAGGCCTATCCGCCAACAGTGGTGTGAGCAAGCAATTGCAGGGCTGAATCTTTACCAGTACTTTTTTTTTTACACGTGACTCTTTTTGTATGCAGTGCGAATGGTTCTAGCTACCTGCGCCAGCTTCATCTGCATGTGGGCGAAGATGTGCAGGAAGCCCACGACGGCATCCCAAAGCCTGCTGTGAGCGAGACTCTTCTGGTTTCCCGTGCACGGACCCTGCGGGAGGAGAATGGGAAGAGGCAGAGACAGACAAAGAGACACACGGACGGACAGACTGAAGGAACACACCATCACCACCAGCCATGGTGCATCGCGCGCTTTCAGATGCGCTTCTGTGGCCGTCTGGAACGCTCTTCCTTCTGACATCAGGAAGCCACTGGAGTTATGCACTTTCAAACCTAGATTTAAAACTCATTCCTTGAGAACTGCGTCTTGTGTTTAGTTTGTTGCCCTTCCCCGGCACCTCCAATTAGCACGGTTGGCTAACTACGGTGCAAAAGAAGTTCAACATACATGGTCAATTCACCGCCAGATGAAGGCCTCACGCAAAATCGCCAACGCCTCGCACGATCCTTCGATGTTACTCATCCACTTAGCAACCACACACACGAGCCGATTTCATCGCTCCATCTCCTCGGTGGACGTAGGATAATGAAACTATAAAAATAAACTATTTTCATTTTAACAGGTAAGGCCCGCTGAGCTACATAGCTCTTTTAAAAAAATTGACCTGGCCACAAATTATAGTGGCTTATCACGCGGAAATGTCTATCAGCCAAATACTCTAGGAGTGCATTTCTAAATGTGGAGGGAAAAACCAGAGGGTTCCTGCAGCAAAATGCACGCAACCATGGGGGAAAACATGCAAACTCCAAATATACGGGTGTCAGGGTTGGGATCAAACCCACGACCTCCTGTATACGAGGCGAGGCAGTTAACATCTTGCCACCGTGGCGCCCCTTTGGGAGACACAAATAGAAATGGATAGCGAGTAACAGACACATAGACGGGGTAAGAGGCACACGAACTGATAGAGAAATAGTGAGACGGCAGACATACACTGACCCCTACAGACACGCAAGCAGCCAGTAATAACCGCATCCTGCCCAAGCACACTTTACGAGTGAGGCATGAAGACAAATCGAAAGATAAATACAGCGTGAGGGAGACAGACAGAGGGAGATGGACAGCGATAAAGCGAGACGCCATGGAGGGTGAGGAGCAGGGTGGAGGGGGTACTGAGAGGATGATTGAATGGGAAGGGAATAAACGAGAATGAACCCGGGGAAAGAGAGGAGGACGATGATAAAGGGCGGAAATAATTGTATAACGGAGTCCAGGGGAGGGATTAGAGACGGGAGACAAAATGCGGGAATATGGAACAGGGTAAGAGGGGGGGAAAAAACATACCAAACCCACAAATTAAGTGGGCCATTGCGTTTCAAGTGTCTCGATACATTTTTGGTTTTGTCAGACGGTCTCATTCCAGGCCTACAACCCAGCCCCATTACCGACCGTGAACAACTCATTGCCAGATTAACTCACTCGAGCAAGTGCGCACAACTCCGAGCGGACACGTCGGAGCACACTGTTTGCGCGCGACGATTTACCAGGAACACCTGTTGTTGCGTTCTTCCTTCTAAAGCCATCGGCCTCAGTCTAAGGGGCCGAGTGCACGAAATACACCAAAGACAAAGATCCCCCGTGTAGCCTTAACAGACTGTTGGGGCAAGTGCTGTTAGCGAGCACCTATAAAGGCCGGCACGGCACGCGAGGGGGTGGGTGGCCAACACCACGCCCGGCCGCCTTTGTCTCTCCAGTGGCGATGTTTACACATCGCACCAGGTACTCATTTGAGGCTGAGTCGACCTAGGGGAGGCCCAGGACCGGTTCAGATAATCGTCATTAGTGTTTGCCATGAGCGGGAATCGAACCTGGGTCGCCAGGTTCGTAGCGCAGCGTCGCGCTAACCGCTACACCACCACTCCCCGCACAGAAGCATACATACGCATGGTGATTGTCTGTTCAGAGGTGTCCCACCGATGTCTACCCAGCCTGCTTGCTGGCTTCTCAACGGGGCGATTGAACGTTGAGAAAGTTACAGTTCCCCATATCGTTGTATGGATGCAGATTGGTTCGGAGATGAGTAGAGGCCTTTCAATTAAAATGTTGATTTCTCTATACCTTCTCCTTATTATGTCAGGCAGGTATCTATAAATGGATCGTATACATTTTTTGAATAATTATTAATAATTGCATATTACATGATAGAAATGCACATCAGAGAAAAGATCAAATTATACACTGCAGCAAAACAGTATTGCACAACGGGGGGTAGCTTCTCTCATCCGCGTTCATCTGGGGGGTGATGTTCACGGATCCTATTAACCGAATAAACACTCCTAATATATGCCTGGGAAACCATGGATAACCACGGAGCATAGGAGCCTTTTTGCCACCCGCCACTTCTTGAGTGACTCCTCTTATCCGTGGAATGGTCGCAGATAAGGGGTGCTAATCGATAAATAAATATCGATGAAAAAGAACTTCTGCGAATGTATCACAACAACAAAAGATGCGGATAACAAAGCATGCGGATGATGTGGGCGCGGATACGAAGGTTGCACAGCTGCATTAAATAACCGTCAAAGAGTTAACAAAACGGACAAGCAGACAACGTGTCTCATGCCGGGCGGGAATGATTTTCTTTTTCCTGTCGAATATTTAGATAATGTTGCGTAGTGTAAATGGTTTGAAAACTGAAATTAATTGCCGCCCATAATTCAATGGCTTTCGAATCAACAGGGTAAGCACCACCTGAAATTCACTCTCAAGCGAATGTCCTTCAAACAAGCGAGGGTGGATTCATAAAAGCAGTGGATTGATAAGGGCTGTGTATCATAATCATCATCATTATTATTGTTGGTAAATACACAAATGTATACTATGGGGACCTCATTTGCCAGTAAAAATATGATAATTGGTTCTTTACCCTTCTATCTGGCAACAAAACTGACACCTTTTTGCAAGGAGTCATGTTTGCATAGACCGCAATACCTGCAGTCATAATACAAACAAAAGAACATAACTCTGATAATGTGCACTGTCCTTGAAGTTGATTGGTCCACACCCGAGACAGCTTTCCTTCGAGCCTAGTCTCATAGTGCGCCTTTTGGCGTCATCTGGTCCAACCCATATGAGACTAGGCTCGAAGGAAAGCTGTCTCGGGTGTGGACCAATCAACTTCAAGGACAGTGCACATTATCAGAGTTATGTTCTTTTGTTTGTATTATGACTGCAGGTATTGCGGTCTATGCAAACATGACTCCTTGCAAAAAGGTGTCAGTTTTGTTGCCAGATAGAAGGGTAAAGAACCAATTATCACAAATGTATAGTCTGAGACAATTTGTTTAAAATATATATCCTTAACGAATACCAACAAAACCAGCCCTTGACTGTGTAAAACAGATCCATGACTATGACGAATAGATTTCAAATCACATTTTTTTAATCAGTATATGTTTAATGGTTCTAAAATATATATATATAAATAAATGCGCATATAATAATCTAGAGCCCAATGCATTCAAATTTAGCAACAGCAGCAACCATCTTCATTACATGGATCATAAACTCCATACACTACTTTTTAGGAGCCTGTGTGTGTGCGTGATTGATTACTCCGAACTGCAGTCGCGAATGTTCAGGGCTGGTTCAAGCGCGTAAGGAGAGGTGTGAGTGTCTGTAAATGGGAAAACCAGTTCATTTACTCGAACCCCTTGCTGGGGGGAGGGGAGGGGGAGATTCAGGCGGAAAAAAAAAGTGGTGACTTGTTCAAATCTGAAATGGGAACGTGGCCCGTGTCAGGAATAACTGAGCCAGCATTGGCGAGAGCACTTGGTTTCAAACCCCAGTGGCCCCCAATCGAGATTAAAGCAGCTTCTGAAAGTGTAGCGGGATCGTGGCGGCACTGAGCCCAGTGGATAATGGCTCAAAGTCACAGTGTCACCCCCGCTCTGCCAACGAGCACTACTGAAATGCTCACTTAAGCAAGCGGTGGACAATTCCACAACTTTCAGGGTGCGTACGGCAGTAAACGACTGAAATAATAAAGCAATGCTGCGCAAAGAACGCCTTAGACCTGCAAAAAATTTCTATTTCACTCTACCCGCGATCAGCAGGCACACTCCGTTACGCTTCCGCACATAGGTCACATGACAGATGTGACGTCACAGCTCACTTGCCCGTGCAAAATATAAGCATTATTGCGCCCTCCTCCCCCCAAAAAAATACAAAAGTCTATTTTTTTATTTTTTGCATGGTGTACAGTCTGGAAAGTACCCACATGGCAAATTTAAAGTTTGTTGCATGTCAGGAAGTATGCTAAACATTTTGAACAGACACACATAATCACAAATTTTCCTTCTATATATATAGATATATGTATATTTGGAGCTCTCCCCGTGGTCGTGTGTATTTTTCTCTGGGCCCTCCGTTTTTTTCCACTCCCACATTGAGAATCAACACACACTTAGAGTATTTGGCAGCTCTAAATTTCTACGTGATAAGCCACTTCGTTGAGCTATCATTTGTGGCCAGGTCACTTCTGAAAAAAGAGCTCTATACAGCTCAGTGGGTCTTACATTGTTAAAAAAAAAAATTTGCTTAGTTTAATTAGTGAGCTATCTGAACCGGTCCTGGGCCTCCCCTACGCTCGAACCCACCGTATACGAGTGCATCGCCGTGTTCTGTGTAACCATTGTCGCTCGGTGAAAGTTGTACCGCTGAGAGGGCAGCTCACCTGGATGTACTCAGTGATGGAGTTGAACACTTGCTTGGCCACCGCCATCGCCTTGGAGAAGTTTCTGCGTCCGTGATCGTCAATGATCTCTTTGCCCGAGTAGTACCAATAGAAGTCGCTGATGGATTCCTGCGGAGACAATGACATGGGCGGGGAGAGGGGAGAGGACTCAGCGGTGGAGATGTCAGATATGACACGTGTGTCATATTTAGATATGACGCGTGTGTCATATTTAACATGGGGAGGAAAAAAGAGTAGATTCTTCCACTCACTATGCAAGCAGTGGAAGAATCATTTCGATAGATGCGGTTAATAATCTTTAGATTTCGAATTAAACTTGTATTATTTCGGTGAGGATGTACTCGTAGATTCAACATTCTGTTGGTAGAGCATCTCCATTGTATGCATGTATGTTGAACTTCTTTCGCACCGTACGTAGCCAACTCCAGTGCTGAGCCAGGGGGTAAGATATTTCACATTTCCATGGCAGTGACGAGTCTCTCCGAAGGCGAGGACATCTACTTGACTCTCCGCTGAAAAGGGTACTCATTTTATTGACACTGGAAGGGCGATATTCTGAGTTAATACGGACCAGGATGATAACATCCAAGCCTCCTGTTGGTGTATTCAGTGCTGCAGTCACAGCGCCATGCAGCCACAAAAATGCAAAACAAGTCAGCCCTGACCCAGTGGTGGACATTTAAAAATCCCATGGCAATAGCCAGGCTCTTCACAGGACAACCGCTGGATGACCTCCCACAAATCGACCCTCATTTCAGATTGCCCGCACAGACGTTGGATTGCATCGACCCCCTGGCCGGAAAGTGAACCCGTGGTGACCTTTGCGATCGTGATTTTAGTGCTATAACCCACAGGAACATCCGGCCACTGTTATACGCTTTAAAAGCTGTTCTTTGTGGTCGCTCTGCGGGTACAATTGGCAGTGCGTGGATATAAACTGGCAGGGTTCAAGTCCGTGTCCGGGTCAACGCAGGCCGACATAACGTGAAAAATACCCCACACGCTGAGCAGTGACCAGTGGTCGTGCTGGGTTGTTTTGCTGCTGTTGTTCCCATTTCCCGCTGTTCTCAACGACAATGTTAACGTCACCGAAGAGGAAATTCGATAACAATATTGCAAGGGTTTCCCCCCCCCCCCACCCAAATTAATTTTTGTTCAAACGATCTTGTTTTTTTTTCATTTTCTGAACCTTCACCATCTACATTCATTTACATGTGATTATTATTTTACTATTTGGCCCATGTCTGCATCTGTGGCACTCAAGGTACATGCGCTGCCTGCTACTCCTGCACGCATTTCATTCGTGCAGCTGGCAGCACATTAACATCTCGCCACAGTGGCTAGGAGATGTTAACTACCTCGCCTGGTATACAGGAGGTCGTGTGGCTTAATCGCAACCCGATGCCTGCTGTATATTTGGAGTGTGCGTGTCGCTCTCTCCTCGTGGTGGCGTAGATTTTTCTCCAGGTCCTCCGGTTTTTGCCTCCACTTTTAGAATCAACGTATGCTTACGAGTATTTGACTGCTATACATTTCCACATGATAAGTCACGTATATACATCAGGAGACAATTGCTTGTGTTGTGATCGAAACGTCGTGATATTTTTCTTGTTTTTTATTCTCTTTGTTTTCATTTTTATTTTTATTATTTGATTATTATTTTTTCTACCTACGTGACTTTACCAAAAGACCCAAAGAATATGAATTCCTGCAGTCACGAAAGCTTTACGTCAGGACAGGGAAAGTTCCACAAATTGAGCAACCTAAGAGCGACCGTTTCAAATGGTCATCCCAATCATAAATATGGAATGGCATTTTGAAGGCAATTATCCACATCCTGAGACAAATGCACGAGCTTGAATTGCACCATCAGCGTCACCAGCGTCAATGGAGAACACCCAGTTTGTTATTCTCAGCGTGTCTTGACACCGTGGCTTTTTAAAATATTTACGAATGTCTCCCTCGTCAAGAAGAGGGGGGCAAATGATTACAACCAAACGTGGATTACAAGTCAACAAAAACAAAGTCACGCTGTGATTATACCGATGATTGCACACACATCTTCAGAGTGCGCGGGACTGCACGTCCACAAAATGCGCCTTCATCTGGGGGGATTACTGCACCGGCTGCCATGCTCACCCAACCGTACAAACTGAAAACATCTGGCGGCCGCAATGGCATTTGTGCGTAGCGCCACTGTGTTACGAATTATAACAAAGTGTGGGCAAAAACCAATTAAGTCCACTCAATGTCAGATCAGTAATGTCAACGTCCACAGGTGTCATTAGGCGACCCTGTAATGTCATTTGCCACGGTTATTACACAGATGCCCTTTTGAGCTGACACTCTGGCTCGCCCTCACCGTGGCTCGCGCACTCCGCGTACACCTTGACGGACGGCGATGAAGCGAAGCAACATCACGCGCGCCGCCATCACGACCTACACAGCCGCCAAAACCCGCACATTGCCGTGCAGCAGTTTAGCACCAGCGTATATATGTGCCGCTGCGGAATGTACAACCCTCGTCACTAATACGTGCTTCACACTGTATACCCAAGCCAGCCAGGGGGCGAGGTGTGTCCTGAGAAGCCGTGTTGCTGTTTTTTTTTCCATTGCATAACCCGAGCCGTGCCGCTGACATCGCGGGTGCACGCCCGCCCTGGGCCTACTTGGCCCTGAGCCAGATTGATGGATTTTTGTTTCTTTTACCAGGTAAAGACCACTGAGCTTATTAGCTTCTTCTTCGTCTTCAGTAAGTGACCTGGCTATCACAAATGATAGCTCAACGAAGTGGCTTTATCATCCTGATCAACAGTTCCTCCGAGCGTAGAAAGATCATATTCTCATGGTTATATGACGCACACCATCCCCCCCCCCCCCCCGTCCTCTCCCCCATCGCCTCCTTTATTTTAGAGCGTAAGTTGGGGGTGCATCGTATTATGTGGAAAACTAAACTTGTTCTCCTTGCACGACGTGTTTGGAGTTGTAGTTGCTCGAAATTATCATCGGGAAGACGGTTCTCTATGGGCAATACATCACCAGCACGAGGACGGGAGACTCCACCAGCTGTACGCAAATCGTCCTCCCGGAGTCACCGCTCCCCGGTTTAAATCGGCACGTTCATAATCATCTCCTGGACGATAACTCTCTGTAAGAAATTGTATTCTCCCCGATTATAAAACAAGGACTCTTTTTAAAAATTACCCCAAGATTCGGGGGGTGCAAATCCTACCTTCCAGATCATCCTCGCAATGCGGAGAGTTTGCGGTTGTACGTATCGGGGCAAAGACGCTGCACCCAACCAATCGCGACGGGCTTACCTGCAGCCTCAGCAGGTAGTCCACAGTGGCGATGACAATGTTGACCGTTGTGTTGTTGCCGACTTGGGTCCGCAGGTAGTCCTGGAAGTCTGTGTGGTGCGTCGACAGGTCGGAATATTCAACGCTCCCGAAGGCGTTTGACATCGGTAACTTTGATTGGCACGGTTGGCTACGTACGGTGCGAAGGAAGCACAACGTGCATGTGAGCGATGTCTGAATCGGTCTTCACTAAATTGTCAGGGGGTTGAAACGTGCCACCCCTCGTGGATATCAATAAAAGTTAAAGTGATTTCTTGCTCAAATGAGCATGGAGGTGGTGCTCATCATCCCATTTGCAGCCCTGAGCGAACGGTAGAAATGTCACATTACAATGGCAGGGGCAAGTCTATGCATACAACAATCACTGTTCACTTCCCCGGCAAAGTGGCATTCGATTTTATCGACCCCAGAGGGATGATGGGCCGAGGGAACCCCCCCAACCGGGTTTTGAACTCACGATCTAACCCAAAAACTTTATTATGAATAATATTGGTCGCGAAAGCATACGTGTTAAACTCACGACCTTTCCGATTGCGGACCGCTCGCTCGACCGGCGAGCCACGAGGCTCGTGTGAACAAAGTTTATTTGTCGTGAAACCAAACCACTTCGTAAGGGGTGGCACTTGGTAAGGGGCGGCACTTGGTAACGAACGGCACTTGGTAAGGAACGGCACTTGGTAAGGAGCAGCACTTCATAAAGAACGGCACTTGGTAAGGGGCGGCACTTGGTAAGGAACGGCACTTGGTAAGGGGCGGCACTTGGTAAGAAGCAGCGCTTCATAAAGAACGGCACTTGGTAAGGAACGGCACTTGGTAAGGGGCGGCACTTGGTAAGGAGCAGCACTTCATAAAGAACGGCACTTGGTAAGGGGCGGCACTTGGTAAGGAACGGCACTTGGTAAGGGGCGGCACTTGGTAAGAAGCAGCGCTTCATAAAGAACGGCACTTGGTAAGGAACGGCACTTGGTAAGGAACGGCACTTGGTAAGGAACGGCACTTGGTAAGGAACGGCACTTGGTAAGGAGCAGCACTTCGTAAAGGGGCGGCACTCTCACAGCGAAGCATTACCAGAGTTGTGACCCTCGCACAGAAGTTGTAGAAACCGGAAGAGGTCACAGGTGAAGCTGTCATCCTGCATGACCTTGTCACCTGTTGACACCAGCATCACGGGAAAGGACAGCAGCAGCGAAAAATAGTGTGCAGAATTATTATGCGCATTGTCATCATTCAACACATTGGGGTTCACTCAAATGTGGAGAGTTATGGAGAAGCATGATGCTAGCGATTGTCCGTGACCGTTTTACCTTTCCGAGGTGTTTATTTTCTCGCTCTGCCTCTTGTTGTCTCGCGAAAGCACCTCATTTAGACATTTTTGTCCAAGAAATACGGAACAAGAGTGGGCAAATCCCTCTCTTTATTTTTACTTTTAAGAGGGTGCACAACTTTAGTTGCAACGCAAATGCAACGGTGGGAGATGGCGGGCGTTTCATGCCCCCGACGACTAATGCCAGATTGCGGGCACCGGGTCCCGGTCCCGTGCCACCGTCGCGACCTTAAACATCGGCCGTTGTGGCCATAGGCGGAGCTTGGGGCCGCACGCAAGCGGAGGTGGAAATGGGCCACCCGATCACGAACGAATGCTTCTCTCCCGAAATATTTCTAGAAAATGTTTCAAACATGCGAGCGAAATGTCATCCCATCCAGCGTCGTTTTCCGAGGGAGCATCGTCGCGAAACCGGATGAGAAATCTGTTTATTTTTTTGCGTCTTGGAGACGATGCGGGTTTGTTTACTTAGCATTCTAATCGTCGTCCATGGGCCAGAGAATAATTTGGTACCACGTAAGGTAGCAGAACTTTATTTGTCACACCGATGTCTTTATTTACATGGCCACGAAGCACGAACTATTTGATAACGCCACTTCCCTGTTTACTGTTGATGGCCTCACAAATAAATTGGAACCGCTAGAGCTATGCTACCCTCAGGTGGTACCGACAAATGAGATATCTGGTTTGGCTGGGCTCATGCGCTCCGAAAGCGGCAAGTGGGAACACACGGCTAACGTCATTTTATGCGAAAAATTGTCGTAGGTACCCCTCAAACCACTCACAGGGTTAACATTTACATGTTTTCCCATTCTGACATTTTCCTACTATAATTCTACGAAATTAACGTGCACTAACGGACGGCGGATTACAAAAATAAAATATTAAATTCAAGATTCACGTAGGAAACAGATTTCTTGGGAATGGATGACATTTCACCGTATGTCGTTTGTTGTTGCCGCGGCGGTGGGAGGGTTTCAAGACACGATCGCGTGCATGTCGCCAGTTAGTGAAATCCATCCAAGTGCGGAAGCGGATGTGTGCAAAAGGGATTACGAGGATGGATGGATGGATGGAAGGAGTGACACTCTCCCAAGCACGGCCACAGCATGCATCACGTTGCTTGCATCCGTTGATGATCATGCGAAAGCTCTGGGGTTGCCTGGACTGGGTGGAGACGGGGCAAAGCTAGAGATGGATTGACGAGCTCTTTGGTGGGTTTTTTTTTTTTTAAACATCATCCCAGGTTCGTGAGCTCCTGCAAACGTAACATTTCACGTTAGTTTTACGCAGAAGCGTACACAGCGGTAGGCGCTTCGTTGAGAATATATCCTGAGCACGCAATGAGTGAAGAAGGGCTGACCTCCTGCCTGCTACAATATCGCACGAGGCATTTGAATGCATGCGTTTACATTAGCTGTATTGATCATAAACCACATCATATTCTCCAGACCCACAGGTGTATTGTTTAGCTCGGTAAATATTAAAAATAAGAGTACAGTACCTTTCAAAAAGAATGCATACAGATAGTAGTTTTTTTTATGAAACCATAATTATAAATAAGTTTGGATCACAGAATGTTAAATGTATAACTTTATATGAAACCTGTAAATATTTTTCAAGTGATATACTTGCAACATACCCACTACAAACATGCATACATACATATACGGAATGTCAGCTGTTAAGTACTGATAAATATTGCATATCTATCTTAACACAATGCAATCTCGATTTTAATTGAATAGTCACTAACATAGACCCTACACGTAAATGTACGATAGCCTTCAAATAGTCCTGGATTGTTTTAAGATGTAGATGAGTACCCATAACGTTACCCCACTGCATGCCATCTGCAGGAATGAAGGAAGTGAATTGCCAAAGGTATCGGCCCTGCTTTGGACCGGGTATCGAACCCAATACCGGTGTCTTGCGGGTCGATTATCACCTTCTATCAATCACCCCTTTTCTGCTCTCCCGTGATTGACAGGGCAAGTTAATAAGAAACTGAATCGGTGTTCGATTGCTAATTTATTGACACATTATGTTTCTCCGTAGTGCAATCGTGCGTTGCTACTAAAAAAATATATACACGGTTTGCTCGATTGCTTTTTTATTACGTTCTTAAAATTAGCGCACGTTAAAGGCTGTTTTAACCTCGGACTCAACAGAGCAATGTTATGACTGCAGGCCTATTTTGTGATCTGCGTTACGCATTGGCCGCTCCTGTCCCAACATTTACCCTAGCTGCCGATACGAGCATTTCCCATAATTTTAATTGTATTTGTAATTAGATAAAAAGATTATGAATGGGTAATTAATTGTGAGCGGTATTCAAACAGTACATTCTAATTTAGAGCATTGGTTCAAATACTAGGAGACTATGGGCCGGTTTCTACATTCAGCTGCCTGGTAGTTCAACAGCATTGGCCCGGCAAGGCTGAATGGTGATGAAACAATGAATACTCTTTGGTTCTTTCGGTAAAGTCACGTAGGTAAAAAGAAAAAGAAAATAAAAATTAAAAGAGATCAAAAGAGAAATATTAATATATAATGATAAATAATAAAAAAAATATTAAATCACGACGTTTCGATTGCAACACAAGCAATCATCGCACCTGATGATGATTGCAACACAAGCAATCATCATCAGGTGTGATGATTGTTTGTGTTGCAATCGAAACGTCGTGATTTAATTTACTTTTTTTTATCTCTTATTTTTATTTTATTTTTCACCTACGTGACTTTACCGAAAGAACCAAAGAGTATGGATCCTTGCAGTCACGAAATCTTCAAATCTAGAATGGTGAGACAATGAATGCCACAATCCGGTCAAGAGTTCGCTGTACTGAACCAATGCTGCTGATTAGATGCACTCCCCGAAGGCCACGTGGCTGATGGGATGTGTGCACATTTTTTATTACGTATATTTTCTTTTTTGGTTTATGGAGGGACAAAATGTGGGAAGGTGTTATTTATTTTATTATACAAATTCACCACAACAACGCTGAATTATTATTTGGTGTTAAGCACATTCTAATTAATGGTTATTATTCGGGATCAATTGGTACCTGCCTTTGGAAATCTGATTATCGTTACCTGTAATGGAAGCAATGCATTACTCAACAACGCTAACCAGATATTGCATTTGCATGTATCTTGTTATACACAGACTAGCCGTTTAAGTTGAAAACGAATTAAAGCTTTATTGTTTATAAATTCAGACTACAATTACTCGTAGCAAGCAACCTGCCCACCACCTCTTTGTAAATTGCAAGTAAAATGTTTCGTAAAAAATACTTGACAAGCTTAATCATGGTGCTCGTACAATGCATAGGCATTGTACAGAGTCACTGATTTGGGGGCACAATTTGTAAAAGTTCCGTCAAGCTTTTTCGTCACGCACAATTACGCGCAGCAGTGGTAGACTCATGATTACGGATGCAAAAGTATTATAAATAACATTACCCATGCCTGAAAACCTCCCTTCGATTATATTAGCCATACATAATTTCGATTTAAAGCTTTCGTGACTGCTGGAATTCATCTTCTTGGTTCTTTCGGTAAAGTCACGTAGAATGGAAATAATAAAAGAATAAAAATAAAACATAATAAAATAATTCTCACTTATTATTTTATTCTGTTTTATTTTTATTATTTTATTATTTCCATTCTACGTGACTTTACTGAAAGAACCAAGAAGATAGCCATACATACTTTTGTAATCATCAGAAAACAAATGTTGTTTTTCTTCTACTGAGTGATTGCGTATTTGTGATGAGAGTCTGCGCCGATGATGCGCTGGCAGCCGGTCTATTTCATCAACTATCGCCGTGAGTATATGTGGTACCCAGAAAATAATAAAGCATTTAAAGTAAAACGACGTTGTTAAGCACACGATGCAGTGTGGGAAGAAGCCTACGTTGGTGCGTTTATTTACCTAAAAGAAATACCCCCGATAAGACTTGATTTAAAAAATTTCATCACATTCTCGCAGACAACATTCATAAAACAAGTTGCAATTTTTATAAATATAAAGACTTCAGGCCTGCAGCTGAGGAGGGCACTGATGAATGGCAAGCAATACCATTGTCAATTTTGGGAAATTATTCTTACTTACAAACGTCATGGAATATACCTACAAAAGTGTTGAATCCAACGTGATATAAGTTTAAATCCGATTCTTACTTTTCCAGTGATTGGGATTCATCTTTTTAAATTATTGAAACTCTGTCATCTTGGTGTACAGTGTGCGTGCTTAGTCTCGCTTGTCAATCCACTGCTGGATGAGGGCCTCCTCCCCGCGCTCCTTTGTGAGCCGCATTTCGTTTGCCATACTTCACCACGCCCGTCAGTGCGGGTTTGGCAAAGACGGAGGGACAGCAGAGGACGACCACGTGCTACGGCGTGTGGTGTTCGCCGATCCAAGCGCTATCCAGGCTAAAACCTGCTTAGCTTCCCAAACCTCACGAGGCCGGGCGTGGTCCAGGTGATTTTGTCACAGGCGTGAATTTTTTGGTCACAATCGTTTATTCGTAACTCTGTGTGTGCGTGTGATTGTTCCATGGATCGAACAGCTGTTTAGCCAATGCAATTGTTTTGTTGTGGGGTCCTACGTGCATTGAAACTGGAGGGCAGTCAAAACTTTCAGACAGTGGATTATTAAAAAATATATATTTAAAAGTCATGATTACTTATTTCATTTTCTCTTGAATAATACTGTACATTATAGCTCATTTTCTAATAAGGACTGAAAACTTAAGATGTCTCCAGATTTTCCATTTTAAATGCAATCACAATGACTTAAGTAAGGTCCTCTGTGAAACCTCACGAGGGGCTACTGAGATTCCACAACTGTTTGATAATTAGTCATTTTAATTTTTTAAAAAATCCATGGGAAAACCCCCACTGAGTCTCAAGTTAATTGTTTTTTATGCTTGCCGAATTTCTTGCATTTCTTGCATGCGGATTGACACTTTGGATGGCCTCACAAAAAGTGTGCGCGATGGGAACTATTTCTCCTTTGCCGTACCACCTCGTCACTCAGAAGGCGAGGCGTCCCCCCCAAACATTCTGCGTGACGGGAGTATCTTGCTAGAACTGATGATGCGTGGCTGTCACCTTTGCACTAGCCAACAACCGTGACTTCAAAGCCGCTGGACATTATAGAACAGTTCGGCATGTCTTCTTGGTTCTTTCGGTAAAGTCACGTAGAATGGAAATAATAAAATAATAAAAATAAAACATAATAAAAAAATTCTCACGACGTTTCGGCAACAACGCAAGCAGCCGTCCTCAGGTGAAAAACAGGTCTGTAGAGAAGACAGACTCTGTCTTCTCAACAGACCTGTTCTTCACCTGAAGACGGCTCTGTCTTCTCGACAGACCTGTTCTTTACCTGAGGACGGCTGCTTGCGTTGTGGCCAAAACGTCGTGAGAATTATTTTATTATGTTTTATTTTTATTATTGTATTATTTACCTTCTACGTGACTTTACCGAAAGAACCAAGAAGATGAATCCCTGCAGTCACGAAAGCTTTAAATCAAAACAGTTCGGCATGTCTTTAATAACCCTTTTCCACCGGCACATCCGAGTGGAGTCGGCACGAGGCCAAGCAGGGCCAGGGCCGGGGCCAATGACTTGTTCGTTACGTGTGACCTCCGTCAGAACACAGCGAGAACGCAGCTGTGCCGCGGTGGCGAGGTGTTAACTGCCTCGCCTGCTATGCAGGAGGTCGTGGGTTCGATCCCAACCCTGACTCTCTCCTCGTGGTTCCATGAAATTTTCTCCAGGTGCTCTAGTTTTCCCCTCCACGTGTAGAAACATGGCTGCTATACATTTCCACGCAACAATTGACTTAGTTGAGCTATCATTTGTGGCCAGGTAGCTTCCAAAAAAGAGCATTATAGCTCAGTGAGCCTGAACTGGTAAAATAAATCAAAAGTTTAGTTGTAGTTTTACATGGCGTCACCGCATCATCTACATCCATTTCGACTTATTATTTGCAAGTGACGTCAATCTAGCGCCACCCGTGCAGTGGAGAACTGGAATCAGAATTGTAAATTGGGACTACTGAATTTGTCAACGATATTTGGATTGTCACACAAGAACATGATGTATTATTCTTGGGAATCCGTAGATTATGCCTGCAATGTACTATAGACGTGTGTGCGAGATGCGAAAGTTACTATTTTTTATTTATCGACAATTGCTAACCTCAAAAATGCCCTCAACACCCGCAGGTCGGAATCTCACAAGTTCAAGAATTAAATGTGTCCATGCCACATCATCAAGGCAGACTGACAAAGATTTAGTTGGAACACGCAGTGCAAAAAAACGTTAATGAACAAAATCTGCAAATTAAAACACACGACACGGTGCCCATTAACACATACTCGTGATGAAAATAAATAAAAATAAGAGAATGACATGGCAAGTCATTGTTAAATGTCACTGTGCAGCTTCAAAACAACGCTATGCTGTGCACTTTAATTGTGGAACATTGACACTCGCCTGACTTGCCCGTTTGCGCCGATTATTCTTTTTAGGGCCCTTCTTTGCGGCAGTGGCCTTGCTGATCTAAACTGGTTCGAGCCGAGTACAGTGCCAGATCTCTCTGTTCAATTGTTGGCTTGTCTGTCTGTCTGCGCGTGTGCTTTATGTATGAGAGCGGTGGTTCGGCGGTTAAGAGCGCTGCACTACGAACCCGGCGATCCGAGTTCGATTCTCGCTCACGGCCAACACCAGTGACGAATATCTGAACCGGTCTTGAGTACCTGGTGCGACTCAGCCTCAAATGAGTACGTGGTGCGATGTGTAGTAAACATCGTCACTCAGAAAACGTAGGCAGCCAGGCGTGGTGTTGGACACCCACCCCCTCGTGTGCCGTGCCAGCTTTCGTAGGTGCTCGCTAACAGCACTTGTCCCAACAGCCTGTTAAGGCTATACGGAGAATCTTTGTCTCGTGCTTATTTCTGAGATCTAACAAAATGAATTCAGTTGAACTGAGAACACCATCTGGGTGGTACTGTGGTTGGTGGCCTCAACTTGACAGTTGGAGCATTGCGAGCACATCCTCAACTAGAGATCAAACTCAGCCGATCATCATTCCACGGATGATGAAAAAAAATATTACCATATTGTGGGACATCAACAGTGATTTTCTTGGAAAGTGACTGACCACCGCCATATGATTGTGGCATTGATACTACTGGCTCAGACCCACAAATAGACGAGTGGTAACTGGTTGGAAAAAAGAAAATCCATGCCTTCTGTGTCATAGCAATGTGCAGATGGCATGGATTTTCCGGCATGAGTCCAGGCATAAACCTGCTGACCGTGATTAAACCCAATGCTGAAGTGAAACACACTGATGGTCTCAATGGCCATGATCAAACAAGATTCTCAAGTGTAATGAGTGAATGGCCTCGGGGCTTTTCACTGATCATGGTATATATAAATAGATAACATATAAATTAAAGTTTTCACTTGGCCGTCAGACAGCATGATGGATTCGTAGTTAATAACTGTCTACGCAACATCAGGGAGCCCTGCCTGGTTTCCTGACAAGACAGATCAATTGGAGACAGCAGATGTCATTCTGTAATATCAGCCAGGTGCAGAGTTGGTCGCAAACGATTTGGAGCCCTAAGCGGAAGTTATTTTTGCGTGCATCAAGTAACTATGAACATTATACGACGGACGAGCAGCATCACTTGCTTATGTCACGGTTGTGTGAAATAAGTTGCCGACTCGACTAATTACGAGAATTGATCATTGTGATGGTGCAATTTAATAGCGTTGTAGAATGATAAGATGATGCTATTTGAATCGGAATTTGATCCGGTGCACTCCAATTTTTTCTCATAAATCTGGAGTCCCCTCCCCCCCCTTGAGCTGCTTAGTTTGCTTGGTGTCACAGTTGCTGGGCACCGGCGAGGCGCTACCAAACTGGGCCCTCAAAGAGTCTCGTGTCACATTTGAAATGAAAATAAGTGACGAAAAAAAAATCCCAAATCGATGATTGCACTTGATAAAAACTGAGAGGTATGTGTCGGGTGCCGAAACGTGGAAGTGCGCCACCGAAACTCCGTGTGAAAACCGGTAACCGAATTCCAAAGTGAGACTATCAAACAAACAGAACTTTCAAATTCTATAACTCTGAGCGGGACGGCCAGGCGAGTGTTAATGCCCTGCGAGACACCATGCAAAGTGCAAAGAACGAAATACGCAGTACGATAACAACCTGCCACAAATCGGGACGCGAAAAAAAGCAGCTGTAATTACCCTGTTCGTGAGAAATGACTAACGGAACACGTGTCGACAACACAAAGGGCATGGAGGACGGTGAAGGAAGAAACAAAGGGGACAGCAAAATGAACAGAAAAAAGAAACAGTTAGACAGAAAAACAAGTATTAAAACTGTAAGCGCACACAAATGACGATGTGTATGGGAGACGCAGCCTGCAATCGCGGGGATGACGGACACAGCTCGGTTGGAGGCTCCCTCCGTCATTGACAAAGGCGGCGTGAGGTTTTTACGGTCACCATTGCACGTCCATACACATATGCATTTGTATGTACAGCTATATGAGCAAATGAAACCATGCGAACAGTTGTTGCCTTTCCCTATCAGACGCAGGATAGCCTCACGGATTCTCGACATTTGGGTGGGGTGGGGTGGGGCAGCGGGGTTTCTGTTTGGGGTGCTTTTCCAGACGTTTTGGAGGTGCCCACACTTGACCCCACCACACACGATGTTCCGATCGACTAACTGTGGAGTGCCCATTTATGCTGCTGGGTGGGCAGAAGTTGGGTGCGTGAGTGGGGCGGGCGGTGGGTGGTTAAACAGCTTGCTGAAATCATGGGACTTCCTTTGCCAGTAGCAAAATATGAGAATAGGTTTTCCCCTCTGGTCTAACACCGTTTTGAGACGAGGCTCGAAAGAAAGCTGTCTCTGGTGTGGACCAATCAGTTTCAAAGACACTGCATATATTATCAGAGTATGTTTTTTGTTTGCATTCTGACCACAAGTATTGTGGTTAATGCAGACATGATTCATAGTAAAAGGTTTCAGTTTGGTGTTTTAACATCTTAACACAGCTGTTTTGTTATTTTTGGTTCAATTCGGTAAAGTCACGTAGAAGGGAAACCCTATTCTCACAGCTTGCCGATAGTTCTAACTGCCGTGCCACGAGATCGGACCGATGATCTCCGTATATCTTTCGCAAGCCCAGCGAGCTGACCATCACACGGAGGCAGAGCATCTCCCCGCTCAATCGTACTCGAACAATATTCGCCTTCAGATTTTCAGCACCGGACCTGACAGCGTCTCCCAGTAATAATTAATCCAGCAGAAGGATTTGAGAAGTTCTGCGGCAGTTTACTTCATTAGCTGATGACCGAATGGATGTACGTGTGTTGAAATTATTTCGCAGCGTACGTAACCAGCCTTGCTAATCGGAGGTGCGGGGGAAGGACAACAAACTAAACACAAAAAGCAGTTCTTAAGAAATGAGTTTTCAATCTAGATGATTGAAAAGTGCAAAGCTCCCAGTGGCTTCCTAATATCGGAGGGAAGAGCGTTCCAGACGGCCGCGGAAACGCATCTGAAAGGGCCGCGCGATTGCGGTGACCGTCTTTGTTCGATGGCCAGGCAAAAGCTACTGCTGCGAGGATGACCGGAGTTCGCGTGATGATGGTGTGATGCTCATTGACGAGATCCGCAAGGCATCGCGGTTCATTTGCGGCAAGCACTTTGTGTGTAATGAGTGAATGGCTGGCAAACATCTGGCAGATCGCTTTTCGGAAAGCCCCGCGGAGAAATGTCGGGCTAATTTAGGCAAGTCCACGTGGACTTCGCTCGTTTGCAGAGACCACTTGACGTGGCGAACTGAAGGCATCACCCGGGGCGCTGGTGTGTACCCTGGCGTAAGCGTGATTGCAATTTGTGCAATTACGCTGGTGCGGAATGCATTGTTGTTCGCGTATCTATGCGCGTGTCGCCGTAAGTGTAGGTGTGTTGATGTTGATATATATACAGAACTTCTGATGTCCGTGGACCTATTACCCGCAGCTCCTATAATTATCAATGGCAGCTGTCGGCTCCACGCAAACTCCTATTATACGCGCCCCTATATCTTCCCATTGTGTGCAATGATCCGTGATTTTACCCATAATGCACAGCAAAGCAGTTTCCTAATACTCGTATTTTTTTGTGGATAAGAGGAATCACTTGGGAAAATCATCGCATTATCCGCGGGGTTATCCGCAATTTTTTTATTTTACCCCATGGACAGGAGGATTCAAATTTGCGGTGGATAATAGGATCAGCGATATTGGTCGCCAAAACCAGCGCAGATACGAGGATTCTCCTCTACGTTGAAATTGCAGCGGTGGCCTCATGGTTAAAGCTAATCTTGGCAACAACCGACAGTCAAAAAGGCATTACCCTACGAACCTCGGTCACCTGAGTTTGATTCCCAATCACGGTTGACATCAGTGACTGTTATCTGAATCTGTTCTGGGCACCACCTAGGTTTACTCAAACCTTAAACGAGTACCTGATGTGGTGGCATGTAAACATGAGCAACGTGAGGGCCGGGCGTGGTCACTAGCCACACTGTGCTGAGGTTAATAGGTGCTCGCTAACAACGCAGTCGACCCGGGTTCGATTCCCGCTCACGGCCAACACCGGTGACGATTATCTGAACCGGCCTAGGCCTCCCCTAGGTCGACTCAGCCTCAAATGAGTACCTGGCCTGGTGTGTAAACATCGCCGCTGGAGAGACAAAGGCGGCCGGTCGTGGTGCTGACCACCCACCACCTGTGTAAGTAGGCTACATGGGTGACCTTCGCCTTTGTTTTGTATGCATCTGTACGAGTATGTAATGTGTGCGTATGTGTAGGAGTGTGTAATGAGTGAGTATGTATAGGAGTGTGTAATGAATGCGTATGTGTAGGAGTGTGTAATGTGTGCGTATGTGTAGGAGTGTGTAATGCGTGCGTATGTGTAGGAGTGTGTAATGCGTGCGTATGTGTAGGAGTGTGTAATGTGTGCGTATGTGTAGGAGTGTGTAATGCGTGCGTATGTGTAGGAGTGTGTAATGCGTGCGTATGTGTAGGAGTGTATAATGAATGCGTATGTGTAGGAGTGTGTAATGAGTGCGTATGTGTACGAGTGTGTAACGCGTGCGTTTTGCGGTGTGCACTACGATACGACCCGGTGGCGAAACAGCGTGGTAACACCTAGCGATGATCTAATTCGCCAAATACAAGCCAGCAGGACATATCGACGCACATCGGTGGCGGTGGTGGCGGCGTCGTTGTTAGGTGGCGGTGGTGGTGGCAATGCCACGGCGGATTTGGTACGTACAAGTCTAACGTCTAAAAAAATTAAAGAGGCAACGAAGCCGACGTAAACATTCGTCTCGATTAGTGAGCTCCCAATGAAGACGGGCAAGTGATCTGGCAGGCCGCGGTGAACCACTGCGTACAACGCCGGGTGCGATGCGTTAAAATATTATTACGCTTGCTAAACGGCAGAAATGACGTCGCCCATCGGCCGATCAGAAGCCTGCACGGCGCGGGCCGTGGAGACGGGGGAATTACGCTGCGAGACGGATGACGTTTTCACCGTTCTGTCATTCTCTCATCCTGTCGCTCAGATTAGTGGGTGGAGAAAGGTGGCGACGTTCGCATCTCAAGACGAGCGTGCGTGCATATGCATGTGTGTGCGTGTGTGTGTGTGGGAACGTGTGTGTGTGCGGGGAGCGGTGGTGCAGCGGTTAGCACGCTGCGTTACAAACCCGGTGACCCGAGTTCGAGTCCTGCTCATGGCCAACACCGGTGACGATTATCTGAACCGGTCCTGGGAACTCCCCTAGGTCGACTCAACCTCACATGAGTACCCGGTGTGATGTGTAAACATCGCCACTGGGGAGACAAAGGCGGCCGGGCGTGGTGCTGGCCACCTACCCCCTCGTGACCCATGCCGACCTTCATAAGTGCTCACTAACAGCACTTGCCCCAACAGTCTGTTCAGGCTATATGGGGAATCTTTGCCTTTTGTGTCATGCAAACGTTATGCCCGCATTTATATTCTCTGGCGTGCTCTCGTCAGTGGGTGCGTGAAGGCAAGACAACTAATGAATAATCCAACCCCACGTGCCCCCACTGCTCACCCAGCCAGATGCTTGCTTCAAGGCAGTCTCAGGAGGAAATGCCTCTGCCAACCACTCAGCCCCCGCCCCACCCCCCCCCGATCGCCCCCAAAAAAACACTACTGAACTACAACCTCCCAAACGGTCTTCTCCCTGGTGGCGTTTCCACAGCGACATCTGAAATCTCAGCGCTTTAGGGGGCCACTGCCAACGAGATGGGGGAAGTCGTGAAGTCTCCAACCGATTCACTCCGGTCACCTGCTCAACTGCGGTCCGTCGCCTCCGTATCACTCTTCTGTCACCGCCAATGAGATGGGAGGTGGTCGTGGAGACTCCAACACAACAGAGCAGAGGTGATCTGGTGCCCACCAATTCACTCCGGTCACCTGCTCAACTGCGGCCCGTCGCCTCCTTATCACTCTTCTATCGCGACTACTGCTGCCGCCATTGTTACTGTTCCCACAAACTTGACTCATCCGCTCCTGCCACCCACGTTGATGAACTCTGTCCTATCAGCCTAACGGTGTCATCTCATCCATTTTGTGTGGAACCACCACCACACACAAACACACACCGCCGGTCAGAACGCTCATCTCTCTGCTTCCCTCCCCTCACCGCCCATCTTTGGAATTCCCTCCATTCGCGCCTGGGCAGCCGCCGGGTTAACTCAGCCTTAAATTACTACCTCGTTTGATGTGTGACCATCACCACGGTGGGGAGACAAAGGCAGCCGGGTGAGCGTGGTGCTAGCAACACCGCCCTTTTGCGTGCCATGCCATCCTAACAGATGCTCACTAACAGCGCTTGCCCCAGCGTACTATAAGGGATGTTTGTATTTATTTATTAAACCGTGTATCTCCATAGAGTTCAAACATATGCAATCAGTTTCCACACACACACACACATGTAGAAGAGTTAACTTATTCACTGCCCTTTGTCAATCCACAATGATGAATGAAGGCCTCACTTTGCTGTGGCTGTCAAGGTGGTTGTTTGACCATACTTCACCAGGCTGGTCAGTGTGAGTTTGTGAAGGGGGCTCTGGCCCGGTTGAGATAGTGCAGTGCGCTAACCACTGCACCCCCCACCCCAACACAAATGTCCAATGTTAACTACTTTGTACTGTTCGCCAAAAAGCGAAGAGTACAAAGAAAATGCACTATTAGAGCATTTATAGATTTATATAGCTATAAAATATATCTATGTCTATAAATACATATATAGCATTGTCTTTACTGGCCTAACAATGGTGAGACTAGGCCATGAAGTAGGCTGTCTGTGCGGTAGGCCATATATTATCAGAGCGTGTTTGTTTGCATATTCGCCATAATTACTGTTATGGATAATGCAGACTAGAGTCCTTGCAAAAGGTAGCTATTTGGTGTTTGAACATCTTGACACCTATTTTATTTCCAGAAAGAGTAAAACCTCTTCTTATTTTTCATACGTATGACATGCACTCTGCATAGGGTTCCGATAACAACGGTTTGTTTGGCTGTTTAGAACAAACGCGTGTGCAACTTGTTTCTTAGTTTTGGTAAATAGGTGTTCAGGAAAGTGTATAAATAGGTTGGTGGGAGAGTTAGACAACTGGTTAGTGGGAGGGTTTAATCGGAAAGAGGAGAAGCTTTATTCACTTGGGACACTGAGGATGAGGGAGGTCCTACGCATGTTGCGATGCTCACCTCTGGGAAACTTAGCGGTCACGATTCCCAACAAAATAAACAACATCCCAGAACGGAAATCGTAACGATACAAAACATTTCGACCGTGAGCACAAACTCTCATACCGCTACAAATATAAAAGCATCCCTTTCTTGTGCGCATTCCCTGGCAGATTTAGCCAGATGGACTCTTAAGAGGCAGGGGTACTCACACTTTACCCCACCACATTGGACTGCCAATTCACGACGTGTACGAGAGCCTGACCGCGGTACGAGCGGGTGGACAGAGGCAATGGCAGATGATGCGCGGGGATTGAAGCCAATCGTGGCTGTGACTCCATATTGGCACTTGTCTTAAGATTACTTGGTTGCTCTAAATTTCCACGTGATGAGCCACTTTCTTTAGCTATCATTTGTGGCCAGGTCGCAAAAGAGCTATATAGCTCAGTGAGCCTTATCTGCTAAAATAAAAATAGAAATAGTTTATAGGACTGTGGTTCCACGTTTGCTATTGGCTCCACACAATCATAATTTAGAACATCTTGTCAGCCACTGCTGGATGAAGGCCTCCGCATGCCAATGCCGGTCGCGGGGAGTTGTTTGATCTCACGTCACCATGCTGGTCAGCGCCGGTAGGATCAAGAGGGTAACGGGTCGAGGAGCGGTTCACATATGACAGTCGCCACTGATGATAGCCGGGGCCGGGACTCGAACCCACATCGCTGGGTTCACAGCACCTAACACTGCTCCACTATGGCTCTCCATACCCCCCCCCCCACCCACCAAGCTACCTACACATATTAAATAACATTAACTTCAATTATTAGTTATTTAATAAGGCAAAAGAGCCGATTGAGAATCATGTCTTCCGCAAGGAAGGAACGGGTTACCATTTGCTAAACAATGACAATTCCAAAAGCAAACACTTTGCAGTTCAGCTGCAGATGCATTTTTCACGTTTTTTTTGTTTGCGCGACTAGAACACATTGACCTATACTGCCGTAAGTTGTACAAAGAAAACAACCCCCACTGCTTACACAGATGCCGAATATAACACAGCGGTGGCTTTTGTTGTTTTTTGTTGTCATGAAAACCGAGATAATTCTCTGATAATTCTGTGAATCTTGGCTTAAAACTTTCGTGCAGGAATTCATATTCTTTGGGTCTTTCGGTAAAGTCACATAGATAGGTACAAATTAATAGAAATTTATTTTATATAGGTAAAAAAAAAATTTATATTTATTATTTTTATTAAGCGGAGAGGCTAATAAAAAAAATACATTTTATATGTATTCTTTGTATTAATTTGTACCTATCTACATGACTTTACCGAAAGACACAAATAATATGAATTCCTGCAGTCACGAAAGGTTTACGTCAGGACAGGGAAAGTTCCACAAATTGAGCAACATAAGAGCGACCGTTTCAAATGGTCATCCCAATCATAAATATGGGATGGCATTTTAAAAGCAATTATCCACATCCTGAGACAAATGCCCGAGCTTGAATGCACCATCAGGATCACCAGCGTCAATGGAGAACACCCAGTTTGTTATTCTCTGCATGTTAAACGTACTCCCGTCTTTCGGCCAAATCACAGAAGATGGGCCTACGAATCGAACTGTCTGACTTCCTTCAACACCACAAACAACCGCCACAACGCTACGAGAACCGGGGTGGTGGGCGGCGCGGGGGAAACATAAAACGTCTACCTGCACGCGCGCGCAATTAACTCGCGCATTCGCAGACACGGGCCACGTTCATTTAAAAATCATACTTCAAAGGGGGAAGGGCGAGGGTGGGGTAGAGGAGAATAAAAGTAGGCAATTATTAAAATGACACGGGAGGGGGGGGGGTGAAAGAGAACAGGCGAGGAGAGAGACGTTTGAACGTTTTTGGAGTGCGGAGCGGAGAGCGCTACCCACCTGATCCTTCCTCCGTTACCATACCTAGCCCCTCCGCTTTGTTCTGCCGCTCAAAAGCATTCAGATCCAGAACGCTGCATCGTTGGGAGAGGGGCACATGGGTTTCGCAGAATGGGAAAAGAGGGGAACATGACAATAATATTTATCGTTTTTATTACATTATTAAAAACATCCATAATACAGGGGTTTTTTGGGTGAGATCGCGTAAATATATAAATGTGTCGTTAAACCGGCTACCACCCGACACGGCCAATTGGTAAGGTTTGTGTCGGGTGGTGGCGGGTTTAACGACACATTTATATCTATATTTACGCGATCTAACCCAAAAAACTGTATTAGGGATGCTATTGGTCGCGAAAGCCTACTACGTATTAAACTATTAAAAGCATTTTATTACCACCGATAACCAAACACCACATCAGTTTAACACAGCCAATTAGTAAGGTTTGACACGTAAACAGAACATGCCAATTCGTTACTAGTACAGCACTAACCGGTGTGTTGGAGAGCAAAGCCACAACATTTACAATCTGAGTACGACGTTTTCGCCAGTAATCACAACCAGCTTCATCAGGCGACGGCGTCACTATTCGTCATCATTTCGCTTTGTGCAAGTTCTTTGTTGCGTGCTTCACTTGGGTATTTATTGCTTCCTTGCAACAATTTTTTTTTAACCGAAACTCTTATCTGCTGCTGAACCACTCTGTTGCTGGCCGCATTACCACTTTGGGCGTCTGCTCAGCAACCGTGATTATAAAATAATTATATTACCTGACAAGGACCGCTGCATAAAACGGACAGTAGCCAAGGCTGACTTCTCACAAATTGGTACAAATTTGATCGACCCCGAATTGCTGATGGGCTGAGTTGATGCCCGACTGTGAATTCAACTTGCAACCTTGCCGACATGAAGTCCAACACACTAACCTCAGCACTACCCATAATATATTACGTATAAAAACACGACAAACGGAATAATATCACAATTACCTAAATCATTTTTATCTTTACACAATATACATTTTTGCTCATTTACATGTGACTGTTTGGTAAAAGAGGTCGAAAAATTACATTGCAGTTCTTTAAATAATAATATGTGCACATTTGATATGTTTTGCAATTTATTTGCATGACTGTATATACATAAGAAAATAATATTTAAATAAAAAAATTTCCCGAACTACACAATGTAAAAAATATATGTATTTACATGATTGCTTGCGCCAGCAGATGAATTATTGCATTGCAATTCTTCACACAATAATAATATTCAATTGTTGGTAGTTGATTGAATAATACGTTTACATTCACTAGTATGGCAGCCGGGCCCATACATAGACAGCAATGAACTGCGGATCTCCGCGTCGAATCGTAATAATAGCATGCACGCATCGTCACACGTATAACTGTGGGTCATTTGTGTGACGTCAACTAAAAGCACGCCAAAAAAATCATTGCGAAGACATTTAATCTTGTGGTCCAAAACGGGACAGCCTACCACATCCCCCTCTAGACCAGAAGCTTCTGAGAGTGAACAATCAACGTTTCTGTTAACATTCCAAATTAACGTTTTATTTCGACAGGAACATTTTGTTTTATTGCGGGGGATGGAGACGCTCACGCGGCCACATCAATCAGGGGGCAGCAATTTCCCCGGCGTTGCATTGCGGCAATGCCTGCGAGTCTCGCGCGCTCCGCGTTCAGCGCGTGACCTGCCCCGACGCCGTGTGACTGGCGGGCCAGCAAAGGCGGCCAGTCGGCCCGGCTGGGATATGTTCCATCTCGATATGCAGAAGAGCGTTCGGCGAGGTTGACACCGACTGCCTCTTTTTGGGTTGGATCGATTCCACCTCAAACGAACACTAGGCTGGGGCTCCCAGCGTCAACGTTTAGGGGGTTGGGGGGGGGCTATATCCAGTGGTGTATATTCCATGTTACCGTAGCAGTGGCGAGTATCACCAGGAAATGACCGAGGCTCACCTCTCTTTTCTATTTTAATTATGCCAATGGGCTGATGGAATGAGTAGATGATCGCCTGGGATTTTTACTGGCCACATTTGCCAAATATAATGAAAATGTATGCTTTCAGATTTTTCATTTTATTTAAACGTTGTCAATTAATTGCTGCATGAGTGCCTCCCCATACTGTGCAATTCACTGGGTGTTGCTTAACCATACTTCACCACGCTGGGCAATGCCAGTTAATAACCAGCATCATGTTAGCCATGGCAAAGAATCAAAACTCGGGTCATCTGGTTCATAGCCCAGGGTGCTAAGCACTGAGCCACAGCTCCCCCTTATCACACGTGGAATACAAAAAACGTTGTAGAAAGAGTTTGCATCAGATGGAATCTCTGCAATATGCCATTAGGCTCGATACTTGATTTGTGAGAATACAGGAGTGACATTTGAAAATTGATTTATAGCCTCTATATAAACTGTTGACATGGCCGTGAGATGTTCTTCACCTGCATATCTGCATGAGTCCCGCAACGCTTTGGAAAAATGTGCTGTCCTTCTTGTCCTTGAGATAGTCCAGCATTTTCTACGACAACAAGATCATTGCTGTGTCAGTAGTACAAAAGTGAAAACCGACGTAGAATAAATCCTTTGACAAAATCAAGTTAGCCAACAACGGGACGACACGATTTCGACAGGCAACTCCAAGAAAAAAGCGGCAACTTGTTGGGGCAAATGACGTTACGCAACGCTTGGCCAGATTTTAATTGGCGTGTTGGAGCGTTCGCGAGATGGAAGCACAGCAATTCGGAACGGCACGGCTTTTCATTTTTACTCCCCCCTCGTTTTTTTTTCCCAGATATAATCAAATCCATGGTTTTATCGGGACTGCGGCCGTCCCCCGTGTCGCGTCACAAAAACGAAGCATCAATTCGGATCAGTCCGCGGAAGCGGGAGTGGCAGAGCTACCCTCTCTCTGAGGTCACTTCAAGTGACCTCTGCTACACGCGCAGCGCGGAGAGGGGACTTTCAGACCCACCGGCTCATCAAAGCATGATTCTTTTAGGGGTGGCGGGTTAGATTGTGGTGATATAACGTCAAATGTGTTGAACTATTGCCCTCCGCCACTCGACAGAGCCAATCAAATCATGTTGTCACATCGTGGGCAAAATATGCCGACTGATTTGGATTTTCAGCAAAAAAATTCGAAGAGTGCTGAAAATCAAGTGGAATTTTGACAATCTTATCCGACGTTTCACTCGAGATTACGTCCGGCAAAACAGCTAACCCCTCGCGTGGATTAGCCGAGCCATTGGAGGTTTACAGAAAAAACAAAATGACATTGCAGCAATGCGTATGCATGCATATGGTCAACTTCTTTCGCACCGTACATAACCAAACGTAGTAATCGATGATGCAGCCCAAAGCAAACCCCATCATGAATCGTGACATTGGTCGTGAGAGCCTACAAATGGAATCAACAGAAGCGGAGCGTGCTGACGATAGTGAGTCGAGCAGGAAATTCACTCACGTTCTGTACGATGCAGTTGCCACCATTCAGTACGGCAATCCCAAGCTTCAGCGTCGACCGAACCATGGGGCTTTTCACGCCTGCGGCACACAGGAATATTTTATTGCAACACAGATAAGATCAAGATTAGATCAAAACGTTTCATTTCTTTTTTTTTCAACTGGGGTAAACGAATGCGTGTTGGCAGATGCGCAGCGTCCGCGGGATGTCGCTCGAAACGCAAACCAACTCGGCGGAAGAGAGTTAAGATTTAGCTTTACCTCCTCTCCATCCCCACACTCCAGTGCCCCCCTCTCCCCTTGACCAAATTTTGTAAAAAAATTGGCTTTCCCATAAGAAAAAAAACAACTCAACCCGTTCTTCAAAATCACCACGGGGGGACTTAAAAGGGGAAAAGTGCATAACAGGCGACGTTTTGGGTAATCGCCCTTCTTCATTGGGAAACAGCGAGGCCAAGCGAGGTAGCAAAAATAGAGAGGTGAGAGAGGGGTACCGGCCTCTTTCTCTCTCTCTCTGCATGCTGTGAAGAAAGGCCATTGCTCAAAGACGTCACCCATTATGTACTTGTCTTAATGCAGCCTTGCTATTGACGAGCGTGTTGAGTGCGTTTGCTATTTGTGTTCATGTAACCACCGCCAACGCAAGCACCAGCAGCAGCATCGCAAAATATTTTCCCATCAACACATGGCCTGAGCCTCTTGTGCGAAGGAAACACCTTAAACCATCTCACCTAATTCTAGATTTGAAGCTTTCGTGACTGCAAGGATTCAATAATAAATAACAGAAAAATTTATTATTTCTATTATTTGTTCTATTATGTTTTATTATTTATTTTTATTATTTATTTTTTCCCTACGTGACTTTACTGAAAAAACCTAAGAGTACCATCTCACCTACTCGCTCGCTCACTCGCCCTAGCAATCGCTTCACCAAGCACGCTCGCCTACTCGCTCACTCACTCACCCAAGCAATCACTTCACCAAGCACGCTCACGAGCTCGCTCACGACCTCGCTCGCTCACTCACTCACTCACCCACGCACTCTCTCGCAAGCACCTGACATGACCAGAGCCGTCACGTTCGGCAACGCCAACGCGTTCTGTGCGGTTGACCGATTTGCGTAATTAGCGGCCACGGGAGACACCTATCGGTAAAATTTCGCTCATCAAGACGGCGCCAGTGGCAGCCGGGGAGGCGCTGTTATTTTATTGGGCCATATTTGCATGGGAGGTGTGTGTGTGGGGAGCGGTAGTGCAGCGATTAGCGCACTCCACTATGGACCCGTCGACCCGAGTTCCATTCCAACTCACGGCCAATATCGGTGATGATCATCCGACTAAGCCTCAAACGAGCACCTGGTATGGTGTGTAAACATCACCACTAGGGAGGCATAGGCGGTTGTGCATAGTAGTCAACAGCAGCCTGTTAATGCTATGAGAGGGTGTATTTAGGTTTGATACTCTTCGAGCTGGAATGCAGCTAAAATTAATCAAATTAAGTCAAAACATTTATTTCATGTGACGGCGGGGGTGGGGGGGGCATTTTTTGTGCGGTCATGCACCACACCAGAGACTTACCAAGTCACATGGAGCCATAGCCAACTGAGCCTGGACCAACGTCCTGATTTGGCCAACAGCGGTGAATTGTGTGAGCACAATTTAAATGAGCGGGGATCTCCAAGTAAACTCACTCTCATTGGCCATGTAAATACATGGGTACGGCTACAACTAGAGATGTTGCTGCTTGCTTTCTCACGTGGTACCAATGTTCGTCCTTGCCCATGGACTCACCGAGAGGTCACGGGTTTATTCACGGGCGGCTGAAACCCATATTCGATCGCGCGACCTCAGTAGTGCCGGCTCAGCGGTTAGGAAACACACCACACGCACGCGGCATATCATAGAGCTGTCGCGGTGTAACGGTCAGCTCGCTGTGACTTGCAATCCGGAGGTCGCCGGTTCGACTCGACATCCCGGCGCGGCTGCGGTTGAAACGACGGTGCGAGTTTCTTGAATCCCCCCTCCCCTCTCTGCCTCTGTCCACCCGGCGGCATAGAAAGGTTCAACGCCGTTGGTCGACCGGCAGGCCAGGCGTGGTGGGGTAAAGTGTGGGCACTCCCACCGCTTCCTAAAGGTCTGCTCAGCGTCGAAGAGAGAAGGTCAAATCCCCTTTGTCGGGGCTCTTTTTAGAGCTCCGCCTCACGGCACGAGCGAGCGCTTTCAGCGCGACGACTTAGCATTTACTTAAAGAACTCTGAACTTTTAACGGGAGCGCGCTGATTTATAACCGAGTCACCCAGAGTCGATTGTAGATACATTTCAAGTCTGAACTACGGCGGGTGACTGACTGGGCCACAGATATTAGTTTTCACATGGGTGGCCTGTACGTAAGTGGTGTTTGTTGAAATTCTTTAGCGCCGTACGTAGCCAACCGTGAGAATCAGAGGTGTAGTGTAGAGGTTAGTGTAATGTGTAATGTATAGTGATGTCGCATATAGCGACGTCGTGTATAGTAGTGTAGTGTATGGTTCATCGTGTAGTGAATAGTGTAGTATCTACGTATGTTGAACTTCTCTCGCACCGTACGTAGCCAACCGCGCTAATCGGAGGTGCCGGGGAAGAACAACAAACTAAACACAAAAATGCAGCTCTAACGAAATCAGTTTGTCAATCTAGATCACTTAAAAGTGCCTAACTCCAGTGACTTCCTAATATCAGAAGGTGAAGCATTCCAGATGGCCACGGAAGCGCGTCTGAAGGCGCACGATGCGGTGACCGCCTTTCTTCGATGGCAGCAGCCAAAAGCCGCTGCAAATTCGCACCAAACCGCATCTTCGATTTAACCGCAAGCGTCACCGGGGCTCCGTGGTTAAAGCCGTGTCGGAAATGCATAAGCACGTCCCCCCAATTTCCACTCACTCCACCCCCCCCCCCTCTCCCACCTCCCACCACCCCTTGGATCACAGACTGTGGAAGTCTGCAGACAAGGTTCTTAATGGGCCACGCTGCAGATTGATGGAGCACTCTCTTGCGTTGTGTAGCAATTCCACGCTGGAGCAATGGGCCACACGAGCTCTTGGGAAGCCGCAGAAAGAAAGTTAAATAATGAAATAATGGTGGCTCTGCCGCAGAGTTTGCTGACGGTAAGAGAGGGGGGGGGATCAGGCCTCCGCCTGATGACCCATCCTATGTGTGCTCACAACGTGCCACTTTTCTCCTCTGCTCCTGACTCTCCTCTCTATCTTCATATTCTTCCTAATCGCTCCCTTACCCCTGCTCTCTTGCCCTTCTGTTTGCCCTTCTCTCGGAGACCACAGAGAGTCTACCCCGGTCGCGTCGGTGTTGTGCACCCTTTGCCTCTGCTCTTCCCTGCGCACGGTGTTGTTGAAAAATAAAAACATTTCAATGAACAACAAGTCGGAGCAAACCTCTAAATTTGAGAGAGATTTGATTCCATTTCCCCCCTCCTTCCCACTATTCATTCTGCGTGTCACCGGGGTGGGCTGGCTGTTGTTGGTTCGGTCGATGGAGAATAAGGTGGATAAGGTGGGTGTTGATGGGGGGTAGGGGGTCAAACCTTTGCTGGCTCCCAGCATCTGCAGCACCATCTCAGCCGCCCCCCTCTCGTGCAGGCGAGACTGCTGGTACTGCAGCTTCTGCTTCTCCATCTCCTTTTCCTGCACCGTGACAAAATGAGAGACACAAATGTGGAGGTCAGAGGGCTTCCAGTAAGGGGCCATCCATTTAGTACGTACACAAAAATCTGTCAAAACTTGACCCCTCCCCCCTTCCCTGTACGCACCCCCCCCCCCTCCGAATCCTATAGAACGGACGATATTTAATCCACTCAGAAACGATCAAGGATTAATAATATTAACGTGTTGAAACAAACAGATAGTCCACCGTCGGACTATCTAACTAATTTGAAGGCCAACGTAGACAAATTATTGACGAGGCTTCAGCCCCCCCCCCCTCCCATTTCCTACGCATACATTGTCAGTAGACCCCCATACGCAAGCGTACGCATTTAGGTTACCTACCCCCCTCCATGCATACGTACTAAATGTATGCCCCTAAGCTTTCACATCCAGTGTAGGTTAGCCATTCTGGTCTCTAAAGCTCCAACGTGGTCTTGGACCAATGTAACCTGCGTGCCCGACTGATCTGCCACACGACTGGTGGGGTCTCTACTCCACGCCGTTCAGAGCAGGACCCTTCTAATACTACTCCTCTCCCAGCGTCGGACCTTGTGCTCGACGCCACGGGGTCGGGCCTTCTCAAGCGTTGCCCCAAGGATCTGGAGTGCCTTTGCCGGCGGTCATCTGGCACGTGACGAGCCTGGTGTGATAATTGGTTTTTTACCCTTTTATCTGGCAACAAAACTGATACCTTTTTTACAAGGAGTCATGTTTGCATAGACCACAATACCTGCAGTCATAATGCAAACAAAAAAACATAACTCTGATAATGTATGCACTGTCCTTGAAGTTAATTGGTCCACACCCGAGACAGCTTTCCTTAAAGCCTAGTCTCACATGGGTTGGACCAGATGACGCCAAAAGGCGCACAACTCAAGGACAATGCACCATCAGAGTATGAGAGCTCGGGGTGAAGCATTTGCACCATTGGAACCTCATGACTCCTTGTAAAAAAAAAAAGTGTCAGTTTTGTTGCCAGATAGAAGGGTAAAAAAACAATTATCATATTTTTTACTGGCAAATGAGGTTACAATGGAGCCTCGGTGTGTTTAGGAGAGGCAGTGCAACACTCACTACTTTCTCGTGGCTTTTGCTTCAGCGGTATTTTTTTGTGTTTGCATTTTATGTTAGTGTGCAATGTTTTGACACCCCCTTTAAGTGGAGGTGATATTACATTTGAAATCAATACGGTTCACAGGAACGGTTTAAACCATTCGCCACTCGTGTTAGCCCTGGCCAGTAGTAGCTCTCAGGTTATTGGGCTCTTGGCGCAGGCCACAAACCGCGACCAACTACTGTGCCACCGCTCCAGAGACAGAGAAAATAAAGACAGAGATCACCAGCATTGCTTTGCACAGACTGCTGAGGCAAGCGCTCTTAGCGAGCACCCATGAAGGCCGGCACGGCTCGACACACAGCGCTCGCAACATTCACACACTACGTGAAAAACAATTGCGCTCTGGTATCGTAGGAACCAGAGTACCTTAGCCAGCTTGCCTTATTGAATACCATTAAATTAGCACTCCTGCATAATGTTTTCCTTGGGCGGAATATAAAGATAACAAGTGTGTGACATATATTTAATCAAATAACAGGATACAAAGTCTTTCTTTATAATCAGGTGATAAACCATTTGGATACACTTTATTTATTTTTACTGGGGACAGCTAAGGAAATGTAATCCGAAACGTTATGAGTTTTTTCACTTTTTTTTACCTCACAATAAAAACGAAAGAGACATTTTGAATACATTAAGCAAGACATATATTTCGAAAATACTACAGGATAAGCCATTAAGATAAAGTGGTTCCATTTCCCACAGGGATAGCACTTTGACGAAAAGTTTGTCAGATCAAAGGCTTTATTGCTCACTATAAATCCGCAAAAATGCCATCTGGCGTCACATTAGATGGGGGATTACTGCCTCTGTGCTGGATTTACTGCGAGCGGGAAGTCTGTTATTTGTTCATTCGCATTGATTGGTCTCGCGGTGGATTACACCAACTTTCCACTCCTGCTTCATTTCCACAAACCGCCGGCAAAGCAGACCAGGCCTCGAGCCCAGCAAGCTGCCTGGCTTTGGTCTCTCGGCATCAGCTCAAGAGTCCCTAGTCAAGAAGTCTCCGAGCTCCACGAGTGACGGAGACCCTGTGGATGGGCCCCTACCAAAACCGCCCGTTGTTGTTGTTGTTTTATTTATAAAAAGTTCAACAAAAGCCGAGGCTGACCATCAGACGATGCCGGACGAAGGCTTCCCCAAGTTTTCAGCATCTCGCACGGTCTCACCCACCGCACGCAGCCTTCTGTCGTCCGTAATTTGTGACCCCAGTCACACCTTCAATAATTGCCCTCACAAGGTGCACATGCCCTCGCGTGTTGACGCGCTTTCAATTGGAAACAATTTGGGGGAAATCACAGAAGAAATTCAGTGACGAAGGCCACGACGCTGGGCTCGAGATAAACGAGCAACACAAAAGTAATTTGCTGTATCCAATGGGCGTACACTCGTTTCATTGACCCTGGCGGCAATGATGGGCCGAGTCAGCCCCCAGCCAGGATTTGAACCTCGCGACCTTCCGATTAAGAGCCGCTCGCTCGCTCTCTCGCTCTACCGTTGAGTCACCTGACAGGATTTTCTTATAATAGAGATCATGAATCCTTGAAGAGTCCTCACCCGGTCAAATAAAGGCCACTGATTTATGTTAATGAACCTCATCGGTCGAGGCTCATTTGCACCGAGATGGAGAAATGAATTATATATCCTTGCACTGGAATTCACGAGTAAAGTGAAAGGATGCGGCGAAATGAGCGAACGCACCGGGTCCAGGAAAGGACCTTAGCAAACGCACGACGGAACACGTCAAGATTTCACACTGGCACTCGCGTGAATGAACCGAGGGTGCGGCGTCGATGAGCTACGCACGCGAGTGAACAAATTAAAAATAAACGATCCGTCGGCAAAGGGATTTAGTTTCAGCTCAGTCGTTAAGCACAGGCCCGCCACGTCAAGTGGGCAACAACAAACAGCACTGTTAACGTTGTCAGAGATAAAATAGTTAACACGGTTTGTTGACGGTGGTTTACAATGTATAAAGAGGAAAGTATGACACATGGGCAAGGGTAATAACAACAGTGACAGCCAATAAATGGAGTGCATCTGGGAACGCGGCTGAGTGTTCGCAGGCAACTGAGCGATCAAATCGGGAATCGTGAGCGATGGACAGCACATTGAGGAGGCCTTCATCCAGCAGTGGATTGGCATGGCTGATGAATAAACCGCAATTTAGCTGTGCAAGGTTGAACAAAAGTGACTGCTTTTAAACTAATGCATGATTGAGCAAGTGGAAGATTTTATCAAAATATGATGAATTGATTATTATGAACGTGAATGTATTTGTGTAGCTGAAGGTCAAGTATAGGGTGTTATAATTTAACAACAATAAAACATTGATTTTGCTTATTTAATTTCCCAGCACCGTATTTTAAATCGACTCGCACTTGGCAAGCAAAGCTGCCCTTCAGTAGTGCACACTTTGGTCACGGTTATTTTACGCTTTTAGAAAAAGCAACTACATGGTGGCGAGATATCGGGCACAGCTGAAGGACAAGATGAACAAAGGATTCATCTTCTTGGTTCTTTCGGTAAAGTCACGTAGAAGGTAAATAATAAAATAATAAAAATAAAACATTATATTATTTTATTATGTTTTATTTTTATTATTTTATTTAAATAATATAATATATTATATAATTAAATAATATGATATACTTATATTATTTAATTATGTTAAATTTTTATTATTTTATTATTTCCCTTCTACGTGACTTTACCGAAAGAACCAAGAAGATGAATCCCTGCAGTCACGAAAGCTTTAAATCGAAATTTAAAGGATTTATGCTTTCAATCCAGCAGCATTTGTTTAAAAGAAAATTGACTCTGCTGCTGATGAGACCGTCAAGGTCAAAAACCAATTCAGAGTTTGGTTGTTTTAAGAAAGATGCTAATAAGTCTGGAAAACCAAAAAGGCCATTGGACTAAGATACATATCGTATTATTTATATGTAAAGACACAAAATAGAGGTCTGCTTATGTAGATTTGCAGGAATCCATACTCTGGTTCTTTCGGTAAAGTGACGTAGGTATAAAATAAAATAAACAAAATAAATGTACCTACGTGACTTTACCGAAAGAACCAGAGAATCTGCTTATGTTTGCTTTTCCACGTATTCCTCCAACAGCAACCCACTGTGGCAAACGTACTGATACCACGACCAGCATCGCTTTCTTCCTTTTGCCAGATCAGGCAGCTTGAACTCTGAGGCCAATGGGGGCGTTTGATTCGATTCTCTCAAAATCAAAGTGAATCAGTGGGGGCAGGGGGGAACTTGAAGAGAATGACTTCCACGTGTTCATGTTTTTTTTAAATACTTTTAAACGGTTTCTTCAAACAGTAAATTTCGGTTGTAAAATAAACACGTCGAACGAACTTGGTATTTCTGAGTGCTCGTGCTCTCTGGGGGCTAATACTGGTAGGAACCTCCTGGTTACACCAGCCCACAGGGGATTATTGTGTCCGTCCATCCGTCGCGCATCTAAAAATGGCAGGGGTGGGGCTGGGTGGAGAGGGGAGAGAGGGGAGGGGCTGGGTGGGGAGGGTGGGGAGGGGCTGGGTGGGGAGGGGAGGGGCTGGGTGGGGAGGGTGGGGCTGGGTGGGGGGTGGGAGGGGTGGGGCTGGGTGGGAAGGGGCTGGTCACCCCGTGGTGCCCTTAAACGTTTAACCTACTCACGCCGGCTTGTACCCGCCCTCACAGTCAGCCATATTTGCGGAATACACCACGCCGCCGTTGACCCTGGCCATTAACCGAGCAACCCAACGTTCCTACCAGCTCCCTCCGCAGGAATGTGTTTTGGCCGAGGGTGCCGTGTCCTGGTAGCCTCATGCGCAGTGACCATGGTGGAAGGGGGAGAGGGCAGGAGGGGGGGGGGAGGCGCGGGATGGGGGGCTCCGGGGGTAGTAGAGCACTCTCAGGGAGAGGCTCCCAGATGGGGGGAGGGGGGCGGGCGGGCTCCTGGGAGGGGGGCTTCCGGGGGGGTAGGGGGGGCGCACGGGGTGAGGGGGGCACCCGGGGGGGAGGGACACCCGGCGGGGGGGGGGAAGCGTTCTCGGGGGGGGGGGAGCACCCGGTGGGGGGGGGGGGAAGGAGTGGCTCCTAGAGGGAGAGGCGGAAGGGGCTCCCAGGGTCCCACACCGACCTCAAACGTGGCGGAGTCCTCCTCCTCCTCGTCAATGCCGGCGTGGCAGCTCTGCAAGGCAACCACAGGGCAGGGCGAGTCACGGACTCCACTCGCGCAGAGGCCCCCCCCCCCCCCCCCCATCAGCCCGATCATGTCAAATGCGATCCTCCGAGAAAGCACTGAACACGTCATTTTAAATCGAGAGCTATGAAACTATGAAACGTAAAATAACGTGGAACGTAATTAATTCAACGGACGTATTCGTAAAAAAATCTAAATATAAATGAAGCGGAATGCGTGTTTACCTTGGCCATTATGTCGGCGTAGGCCATGTACAAGAAATCCTCCTCCAGTTTCCTAGTTTACCAACAACAACAAAAAACAAAAGGGAAACATTTGACACAAATCTCAATGGAATCACTCTCGGTGCGCAGCGTCGGCGAGTCTCACACGCGACACAAAAAGCCTACGGGGGCCACATTGTTGGATGCACCTCGGGCCCCGCGTCTCATTCTTGGGGCCATGTTATCAATTGCCGAAAGGCCTCAGTCTTGAAGCCATTCGGTCGCTTTTTGATTTGCACATATGCTCTGTTTCTTTTTTTTCGTCCTGTTTGCAAGAAGATGTAGCGTGGGTTTTGTGCAATTTGTTGTTCATGCTCTTGTTAGTTTCCAGAGTACCTCCACCCTGCAATGTCCTGTTACTGCCACCACTGCTGGCGGTCTTGGGCTGTTGACCGTGGGTCTCTAAGCAACTCTATGGGTCTCTGTGAAACTCGATGGATCTCTGTGTAACCCTATGCAACTGAAATGTCCTTTAACTGCCACCGCTGCCGGCGGTGCGGGGCTGCGGTCATCCGAGTAAGAGAGCTGCTCAGTGGGATTTGCCAGCTGAAATAACAAATTCCGATTCACGTGGCCAGTCGGGTAATTAGCACATTTGTTTTATTGCAGACATTCTCACAACGCAAGGCCACCACCAAAGTGTTACGTTTCTGAGACAATTAACGTCTGCAGTGGAGGGTAATATAATTTTTACATCACCACCTGCGTCCGCTCAACCGCCTGTCCTCCCCAGTGCAGACGCTCATCAACTCGCTGCATCAAGGACACACACGATAGGGCAAGTCACCCTTGGAGAGGAGCTCAGATAACGCTCGAAGCACAAACTGCCACTGGGTTTGTACGTGTCGTGGCTGGGAATTGAACCCACAATTCTGGGACCGTGGTGTATTTTGGGCAAAGCATTCCTCTTGCACAGGCGTGTAAGTGCCTGGTATACAGGAGGTCGTGGGTTCTATTCTAACCCTGACACCTGTATATTTGGAAATTGCATGTTCTCCCCGTGGTCGCGTGGACTTTTCTCCGGGTCCTCCGGTTTTCCCCTCCACATTTCGAATTAACGCGCGTTTAGAGCATTTGGCTGCTATGCATTTCCACGTGATGATAAGCCACATCGTTGAGCTATCATTTGTGATACAGGCGTCGCTTCTGAAAAACAGCTACACAGGACTTTGCCGGGGCACACCCTTCGCGCCGCACTGCTCTAGAGGACCTCTGACCGACCCCTCCAGGGCGGGCAAATGTCTTGCTCAAAGGTGGGAGCACCCACACCTCACCCCACCCAACTCGACGTACCAGTCGACTGCCTGTGTTGAAACCATTTACGCGGCTGCGCGAGACAGAAACTTGCGCCGTCATTGCAGCCGGGAGATTGAACCAAACTGGCGGCTGCTACATCACCGTAGCTCCCCAAACACACAGCGTGTGGTATGTCAAAGCATTTACAAAACATTTACTCGTGATGAACAAAATACATTTTTTATCAATTACGCCGAGCTATTATACACGCCGCTCAATCGCCGTTCGTGCGCGTACGCTGTGCCAGCCGAATTTAGTATGCGTGTCTGGGAGCTTTGCCATCAAACTCTGGCCCTCTGTGCTTCGCAGAGGTGGCGTTATCGTGCAGTCATTGTGGATCGTTATTGGTTCAAGCACGCTTCAGCAGTACTCCCATCCTGCATCTCCACATTTTAAATAAAATGCGTTTCAATCCTCCGGCCTATTGGCTTCCCAGACCAATATAAGCCGCCAGAATGTGTCTAAGCAAGAAAACCTCATAGGTGTTCTTTGGTTCTTTCGGTAAAGTCACGTAGATAGAAGAAGAAAAATAATAATAAAAGTAAATCAAATACAAATTTTAACGACGAAGTTTCGATCACAACACAAGCGATCGTCTTCAGGAGGACAAAAGGGGGAAGGTCACTTTTTTTTTCCTGAAGACGATCGCTTGTGTTGTGTTTCATTTACTTGTATATTTTTTTCTATCTACGTGACTTTACCGAAAGAACCAAAGAATATGAATTCCTGCAGTCGCGAAAGTTTTAAGTCGAAATTTAAACCTCATCGGTCTCATCAGCGGAGTCAGGCTTGAGAAACAAAAGCTACTGGGTTACCAAATGCTACTGGCAAGAGAGGCGATCGCTATGCTGCAACCAGGCAATTCAATGATGTGAAAACAAATAGACAGCAACATGTAAGGCTTTAGTTTACGAATCGGATTAACCAGAATGATACGCAAGATAAAAGACTCACAACACACTAAGGCTGGCAAAAATGTCACGGAGACAATGGAGGAGCGATTCCAGAAATCCTGCCAATATTTTAATTAAGAAATGTATTCTAATCGCGTATTTCAGCCGTAATCCCCTCGCCATTACGAATAAAGACAAGGGGGGAAGAAATTATCCAGGATTAACCATGCAATATGAAAGCGCGGTGCGGGGTTACGGGCCTCAGTTCACTCGCTTCAAAGATTACGACGGAGTTTACTAATAAAATAATGAAGAAATAGAAGAGTGGAGCTAAAGGCGCAGCACTGCAATTGCTTGCTCACGCCACTACCGTTGGAAAAACCTCCACTGGATGGGGATTTATTTTGCCAATTCGTCTACGCTGACCAGATGTCTTGAAAGAGAGTAGATTATCCACACTTTACCCTGCTACGCGTGACCTGCCAACCAAATAAATGTGGTGGTACACCGATACATATATAATGTGGCCGTCTTTTCAACTGCAAAATCGAATCGAACTGGTGACCGCCGGATTGGAAATCTGGACAGTGGTCACTGATGCACCAAGTGGCAGCATCCTCGTCAACTCCTCGTTATATGGTCACACTCGTGACACGCAAACGTGCTTGCACACAATTGCACCCACAAGACCTTTCTGATCTTGTCGAGGAGGATAAACCATTACGCGAACTCCGGTTATCCTCACAGCGGCGACTTTTGGCTGGCCGTCGAAGAAAGGCGGTGGTCACCGCATCGCGCGGCGCTTTCAGATGCGCTTCTGCGGCCGTCTGGAACGCTCTTCCTTCTGATATTAGAAAGCCACCGGAGCTATGCACTTTTAAATGCAGATTGAAAACAAATTTCTTTAGAACTGCTTTTTGTGTTGAGTTTGTTGTCCTTCCCGATTCGCGCAATTAGCTACGTATGGTGCGAAAGAAGTTATACATACATACATACAACTCAACAGGGGTTTATATATCAAAAAAGGGGGTCAACTTACAAAACCTCCCCTCCACCCCACGTCCCCCCGCCGCAAAGGAAGATTCTGCTTCGGGTCTTCAATGGGCACAGACCGCCAAGGCATCAACTTCATTAGCAAACTGAGCAGCACTTTGTGTGAAGTTCAAAGTGGTAGTCTCATGCAGAGTCCGGAAAGTGGAATAGTCACAGTGAGCTCACGGCTGCCAACGGAGATCAATGCCACTTCATTGCTTCCAAATACGAGTTGCAGCACTCCCTGGTGCTAGATGACATCAAGGACGAGATATATATTAGCAATTGATCGTAATTAGGCTCATTTCACGGATTCCTTTTGACCAATGAAGGAGATTGATTGGGGCGATATGACATTTAGGCGGCCGTTGATACGACGGACGATTGTCTCAAATCCACGTCCACCTCGCAGCGTAAAATTATGATGCCACAGTCGGTCCATCGCTAAGTCGTGTGTGTCGGGAGGGGGGGGGGGGTTGAAACATGGGTTACGACCACCTTTTTGAAGACACCTGAGCAGCGCGGAAAAGTATTCCGCGCCTTCAATAAGCACAGTTGGCTACGTAGGGTGCGAGAGAAGTTCAACATAATGCATGAATACATACATTCATTCCATTCGAGAGAAACTCTTTTCAGCTCTCTCTAGTCGAGGTCTTTCCACCAGCGGTGGCATGAGCAAGGAATCGCTGGGCTGCACCGTTGGCTTTAATATTTAACGCATAGCAGTAAAAAAACGATTTATAAATACTCGGGTGACCGTGACACAAAAAAAAAGATTTGGACTGGGACGCTCAAATTGAAATCGAGTCGATGGCAATTAATTCGTGTCCAGCCAATGTGGCCAAAACGAGACGTACGCCCATTGATTTCCAGCGACGCTAACGCTGCATCCTGAATTAAGGAATGCATTATTTATCACCAGGTGAGGCCGCGGCGAGTTACAGCGGCCGACTTTGAATAAGACGCCCGGTGCGTTTCATATGGGACCACGTCGGCCTGTGGCTTCACAAGGGAGATGCAGACAACACCAGTTGTCCCCCGTTATGAGACCGATTCAGCCTACAGCAGTACCGCATCTCCGATGTGTTTTAAGGGTTGTAGCGCGTTTTGTACGGCACGATGCCCAACGTTTCGCTGCTACCCCTACCCTCCCCCCAGCGTGAGCCACAAGCGAAGCAAATGGACCACACTCACGATTTCTCTGTCAGTGCCGTTCGACTGAAGTAGAGGATGAGTTGGTGGAGAGGATCGGGATGAGTCTCCACCTCTGTGTCCTCCGACTCCTTCTCCTCTTCATCGTCGTCGATGGATTTCTGTAAATGACGATTCGGCAAAACGCGAGTCAGGGGGTGGCTTGATAAATCGTGGCGATGCATCAGCATGCACCGCAGAGTGGAGTTAACGCCGCACGGAGGTGTGCCGCTCACAAAGAGCACGTGCAGGCCTAACTCCCGTCATGCCTTGCACACGCGTCATGTGATCACCACGTTGCATGCGGCACGCTCTTAGCCTTGTCCAGACCACCAACTCAAGGCCCGAATGTTTGGCCGTATTGTTGTTTACACTGGCAACTCTATAGCGAGTTGTAACATTTGTATGTCCACACAGGCACCAGTGGCAACAAACATTACTTTAGTATTTTCTCGCGACGTTTTCATTTTTTTAACTGGATACAACTGATAATGCGCCGCCGCTCGGAAGCCAAAGTGTTCGCGCCGAATTAAATTGTGCCCATAATGGTAAAAAATGGCTTAATGGAACAAATATATACTTCATCAAAGTGAGCAGTTTCAGCGCGTCGCCAAAATTCAGGTGGTAAACATGTGGCCAAACATTGCGCGGCCGCTTTCTATTTCTCTCCATTTATGCACACGACACAAAGGCGGAGATTTAGAGTCTTTGGAAAGATCTGCGGCCACGGTCGTGCATAAAGGCTGGGTGCGTCAGGAGCGCAGGGACAGGCAAGCGGCGCGTGTGCGTCACATGAAAGGAAGGGCGGCTATGACGCGTGTGCGTTATCGACGGAGCGCAAAACACGCGGGCGGCAGAGGAACTAAGAGACGCGCGGATTCTTGCCGTATGCAGGGGCAAGCATTGCCGCTGCATGTCTCCGGTCTTTCGTCTTGCATGATGATTGCGGGTCCACTTTGTGCGCACAAGGTTTGCACATTTTTTAAAATTATCATAACTTATTTGGACAATTAATGTGATGCAAACATCAACGTTTGAACGTTTTTCGATCTTAATAAGGGGGGAGAGATGAAACGGCGTTAAATTGGACATCTGAGAAATAATAACCTTTTTGCGGTTATTGCATGCCAAGTACACTTACCTAGGGAGGAGCTCAACACTTTAAATTGTATTCAAGATTTCTGAAAATTATCGCAGGGATTATATAGCCACGCCACAAAACTCTCAATATAAATACAATTGCGTCAGCGGCCGAATGAGAGCGTAACAATAGCCGTGATGTAAAAATAACATGTTTCAAAGGAACATTGTGAGTGAAAAGAACAAGTGTGCATGTGTGGCATTTCATTTTAATGTCACTGGAAATCAGCGGGTGAACAGAGAAGTGAAAACAATGAGCGACGGATTTTTGGGTGGGTGGTGTGGGGAAAGATGATGCTGGGAAAATAATTCTCATTCAAACGCAAATTTCTGAAGGCATTTAGGCGATGGAAATACAGCAGTTGGGGAAGCGCGGATAAGTTAATGAGAAATGTTAATGCATGCAGAGCGACTGAACACAGCAACAGCGGAGTGTGTGAGCCGGGAAGCTCTTGGCCATGCTATTGGTTTTTATAGGAACACTTGCAAACCCGCACACGGGGAGAAGGCGATGATTTTACTGGCGCTTTGTCGCGTGAGTGGAGAAGGCGAAAGAAAAATGGCAAGACTTTAAATGGCAAAAAAATGTGATAAAATTATCCCAGTGGGAGAGACGAAGAGAGAAAATGTTTTTTTCCGAAAGCAAGATTTAATAACCCTCATCAGGGATCTCTCGTGCAGCCTCTGATCGTTTGTTTTATGCTGTGTATGTGGTTGTGTTTCTAACATTGGTGTTATAATGATATATACCATATTGTTTATTTGCATTGTGCTCTTGCCAATAACCATCTGGTAAACCGAGCCTGACCGCTGATGAGACACAGAAAGTCGAAACCGCTATTCAGAGTTTGCTTGCCTAAACAATTGCTGCTCGAAAATATTGGTGGGGTTTGTGTGTGTGTGTGCGTGCGTGTGTGTGCGTGTGTGTGTACGTACGTGCGAAGTCATTAGTGACCGAGCTGAGACGGACCATCAACTCGGTACACTTGAGGACCTGGATTAATCTCGGGTGAGTGACTGGGGCTTGAACTGGGATCTCCGTTACGGTGGCTCAGCACTTTGACAGAGGAATTAGCCCCAGGAGTCCAGACAGTCATCCTTCCTGCCACAAGCTTCCTTGGCAAGCGGAAGTGCCACATGAATCGGTAAAATCTGCTCACCGAAAGCGATTGACAATTATGCAGCGACGCCGCGAGCTTGCGAAGCAGCGACGTTGCCGGGTGGCAGGGCATTTTTTTGTCGCGTTGTCGCAGAATTGTGCAGTTCGAGCCCCAGCGGTCCGCCCCCATGCCCTGGCCGTCCGCTTCGGAGTGAACGATAAAGTCTCGGCCACGTGAGCTGCCCGTCAAAGGGTCCGAATTTCAATCAGCTCACATTTGGTTAAACGATAAAAAAAACGCGTTGCAAAATGTTGCTACTTAGCCGTCAAACAATGTCCGTCGTTGAAACAGCTCCTCCATGATAGCGTTGCGCTATATTAACGGTGTGAATATGCAATGTACCACATTAGGCTTATCGCTGTTGTGTTACTATCTAAATGCAGCCACGTCTGGCAGACCGTGCAATTTTGAGTTTTTCACAAAATAAATATTTCGAGGGAAGGAGAGTGTGCGAGGGTGTTAGGGGAAAGCAACCGACGCGGTAACGTTACGTGGGATTGCATGTCAACAGTCAGTCCATGGGCAACACAGGAGGAAAGCTTCAATCCTGGACTTTAACACAGTGAGGGTCAGTTAGTAGTAGTGTGTATTACCGGGAGCAATGCATTCCAGACAGCGGGAACAGCAGAGGAGAAGGAGCAAGCTCCCGTGGAGCGGAGGTCGACCCACCGACCGATCCCTGACGTTTGACTGGCGTGTGCAGTGCAATGGCGCCCCTATCTGGTACTTACGGCTATGTCATCAATTAGCTTATCCTCATAGGCATTCTCCTCTGTCTCTATCCAGTGTTTCTTATACGCATCGAGGAAGAGATTAATGGCGCGGTGCCTGGGAGAGAGAGAGAGAGGAGGGGGGAACGTACAGCGAAAGAACAAAAAGGGCAGGATGGTGAAGAAGAAACGGTGAGAGGGAGACGAGCAGAGAGAGAGAGAGAGAGACGAGGAGAGGTCAGAGAAAGGGAGAGGTGAGGAAAGGTCAGATGAAAGAGCGAGAGAACATGGAGGGTTCCGCGAAACCCTGGCACATCGATGTTGAATCGTCACGGCAGATACAACGGAGATGCCCCATCTCCACATTGACCGAGGCCGATTTGAGCCCTCCACGCCGCTCCGCAGCTCAAATTTTACACGGCTCGGCGATGCGGATCACACCGAATGCATTACACTGGGTGGCCAAATTCTTTTTTAATGATTATTAACCACCGTCTAACGACAGGAGCGGTGGCTCATTGGTCAGCCCGGTGACCTGAGTTCGATTCCCGGCTGACGTCATTGGCCGAGCGATGCCTGGCCGCTACGGCCATCGCGTCACCCAACCCGCACTGACCAGTGCGGTCAATTGTTTTCCAACGACCCCGATGACTGACATAGCCAGAGGCCTTCATCCAGCGGTGGATTGACGGTCCGCAACTAATCATCATTATAACAATCACCGTGAACGGACAAGCGTCGTCATTTCGGTGACATTGTTCACGTTAGAAACGTCCCGGCTAGACGGCGTGAAATTTGTAATCAGAAATAAAAGAAAATCGTTTCAGAAGAATGTCCGTCCATGAACACGGCCGTCGGTGACTAACATCTTATCCCTGTCCTGCATCGGTCTCTTCGGCCCACGGATGCGCCCTCCATGGACGCGGTCGGATTGAAATCTGTGCCGCGTCAGTGCCGTTATCTTCACACCATAGAGACCCTCCGTAATCAGCCCTCTAATAAAAAAAAATGACCCTCTCAGTCACAGATGCTTCCTTCCCAATTCTAGATGCAGCTGAGGCTCGTGACGTCAAGTGTCGCTCTTGTTGTTTAGAAACGCAATTGGTTATTGCGGTTGCTAGGCGGTAGAGAAAGCGGCTCGCAATCGGAAGGTTGCGAGTTTAAATCGTCGTTGGGCGTTGAACTCGGCCCATCATCCCTCCAGGGGTCATTAAAATAGGTACCACTTTGTGGAGAATTCAACAGTGGTTGTTCAATAAATAGTGGAATTTTATCCACGGGCTCAGGGCTGTGTATAGGCAATGAGCAGCGCCTCAATGCTCAGTTGAACAGAAAACAACTTTAGGAAGCCCAAGAGGTTTCTAATTGTTTGGCCACCCAGTGTACTTTTGCCCCTGCAATTCAACATTAAGTCAACGCGTGATTTCAAAATGTGCCGCGGGAAGAGAGAACGCGAAAATCAGAGGGTGCGCGCTAATTGTCCACCCGCGCTCCCTTATTTTTTTGTCCCATCCGTCCGGAGGAAATCGCTCCGGTTAATTGGCAGCAGTCAAAGAAAAAGAGTAAACAGCTGAGAGGCTCATGTTGTCCGATTGGTCAGTTCGATGCGATGATTAGACCCAGTCCGAGCACCGCCATCGTTTTAATCATTTCTGTGCCGGGGGAATCCTCGCGGGGGGTGAGAGGCAATTTGCCGCGGCGAGTTTTCTCATTCACTAGGCTCATATGCCCCCTCCATGACACGCACGCACGCTCGCACAATGATACGGAGCCTGCGACCGTATAATTCCATTGTAAGCCCCATTCGTGTAAGCTTAGCGCATTTCGGGGGGCCGATGGCTCCGGGAAGCGTTAGCGGCGTGCTTCACAGCGCTAAGATTACACGTAAACGGCCGGGCATATGAACGTAACAAATGCGTGTCCACGGTGGCACCGTAGGGGTCCTCTAAACGTCTTCCTCAATCACAGAGGTCCAGCAATGAACATAGCCTCCACCAACTGAAATGATCAGTAAGGCCCTAATGTATTCAAACAAAGTATCCATCGCAAGGGGCAGCTCTAATGATGTTTACTACATTTCCAACTCACACGTTTTTTCGGAGTGAACGGTTTGTGAGGGGCACACTAGATTTTGCTCATTGTACACCTTGTGCCACACAGGGACAGCTTCCACTGGGGGGTCCCCCGCGGCAAGATTGCAGTAGGCAATGGAACGGCTCAGATTACATTTTTACGTAAGGCGCTTTAAGTTGCCGAGGCATTTAAGCAAGTGCCCTTTAAATGCAAATCCTTAGGCCCCTAAATATAGTTTGTTCGATTTAACGTCAAACGCACAATGAGTATGGTAATCAAGTTGTCAGCAGTGGCACTCCGTAAATCCAAAGACCACAGTTCCAGAATTATGTGACAATGATTTCCATGATCGCCATTAAGATTACTAACGTTTAGTTTGGAATTTATTTTGGGAGGCATTTTTTTTTTACGATGGACATGAGCTCTGCCCCATACTCGCTTGATCAGAGAGACACCATCTATGCCCCTTGCGTTGAGTCTGTACACGCGTATGAAATAACGCAACAACAAATGTCCTACCGAATGACCCGTGACGTCCCTAACAATTGCCGGTTTAATCTCTACATTGATAACCCAGCATGCGGCTGTTCTTACGCCGAGGAAATGTCACGAATATACGTAGCAGTAGCTGCCTAAACTAAACTGAAAATATAAACTATCAACACATTTTTTTTGTTTTACCAGGTAAGGCTCAGTGAGCTATTTAGCTCTTTTTCAGAAGCGGCCTGGCCACAAATGATTGCTCAACTAAGTGGCTTATCACGTGGAAATGCATAGCGGCCAAATACTCGAAACGAATGTTTCTAAACGTGGAGGGAAAACCCCCAAAGAACCTTGAGAAAAATCCACGCGACCACGGGGAGAACAGGTAAAACTCCAAATATACAGCAGGCGTCAAGGGTCGGGATCGAATACACGTACCTCCTGTATACCAGGCGAGGTAATTAACATCTCACAACCGCAGCACCTGCCTGCCTGCTGCCTTTCACTCTCCCCCACCTCCATGGACCACGGGCATGCTGCCCAATCGGACAGAAAATGAGCACGGAGGAAATTGAACAAGCCCCCAAGAGTGATTTGAAGAAGACAAAATTGATTTGTTTTCTGCATCCATGGCATTGGTGCCACGGACCCAAGCGAAGTTATTACCATCAGCCTCTTCACAAGAACCTCAAAGTCTCTCGCATCAAACGCCTTTGTAAGCCACACATGATGATAGGCTTTCAAGTAAAAATTGGTCACTTTGTGGCTAGGGAGGGGGGAAGGGGGGGGGGAAGGAAACAATTGCATTAAACTCAAACACAGTGCACGGGTATTTATGTTTAAAAATAAATAACATGGCATTCAACAAGAACAACAACAAAAGCAATTTCACTTGCCACAGTATTCATGCAAATGACTTGCGAGAATTCAGAGTTTGAATGTAGGCGCTACAGTGGCGAGATGTTAATTTCCTCGCCTGGTGCGCAAGGAAGTCGTGGGTTCGATCCCGACCCTGGCGTCTGTATATTTAGAGTGTGCATGCTCTCCCCGTGGTCGCGTGGAATTTTTTCTCCGGGTCCTCCGGTTTTTCTCTCCACATTTAGAATCAACACCACGAGTATAGAGTATTTTGCTGCTATAAATTCTCACGTGATGGGCCACTTCGTTGAGCTATTATTTGTGGCCAGGTCGCTTCTGAAAAAAAGAGTTATATAGCGCAGTGGGCCTTACCTGGTAAAAAATTACAATAGTTTAAATAGTAAAGTGCACATAATAATAATGTACAGCCCTGTGTCAATCCACGGCTGGATCAGGGCCTTTCCTAGGCCTCGAATTGGTTGACTCGCCCTTTCAAAGGAGCCAATTCAGTGCAAAGGGGGGAGTTGCGTGATTTGTGTGACGCGTTTGTTTGTATGCATGAATATTGCATACAGATAAATGTTCTTTACGAGCGGCATGTAGAGACGTTTTTTTATTTTAGTTGAGGACCATCAGGGTCTATGATGATACATACCAGGGATGTGTTTCGGATTTAAACAAGTTCGGATTTTTAAGAAAAATTTCGGATATTCGAATCACGCGGTGTTATGCAGCGTTTGGGTGTTTTCAGGCTCACAAAGGACACGTCGCTCGATGTCACGTGACACCACTTTTTAAACAGGACTTTGGAAGCACATCACTGCAGCATATCAACTTACAACAAATCACGCTCTTAAAGTATCCGTGAAAAAAATTCTAATCAGAAATTTCAGTCAAACTCTGCCAAGTCACTTTGTATCACAAATCTACAGAACATCACGGAATAGACTTACAACGATATCATACTTTCTGTGCAAAGATTTTCCTTTTTTCGTCATAAAACTTTACCTCGCCACGACATTGACAGGACCAATAAATCCAAACCCATTTCAGGACATTTGGATGAAAAATCGAGATATTACGAATGAAACGCAAAAGCTGCCAACGCCTGCCTACACAGCGGGAAGAAGCGCCGTGTGCAGTCTGATCAGAATCAAAATTTAGAACCTTCATTTTCAACTGGAGGAATCCGATGAGCTATGAAGCTCTTTCTCACAGATGCCCAGTAGGGGACAGCTCGCGCACGTTAGGGGGGGGGGGTCACTGCGGAGCTGCAGTTGGACCAACCTCGGCAGGTTGTAGAGAGGCGCCATGCGGAAGCAGGCGACCACAGCCCTCTTGCGCTGCTTTGAGAGCAGCTTGTGCCACACCGCCTTCTTGGAGCGGTGCGGGTGCTCCACCTGCGACGGTGCGTCCGCGTTAGCGCGAAAGCGACGGTTGGTATGTGCTGCAGGGTGCTTCAAAACAATGTTAACACTTACATGGGACTATCGTTTCTAATGGAAAAAGAACTGGATAATACACTGTAACATGATAGCAAATGTATGTTAATGGCTTCAAAAAGTCAAAGAGTCTACACTTGTTCGCCGTCGTTGTCAACGCATTGCCTGGAATCTTCTCCAGGTGGTCTCCAGAGCCCGGACACAGCACATTTCGTGTGTTGTTGTTGCAAAATCTCAAAAGTGTTAAAAAAATTGAAGCACCCTGTATATACGTATGTATTGGGATGTGACCTAATGGACAAATTTCTCTCTTATAATTTCTTTGTTGCATTAACTTTTTTCGTTGTTTGTGCTTATTGTTTTGGTGCAATTTCTTTATTTGTTTATTTATTTTAGATTTTGCTTGGTAAGTAGGGGTTTTGATTTGTTGGTATGTATGTGTGCGTGTGTTGGGCTTCTTTCGCGCCGGACGTAGCCAACCGCGTATATGGGATTTGGTCATTATATATAATTAATTAACAGCATTGTAGGATGCTGTTGGAAAGAATGACGCTATTTCAAATTAAACTATTATTATTATGCTGAACTAGTAACTAATTGGCACCTTTTGTTGACGTAACAAACTAATTGGCTGCGTCGGGTGGTGGTGGCGAGGTTAACGGCACATTTATAATTACGCGATCTAACCCAAACAAACCTCTACGATGAGTAGAGGGTATACTTGCCATTTGTGCAATCCCAATTGAGCGATTAGGGCAAGCCCACGAAGTTACAAACGGATCTTTATCCTCCGTTAGGTTTTACGTTTTAGATACTCTTTTTGCTTTTACAATATGGAACTCAAGACCACAGGATAGTCTCATCTGCGAGAATCACCTTGGTCACGAAGATGGAAAAATGCAATAAACCTAATAATGTAAAGTATAATAATGAGGTAGATAGACGACAGAGCAAAACCACCAATTATAAATCTGAGTAATAACAACTACGTTACAGGATAAATAAAACAATTACACAAAATCAATGTTCAAAAAAATACATCTCCTGTAACATCAGCTTGCTCATACATAATTAATTAAGTGACAGACGCATTCAACGGATTCACGATGATCACAGCACTAACATGTAAACCAGTGTTCTTCACTAATTTTCAGAGGAGGGCCACTTTTGCCGATGCGACATCGGTGTGAGGTCCGCCACACATGCGAAACCGCTGGAGGGTTTGACAGCACAATGATGGGGGGGGGGGGGTGTCACACATTTGTGTATTGTCGGGGGCCGCGCGTCAGGGAGGGGGCCGCACTAAAGGCCACCACCAGGGGCCGCCAGTGGCCTGTGGGGCCTTGCAGTGAAGGGGGACAATATGGCAAGTCCAGGAACCTCACCATCTCCAGATGGTAGAGCACAGCAGCAATCTCGGCCACACGGTCGACCGTCTTGTCCGGGTCAGAGGAGTCCTCGGCCTTCCCCGGCAGGTCCTTGTAAAGCGAGATTTGCCAGCGGATCGCGGGATCGTCCATCTGCCACGGCGCGCAAAGAATAAGCAGCAGTGGCCATCATTCAGTGCATTGTACCACGAGAACACCTTTGACACGTGCAATGATTTGTGTTTTTAAACCAAAAACCAACTCGCAATGTTCCTCCCCCTCCGCCCCCAAATGTTATACCGACTGCGCAATCAGCGTCGTGTGTGGAGACGGATGAAGCCATTCGGAACTCTCGCAGAGCGGTGCAAGTCATCGTGCCGGAGAGCGGCTCACGGAAGCGGCTAACACGGAGCTACCTCTCAGATTGTTGAGTTTATCTCTGGTACGACACACGCAGTAGAGGGCAGCACTTTCGCACCCGCTCTGCCACATGAGAGCGAGGTTCGTCGCATGACAGTCAAGGTGATATTTCTATTCTCACAGCCGGAATGTATCCAAATTACGATCAAACGTATGAAGGACTTTACGATTGTGAATTTTTATTGCATAAGAAAATATACTGCACTACTGACCGATATTTGCATTAGTCACCCACTATAGGAGCTAATTAATATCTCAAACTCAATCTCGGCAGTGCTGCCTTCACTACACTGACACAGCCATTATGAACTCACTGAGCCAAGTGGCCCATCTTGATGAACACAACCCAGATTCCTCACCTTGCTTTGGGAGTGCAGGTTGTTGCGGATGTAGTCACGGACTTCATCATCCATCAGCTGTTCACACAAACACACGAGCGGGCGTGGCTCAACATCACGCCGGGCAACTTCGTTCTGGACTATCGAAAAACAATCGCAGATCGCCGAAACCGTTCAGTGTTTATGGTGGGAACCACCTGACAGCTTCTGCACGAAAAGGAGGGGAGGGCAAAAATCACGCACGACTGCACGAATTGGGCTGCCACCTTTTCCACGGTAGTCCCAAACCTGTCTGTATTTCACAATCGGCCCTCGGTCGATCGTCAACACTGTGCCGTAAACCGCAATGAAGGTCGGCACATTGTTGGTGCCGGATATCGGCGCAAATAAGATTCCTGCCGCGCGAACGCACCGTAGTCAATTCCTGGGTTGTGAAAACCCAAAACAGGTGGCGATGAAATGCACAGAGCAGGTTGCGTATTTCCAAAATGGTGGCAAACAGCGTGTCGTTGGCTTTGTGTAATCGCATTTCTTGTGAAGGAAAATGTCAAATGATTCAACATTTACAAAATCTCTGGTCTGACACTGATGATACGATGCCCGAAAGAAGGCTGTCTCTGGTGTAGGCCAATCAGTTCCAAAGACAACGCATCATCTATTATTATCAGAGCATGTTTGTTTGCATGTTCACCACAAGTAGTATGTGTGGTTAATGCAGACTTGGTTCCTTGCAAAAGGTTTCTATTTGGTGTTTGAACATCTTAACACCTCCTGTTTTATTGCCAGAAAGGGTAAAATCTATTGTTATTTTTTCATACTTCGATACTGGCAAAAAAAGGTCCCATTTTACTTACAGAATCATGGTGGGGTAACTTAAAACACAAGGATTTCAAAATTGTGTGAGGCCAACGTTGGTCCAACGTCAACCGACGTTGGCCAGACATTTGCATCGGTTACTGGGATTCTGCATCTCTGAGTAGGAATAAAGATAAGGTAGAGCGTGGCATAGCCTTGAACTGCCCTTGTATTTTCATCAGCGCACACACACCTCATTATTCCTCCCCGAGCAAAATTACCAGCGCTAAATTGGGCTAAAGACAATGCATTATACGCCGTGTTTTTAATATGGTGCTTTTCTCGTACTATTATTAGCACACATTTTGTAATGACCGTTATCCTTAATTTAGCCAAATCACAGCCCGGCAAGATTTATGATCCCATTTACAAGAATGATTTGGACACCTGCATTAGATTAGGGATATATTTTTTTGTTCAGTGAAATGGACTGCTATGCCGTCGGACACATCTCACTCTGGCGAATGGAGCTGCGTGGCGTTTAACGTCCACTTGGCAGCAGAGAGTTTGCGAACCGTCAGCTACGCTGGCTTAACATTCGCGAACGTTTTTGATTTCGAGCGCATTTGCTTGAATGTCTTCCAGCGTTGCCTTAACCTCAGCGCCGTATTATCCAAAAGGCACAGGAGGAACTGTGCCAAGGGCCTACGAAAACTAAAGGACCTAAGAAAATAAAAATTTAGCTTGTTTTTTTGTTTGTATGATGAACAATGTAACCAAGATATCTTCTTGAATACACAAATATTTATATATAGCAAGGATAGGCACGGTGTATATATGAAGAGGCAGAGTCACGTCAATGTCAATCTTTCTATTTTTTTCACAAGGTGAGAATAGAAAGTAACACCGGAGATGAAGTTCAAGTGGTGTTTTTCACACAATCAAGAGGGCGATAGCAGCGGTAGTCACATGGCACGGCAACAGTATCACTTGTAGAGAGTTACCAATGAAGGCTACGAAACAGAAGTGCCTCAGGCCTACTAGATCCTTAATCCGGCCCTGCTAAAACCCCTACTCACGACTGTAGGGATTCATCTTCTTGGTTCTTTCGGTAAAGTCACGTAGAAGAAAAGTAATAAAATAATAAAAATAAAACATAATAAAATAATTCTCACGTCCTCAGGTGAAGACCAGGTCTGTCGAGGCGACAGACCTGGTCTTCACCTGAGGACGGCTGCTTGTGTTGTGGCCGAAACGTCGTGAGAATTATTTTATTATGTTTTATTTTTATTATTTTATTATGTTTTATTTTTATTATTTTATTACTTCCCTTCTACGTGACTTTACCGAAAGAACCAAGAAGATGAACCCCTACTCACCTTATCTCATAATTAATTTTCCTCGAAATTATTAATTAAATATATATTTTGCCACTAAAAATGCAAGTTTATATGCAGTATCACGCCTTCATGGTGTTATTCACTTGCCTGTTAAACTGATTCCACTGTGAGTTTGAAGACAATCCCACAATAGGTAGTTTGCTTGACAGATATGAAAATGCATTACAGCCAACGTACAGAGGCAAAATGGGACCTTTTTTGGCAGTATAAAAGTTTGAAAAAATAAGAATCGGTTTTACCCTTTCTGGCATTCAAACAGGAGGTGTTAAGATGTTCAAACACCAAATAGAAACCTTTTGCAAGGAATCATGTCTGCATTAATCACACATATTTGTGGTGAACATGCAAATAAAAAAACATGATTAATTATATATTATATATGCATGTCTCGTGCATCTCCACTGGTTAACTTCATCTCCTGGTTAAATTAAGGATCCCCACCCCGACTGACCGAGCGATGCGTGTAAGTTACGCTGCGGGCTGCGGCGCCCGTCTGAGCCATAGCTCGAATATCTTAAGGCAAAGCAGGGTCATTATATATTGACGTGAAAATATGAGGTCATTATGGTGACTTATATTATAGGCCATGGCTCTCTACGCTCGCTTGAGCTGAGATAATCTGACTTATATGAGGTGGGTAGGGGAGTCCCTATACTATTTTACCTCTGAGTAGAATAATCACTTTTAATGCAGATATATAACGATAGCCACCCTGTATGCAGTCGAATCCTTCTTGCTCTCAGCCAGATGTCCCATCGTTGCATGGGGTCAGCTGCTCAAATCTTCTGTCTCCACGTGCCTCTGTCCAGCGCCTCTTCTCTTATCACATCCACTGCCCCCGTATCTCGCGCCACCACATCCTCCCATCTCACCCTGGTCCCCCTGTTCTGCTTCTGCCTGCAACCAGTGGCATCTCCAAAGCCCTTCTCATCTATGAGTCTTTGTGCAAGTCTATGGGACTCTGTGTGAGTCTATGGTTCTCTGTGCGAGTCTATGGCTCTCTGTGCGAGTCTACGGATCTCTGTGCGAGTCTATGGGTCTCTGTACAAGTCTATGGGTTTCTGTGCGAGTCTATAGCTCTCTGTTCGAGTCTATGGCTCTCTGTGCGAGTCTATGGGTCTCTGTGCGAGTCTATGGGTCTTTGTGCGAGTCTATGGGTCTCACTGTGCAAATCTATGGGTCTATGTGCGAGTCTATGGCTCTCTATTTGCGAGTCTATGAGTCTGTGTGATCCTATAGGTGTCTGTGCGAGTCTATGAGTCTGTGTGATCCTATAGGTGTCTGTGCGAGTCTATGGCCCTCTGTGCGAGTCTATGGCTCTCTGTGCGAGTCTATGGCTCTCTGTGTGAGTCTACAGATCTCTGTGCGAGTCTATGGGCCTCTCTGTGCGAGTCTATGGCTCTCTGTGCAAGTCTATGGCTCTCTGTGCAAGTCTATGGGTCTCTCTGTGTGAGTCTATGGGTCTCTCTGTGCGAGTCTATGGGTCTCTCTGTGCGAGTCTATGGCTCTCTGTGCGAGTCTATGGGTCTCTCTGTGCGAGTCTATGGCTCTCTGTGCGAGTCTATGTTGCTCTCTGTGCGAGTCTACGGATCTCTGTGCGAGTCTAGGAGGTCTCTCTGTGCGAGTCTAGCGGTCTCTCTGTGCGAGTCTATGGGTCTCTGTGATTCTATGGGTCTCTGTGTGAGTCTATGGCTCTCTCTGTGAGTCCATAGATCTCTGTGCGAGTCTATGGGTCTGTGTGATCCTATGGGTCTCTTTGTGAGTATATAGCTCTCTCTGTGAGTCTATAGATCGCAGTGCGAGTCTATGGCTCTCTCTGTGCGAGTCTATGGGTCTGTATGATCATATGGGTCTCTGTGTGCGTCTATGGCTCTCTCTGTGAGTCTATAGATCTCTGTGTGAGTCTATGGGTCTCTACTCTCCATAGACCTTCTAATTCCACCTCCTTTGTCTCATCTCAACACAAGTGTAATGGGTTCCGGAGTACAAATCACCTATAGTCCCTTCTCGAGAATGTCAGACATGCAGCCGTGTTAACGTTTAATAAACTTTTTTCCTGATTCCGCGAGACCCTTAAATGCATCCGTAAGCTATCGTGAGTTTTCCTGATTCTCCTAGACCCTTTAACACATCCGTAAAGTATCGCGAATCGTGCGTTGAGAGTCTAAGTGCTGCTCTCGTGATGGTCTTCGGATGTCGCAAGTGGCGCAATACAATAACAAGGGAGATGTTTTTTTTCGAATTCATGAAACATTTTTTTTTATAAATCAACATTCCAAGAGCCCCAACGTGCAAGTGGTGTATACGAGATGGTGTTCCCGAAATAACCAACAGTCTTGACTTGAAGCTTTCGTGACTGCAGGAATTCATATTGTTTGGGTCTTTCTGCAAAGTCACAAGCTCGCTTGCCTTCAGTGGCTTTCCCCCCTTTTTTCCACCTGATGACGATCGCTTGTGTTGCTATCGAAACGTCGTAGTTTTTTGTTTATTTTTTTATACTTTTTTGAACCTATCTACGTGACTTCACCGAAAAACCCAAAGAATATAAACCAACGGTCACGAAGCAGCCACTTTAAAGAGCCACCACGTCACTTCGGAGCCGCAGGTTCGCCAACCAGTTTGATGGAAGCAATTACCGTCGTTAAGAGGGGTCCCGCTGTAGTGTCTAAAATTGTGTTTTTTGTTCTCAATGCAACGTTGTTGTTGTTGTGGCTCGGTGGCTGTGGCCCCCATGGGTGGCAGTAAAGGGTACCAAGTTGTAGCGGCTCTTGGCCATGGTGATGAGCTCCTGGTCGCCGGGACCGCACATGTTGAGGCCGATGGGCAGCAGCCGCTTCAGCGCCGCCACGATGAGAGACGTCTGCACGGAGTAGCGGTCTCCGGGACGCCGCGTCTTCTTGCGCTCGTCGTCTCCACGGCCCTGGGGGGTGTGGGGAGCGTGGGAAATTAAGAGGGCGGCCCATCAACATGGCCATCGCCGTCTGGAACGCTCTCTTCCTTACGATATTAAGAAGCCACTGGAGATATGCACTTTTCAATTGAAAACTAATTCGATTGAAAACTAATTTCCTAAGAACTGCTTTTTTGTATTTAGTTTGTTGTCCTTCCCCCACACCTCCGATAAACGCAGTTGGCTACGCATGGCGCGTAAGAAGTTCTACATAAATACCACCAGCGGCATTTGCTCTTTGATGCAGCGACACGGCACACGGCGTCCCGGTGAGGATATCGTCGTCAGCACCGCTCGCAGCTGGGGTCCACGCTCGAGCGATCAGTAGCCGGCACACAAGTCGCTCTCGAAATCGTGCAGCTTAAACATCGGCCCGCCCGCAACCGCTTTGTCCACATCGGAATGGGTAGTTGCGCAACTCGGAAATATACCTAAACCGGGGATTTAAAAAAAAAACCTACACAGCAACATCGCCCCCCCACTAGCAGACTATATCCGTCTGTGAAACACCTGCAGCTTCGTGGCAGTCCTGCGCTTATAAGAATGGCGCGAATACCGCATGTATCAAATTACTATTGTAACAAGTGTGTAGATTTCCCCAGGGTCTGAATGCCACCGCATCTCAAGACGCTATCGCACCATATGTAGCCAACGGCACTAAACGAAGGTGTGGGGGAAGGACAACAACAAAAAACATCCCTCGTGGTCGCTGCCGGTGAACACTGACCTTTGACATCTTACTCTTTGTGTCGCTGGAGATGAGGAAGGACATGTTGTTGATTTCGTTCTGAACCACAAAGTTCTGCTCTTCGCGTTTGAAATTCTGCAAAACACATCGACACAAAGCAACGTTTTAATCACACGCTTCCATAGCAGTCAGTTTAACTCAGCAGAGTCACTCGATGATGAGAGCCGGCACCACTGAGATCATGGGTTCGGATTTGGGTGTTGACCGCATTAAATTAAGTTGAACTGGGTTCTCCAGTCCAGTGGGGCTGGTGGCATCAGCCCCATCATCGATGGACTGCCCAGAATAGCCGTCACGTGAAATTGGGTTTGCACTTAAAAAGAATTGGCTAAATTCCAGCTCTGAAAATTAAAAGATTCGACTGTCGCGCGACAAATTGTGGAGGAGGCAGAGTTTGTGGGGGAAAAGTAAAGTTCCTTCTCGTGTGACTAAGATGTCACCTTGAAGGGATCTCAGAAGAAGTTATGTGATATATCCTTCCACGGTCCATTCTCTAAGTCATGCTCCGGGACAGTTTCAAACCAGTTCTGTGTCTCAAGCAATGACGTTCCATCGGGAGTAAACATTCGACGAAAAACCTCTGATGTGTTTTCAGGTTGCGCAGCGTGTTATTCAGCATGAATATATGCACGGCGCTGAACATTTAGTTATGGTAGAGAAATGTTAACTACCTTGCCTGGTATACAGAAGGTCATGGGTTAAATCCCGACCCTGATGCCTACTGTATCTTTGGAGTTTGCATGTCTCTCCCCGTGGTCGCGTGGATATTTCTCTGGGGCCTCCGGTTATTCCGTCCACATTTAGAAACAACGTCATGGCATTTAGAGAATCAATCACCCCAACTGATTTGCGTTGAATCCTGGAAACTGGGTTTCTCCGTCCCAGATGGGCAAGCAGCAGGATTCCAAATCAGACACTTGGGCACCAAAGACATCTTAAAAGTACGAGTGCTCACGTGTGACTTGGCCCAGTAGATGAAGATCTCAGCCACCATTCGGAAAAGCTCCTCCGCATCCGGATTGGGAAACTTAATCCACTTGGATCTGTCCACAACAACGGACAAATAAAACGCATTTCAATGAAAATTCAGAAATGAGCAGTCTCTACCAAGACCGTATCGTAAAAAAAAGTGGTGAGTTACATTGAACGCGAGCCCCTAGAGAGGCCCGCTTGAGCTCCCTCTCGCAAAGGCCTTTCTACCTTGACTTTACAAGTTATGCAATTGCAGCCGTAATTTGCACCGCAATAGTTACTGTAAGAGGCGGCAGTGGCATAACGAGCGTGGGGGCAGGGGATGACTTCCCCCCCCCCACCCCCTCCGGTGTGCAATTATTTTTATGAAAATGTTTTCACTTGCGTCCCACGTTTTATTTTAATTGAATTAGAGCTGTCACGTACTGTTGCAAAAGAGGTATTCCTACAGAGCTGTAGTGGCTGCATGTTGTGATGATGGAGCGCCCCTACGGCAGTCAATGTTCGAGACTGTGAGCGTAACGATGATGTGATTAGGCAAGAGGAGCTGCGATATATAATAATATAAGAATTATTCTCATTTATAATGCGCATTTCCATCCTAGGATCCCAATAGCCTGGATGCGACCGTGCGAGACAAATCAAATATTGTGGCCCCACCGAACCGATTGCCGCTCCCCCTGAGCTGATAATGTAGTTGGTTACGCCACTGGTACCTGTTGATGTCCACGTATCTGACGAGGAGCGGGTAGAAGGCGTAGAGATCCCGCGAGAGAATCGCAAACTCGTCCAGCAGCATCAGCTCCGACTCGGACATGTCTCCCGAGCTCTGGGCCCTGAGACGGTCTTCCTCTGCCACCACCTGCAGAGGGGTCAAGAGTCAATGGTCAAGGGCGCAGAGATGTAAGGTCAAGCAGTGGTGGTGGTGCCAGCAAACATTGGGGACTCGAGGCAGCAAGTTATTTTTGGAGGGCCCCTCCATCCCCCTTTCGATTTTGGAAGCTCCTGGAGAAACGGCCGAACGGAAATCGACGAAGAAGGGATGGAGATGTGGCGACGTGAGCGCAATGTAGACAAAAATAGTGGTGTGGCGAGGCGAGAGAAAACGTGGAGTTCTATTTCTCATCGAGACGCAGAGGAACGACTACAATTTCACATTCAGGTGGTCAAGCCCAGACAACCGCATCAGGAGTGGCGGAGTGTATCGCAGTGATGCCGTTATATGCCGTACGGTCTGTTGTGGATGACCACAGTCGCGTACTGGGGAGTTTCACATTTTCCATTTGTGCATCAGCCTATCCGCATGTACTGCCATGGTTTGTGTGGACGCGGTTTAGGGTGGAGTTCAGAGATTTTAAACTGGCATGTTTATGTTGATCGTGCGCTATGCTAATTAGGATCTGAATTTGAGATGAAATTTGACGCATCCTACAATTTTTTCATGAACGCTGGGCGGTCCCTTCAGCTGCTTCGGGCCCTACCTATGCTCTTGCTTGCTTTGAAAATGCCTGATGCCACCACTGGGGTCAAGGGCCAGAGGTTAAATCGCTGTTATGAAGAAGGGCCGTTGCAAAAAAAGTCACCTCCTGTAAAGTTTTCCTCTTTAGAACCACGTCATTATTGGCGAAAAAAAGTGGGTTGAGTTTTTCCCTTCATACAGGACCAAGCAAGGGGAACGTTAGGACCAGGATTCTTACTTGAAGGGGAGACCCGAGTGAAATACGTACACTGTAACAGCGAAGGCTCTACTGCTTCAAAGTGCACAGAAATAAAGCTCACGAACAGCTGAAAAAAAATTATATTACGGCACCAGCAAAAGAGACACCGCAACCTGGCACCTCCGATTTGCGCATTTGGCTCCGTACGGCGCGTAAGAAGCTCAACATGCATACATACACAGTGAACAAAGGTTGCCGTGCAACCTGTAGCACGCGTCTGCAAATGCAGCACAGTTGGACTTCGTGTTCCTGGAGCAGTGAGTTAACCAATGAGCAGGCGGTGGAGCTGTGACAGGGACGGGAAAAAAGCGATGGTGGCGACGCAGAGAGCGGACGGGGCGTTCGCGACGGGCGTGACCCACAGCCAGCGCGTCAACTCACTCGAGATGTATCGCTAAAGTCACCCGGTGCCCGAGGGCATTCGTCAATTTGCGCCGAACCAGACGGCGGGAAAAAAGAGGGCGGGGATGGGCAAAATACGGCCCCGCTGCGAATGCGAGCCTCGCTGAAATATCTCTGCGTTAAAACTCGGGGACAGGATGAGAGAAGAAAAAAAAACGACGCTGTCTGGTGACACCATGTTCAATTGGTGTTTGGTGCACTTTTAACTCGATGTTACATGGCCCTTTTACCGGTCCAATGTTCTCCGGCGAGGCGACACTCTGTCTGAATGTCACGCCGCTCGGCATGAGCCCGATGCATCGTTCACTTTGGTTCCAGCGGACCGGCCGATGAAACACACGAAGCCATGATCGCCGTTTACCCGCGTGGCAACACGCTGCCAACAGAATATACTTGCAGATATCGGTGAAGAAAACGAGAACAGAATAACGATGATGGGGGTTGTAGTAGTAGGTTTTTACCCTTTAAACTGGTGCAAAACTGACACCTTTATACAAGGCATCATGTTTGCAATAACCACAACACAAGCAGTCAAAATGCAAACAAAAATAAACAACTCTGATAATGATATGCACTGTCCTTGAAGTTGTACCAGTTTAAAGGGTAAAAACATACTACTATATTTTGCCACTGGTAAAGGAAGTCTCATAGTGATGATGGGGGTTGTCAGAATATGAGAATAAGAATATGTATTCATCCTGGAGGAATCCGATGATGTCCAGTAGGGGCGAGTAAGAACGTTACAACAACAAACAGTACACAAACGTGATAGCTATGCAAAGTACAAAAGACAGGTAAACAAATCACCCAAACACAAAAAAACACAACACGAAACCATCCCCATCCTACCAGGCAAAGCCCACTGCGGTATTCACTTATTGTTCAGAAGAGACCTGGCCACAAACGGTAGCTCAACAAAGTTGCCCATCGTTGGGACATTTATAGCACTCAAATAATCTAAATAATCTCAATGCACGTTTCTAAATGTAGGAGGGAAAAAACCGGAGCACCAGGAGCAAAAAATCCACGCGACCACGGGGAGAAAGACGCGCAAACTCCACATATGCAGGCGTCAGGGTCGGGATCGAACCCACGACCTTCCTGAACGAGCGAAAGGGCTCCATTGGGCAGCCCCAAGCCACTGGTGGAAATTTCCACGCTACCATGGCGAAAGCCGGTCCCCTACCCATAACGTGATAAAAAAATGTACCTCGTGCAGCACGGTGGTACCCTGTTAAATCACGCCATAGGAATAATGGGATGAGTCTGGCAGAGGCGGCGTATCAATAGGTACAAACAACACCTTTACAAAAAAAATATCTCATCAAAATACCAATTATTTCGCGAGGAAAGACTCACCGGGTCTCAAAGACCGTTTTTCAGGAGGCTCGTGATATGTTTGGCCAATTCAATCAATGGATGCTTTGCATCTGGGAGGACGCCAGAGAAATCCAGAGAAATCCCGTTCACGTTCAGGGTTGACATTCAACACCAGCTGCACCTCACAGCCACGTGTCTGTTGGTCACCCATCCCACTGTACGAACCAGGCTCAAAGCTGCTTGGCTTCTGAGAGCTGCCAAGATCGGGCATGTTAAAGTGTTGATTTGATGAAAGGGAAACAACGTCTCAAGACCTCAATGCAAGAGCACTGACGTGAAAACAAGGCGCTGTTGTAGGTATATTTCACTCAAACCAGGCCGTCCGTGTGAACAGCAGAATCAATCCAGAGCACTACCGCTGCACTGCAGGGCAGCAAGCTGCCAGGTCCAATAAACTTCTCAGTGTTCCGGGGCGTTAACAATGAGTAACCTTGGGGAACATGCAGCTCCGAAGTTGCGTGGTGGCTCTTTAAAGTGGCCGTTTCGTGACCGTTGGTTTATATTCTTTGGGTCTTTCGTTAAAGTCACGTAGATAGGTAGGTAAAAAAAAAACTACGACGTTTCGATCGCAACACAAGCGACCGTCATCAGGTGGAAACCTTCTGGGCGGCAGTGTGGCACAGCGGTAACGCTCGTGCCTCACAGCAATAAAGGAGGCCTGGGTTCAATTCCCGACCCGGGTGTCTTTCTGCGGGGGAGTTTGCACGTTCTCTGCCCCTCCCCCCCCACCCCCGGTGTGTGTTCGCTTCCTCCGAGTCCTCTGGTTACCTATCCGTCGCTAAAATAAACTACCAGCCAAACATTCCGATGCCACCCTGGGCATTTGCTGCGAGCGTATCGACCATGAAATAGGCACCGTCTGCTTATTCACAGCGGACGTGAAAGATCCCGGAAGGACGCCATTCGCAAGAGTAGGCCGCCGCGTGTCCGGAATCGCGGTCCAAAAATCGGCCAAAGTTTTAAAAAGTTACCCGCCAACGATCTCAATTGGTTATCGCACTTCGCGTCGTTGACCACCGCCGCCGTGGATGCCGGGCAGGGCCCTCCGGAACGATACGACTTGAGACTCGGCGAGGCTTTCGTGGGCAAAACTATTTTCGTAATATTATAATCGTACAATAATAACAATAATAACAATAAAAACAAACTGCACTTGCCTTCCTCGCCTTCTTCTTCAGCTTCTCCATGGTGGGGATGAAGTGTGACTTGAGCAGCTCTGGCCGGGCCTTGCCGATGATGGGCTGGGCAAACACTGCAAGGCGCAACGCAGCGAGAAGCACGGGCGAAGGATGGGCAATTGACAATTCGAAAGTTACCCACAAATCACCCACACTCGGTGTGACACCACAGCAGCAGCACCTCCTTTCCCGCACCTCCAATTAGCACGATTGGCTACGTATGGTGCGAAAGAAGTTCAACGTACACAGCAGTAATCATTGCCACTAACTGGCAGACCGGTCACCGCATCGCGCGCTTTTAGATCAGAGTTACAATCCGGCCAAAACATTCCAAATGCTGAACAATGTACCAGCAAATTACTCAAGATCAGAATCAGAATATTTAATTATCCTGGACAAATATGATGACCTATGAAAGCTCTTTTTCACAGATGTCCAGTAGGGGTGGATCAATAAGTTACAACAACAAAGAACACCAATAAACAAAACGATAGGGTATTAACCAGGTCGGCCGCCGTACTCGAACCGTGAACTCTTTGCATCTCGTGGCCACGTCACCTCCACACTTTGTGAATGTGTCGATGCTGAACTTCTTTCGCACCGTACGTAGCCAACCGTGCTCATCGGAGGTGCGGGGGAAGGACAATACACTTAACAGGAGGCGGAGAGAGATGCGTCATCACGCACTTATATGTAGGTGTGTTGAACTTCTTTCGCAACGTACGTAGCCAACCATGCTCATCGGAGATACGGGATCGCATTGCAGAGCCGGGTGAGAGTGAACGTCCCAACTGAGAGCACAAGAGTTTCCCTTTCCCCCCCCACCCCCTCCCCCCCCCTTCTGGAGGGGGGGGAGGGAGTGGTGGTCACGACGCGCATTCGTTACCGGCGATGCGTTTCATCCAGGACGCCTCGTCGATGCCCAGGTTGTTGACGATGATCTTGAGGATGTTGCCGAGCAGCTGGTTCATGTGGCTCGCCGTCACGGTGGTGCAGCCGGGCTTCTCGGGGTCGTGCTGCACGTCGGGCCCGCGCTCCCACCAGTGCAGCAGGTAGTTGCACAGCATGGGCAGGATGACCTCGATCACGTGGGGCATCTCGGTGTAGCGGGCGCCCGACTCCGCCAGCTGGTTGATGTCCTGCATGAGCTTATCGAGCGACGGGATGTCCCGGCAAGCCTCCTCCACCTTGGGTGGCAGCAGCAGCACTGGTGGGGAGGCGGGGGGGGGCAGGCGGTGGGGCGAGAAGATGAGAGTTGGGTGGGGAGGGAGGGAAGGGGGTACAGCCGCCCCAGGTCCTTGTACGGAACACCACCAAATCGCCTTCACCGGCTTCGCTTCATGCCGAATGGGCACCTCATCGAGGATCCCAGCACCACCCAGACATCAGGAAGCTCACCTAGTCCCCAAACTGGCCACGGCTGGTGCAATCGCCTTGTCAATGAAGTTGCAAATATAAGAATAGCACAAACGAGCCTGCGGCGTGAACCTCAACAGTGGAACACATTGCGAGTCGATGGGTCTCTGTGTGAGTCTATGGGTCTCTGTGCGAGTCTATGGGTCTCTGTGCAAGTCTATGGGTCTCTGTGTGAGTCTATGGGTCTCTGTGCGAGTATATGGGTCTCTGTGCGAGTCTATAGGTCTCTATATGAGTCTATAGGTCTCTGTGTGAGTCTATGGGTCTCTGTGCGAGTCTATAGGTCTCTGTGCGAGTATATGGATATCTGTGCGAGTCGATGGGTCTCTGTGTGAGTCTATGGGTCTCTGTGCGAGTATATGGGTCTCTGTGCGAGTCTATGGGTCTCTGTGCGAGTCTATGGGTCTCTGTGTGAGTCTATGAGTCTCTGTGCGAGTATATGGGTCTCTGTGCGAGTCTATGGGTCTATGTGTGAATCTCTGGGTCTCTGTGTGAGTCTACAGGTCTCCGTGTGAGTCTATGGGTCTCTGTGCGAGTCGATGGGTCTCTGTGTGAGTCTATGGGTCTCTGTGCAAGTATATGGATCTCTGTGCGAGTCTATAGATCTCTGTGAGTCTATGGGTCTCTATGTGAGTCTATGGGTCTCTGCGTGAGTCTATGGGTCTCTGTGCGAGTCTATGGGTCTCTGTGTGAGTCTATGGGTCTCTGTGCGAGTCGATGGGTCTCTGTGCGAGTCTATGGGTCTCTGTGTGAGTCTATGGGTCTCTGCGTGAATCAATGGGTCTCTGCGTGAGTCTATGGGTCTCTGTGCAATTCTGTGAGTCGCTGTGTAAACCGATGTTGCATGTGAGCGTTCTCCAAATGCACGAGTGATATTCCCACTCAAACGTGCTCTGAAGCCAGCAGGCGGACCTCACACGTTAGACGACGATTTATATATATAGTTAATATCCACGTGACAGAGAGAAAACCCGGCTTCCCATCGCCCGTATGCCGAACTTCTTCCGCTCCGTGCGTAGCCAACCGTGCTAATCGGCACAGACAGCAGCTTGCTCGGCCACTGGCGGTTGCGGTGCGGCGAGGTGCGGTGCGGCGACTCACTGGCGCGTTCGCGGGGGGTCTTGGTGACGTAGACGGAGCAGGAATTGTTCTGGTTGAGCTCCGGCTCCAGGAAAGCGACGGGGAAGGCGCCGGCAAGGCCGGCGAGGCACTCGCCCAGCGCCGGGCGCTGCCTGCGGGGGGGGTGGGGGTGGGGGGGGGACAGCGCGAGTGAGCGCGCCGTTCGGCCGCGTTCGATGCGTCCGCGGGGAAACGATGGTTTAGACTTTGCGACGCGCGCGGCGTTTTGCGCAGACGCAGAGAGAGAGAGGGAGCGGATGACTCAAGAGGCGCGAGGAAGCACAGACGAGCGGGGAGGCAGTCACACGGTCCTCGATATATACAGGGTGCTTCTAAAACATGTCAACACTTATATGGGACTATCGTTTTTAATGGGAAAAAAACAAAAACAAATGTAATGTTAATAGCTTCAAAAAGTCAAAGAGTCTCCACTTGTTCGCCATCATTGTCAACGCGTGCCTGGAATCTTCTCCAGGTGGTCCCCAGAGCCCAGAGACACATTTCTCGTGCTATTGTTGCAAATTCTGAGAAGTGTTAAAACATTTTTGAAGCACCCTGTACATGATGATGTGTGTGAGTTGAACTGATTGTGTAACCGTACGTAGCCAACCGTGCTCATCGGAGGTGCGGGGCCGATAACGCCATCTGAGCCAACTGATGTGCGTTTAACAACGTGCGGTGGAAAGTGCCCGGAGAGGACCCGCGCGCGCGCGAGGGGGAAACGCTCGATCCCGTACAGACGCAACGGGTGGAGCCCACCGCCTACTCCTGGCAGAGCCAGGCTATGGCACCTCCTAGATGTGCACAGGAGTTTCGCAACATTCGTGTGCTGATCCACCTACCCTTCGACTCTGCAGCGCCTGATTACTAGGCGCGCGGCCACCACTAACTCTGCGAACGCCATTCCGAACTGTCTCCAGATGAAATTAAGTACTGGCAATGCCTCTAAAAAAGAAAAGTATGTTGATTCTAAATGTGGAGGGAATAAACTGGTCGTCCCGGAGAAAAATCCGCACGACCCCAGAGAGAACATGCGAATTCCAAATATACAGCAGGCTTCAGGGTTGGGATCAATCCCACCGCCTCCTACATACCAGGCGAGGTAGTTAACATCTCACCACCATGAAAACTCCAAATATACAGCAGGCATCAGGGTCGGGATTGAACCCACGACGTCCTGTATACCAGGCGAGGTAGTTAACATCTCACCACCATGCAAACTCCAAATATACAGCAAGCTTCAGGGTCGGAATCAAACCCACGGCCTCCTGCATACCAGGCGAGGTAGTTAACATCTCGCTACCGTGGCACCCCCACAATCACAGGTCTCTATCAGCGGCGTTATTGCTAAGGTGGTTCTCACAAGAAGCCCAGCTGACCACGGTGGGAATGAACGCAAGGGGACCGCAAGCGCAATGACGTCACCTCTCCACGTAGACGTTCTTGCCCGTGCCCATGGAGTAGAGGCACGAGAGGATCTTGTAGCAGGAGGCCTGGACGTCATCAACTGCGGTCGCAACAGAAAATCGTCGTCATCATCATCAATCATCACGATACGCCTACGAGCATTCAAAACGGAACCCGACTCTCGATGAATACGCAAATTCTCTCTCCAGTGCGCTCTCCAGGGGCAGGTTCTTGGTGCAGGTTAATAAACGATCATTTATCATTTGAATTCATAACGTGCACAGCTTCTGTTCACTCTCGGAGAGAGAGGGAGACAGAGAACGCTTTCAGACAGCCGAGCGGGAATGGCAGTCAGAACCGACGACGACAATTTCCCAAGCTCTGCGGTCCTATAATCGGCAATTTTCCTCCAACTCCAAACGGAGGATGACGACGACGTGTGTCGTTCCCGGGCTGGTCGTCGCAGCCGCCGCGGGCAACTCACGCATGATGTCGGTGCCGAACTGGTTCTGGGCGACGTGCTCGAAGAGCGAGGTGAGCACGGGCAGCAGCGCCACTGTGGTGTAGTTGATGTTCTGCGCGACGCCCTTGAGCTGCGTGCGAGTGTGCGCGAAGCGGCCCTGCTTCACGTTCTCCATTGTCTTCTCCAGGTCCTCCGACGCGTAGTCGAAGAACGAGCGCAGCGCCGCCTTGATGCTCTCCGGGCCCGTCTTCATCACGGTCCTGCGCGTGCGTGCGTGTGTGTTTGCGTGTGCAAGTACACGTGTGTGTGTGTGTGTGGGGACCTCCTGCCAGCGGGCGTTCGACACTTCACGTGGCCTCAAGGTGCACATGGCCTGGCACAAGCGTCGTGGTGATGTCACCGCCACTTAATGGCGAATGGCGGTTGTTGTTGTTGGGGAGCGGTAGTGCAGCGGTACGCGCTACGAACCCGGCGACCAGAGATTCCCACTGACAGACGCCACCAGTGACGATTATATGAACCGGTCCTGTGCCTCCCCCCCACCTAGGTCGACTCAACCTCAAATGAGTACCTGGTGCGGTGTGTAAACGTCCCCACCTTATCGTTTTTTTATTCTTTGTTATAACTTTCTGATCCACCCTCCCCTATTGCGGAAAGGATATATAAATATTTCGATTTTGATTTTAGAGTACCTTGCAACAATATTGTTCAGCACTGGAATGTTTTAGCCAATACCAGTTAAATTGTATATATATGTGTTATATTAACTGGAGGACCTGTTCATTACAAAACTCCACGCAGAGTAGGTGCCTGGGTCAGGAATCGGAACCCCGTCCTGTCTTGCTGTGAGGCATGGCAATTACCACGGGTCACACCCTGGCACCAAAATCCACACTACAAATTTGATCGTACTCCCAACAAAGCGTAGCCGGGACAATCTGCGCACGTCTGATGGAAGGTCTGCGAACGCGTTGATACGCGTCGGGCGAGAGGCGACGACGATTAATGGCCTCGGCTTCCGAGGGTTTCACGGGTATGATGACTGGCGAAGCCGTCTTACCTGGCGTCGATTGACCGGGCAAGGATGTGCATGCAGTTGACAATGGAGATGGCGTCGGCACCTGCGGCAGATTGAACGCGATAAATCTACAGATGCAGTCCCCTACAGATGCAATAAACACCACGCAGATCAATGCACGTGAAGGGCCTGAGTATTCACGTAAACCGAGTGTCGAACACACACACACACAAAGACAAAGATCCCTCCAAATAGCCCGAACAGGCTGTTGGGGCAAGTGCCGTTAGCGAGCACAAATGAAGGTTGGCACGGCACACGAGGGGGTGGGTGGCCAGCAACACGCCCGGCCGCCTTTGTCTCCCCAGTGGCGGTGTTTACACACTGCACCAGGTGCCCATTTTAGGCTGAGTCGACCTAGGGGAAGCCCAGGACCGGTTCAGATATTCACCACTGGATTTGGCCGTGAGCGGCAATCGAACTCAGGTCGTCGGGTTCGTAGGGCAGCACGCTGACCGCTACACTACCGCTCCCCATACTCACACAACAACAACAAACGCCACTTGCACCGAAGTGGTAGTGACGTCGCGACGGCGCTTGAGTCAGGCCATGTGCACTTTAAGGCCGCGTGTGCGCACACACACGCACACACACGAGCACACGCATGCACGCACACGCATGCACAAGCATTCGAAAAAAACTCCACACTGACAGACGTCAACGAGCGGGCCAAGAGGAGGCCAAACACCCTTTGGAGGGGTCTCTCTGGTGGAGGCCCTTCCGCCAGCAGTGGCATGAGCAAGCAGTTGCAGGGGCTGCGCCTTTATAATTTGTTGCAACACTGACACGGGCCCTTGCACGCGCAGTCACATTCTAGGTTGCTTGTTTATTAAATGCCCACGGAACTGAAGACACGGGGGTTGCAGTGGACAACCTCACATGCTCGAGGTAAATTCAAAGCCGTAAGAAATTTGAACCTTTGCACGAATGGAATCATTGCCGTGTTAAATTACCAATGAGTATTGCAGTCGACTTGATAGATAAGTAAATCAAGTGGAGTTGGTGGCTTTGTGCGAATGGGTGAGTTAATGAATGGATAGGGCAGGTTAACATGCGTCTGTGTGGGTGGCCGGATGAGTAGTTTGGTGGGCGGCCTAGTTAGTGAGCGAGTAGGTTGGTTTGTAGCTGGGTGGGTGGCTGGATGGGTAGTTTGGTGGGCGGCCTAGTTAGTGAACGAGTAAGTTGGTTTGTAGCTGGGTGGGTGGCTGGATGGGTAGTTTGGTGGGTGGCCAAGTTAGTGAACGAGTAGGTTGGTTTGTAGCTGGGTGAGTGGCTGGATGGGTAGTTTGGTGGGTGGCCAAGTTAGTGAACGAGTAGGTTGGGTTGTAGCTGGGTGGGTGGCTGGATGGGTAGTTTGGTGGGTGGCCAAGTTAGTGAACGAGTAGGTTGGTTTGTAGCTGGGTGAGTGGCTGGATGGTTAGTTTGGTGGGTGGCCTAGTTAGTGAACGAGTAGGTTGGTTTGTAGCTGGGTGAGTGGCTGGATGGTTAGTTTGGTGGGTGGCCTAGTTAGTGAACGAGTAGGTTGGTTTGTAGCTGGGTGAGTGGCTGGATGGGTAGTTTGGTGGGTGGCCAAGTTAGTGAACGAGTAGGTTGGTTTGTAGCTGGGTGAGTGGCTGGATGGGTAGTTTGAGCGAGTAGTTTGGTTTGTAGCTGGGTGGGTGGCTGGATGGGTAGTTTGGTGAGTGGCTTAGTTAGTGAACGAGTAGGTTGGTTTGTAGCTGGGTGGGTAACTGGGCGGCCGGATGAGTGGCTGGGTGGGTGAATGATTTTGTGAATTCGTAGGTTATTTTGCGGCTCGGTAGGTGGCTGATTGCGAAGGAGGATGAAGTGGAGAATGGGCACGAGAGTTCTTGGCCGGGTGGATGATCCAGTGAGTCTGTGGGGAGCTTGAACTTCTTTCGCACCGTACGTAGCCAACCGCGCTACTCGGAGGTAAAGGCGAATTGATTCTGGTTCGTGGGCAAGCAGACTGCCGTCTACCAGACTGCACGTGTGAGAAGACTGCGTGAATAAATGGACATCGGAGTGGGCGAATATTTGAGTGCCATCGGGAAAGAACAACTGCACAGCAACTCATCACAGCAAGATGCACGCATCGGAGCCGTCCGTATATTATCTGTGATTACACTCAACAGGAGCATTGGTCACACAAAGAAAGCACTTCCCTTCACAAAGACAAATTAAAGCACATGCACCCCACACCCAATACCTCGGCTACGCTATAACAATTAAAAACGTCCCCCGTGTAGCCTTGACAGACTTATTGGGACAAGTGCTGTTAGCGAGCACCTATGAAGGCCGGCACGGCACACTTGAGGGTGGGTGGCCAGCACAACGCCCGGCCGCCTTTGTCTCCCCAGCGGCGATGTTTACACTCCGCACCAGGTGCTCATTTGAGGCCGACCTAGGGGAGGCCCGGGACCGGTTCAGATAATCATCACTGGTGCTGGCCGTGAGCGGGAATCGAACGCGGGTCGATGGGATGGCAGCGCAGTGCGCGAACCGCTACTTTTCCACTCCCCGTGCTACAATAAACAAGCGGTTTTCAATTCTTATTAAACTTGCTTAGCCAGGAAATCCTCAGTGAGTCTCGTGACTCTTGTTTTGACGATGACTGCCCATTGGGAAAAAAATCCCCACTCGAAGAAAAATTGGCGGCGGCGTATATATTTTTTTCTTCCGAACCTTGCCAAATTCGGACCATGACGCCAGCGTGCAGTGGGCCCCCCTCTTGTCAGACGACGTCACGGGGAATCTTTAAAACCCACTTCTGCGGGTTGCTACGCCACGCAGCACTGCCCCCGCATGGATTCAGACCCAAACCGGGGAACCTTTGTGTCAAGAAGCGATCGCGCTCGCGACCGTCGGCCGTGTCACCCCACACGCCCCCCCTTCGTGTTGATTAACGACCGAGCGAGGCAAAAAAAACACAGCACAAAGTCAGCAATCTCAGCTGCTTCTTGCATGCGGGTATCTCGCACGGCATGCCACCACACCTTACCAAATATGGATATCCGGTGCCTAATTAGCACGCCGAGTTTGCAGAACAGACTGATGCAGGCGGAGGGGGGGGGGTAAAAACAATGTCAAGTGGAAGAAAAAAAAACCAACAAGGGATTGGAACACGAATGTGTGCATTGCATGTTGAACTTATTTTGCACAGTTACGCAGCCAACCGTCCTAATCGGACGTGTCAAACGAGAGCATGTCCACCCGGCGTCACTCTTGAATGCTTAGGAGGAGAGTTTAGACTACCGCAGCTTGCGGAGAGTGGAGGTTCTTTCCTTTCTGATAACTCGGAAAATACTGCGGCCCACCCGGGGACTTTAACACGGCGGCACGTCGGTTGCTGAGCACCGATTCACGCATTTTTTACAATTTCCTTACCATTACCATCCTGCTGTTGGACAAAGGCCTCCCCAATGCTACCTCCGTACTTTGTGAACCTCCTGATCCTCTCAGCCACGTAAAGTAAACCCTAAGATCTTGACCTGGGAATATTTCCCCATCTGCCTAGGTCAGGGGTCGGCAAAACCAAAATAACAAGAATAGATATTTTTTACGAAATCTGTAAAAAAAAAATAACAACCCCTCAATGTTTCAGTTACGTGTGAATATGACACGGTGGTCCTTACTAGGAAGAGTCCTTACAGAGCCGCATGCGGCTAAGGAGCCGCCGGTTGCCGAACCCCGTGGCCTAGGTCGATCAAAAGTATGCAGGAAACTGATGAAGTTAAACACAATGCCACCAAATGTCAGTGCAAATCAATTACTTCCACATGAACACAGACGCCAATTCATGGGTCGTCTGGGTCACAAACACACAAGTGATAAGCCCAATGTGGAGGCTATACTACGGATATTTGTGTGCGTGTGTGCATCTGCCCATGTGTGTGCCTGTAAGGGGAGCGATATCGTAATGGCTAGAGCACTGCGCTACAAACTCAATAACCCAAGTTCGATTCCCGTCCACAGCCAACACCGGTGAACCGGTCCCGATTCTCCCCTGGGTCGACTCAGCCGTTAATCGAGTACCTCTGTGCCGGTGTCTAAACATCAGCATTGGGTCAGACGGAGGCTGTCGGACAATGGAAACTGACCGCCTGCCTCCTCGTGTGACGTGCCGGCCTGCATTTGTGCTCGCTAACAGCGCACGCCCCAACGCTGTGTTAAAACGGCTCTACGGGGTAAATGTTTGTCTCCCTGTGTGTGCGTGCGTCACACCTTGTGACCATTTCCTTCTCCTTGGGGGACGCGTGGCTGCCACCTGGCAGAGGCCGGGTCAGCGTGGCCAGGAAGTACTGCCGGTGGTTGTTGAAGTAGTGGTTGATGAGCGGCAACACCACCTGCGGTGAGCGGAGAGGCAGACGCGCTGCGCATGACGCTCGCGGAGAAGCCGAGCGGCGTATCATCGCCACCATCATCGTCGTCGTCACCGTCATCATCAGCCATGGACATTTGACTGCTGGGTGAAAGCCTCCCCGGGGGGCGTGCCACCTCTTACGATCCGTGGGTGTCATAACAACAACAACCCCCATTCGCCACTAAGTGGCGGTGACTTCACCACGACGCTTGTGTGCCAGGCTATGTGCACGTTGTCATAATCTGCATGTTCACTGCAAGTACTGTGTGCGGTTAATGCAGACCTGAATCCTTGCAAAAGGTTTTCTATTTGGTGTTTGAACATCTTAACACCTGCTCTTTTATTGCCAGAGAGGGTAAAACCTGATCCTATTTTTCATACTTTGATAATGTCACAAAGGTCCCATGATGAAGCTCTTTCTCACAGATGTCCAGTAGGGGCATGGGGTCAGCAAGTTAGTGGACCGATGACGTCGCTCCATCTCCTCGCTGGACACCCCCCCTTCGTTGAGAACTACGCATGGACTGGGCTTTCTACTATCGGGGGGTGACGGGTGGGAGGGGTGGCCCGGATGAGAATGAAAATGCGGATAAATCAAACCACGTAAATTAGGCGACGGCACATGTACAGCACGTTGTTCAGCTACGGTGAACGGCGGTGCGGACGCAGGATGTCGTCCGTTTGGAACCGTCTCTTGCAGGAACCGTTTTACTTGTGATCACGTGGGCACCGAGTCGCCGACCCCACGACGAGTGAGGAGCAGCCGATGAACGAGCGTGCACGCTTAAAGGCGTGGCCGAGCACGTTTAACGCGCAACCCGGATAAACGCGCGTTAATTGCGATACGTTTTTTTTTACGGAATATTGCTTTTTTTCAGCATTCACAGGGCCCCTTTATTTCGAGGGAGTGCTTTTCCCCGTTACTAAATTTGCCACATAACAGACTGGTGTGCTGAAGGTGATGATGCGTGAACATTTTAGTCACGCGCACACCGTGGTTAAAGCATTGCCAGGATATAATATACGGAACGCGAAATCTAATTAACTTCTTGTGAAATGAAGCATTTGAACATTGCGTCTCGCCGAGCCAAATTTTCCTTTAAAAATTCATGCAAACGAATAATAATGATGAGTCCTTGGTAACAAACATCTGGCAGTTCACAGGCATTTCCTCTAGCAAGCCTGACACAGCTGGTGAGATACAGAATTCTTAAGACCGATCCAGAGTCTACTTGTGTTGGAACCAATGCTGCTGAAATAATGCACTCAGAATTCTGTGCGGCTCATGAGATTCGTCGAGGGAAACATATGTAAAGTGGGCGTATTGTCTCTGCTTACTTACTTTGTTTAATTCTAAAGCATTAAATTGGTGCAGAAGGATGTGACGGCAGTGTGACGGGATGATGAATGCTTTTAATTTCACGGGAGATGTGCGCAAGGCTGTACCAACAGCGGCCTCTGACCTTCGCGAAAAATTTGATTTCTTGTTCATTCGATGACCTTGAATCCCGCACGATCGTCACGCCAGAATCTGATTGGGGTAAACAAAACAATATAACCAGTCAAATGTATTCTTTAAATCATGAACTTCATTCCTAATATTACTGGTTCTTTCGGTAAAGTCACGTAGAAGGGAAACAATAAAATAATAAAAATATAAAACAATAATATTCTCACGACGTTTCGATTGCAACACAAGCAATCATCATCAGGTGTGAAAACCACAGCAAGAACATTTTTCCTGTGGTTTTCACACCTGATGATGATTGCTTGTGTTGCAATCAAAACGTCGTGAGAATTTAATTGTTTTATATTTTTATTATGTTATTGCTTCCCTTCTATGTGACTTTACCGAAAGAACCAATAATATGAATCCCTGCTTTCACGAAAGCTTTAAATCAAAATTTAATTCCTAATTCCACAGTTTAAAAAGTCAATAATTACACTGTATTTTTTGGAGATTATGAAATGCTCCAGAAAGTAAGACATGTCCCGAAATCTCATATTCCCGTGTCAATGAAGGTAAAAAGACAAAGAAAGACCCCCCGTATAGCCTTAACAGACTGTAGGGGCAAGTGCTGTTAGCGAGCACTTATGAAACCCGGCACGGAACACAAGGGGGTGGGTGGCCAACACCACGCCCGGCCGCCTTTGTCTCCCCAGTGAAGATATTTACACACCGCACCAGATACTCATTTGAGGCTGAGTCAACCTAGGGGAGGCCCAGGACCGGTTCAGATAATCGTCACCGGTGTTGGCCGTGAGCGGGAATCGAACTCGGGTCGCCTGGTCCATGGCGCAGCATAGCGCTAACCGCTGCACCACCGCTCCCCACTAATAAAGGTACACCCATCTGGTGACACACGCACACTCCTACCAGATTAACAACAGTCATCCTCAACTGCTGCTTTGAAATCCAGGCGAAAACTGCCTCTTATATAATTCAAAGAGTACAGTTTTTTTTTTTCCCCGAACAACGCGAGCGTAACCAAACGAGCTTGCAAACGATCAATTAACTATCATCTTGTCAATTATTTGAAGCTAAGCAGGTTCAAAACGTGGTTATTATTTGGATGAGAGACTGCCTGAGAATATCACCAGGGGATTGTAAGCTTGGGCTGCAAGGTGGCAAGCAGACGGAACGACGTCTCTGGCATCTACCGATGCAGAGCCTTGGCGATGATTATCCTCTCAAATATCCCCTCAAATTATATCAAATTCCCTCAAATCAAATCATCAAATCAAGTTGTCAAATCCCCTCAAATTATCCCCACAAATGATCAAATATACCCTCTAATTATCAAATCCCATCAAATTATAGAAAATCCCCTCAAATCAAATAGTCAAATCAAGTCGTCAAATCCCCTCAAATTATCCCCTTAAATTATTTTCCCCTAAAATGCGTTAGCTTTCTCCTGATACTCCAGAATTGGTCATTCAGGAATCCCTGGCTAATTATGAGGCATTATCATTCTTACTATTAATTATAATTTTTCATCCCATGGTAGCCCTTAGCCAATTATGAAATTAGTAACTCCACAGGACAATTGCTTTTGACTGCTTGCGAAGTGGTATCTATTTTATCTGCCCCAAAGGGATGATGGCAAAGGCTGGATATGTGATGTTCGATTATGTGAAGTGCTCCTCCCTTTTCAAATACTTTGATATATCTGTAACTTGTGAGGCTCCTCAATCTACAAGCCCTATTTTTGCGATGTGACGCCACATGGCAGATAATGAGGCATCTAAACCCAAAAACGTTGATTATGAATAATATTGGTCGCGAAAGCCTACGTGTTAAACTTTAAAGAAACTGCCATTCCAAATTCTCAACTTTAAAAGCTTTGCAACAACAAAAGATGCGGCATTAACCTGGCAGTTAAAAAATATTGAAGACATGTGATGTATGTATGTTGAAATTCTTTCACACTGTACCTAGCCAACCGTGCTAATCGGAGGTGCGACATGCGATGACATGTGATGACATGCTGGGGGTGGCAATCACGCAGCGCTCCCGTATGATGCACACGCACAGGAGCAATCGCAGAGGTGTGTGCGCGCGCTCGCCAGGGTTGCTAAACGACAGCCGGTAATACCGATAACCGCGTTTCACAGTCGGTTACAGGTTCCAAAAAGTAAAGTCGGCATCACGGTGACCGTTTCCAGCGGAATTGTCGTACCGAATGCACCAATATCGCCAACCGCCCCCCCCCCCCCCCCCCCCCCATTGTTCCAACTGCTACGCCGGGAGATGGAATGGAATGGGCGACCTATGGATTGCAAGTCCAGTGGGCTCACCGTTACACGGCCACTGTGGCAGCTCCCTTCATTTCTCGATTTAAAAAAAAGTAAAATCCAAAAAATCTCCCCCTTCTTTAAACCCCGGAGCACCCTGAGCCTGGGCTCTTGTCCCTGCCACCACCCTGACGTCGCGGTCGGTGTGTTCTGCGCTGGGCTCGCGTTGAGTTGTAATAAAACCGTCAATTAAAACAAAAAAGGTTGAAACAAATCTCGCGTTGATTTCTCGAGACATTTCTAGGCGTGCGGCAAAAACCGCTGACCGGTTTGGCCAGTCGTGGAAGGAGAAACGACGATTCTAACGACCCGGTGCGCGTACCCAGCTGCCGAATGTATTCGTGGGCAGCGTCCACGTAATCGATGAGCTTCTGCACGAGGCCGTAGGCGTAGCGCTTCTCTATGGACGATGAATCCATCTCCATGTCCTTCATTCCCCTGGAACACGTGACGGCACAAAACAAAGACAGACAGAGACAAACGATGCAGCCTTTACACATTGTTGGGGCACATGCTGTTAGCGAGTAGCACCGACGAAGGCCGGCACGGCACGCGTCGGGGTGGGTGGCCAGCACCTCGCCCGGCCGCCTTCTTCTCCCCAGTGGCGATGTTTTTACACACTGCACCGGGTACTTATTTGAGGCTGAGGCGACCTAGGGGAGACCCGGGACCGGTTCAGATAGTCGTCACTGGTGTTCGCCGTGAGCGGGAAATCGAACTCGGGTCGCCGGGTGCGTAGCGCAGACCGCTATCCGCCGCACTGCCACACACAGGCAGGCGCACACAGACGTACTAGCGAATACGCACACACACACACACAACACATCGATTATTTGGGGTGGCCAGATAAATCCGAGGTCAGAGCGCTGAGCCGACACCGCCGAGACGCTGCGTCTGAAATGATTAAAACGGGATCTCAAGCGTAGTGAGTTGATGTAGCGATTTGAGGGTCTTAGCCCGGTCACCAAAGACTGCCCGCACAGAACAACACCAATACCAATCGCGATTCTCCACAAAGAGGCGGTGACGCCACCACGTGCCTAGTTGCCGAGCTAGGTGGCAGCTTGAGACCACGTGAAGCGTCAAAGACTCGCTGGCAGGTGGCCGATAGGCCCAGGTGTTGCGGGTTAAATGAATCAGATAAAGTAAATTCAGAATCTGAATATTTGTATATACTGGAGGAATCTGATGAGCTATAAATTCTCTTTTCCACAGATGTTCTCTTCCAAACATCCACCTCGCTTCTCCTGTCACAAACATCTTCCGAGCATCTACCTCGAGACGCCCGTGCTTACAATGCCAACAACTTCTTGTCGAACTTCCTGGCGGAACGACGACATACACACACACACACAATTGTTGGTCCACGTCCCAGCACAGCAGGGCGGGGACCCCCCCCCTCTTGAAAACAACGAGCAACGAGATTCGGCCGACGCTTGCCTGGCTCAACAATTTTTCTCGCGTCGCGTACGGAGGCGGCTTCGGGGAGAGGGGGTGGGGGGCATTTGCGCAAAAAAAGCGGTCGCACGCCGCACCGAGACACGGCGTAGCCGTTGATCTGCAGAAACTTGAGGAGGTCCTGTGCCTTCTCGCGGTCCCGCGCCTTCTCCTTGGCCGTCAGCGTGTCGTACGGCACCAGCAGGGGGTGGTTTCCTCCTCCTACGAAAGGGCAACAAGATCCCCCCCACCTCAGTATAGCCTGTGACAGACTGCCGGGGCAAGTGCTGCTCAGCGAGAAGCAGCGCCTGTGAAGGCCGCGGCAACACACGAGGAAGGGTCGGTGTGGCCAGCGCCACCTTGCCCCGCCGACTTTGTCTCCCTACGTGGCGATGTTTACACACACACACACGGCATCAGCTACTAATTTTGAGGCTGAGTCAACCCAGGGAAGGCTCAAGACTAGCTCAGATATTACTCGCCACTCATGTTAGCTGTGAGCAGAAGTCGAATCGAGGTCGCCGTGAATGCAGCGCAGTGCAGTAGCCAGCACACTGAAATATACACTTGGGATATACTAAATTACTAAAGTATTTTTATGTTATTTTACCGGGTAAGGCCCACTGAACTATTGTATAGCTTTTTTTCAGATGCGACCTGGCTATCACAAATGTTAGCTCAACGAAGTGGCTTATCATCGTGTGGACATTTATAGCAGCCAAACACTGTGAACGCGTGTTTCTAAATGTGGAGGGGAAAACCGGAGGACCTGGAGGAAAAATCCACGTGACCATGGGGAGAGCGAGAGACACGCAAACTCCAAATATACAGCAGGCGTCAGGGTCGGGATAGAACCCACGACCTCCTGCATACTAGGCGAGGTAGTTTTGCATTTTGCCACCGAATGCAGAAAACTTGGCAGGGGCTCCTGAGCGAACAAGCTTAATAAACAACGAATAAACACACGCACACACATACCCTTAGCATCAAGCTCCACCTTCTTGTTCTTGGCCCAGGTGTTGTGGTAGTTTTCAGCCAACTGCTCAGCCATGGACTGCAAAGCACACAGAGTAACGATCCTCGTTCAACGCGGTAGATGCGCTCCTGAAAAGTGCCAAGGAGCAACGGTCATCCTCGCAGTGGCTTTTAGCTGCTGCCATCGAACAAAGGCGACGGTCACCGCACCGCGTGCGCGCTTTCAGACGCGCTTCTGCGGCCGTCTGGAACGCTCTTCCTTCCGATACGAGGAAGCCGCTGGATCTTTGCACTTTTAAATGATCATCATCTGGATTTAAAAAAGATTTCTGCAGAACTGCTTTGGGCGTTTAGTTTGCTGCCCCTCCCTCCACAACCTCCGATTAGAGCGGTCGGCTACGTACGGTGCGAAGGAAGTTCAACATGCACACATACTTACACGTCGCTGTTGACTAAAACTAATGTTGGAATCGCTTCTTTAATATTCAAGTCTGGCTTTACGCTAAGGGCCCTGAGCCCACTGGGATACCGAGCGGGATCGATCGATCGATCGACTGACTAAGCCGTGACATTTCACCTGCAAGTCCCTGGACAACGTGACGTTGCTCATGTCCGCAGGCCGCGGGCTGTAGCCCTGTTGCAGGTCGATGGGTGGCTGCGGGTAACAGCACGCGACGGACAAACACACAGAGAACCACACGGTCAGGCCCCTGTACAGTACAACACCTCTTAACGACCACCCCTGTTAACGACTAATCGCTTAACAACAGGCCTCTATAAAGCCCAATGTGTTGTGTATAGCGTAGTGTATAGTGTAGTGTAGTGTATAACGTCGTGAATAGTGTAATGTATAGTGTGGTTTATAGTGTAGTGTATAGTAGTGTAGTGTATAGTGTAGTGTATAGTAGTGTAGTGTATAATGTAGTGTAGAGTAGAACCCCTCTTAAGGACCACCCCTGTTAACGACTAATCGCTTAACGACGAACCTCTATAAAGCCCAATGTGTAGTGTAGTGTATAGTAGTGTAGTGTATAGTGTAGTGTATAGTAGTGTAGTGCCTCTATAAAGCCCAATGTGTAGTGTGTAGTGTAGTGTATAGTGTAGTGTATAGTAGTGTAGTGTATAGTGTAGTGTATAGTAGTGTAGTGCCTCTATAAAGCCCAATGTGTAGTGTGTAGTGTAGTGTATAGTGTAGTGTATAGTAGTGTAGTGTATAGTGTAGTGTATAATAGTGTAGTGCCTCTATAAAGCCCAATGTGTTCGCTTACCAACAATTCCCCTATTAGCGACAGGCTGTTGTAGGTACCGTAAATATTAATTAATCCCTTTTTCACAGATGTCCAGTCGGGGCGGGTCAGAAAGTTACAACAACAAACGATACGAAAACACGACAGGAGTGCAAAATATGGGAAAAGTAAACAAATATCCATTCGTTATGAAATAGCCACTTAAGTGAATAATTTTTCTTCGTTCATTTTTTTCACCATCGGAAACAAAATCCGAGTGAGAAAGGGTTAACTGTTAAGAAAAGTAAGCGGGTTCGGGCAGATGACACATCACGACAAGTGACGATGGCTGGCGGCCGCGCCTCCGACCTCGCGCGAGTCACGGCGACGGCTTGCGGGAAGCCTCCGGCCCCGTCTAGCAGTGGATAGATCGTGACGTTCACCTGGGAAGATCCTTTCCCCTGTGCCGCCATCTGGTCGGCGTCGCGCGAGCGCTCGATGGACCACCCCCACGCGATCATCGTCTTGATCGACTCCTTGATTGGCCAGCGGTACGTCTCCTTCTCCTGCACAACGAGAAAAAAACACGGCGCCACGCGGTGAACTTCTTTCTCGCCGTACGTAGTCAACCGTGCTCATCGCAGGTGCGAAATGTTGAGTCTATGGGCAGTGTTGAGTCTATAGGCAGTGTTGAGTCTATGAGCAGCGTTGAGTCTATGGGCAGTGTTGAGTCTATGGGCAGTGTTGAGTCTATAGGCAGTGTTGAGTCTATGGTGCAGTGTTGAGTCTATGGGCAGTGTTGAGTCTATGGGCAGTGTTGAGTTTATGGGCAGTGTTGAGTCTATGGGTAGTGTTGAGTCTATGGTGCAGTGTTGAGTCTATGGGCAGTGTTGAGACTATGGGCAGTGTTGAGTTTATGGGCAGTGTTGAGTCTATAGGCAGTGTTGAGTCTATGGGCAGTGTTGAGTCTATGGGCAGTGTTGAGTCTATGGGCAGTGTTGAGTCTATAGGCAGTGTTAGTCTATGGGCAGTGTTGAGTCTATGGGCAGTGTGAGTCTATGGGTAGTGTTGAGTCTATGGGCAGTGTTGAGTCTATGGGCAGTGTTGAGTCTATGGGCAGTGTTGAGTCTATGGGCAGTGTTGAGTCTATGGGTAGTGAGTCTATGGGCAGTGTTGAGTTTATGGGCAGTCATCATGGGATCTCCTTTGCCAGTACCAAAATATACTAATAGGGTTTTTCCCCTTTTTTCTGGCAACAAAACTGACACCTTTTGCAAGGAATCATGCTTACATTAACCACAATACCTGCAGTCAAATGCAAACAAAAAACAATACTCTGATAATTTATGCATTGTCTTTGAAACTGATTGGTCCGCACCAGAGACAGCTTTCTTTGGAGCCTAGTCTCATATGGTGTTCGACCAGATGACGCCAAAAGGCGCACAGTTCAAAGACAACGCAATACCAGAGTAATGAGAGCTCGGGGTGAGCAGCTACATCATGGGATCTCCTTTGCCAGTACCAAAATATACTAATAGGGTTTTTCCCCTTTTTTCTGGCAACAAAACTGACACCTTTTGCAAGGAATCATGCTTACATTAACCACAATACCTGCAGTCAAATGCAAACAAAAAACAATACTCTGATAATTTATGCATTGTCTTTGAAACTGATTGGTCCGCACCAGAGACAGCTTTCTTTGGAGCCTAGTCTCATATGGTGTTCGACCAGATGACGCCAAAAGGCGCACAGTTCAAAGTAGCTGCTCACCCCGAGCTCTCATTACTCTGGTATTGCGTTGTCTTTGAACTGTGCGCCTTTTGGCGTCATCTGGTCGAACACCATATGAGACTAGGCTCCAAAGAAAGCTGTCTCTGGTGCGGACCAATCAGTTTCAAAGACAATGCATAAATTATCAGAGTATTGTTTTTTGTTTGCATTTGACTGCAGGTATTGTGGTTAATGTAAGCATGATTCCTTGCAAAAGGTGTCAGTTTTGTTGCCAGAAAAAAGGGGAAAAACCCTATTAGTATATTTTGGTACTGGCAAAGGAGATCCCATGATGTAGCTGCTCACCCCGAGCTCTCATTACTCTGGTATTGCGTTGTCTTTGAACTGTGCGCCTTTTGGCGTCATCTGGTCGAACACCATATGAGACTAGGCTCCAAAGAAAGCTGTCTCTGGTGCGGACCAATCAGTTTCAAAGACAATGCATAAATTATCAGAGTATTGTTTTTTGTTTGCATTTGACTGCAGGTATTGTGGTTAATGTAAGCATGATTCCTTGCAAAAGGTGTCAGTTTTGTTGCCAGAAAAAAGGGGAAAAACCCTATTAGTATATTTTGGTACTGGCAAAGGAGATCCCATGATGTAGCTGCTCACCCCGAGCTCTCATTACTCTGGTATTGCGTTGTCTTTGAACTGTGCGCCTTTTGGCGTCATCTGGTCGAACACCATATGAGACTAGGCTCCAAAGAAAGCTGTCTCTGGTGCGGACCAATCAGTTTCAAAGACAATGCATAAATTATCAGAGTATTGTTTTTTGTTTGCATTTGACTGCAGGTATTGTGGTTAATGTAAGCATGATTCCTTAGCAAAAGGTGTCAGTTTTGTTGCCAGAAAAAAGGGGAAAAACCCTATTAGTATATTTTGGTACTGGCAAAGGAGATCCCATGATGTAGCTGCTCACCCCGAGCTCTCATTACTCTGGTATTGCGTTGTCTTTGAACTGTGCGCCTTTTGGCGTCATCTGGTCGAACACCATATGAGACTAGGCTCCAAAGAAAGCTGTCTCTGGTGCGGACCAATCAGTTTCAAAGACAATGCATAAATTATCAGAGTATTGTTTTTTGTTTGCATTTGACTGCAGGTATTGTGGTTAATGTAAGCATGATTCCTTGCAAAAGGTGTCAGTTTTGTTGCCAGAAAAAAGGGGAAAACCCCTATTAGTATATTTTGGTACTGGCAAAGGAGATCCCATGATGTAGCTGCTCACCCCGAGCTCTCATTACTCTGGTATTGCGTTGTCTTTGAACTGTGCGCCTTTTGGCGTCATCTGGTCGAACACCATATGAGACTAGGCTCCAAAGAAAGCTGTCTCTGGTGCGGACCAATCAGTTTCAAAGACAATGCATAAATTATCAGAGTATTGTTTTTTGTTTGCATTTGACTGCAGGTATTGTGGTTAATGTAAGCATGATTCCTTGCAAAAGGTGTCAGTTTTGTTGCCAGAAAAAAGGGGAAAAACCCTATTAGTATATTTTGGTACTGGCAAAGGAGATCCCATGATGTAGCTGCTCACCCCGAGCTCTCATTACTCTGGTATTGCGTTGTCTTTGAACTGTGCGCCTTTTGGCGTCATCTGGTCGAACACCATATGAGACTAGGCTCCAAAGAAAGCTGTCTCTGGTGCGGACCAATCAGTTTCAAAGACAATGCATAAATTATCAGAGTATTGTTTTTTGTTTGCATTTGACTGCAGGTATTGTGGTTAATGTAAGCATGATTCCCTGCAAAAGGTGTCAGTTTTGTTGCCAGAAAAAAGGGGAAAAACCCTATTAGTATATTTTGGTACTGGCAAAGGAGATCCCATGATGTAGCTGCTCACCCCGAGCTCTCATTACTCTGGTATTGCGTTGTCTTTGAACTGTGCGCCTTTTGGCGTCATCTGGTCGAACACCATATGAGACTAGGCTCCAAAGAAAGCTGTCTCTGGTGCGGACCAATCAGTTTCAAAGACAATGCATAAATTATCAGAGTATTGTTTTTTGTTTGCATTTGACTGCAGGTATTGTGGTTAATGTAAGCATGATTCCTTGCAAAAGGTGTCAGTTTTGTTGCCAGAAAAAAGGGGAAAACCCCTATTAGTATATTTTGGTACTGGCAAAGGAGATCCCATGATGTAGCTGCTCACCCCGAGCTCTCATTACTCTGGTATTGCGTTGTCTTTGAACTGTGCGCCTTTTGGCGTCATCTGGTCGAACACCATATGAGACTAGGCTCCAAAGAAAGCTGTCTCTGGTGCGGACCAATCAGTTTCAAAGACAATGCATAAATTATCAGAGTATTGTTTTTTGTTTGCATTTGACTGCAGGTATTGTGGTTAATGTAAGCATGATTCCCTGCAAAAGGTGTCAGTTTTGTTGCCAGAAAAAAGGGGAAAAACCCTATTAGTATATTTTGGTACTGGCAAAGGAGATCCCATGATGTAGCTGCTCACCCCGAGCTCTCATTACTCTGGTATTGCGTTGTCTTTGAACTGTGCGCCTTTTGGCGTCATCTGGTCGAACACCATATGAGACTAGGCTCCAAAGAAAGCTGTCTCTGGTGCGGACCAATCAGTTTCAAAGACAATGCATAAATTATCAGAGTATTGTTTTTTGTTTGCATTTGACTGCAGGTATTGTGGTTAATGTAAGCATGATTCCTTGCAAAAGGTGTCAGTTTTGTTGCCAGAAAAAAGGGGAAAAACCCTATTAGTTTATGGGCAGTGTTGAGTTTATGGGCAGTGTTGAGTCTATGGGCAGTTTTGAGTCTATAGGCAGTGTTAGTCTATGGGCAGTGTTGAGTCTATGGGAAGTGTGAGTCTATGGGTAGTGTTGAGTCTATGAACAGTGTGAGTCTATGGGCAGTGTTGAGTCTATGGGCAGTATGAGTCTATGGGCAGTGTGAGTCTATGGGTAGTGTTGAGTCTATGGGCAGTGTGAGTCTATGGGCAGTGTTGATTCTATGGGCAGTGTTGAGTCGATGGGAAGTGTTGAGTCTATGGGCAGTGTGAGTCTATGGGCAGTGTTTAGTCTATGGGCAGTGTGAGTCTATGGGCAGTGTGAGTCTATGGGTAGTGTTGAGTCTATGGGCAGTGTGAGTCTATGGGCAGTGTTGAGTCTATAGGCAGTGTGAGTCTATGGGCAGTGTGAGTCTATGGGTAGTGTTGAGTCTATGGGCAGTGTTGAGTCTATGGTGCAGTGTTGAGTCTATAGGCAGTGTGAGTCTATGGGCAGTGCTGAGTCTATGGTGCAGTGTTGAGTCTATGGGCAGTGTTGAGTCTATGGGCAGTGTTGAGTCTATGGGAAGTGTTGAGTCTATGGGCAGTGTGAGTTTATGGGCAGTGTTGAGTCTATGGGCAGTGTGAGTCTATGGGAAGTGTTGAGTCTATGGGCAGTGTGAGTTTATGGGCAGTGTTGTATGTATGTACGTTGAACTTCTTTCGCACCGTACGTCGCAAACCGTGCTCATCGAAGGTGCGAAGCGCTGAAAACCAGCGCCTCAGATCGAGTCCGAGCTCGAAGCCCCAGCGACGCTACAGATGTGTCACTGGCCAACGGGTCTCTAATGGCCAAACGAGCACTCGGCCACAATGGTTGATGTGGGCCAGCGGTGGCAGTCTGCCGCTCGTTGCCGAGGTCTGCGGTTCGAATCTGGCGGCCGCCCGTCCTGGCAAATGCTGCGTGCTGAAAATATCCGTAACAATGCAGAGCCCGTCTGCTTCACGGCGGTCCTCGAAGATCCCCGTGACGTCATTCTCAAGAGTTGACCATTGTGCCATCTTAGAAAATTACCCAAATCCCCCCCCCCCTCTTCCCTCTATCCTCAGTCTCCTCTTAGTAAGTCAGTTATCTTTTCACCCCCCTTTGCCGCCTTCCCTTTCCCCCCCCCCCTCCCATGTAAGTCTTCACACCCCCACCCCCCTACCTTTATGCAGGGTCCCATCCCGTTGCGCCGAATTCGAATTCTCACAGATTTTCTGTCCCCGCCTCCAATGTTCTGATTTTCATCGGCGTAATATACTGGGACCCACGTTTTGTGGTAAGATTTTTTTTTATCTACTCAATTTGGATTATGCACACGCATAGCGGACCAGGCGGTGCGCCACCTCGCGCCGCAACAGGGACGGCTGTCACAGGGGTAGTGCCCCTTTTCCCTGCGCGCTGAGGTCAGACGTTGACGCGCGGTGCTTCGATGCGTTGTTGGAGGGCGCTCTATCAGAGAACCAATCAGCCGGTAGTATCGGTTGTGCCGAGTCGGTGCGGGGGGGGGGGGGTACGTGGAGAATGTACTCATGAACCGGTCACTAATGAGCTCTCCAATGATGGAGTTTTTAGACAATGGACTAGGAGAGTAGTATTTGTACAGTCCTTCAATAAACATTTTAAAAATATATCTATTAATATTAGGCTGAATCATTAAAGACTTACGGCATTAACCGGAATCTGCCTTCAGTAACTTGATTACATTCACACGTTACTTGATGAGCAGCTCAAAGTCAGATTGGATTGTCGGACTCTACGATGGGGTCTTTAGACGATAACACCAGCAAACCAGTCGCCGAGTCTTTAGACAAAATACAATTTCTGATGGGGGTCTTGAGTCGACAGGCTGTCAGACCCTGGTCTCTTAAAGGAGTCTCGAGACATTAAACCGTCAGAATGGAATCTGACGTCAGTCTTGAGAGCACAGACCAGACGGACCAGTTGTCTTTATCATATTTAAATAACGAGGGCAGCCCATCCTTCATAAGGTCAGCCTGTCGCACCGAAATCGGGTTGCTGTTCGCGCAATTTCTGTCCCCCTCCAATCACTCCCATTTGGCGATCGGTGTATTATACCGGCCTCGCGTTGAGTTGCAATAAAAAAATGTAAAAAAACGAGGACAGCCTCCAACGTCACCTTCTCCGAGAAGAGTTTAAAAGGCTTCAGCATGGGATGCGTTTTAGCCTCTGGATCCTCCGCCTCTCCATACGTCCACTCTTGGGTGATCTGCAACGACGACCGGCAAAGAATAGCAACACTCAAGTGAAGGAAAATTGTCGTCACGGAATAATAATAATTTCACTCAGAGGTCACAAGGTGCTGTGCAGAAAGAGAAAAAGCGGGCTCAAATCCAACCGCCAAAACAAAGTATTTACAAAAAATACAACAAAGTCCTTACAAATAAGTGTGATGGGAATCACCTGATAATCTATTGGCGGTGGGTGTTTTTCCCCCCCCCCCCATAATGCAATGCGGTTTCAATTAGCCACCATCTTTGCTCACACTGGCTTGTGTACATTTTGTAATTGGCAATTAAAGCAAAGTCATCTGATTTGTTTTCTTCAAATTCAAACAAGCTCGTGATGGTAATTTCCCATAATTTTTATTTACTTTTAAGTTTTGATGTTGAGATGAACATTACAATACTAATATTTAATCATTAGTTACATGTATAGTCATTAAGTCATTGATTAAAATCAATTGAGGTGCTTCTGATACACGACTTATGTTTGTGAAAAAAAATATTTCTCATGAGACACAATTGTTTTTTGATCTCGATTGTATATTTTTTTTATCCACAATTTCCCTTTGCTTCAACGCTGTCCGATGTTTTGTTTCGGCCACTGTGTTGACCCGGGTCACTCTTACAGAATGAGACTCGTCCCCGCCGCCCGGTTACACAAAATAAACTTGAAACATGTGCACGAGCATCGATTATTTTCGATCGGTACAAGTGAATTACAATGTTAGTCTCCTTGACCGCCCACTGCATCCACTGGGGGATGGTGCAATCACCACTTTCCTTTTACGAAATAATTGAGATGCATCACGGTGGGGTCTTCTTTTTCAATTCGCGTGCGTTTCATGCGTATGACCGTCAAACGCCTCGTCTGTCAGTTGTGCAATGTTCCTTCAGGACCCCTGTCATCATTCTCTGCAATATTGACGTTTTGATTGTCTTTTGTTGTTGTTGTTGTCGCTGTCGCTGCTGCTCGTGCACCACAACGAATCGCCCGTGCAAAACAGCCGGGCAGCCGGCTCAACGGGACCACCCCCCGTGTAACGAACGAACCGAACTCAAACTTTGTGATCGCTACACCCTCCGGGAGCCATTCATTCAGAATCAGAATCTTTATGAAGAGCGGAGGAGAAATCCGGTGAGCTGTGAAGCTCTTTTTCAAAGATGTCCGGTCGGGGTACGGGGTCAGAAAGTTACAACAACAAACAATACGAAAACCGATTGGAGTGCAAAATAGAGGGAAGCTAATCACTAAAACTAAATCATAGGAGGACAAATTGCATAAGTACATCGATTTATGCAGGTTTTTCAACACTAAATGGGCTCGGCATCAAAACAACAACAACAGTGCCAGGCCACACCAAGGCAACAACACACAGTCCCCCCATTCACTCACCTTGTCCAGTGCCCAGCGGTCGTGAGTGTTCTCCGCGTATTTGTTGATGAGGAAGTCGAGCTTCTCCGGGATGATGATGCTGCGCACGGACACAGCGAATGCGTGGGGACAACGGGCGCGTGGGCACGATGAGCGTGGGCACAGTGAGAGCGTGGGCACAGCGAGCGAATGATGAAGTAAAATGGACTGTGAGACATCCGATCGGATACTTTGTCTCAAGACATGACGCCGAATTCACGATGGGAGAAAATATGAAATACAAATGCGAGCCGCAGAATGTATTAATACGGCTCGGTAGCCGTGAAAAGAAATTTAAAAACATGTACAAATATTATTATAATAACAACCGCGTTCGAGGGAAAGGCGTTTCCGTTTGGACGCGACCGGGCGGCGGAGCGGGGCGACCGCCGGCGTGTACACCGACCTGACCGTGTCCTTGGGCCTCGGCTCGAAGTTTCCGTCGGCGTCGACGGAGACCTGCTTCTCCAGCGCCGCCATGTACTGCGACTCCATGTAGTCGGGGGGCAGCGCGCCCGCGATGCCGCTCAGGCACGGCAGCGCCATCTTGAAGAGCTCGGGCTCGTAGCGCTGTGCGGTGTGTGGGGGGGGGGCACGTGGAGAGACGCGCGGCGGGGCACGAGGGGGGCACAAAGGGGGGGGCACAAAGGGGGGGGTGCACGCGGTCACGGGACGGTGAGCAGCATGGAGGTGCGGGTTTTGCCACGATTTTGGCGACGCTACGAATCTTTTAGACTGGAGGAATCTGATGGGCTATGACGCTCTTTTTCACAGATGTCCCAGTATGGATGGGTGGATGGGTCAGCAAGTTACAGCAGAAAATAATTTTAAAAAACGATCCGATTGCAAGTCACTCAATAAAAATAAATATGAAATACTTTCACGATATAAGTCCAATTCATCAAGCTTGAGCAAGGCAGCAAATACAACAACAAAACAGTCCCAGACCACACCAAGGTAACGCCACACAATAAGTGGTCCCTCAATACGATGGCCACATTATCATTGAACTGTCGACACCACACGGGTCAGGATCAACCTTAAAAATCGCATTTGCAAATGTGTGACTGCTGTATCCAGCACTAGCCTTCCACTTCAGGGTGATATAAGGTCCACGACAGCCGTTTCGTTCATTTTGTAAAAATGTACCAATGATAATAGGTTTTTCCCTTTTCTTCTGGCAACAAAACAGCTGTGTTAAGATGTTAAAACACCAAACCGAAACCTTTTACAATGAATCATGTCTGCATTAACCACAATGCTTGTGGTCAGAATGCAAACAAAAAACATACTCTGATAATATATGCATTGTCCTTGAAAGTGATTGGTCCACACTAGAGACAGCTTTCTTTTGAGCCTCGTCTCAAACGGTGTTAGACCAGAGGACGCCAAAAGGCGTGCAGCCTAAAGACAACCCACTACCAGAGTAATGAGAGTTCGGGGTGAGCAGCTACATCATGGGACCTCCTTTGCCAGTACCAAAATATGATAATAGGTTTTTCCCCTTTTTTCTGGCAACAAAACAGGTGTTAAGATGTTAAAACACCAAACTGAAACCATTTACAATGTCGTTGCTAACGGTAGGCGTCCCAAGATGACATCCGATGAAGAGATCGTTCGCGTGCGAGTGCATTGATGGATTGTTGCATCGCAGGATTTGTCAGAGGTAGCGTCTGCTTGGGGAAGCTTTCATCCAGCAGTGGATCGACCATGGTTGATAATGAATATGGATATTGTGTTATACTTTACTTCTTGCCAAAATACGTGAGGTAGCGAGCACAAATGATAAATAGCTGTTACCAAACGAGTAAGGAGAGCTTGGCGGTTATGTGTGTATGTACGTTGAACTTCTTTCGCACCGTACGTAGCCAACCGTGGCTAATCGGAGGTGCGGGGGAAGGACAACGAACTAAACACAAAAAGCAGTACCGAAGAAAAATTAGTTTTCAACGTAGATTTAAAAGCGCATAGTTCTATGACCTCGTCAGGGTTGTGCTACGCAGCTCTGGAGCGGCACGTGACGCATCGTGCCAAACAATACACGTGGTACAAAGACAAAGATCCCCCGTGTAGCCTTAACAGACTGTCGGGGCAAGTGCTGCTAGCGAGTAGCACCTATGAAGGCCGGAACGGCACACAAGGGGGTGGGTGGCCAGCACCACACCCGACCGCCTTTGTCTCCCCAGTGGCGATGTTTACGCACCGCACCAGGTTCTCATTTGAGGCTGAGTCGACCTAGAGGAGGTCCAGGACCGGTTCAGATAATCGTCACAGGTGTTGGCCGTGAGCGGGAATCGAACCCAGGTCACCGGGTTCATATCGCAGTGTAGCGCTAACCACTACACCACCGCTGCCCACAACCAAACACACATTGGACAGCCAGCCAGAGCTACTGGGAAGCGCTTTGACAAAATGGTTTAACCCAGTGTGGATTGTGGTTATGGCCCACGAGTGCCTGAATGTCACGTTCAAGTGGATTTTGTTTAACCGGGTGGCCAACTCAAGGTTGATGCAGGCCACCGAAATAACAAGCAAATGCGCGAAAATAAAACACAGCCCATGAAGTGAATGGATGTCGCTTGAGGAATCAATGAGCATTGCACGGACATAAATCAACGTCAAATACTAAAATCTCGTGCCGCGCGAGTCGGCCGGGGGCAGTTGATTTTTAGACCGAATAAAAGCACAGACACAATCAAAAGCCACCGACACATGAAACCGAGCGCGTGACGATTACTTTCAGCGAATGCCGATAGCGCAGCCGACTTGAAACAAATGGCTGAACTTTTGACTTAAATCTTTCGTGACTGCAGTAATTCAAATTCTTGGTTCTTTCGGTAAAGTCACGTAGATAAAAAAAAATTATAATAAAAAAATAAAAAAAGCAATAAGCCACAACGTTTCGATCGCAACACAAGCGGTCTTCATCAGGCGGAAAGAAAAGAGGGGAAAAGCCTCCAAATGCAAATGGGTTGGAAAAAAAACCACAAAGCAAGGCACCTGCTGCGCCAGCGACTCGAAGATGCCCCAGAAGAGCTTCCTGGTGAGGTGCAGCTCCTCCTCCGAAGCGACGCCCAAACCCAGCCACCCTCCGGGCAGACAGTAGTAGCGCCAGCACCGCTCGTAGTGGTTGGTGAGCAGCTGCAACCACAACCGCAACGAAACAACGACGGTTACGACGATGGCAACGACGCCACGTTAATATAAAACAAGGGAGCCGTCGCCCTCGTTTTCACCCGCTCTGTCCACTTTCTTTTTAAAATAATCTTCTCTCACCTTCCCCTAAAAACTACGACGTACCCCACTCGCGGTCCCCGCTCGGTGCGGCATCGAGCCTACTCTCCTGCCCGTCTCTAAACCCAGGTGCATGGCGTTCGGGACCGAGGCTCGCGGAGTTTCTCTACCGCCCTCCCCGCGTCGCAGTTTGTGTGTTCCGTACCGGGCTCCCACTGAAATCATTTTTTTTTTAATAAGGTCAGCGCAACTGGACCGACGATCCAGAGGTTGCCGGATTCAATTCGATTCGATCTCCCGGCACAACCTCGGTGGGAGGTTATTCAGATCCCACCCAATTCTCCAAAAGCAACAAAACCGTTAAGACGACAGTTTGGTTCATAGTGGTTCATCTACAGGAGAGTTATACTGGTAGGAACCTCCTGGTTACACCAGCCCACAGAGGATTATTGTGTCCGTCGTGCAGGGAGGGGCTGGGTGGGGAGGGAGGGGCTGGGTGCGGAGGGGAGGGTGGGGAGGGGCTGGGTGGGGAGGGTGGGGCTTGGTGGGGGGTGGGAGAGGTGGGGCCGGGTGGGGAGGGGCTGGTCACCCCGTGGTGCCCTTATAAAACTCAACGTTTAACCTACTCACACCGGCTTGTGCCCGCCCTCACAGTCGGGCATATTTGCGGAATACACCACGCCGCCGTTGACCCTGGCCATTGACCGAGCAACCCAACGTTTCTACCAGCTCCCTCCTCAGGAATGTGTTACTGGGCTAAAAACAAAAAACGGTCCCACAGAGAAACCAGTCCGTTGGCTGATGCGTTTTGTTCGCCGCCGGTCGTGAACTCGGCGCCCCCCCACCTTGAGCGGCATCTTGGAGTGCTCGTTGAGGAGGGGGACGTCGAACGACAGCCGGCGCAGAAGGTGCTGCATCATCGAGGGGCGCAGCTGCCTGCACTCGGCGTTGGCAGCAGGGAGCAGGCGCACAAGAGCGAGAAAGGGGGAGATCGCGGTCTCCACAGGCGCTTCCCCGACATCACCGCGTGCTCGTTACCTGAAAACTAAGCTGCGAACTTTTTCATTTTATTTTACCAGGTAAGGCCACCGAGTGATGTGTCGGAAGCGACCTGGCCACAATTGATGTCAGAACGAAGTGGCTTATCACGTGGACATTGAAAGCAGCGGCCAGATACTCTGAACGCGTGGTGATTCCTAATGCGGAGGTAAAAACTGGAAGACCCGGAGAAAAATCCACGCGGCCGCGGGGAGAACACGCAAACTCCAAATATACAGGCGTCAGGGTCAGGATTGTAACCACGACCTCTTGCATACCAGGCGAGGGAGTTAACGTTTCGCCACCGTGGCACCCCGACGGATTCCGGCTATGAGGGGCCTACGGCTAATTGGAAGGATGTATTATTACATTTTGCAAAGAAAGAATATCGAAGTCATCGAACATATTGATTAATTTACCGATGTAAAATGAACACATTTATTTGACTCAAGGTAAATTCACCAAACTTCAGATCACTCGGCTGCACTCTCTCCAAGCTTCAGTCGTGGCAAAGTGTCCGAATGATGTCATCGTGATCGAAGGACGAGACTCGTGAGAGTCCTTCCCGGGTGAACGAGCGTCACAACAACAACAACAACGCCCCCCCTCCCCGCTCCGTGTCCCCCCGCGGCAAAACCGACCCGCAGACGGAGATGAGGCAGTCCTCGATGGCGTCCCTCTGCGCCTTGGTGAGCGAGCGGCCCTTGGAGAGCTTGTACACGGTGTGCAGCATCGAGTCCACCAGCGTGGCGTGGTGCTCCGTCTCGGCAAACAGCGGCGCGCACTTGGTGATGAGCGGCAGCACCGCCGTGCTCAGGTAGCGGTACATCGCCAGCGCCATGTCCGTGGAGCTCAGCAGCGGCTGGAGCGTGGCAGCAAGGGAGGGATGAACGGAGGGGGGGGACGCGGGGTGGGTGGTGAGTTGTTAGGGGTGGTGGAGTTCGAGCTCAGTGAATTTTTTTCCCGCCCAGGGAAACCGGAGCCAGGGGGTCCCGGCAACGAGGCTCAAGGGGGGCCGCCGGGGTTGGTTTTTCCACTGCGGGAGATGAGCCGTGCCGTGCCGATCAACGTCACACCCCGCCCATTGGCCCTGGCCCTGATTGGCCTGGAGCCAGATTTAGACGACGTCACGGGTTTAACTTCTAGCTCGGCTCAGCTCATAGCCGGTGGAAAACCGTCCGCACCGTGAGAGCCCCCCACCCCCACGTTGTGCTAGTGGCTAAAAGGGGGATCAAAGTGTCAAAACCGGAGGGAAAAGTTTTATTTTTCGATTTAAAGCTTTCATGACTGCAGAGATTCATATTCTTGGTTCTTTCGCAATCATCATCAGGTGTGATGATGATTGCTTGTGTTGCAATCGAAACGTCGTGAGAATTGTATTGTTTTATTTTTATTAATTTATTATTTCCCTTCTACGTGACTTTACCGAAAGAACCAAGAAAAGTTTTACTCCAACGCCTCAAGAGCGTTACCCTGGAGGGCTGAGAGAGACAATTAAAGCATCTGTGAGATGGCTCGTGGAGCTGCGCGGTGCCTGAGGGACAGTTTATCATAGGGTGGGCATGGTGGGATGGGCAGGGTGGGATGGGCAAGGTGGAATGAGCGGTGGGATGAGTGGTGGGGTAGGGGTGGGGGTGGCTCACGTTGTCAAGGGAGGCGGCTGCGCGCAGGTCGGGCAGGAATCCGATGTCCAGGAGGTGCAGCAGGAACTCGCGGCTCTCGATGCCGTACACGCGGTCAAGGAAGAGCACGATGGGCGCCTTGTGGTCCGGGCAGAAGCCGGCAGACATGCGCGGTTGCACCACGCCACCGTCTGCCGCCGAACGCAACCACACACACACACACAACACGTGCGCACGCACATTCACTCTCCCACTCTCTCACTCTCTGTCAGGCTCACGAACTCTCACACTCACTAACTCTCACACTCACTAACTCACACACTCACTCTAACACTCTCTCACACACATGCTCCCACTCACTTTCTCTTACAATTCACTTATGCTCACACTCACTGTCTCTCACACTCACTGTCTCTCACACTCACTGTCTCTCACACTCACTAAATATCACACTCACTCTCACACTCTCCCACTCACTATCTCACTATCCCACTCTCTCACTCTCTCTTCGGCTCACAAACTCACACACTCACGAACTCTCACAATTACGAACCCTCACACACACTCACTCTCCAACAATCACACTCACAAAATCTCACATTCACTCACTGACTCTCACACTCACTAAATCTCACACTCTAACACTCTCCCACACACACATGCTTACTCTCCCACTCACTCTCTCTCACACATTCACTTACTCTCACACTCACTAACCCTCACACTAACACACTCTCCCACTTACTCACTCTCACACTCACCCACTCACATTCACTCTCAGAATCAGAATCTCAATTTAGAGAGACGGAGAGAGATTGCGTTTCCATACCTCTGTGCCCTTGCCCAAACGATCGACACTTTCAAACCACAGACATTTCAAGTGACCCGTCACGGAACGGCTAAATCACTCATCCTGCAAGAAGCTCTCAGCTTTCGTTCCCCGTGCCATAGCCCAACTCCCCGCGTCCGTTTTCACAAAAACTCTCGGAAAACTTCTGTCGACTTCGGGAAACGTCCCAACTGCCATCTGTCACAGCTACGGCGTCGCCATTTGTTGCTGGCCGCTTAAACGTTATCGCCCTCGGGGAACGGTGCTCAACAATCGTTTAAATACATATATAATAATGACCATGATGATGATTGAACTACCAAATAAAGCACAAATTCGGCCGCAGTTGGAGTCCTGTTGTGCCGCATCTCCGATTAGCACGGTTGGCTACGTACGGCGCGAACGAAGTTTCGACATACGTACGTACAAACAGACTGGCAACTCAGACACCCAGAAAGGCGGGGGAGCGGGCGGGGGTGGCGGCACCTTTCCCGATGGTGGGCATGTTGAACGTGATGCTGATAACCCCCTCCAAGTCTTCCAGGGGCACCAGGGATCGTAGGATTGCTCGGATTCTCAGCGCCTCTCCCTTCCCGGCTTGGATCAGCTGTAGGGAACACGTCGGGCAAAGAAGGGAGGCGGGTGGGGGGTGAGGGCCTTCCCCCTGTGAGCTAGCGCCGAGGTTTTTCGCGGCTGTTGCCGCGTCGCTCGCCGCCGTCTTGTCAGCGTTGTAGCTGAGCCGCTTGTGCGTTCCCAGATTCAGAGGTGACCCTGCAACTTGCAAGACGTCACAGAACGGTAAAAGGGTTGGGCACGTAATTAAGGAGGTGGCCAGATGGGGTCAAGGGTCAGATGACTGTGCTTCAGCCTTACGGTGGACGTTGAAGATCCTGTGGCATCTTTCGCACAATGTGCTTCGCGTCATGGTCCAAATTTTGTCAAGTTGGTATAAAAAAACGATGACGTACACGCGCGTACGTCATCGGAATGGGAAAGGGTTAATGAAACGATTGAAGGTCCCGTCAATTCGCTGCACTTGAAAACTTGGCTCAACTCTGGCCGTCTCTGCCTGTGATCGAGCGGTGCCGGATCGGTGCTCTGAAGCCCCAAATGGTCCGGGACCCCCCCCCCCCCCTCGAACATGTTGCGTTGTTAAAATGACCGCGGCTCACGCACATGCATCTCTGGTGCGCAGCGTCCGAGCAGATCGATGAGGGCCGAGTAGAAGGAGAGGATGGCGTGGCCGATGTGGAACGACCTCTTCCCCACCTCCTCCTCCTCCGTGCTGACCCTGGGCAACATTGCATCGTCATCACCGACGTTACATTCACACGCACTACACACACACACACTACGCACATAAACACACATACTGCATACACACACACACTACGTACACACAAACACTATGTACACACACACACTATGTACACACACACCATACACACTACGTACACATACAGACTAACTACACACGCACTACACACACACACTACGCACATACACACACACTGCATACACACACACTACGTACACACAAACACTATGTGCACACACACACTATGTACACACACACCATACACACTACGTACACATACAGACTAACTACACACGCACTACGAACACACACACACCACGTACACACGCACACATTCCGTACAAACACACACTACATACACACACACTACGTACACACACACACATTACGTACACGCACAAATTACGTACACACACAGACTACCTACACACACTACACACGTGTACACACACTACGTATACATTACGTACACACACTACGTACAAACACACACATTACGTACACCCACTACGTACACATTACGTACACACGCACACTACGTACACACACATTACGTACAAACACACACATTGCGTACAAACACACACTGCATACATACACACACAGACTACCTACACACGCACTACACACACACTACCCACAATTGCATACACCTAGACGCAAACACATGACACCTACACAAAAAGCACAAGCACACGTACACACACACACGTACGCACACACACGTACACACACACGTACACACACACTCGTATGCACACACACACGTGTGTGTTGTTATTTGACAATAACAACACACACGTGTGTTGTTATTTGACAATAACAACAAACACGATTGTGCTTCACATCTGGAAAGTGAATGGCAACTTTAGGGAGGAAGAAATTGTTTAAATAACACAAGCATTAAACAAACCGACAAAAAAAATCATTATTTATTCAATCCCCTACACGAAGGAAAGTGTGGATAAGGGTTTTAACTGAAAACCTGTTAAGGGATGCGATGAGAATACGGGACAACACCACACACACACACGCTCCGCTAAATAGAGTCGTTAAACAGTTCAAAGTGCAATTCGTCGTTAGTTCCTCGAGTTGTTTTGTTAATTTAGATGTGAAACGACATGACGGCTCAAACGTGGCCTGAGTCTTACAGGGAAAAAGGTGAGATGCATAACAACGATTTGTTGTTACGCGAGTGAGCAGACAATCACAATCGAGCATGCAAGTTCACATGGGGGACGGGGTGACCCGGTGACTCAGGAATCAGGAGACGCTGAACCAGCAACGCCGAGTTCCAGACCAGGTTCCAGCGGCTGCCTGTGATTCAACCGGGTTCTGAAGTGTAGCGAGATGCTGGTCTCGGCTCGGTCACGAATGACTCGCGTAGATAGAGACCCACAGACTCACACAGAGACCGATAGACTCGCATAGAGACCCATAGACTCGCATTTAGACCCATAGACTCGCATTGAGACCCATAGACTCGCATTGAGACCCATAGACTCGCATAGAGACCCATAGACTCGCATAGAGACCCACAAACTCACATAGAGACCCATAGACTCGCATAGAGACCCACAAACTCACATAGAGACCCATAGACTCGCATAGAGACCCACAGACTCATATAGGGACCCATAGACTCGCATAGAGACCCACAAACTCACATAGAGACCCATAGACTCGCATAGAGACCCATAGACTCGCATTGAGACCCATAGACTCGCATAGAGACCCATAGACTCGCATTGAGACCCATAGACTCGCATAGAGACCCATAGACTCGCATTGAGACCCATAGACTCGCATAGAGATCCATAGACTCGCATAGAGACTCAGACTCGCATAGATTGAATAGTGAAAAAACCAGGTTCTTAAGTGTGACGAGTTGATGGTCTAGGCCCAGTTACCACTGACTGTGCACAAAAATAAATCTAAATACTCATGGTTCGCGAGTTAATTTTGAATAATATTACTTTTTACACCACAATCTCTGTTAGATTCCGCCGAGAGAAGAATTGTAAGAAATTTGGAAACAGGTGAAGCGTTTACACCATTGGAACCTCATTTGCCAGTAAAAATATGATAATTGTTTTTTTATCCTTCTATCAGGCAACAAAACTGACACCTTTTTACAAGGAATCATGTTTACATAGACCACAATACCTGCAGTCATAATGCAAACAAAAAACATAACTCTGATAATGTGCACTGTCCTTGAAGTTGATTGGTCCACACCCGAGACAGCTTTCCTTAGAGCCTAGTCTCACATGGGTTGCGCCTTTTGGCGTCATCTGGTCCAGTGGCAGCTGTCCCTGTGTGTGGCACAGGGCGACTCGGCACCTGGCTGCCAGTAAAGGGGGGGGGGGGGGTGATGATTGCTGCTGTGTGTGATCCCAATTGAGAAAACATGCGGTGTGATTTATTCGAATTTGGAAAATGACACCACATGCAAGCAAATGCGGCTTTGGAAACGGCTGACGCCGTTATTTCTCCGTCTATGTTCAGTTCTCAAACGCAGTTGCCGTGATCGGCCTCTTCTGGGGATGAGCGTCACATGAACACACGAGCATTGTTTGGGACCATTTCTGGGGTATTTTCTGATTTTGTGAATGATCTAATAACGCTTAATAATTGTCCGCGCGTTCGCGCAAACAAGAACGACGTCACCCGATAACCACGGGGATGACCGCAGTTCGCGTGATGGTTTATCACGCGCCGATATTCTCTGTTGAACATGGGCCTCCGGGGGTATTAAGAATGTAAGGGAGACAAAGTGACAATCACACGCACACTTAGTTTGCACGGACACACACGCGCGGGGATTATTAACCGTGGAGGTTACGGAGACGACAAACTGCAGCGCCCACGTGAAACACTCTAGCCCACGTGAAATATCGCAGGCCACATAAGCAGCAGCGTGATGTATTTTCCGTACTCCATGGGGGTGGCGGAAAGCTGTCGGTCGAGGAGCCGTCACATTCTATGGAGCTGCTTATGTGGCGCGAGATATATGCGGAGTTGGTGGGGGGGTGGCATCTGTGGGGGGTTTGCAGTCCCACGATGCAGTCTCCCGAGGGGGGAGGGTTAGGAAGGACTCTCCGCCCGATGCAAAACCGTGCGACCGTAATGATTACCCCATGGCACTGCTCTTTTGAGCAAAGTCTTCGATGCGGCTCCTGGATTTACTGGAGGCCGGCGAGACAGCAGATGTCAGAGAGGGGACAAAGAAGAACAAATAAACGACAACGCAGAAATGTGACATGAACAGCGGCGGAGGCGGTGCTTACGGAGTTCTGGACAGCGAATACAATTTTTTACACAAAGTGGGGATACAATGTAAATGTACATTTGTGCGAGTTTACAAATATCCTCCTGCAGGGGGGCTCTCTCTCGAGCTCCGCCAAGTGGGGGTTCTTTTGCCAGTGAGCGGCAGGAGCAAGCAACCGCTTGCTCCTGCCAATCGGTGTGCGTGTGGTTTCTGGGTCGGGTCGCGTGCTCAGCACGGCAGTAGTCCCTCGGTTGACGCCTTTGATCCGTTCCACGAAAACTGCCGTTGACCGGAATAACTGTTCATCGAATTTACTCGTGAGTTGAAAAATAAGTAAGAACAGTCACTGAGTCTGCACGAGAGCTGTTACCACTGCTAAAACAGATAACGTGATGTTAACAAAGCCGGTGGAGGTACAAACGTTCATGAATGGCCGTCGCTGATTGCGCTGACTGGCTGCGGGCACGGCTCGGCCCAACTTACGAGCGCTTGGATTGGCCGAAATTGCCCACCCCCCCCCCCCCCCGTGTGTAATGTAAACATTTCCGTTGTTTGTATTTGCAAATAATAATAATAATTTACAACCCCTTTTGTCAATTCCCCTGCTGTAATGAAGATATTTCCGCGCCGTGTTGGCGTTGTTTAACCGTACTCGGGGGGCGGGTGGGGGAGGGGGGCTAGAACCAGTTCAGATTCCACTCGCCACCGATGTTAGCCCGTGGCCAGCAATCGAACCACTGCCCAGCACGTGAGAGGCATTCGAGTACGCGTGTGTTGACACGGTGTCTGTACGTGTACACGTTGACATGCGTGCACGACCCATCGGTGATTTTAGGGTCCCGCCACCCAATGATCCCACCAAGTTTGTGCGGTCAAAGCCCTCCACCACCCCGACGTGGCCAAAACGAACGGATCGTCGCGTTTGAGACTAACGCGCGGTGTGTAGCACGCATGTAAGTGTAACACGTGGCGTGTAACACCCGACGCATAACACACGTGTAAGTGTGACTTGTGGCGTGGAGCACACGTGTGAGTGTAACACGTGGCGTGTAACACCCGGCGCATAACACACGTGTAAGTGTGACATGTGGCGTGTAGCACGCGTGTGAGTGTAACGCCCGGCGTGTAACACAAGCGTAACAGCGAGGCCGACTCACGGGGCTCCGCGCTTGTGGCCTGCCACGGGCGGGGCGCTGCGGTCGGGCTCCTCCGCCACTTTGATGGCGTCCTCGATGGCCAAGAGGAGGCCCTGGCCGCCCTCTCCGCGCAGCGCCGGCCCGAAGCACTCGGGCCTCCGGATGAGCAGCCGCACCACCACGTTGGCGTTCTCCTCCACGCTCTCGCCTGCACGCACGCGGGACGGAGACATGGGGGCGTGGGGGAGGGGGGCACTAGCATCGAGCCGAGCTCGTGTCCCGACTGCCGGTTCGCTCTCGGTTCAGCACGTGCGGCCGCCCTGGTTATTACCGTGGGTGCGTCAACGTTCGCACCTCCGATTAACACGGTTGCCTACGTACGGTCGGTGAAACAAGTCCAGCGTGTATTTTTTTGGGTGCCGCTTGCGTGTCTCTCTCTCTCGCCTTGTGGTGAGATGTTAACTACCTCGCCTGGTATGCAGGAGGTCATGGGTTCGATCCCGACCCTGACGCCTGCTCTATATTTGGAGTCTGCGTGTCTCTCTCCCCGTGGTCGCGTGAATTTTTCTCCGGCTCCTCCGGTTTTTCCCTCCACATTTAGATTCAACGTGCCGTTCAGAGTATTTTGGCCGCTATAGATTTCCACACGACGATAAGCCACTTCGTTGAGCCTATCATTTGCGATGGCCACGTCGCCACTGAAAACGAGCTATGCACAGCTAGGCATTGGCAAGGTAAGGTAAAAGTGTAAAAAAAACGAGCCTACCTTTACCCTACCTTTTACCTTACCACAATACAATCACTCTACCCTACCTTTTACCCTTTAGCAGGTAAGGTAAAAGGTAAAAAGCAACGAGCCTACCTTTACCCTGTTACCCTTTACCCTTACTCCTTGGCATGTCGACACCTTTACCTTTACCCTTTTACCCGGTAAAAAGGGTACAATTACCTTACCTTGCCGAGGCCTATGCACAGCTAAGTGGGGCCTTACCTGGCCAAATCTAGAAACAAATAAAATACTGTTTTATAGTTTAGACTTTTTTTTTTTACGTACAAAGCCGGCGGTAACCCTGCCCAGGCCGCGGCCAACGCCTGGCCGGCGCTCCTCACCGTTGACGAAGACGGCGAAGCGAAGGAAGTCGAGGAAACGCTCGCCCTCGATGGGGTTCCAGCCGATGTCAGGGCCACCCGCGCGCCAGCAGCATGGGGCTGCTCTGCAGGCCGCAAGCCGCCAGGTACTTCACCACCTTGCATGCGCAGGACGGACACGCGCAGGCGCGCGGTGCGGCGTGCGTGGGTTAGGCGCAATGACGCGACGCCGCATGCGGCTGCCCAGTCGCTCTGTATGTACGTACGTGCGTTGAACTTCTTTAGCACCGCGTGTGGCCAACCATGAAAATCGGAAGTGCGGGGAGGTGGGGGAGGCACAACAAACTAAAACACAAAAAGCAGTCCTGAAGAAATTAGGTTTCAACCTAGATTTTGAAGAAAACTTTTGCTCGTGTCTGTTTAGTCTTTATGATTACCACCCAGCATCCTCAACAGCCTCGATGCATCGCTTCAGGGACCGCTCATGGGTTATTTTGCACAGAGCGCAAAGGCGGAGTGTTCTCTTACGAGCGCGTGTCCACGTGTTAGTCCGTTAGTCCGGCCTGCACTGCACTTCTGTGTCGATGGATTTCTTTCTCTCATCATTTACACATTGGGTGCTCCACAATCGTGGACACAAACTGGACTGAGGTGACAAGGCCACTCAACTTAACAGTGGGCCCCACCTAGCAGACACGAGTAGAGTCATATATTAACTTCTGTGACGAATGGGCTTCTGCACAGGACAGAAAGAGAAGGTAGCCAAATTCATGGACTCATAGTTAGGGACTGCACTTTGCAATGTGGTATAATAATACAAATTTACATCCCTTTCTCAATCCACTGCTGGATGAGGGCATCCCCGCATCGTGCGAGTTGCAACGACAACACATTGCCAAGCTGGTCAGTGCGGGCAGGTAAAAGTCGCGGGAGCGTAGACGTGGGAGCATAGTAGTGCAGTACAGCGATTGATTTCGCCGTCGTCATCAGGACGTCCACCGTGCAAGCTTCCAGAGAGTCTACAGCCTTCCGGCACGTGGCAATGCGCCGTTAGTCGGCACGTGGCAATGCACCGTTAGGTGTCACGTGGCAATGTGCCGTTGGGTGGCATGTGGCAATGCGCCGTTGGTCGGCACGTGGCAATGCACCATTGGTCGCCACGTGGCAATGTGCCGTTGGTCGGCACGTGGCAATGTGCCGTTGGTCGGCACGTGGCAATGTGCCGTTGGTCGGCACGTGGCAATGCGCCGTTGGTCGGCACGTGGCAATGCGCCGTTGGTCGGCACGTGGCAATGTGTCGTTGGTCGGCACGTGGCAATGCGCATTGGGTGCCACACTTACCTTCTCCAGGTCGGGTTCCGTCAAGGCGAGAGCGAGTTCGTTGTTGTCCATCACGGACGCCGCCGCCACGTCCAGGGGCGTGGAGCCCTTGATTCCAAACGACGCTGCAATCGGAACGCCGGGGGTGGGGGGTTGGGGTTAGCCAGGCGGCACGACAAAGCTAAGCTTAAAGACTAAACCATTTTTATTTTAACCAGGTAAGGCCCCGCTGAGCTAAATATAGCTCTTTTTCAGAAGCGACCTGGCTATCACAAATGATTGCTAAACGAAGTGGCTTATCATCATGTGGACATGTATAGCAGACAGACACTGTAAACGCGTGATGTTGATTATAAACATGGAGATAAAAACCGGAGGGAACTGGAGGAAGAATCCACGTGACCACGGGGATAGAGAGACATGCAAGCTCCAGGGTATTTGGCTGCTATAAATGTCCACGGGATGAGTCACTTGCGTTGAGCTATCATTTGTGGCCAGGTCGTTTCTGAAAAAGCAGCTACGTAGGCTCAGTGGACCTGACCTGATAAGATAAAATTGCTTCGTAGTGCAGTTATAAGTTTTATGTCATTATCGTCGCGAACGCTGGACGCGGGCCCGGAGATCGGTTGATGGGTACACGCCAACGGGAGCGGCTCACCATTGCCCAGCCCGAAGCTGCTATTCTCCAGCAGGTAGCTCAGGTGCTCAAACATGGACTTCTGGTTCTGCCGGCTGATGCGGCAGAAGTAGCAGAGGAATCGACAGCAGTTCGCCACCATCTTAGGGAAGGTGATCTCCTGTGGGGGGGGGGGCGGGGGGCGGAGGAGGGGGCACATCAACAACCAAGTTATCTTGATAAAGGATTTTTGTTTTTTGTTTGGGTTAGATCGCGTACATATAAACGTGTAATTGTAACTCGCCACCACCCGACACAGCCAATTGGTACTGGTTTTGTCACGTACACAAACAAAAAAACGTGACCAATTGGGGACTACTTCAGCACACCGGTTGCGTGTTTGGAGAGTAAACCCAACGGTGTTTACAATTCGAGTACGACGTTTCACAGGGCGCTTACAAAAAACAGCTTCATCGGGCGATTAGTCATAATTGTGACGAAGTCCTCCAAGTGAACGGAGTTACAAGTTTTGATTTAAAGCTTTCGTGACTGCAGGGATTCATATTCTTAGTTCTTTTGGTAAAGTCAAGTAGAAGGGAAACAATATAAGAATAAAAATATAAAACAATAGAAATTCTCACGACGTTTTGACTGCAACACAAGCAATTATCATCAGGTGTGAAATCCACAGCAATAAAAGGAGTTACAAGTGTTCTTGTGTGTAACCGAGTGAGAACTCTAGGGGCCAGTATGTCTTGTTTGGTGTTGTAAACTTCTTACCCACCCCTACTGGACATCTGTGACAAATATCTTTACAGCTCATCGGATTCCTCCAGGATAATATTCACATTCTGAAAAAAGATTCTGCATGTATGTATGTTGAACTTCTTTTCGCACCGTACGTAGCCAACCGTGCTAATCGGAGGTGCGGGGGAAGGACAAAAAAACTGAACACAAAAAGCAGTTCTAAAGAAATTCAGTTTTCAATCTAGATTTAAAAGTGCATAGCTCCAGTGATTTCCTAGATATCGGAAGAGCATTCCAGACAGCCACAGAAGAACATCTGAAAGCGCGTGACGCGGTGACCGTCTTTGTTCAACGGCTAGCCAAAAGCTGCTGTGAGGATGAGCGGAGTTTTGGGTGATGGTTTACGAGTCTCATTTGCGAGAGTGACCCGGGGCATGAGTCTGTCAGCTGGAGGCGGTGATTGCTGCTGTGAGTAAAACCCAAATTTATACATTTTCGAATTGGGCAAACTTTGGACCGCAACGCCGGCACAGGGCGGCCTACCCTTGCGAACGATGTCAGGGGATCTTTACCGTCCACTGTGAGTGAAGCAGATTTCGTGCAATAGTATTATTTAAGACCTCGACGCAGAGGTGTTGTTTCTCCGTGTGCCTATGTGTGTGTCTCTCTCTGTGTGTCTCTGTGTTGTCTCTCTCTACTTGTGTGTCTGTCTGTGTGTCTGTGTATTGTCTCTCTCTCAAATTTAGCAATCTTTGGAAGAACGTAATCAACCAGGTAGGGTGTTGACTGTTGTGGTGGCCGACTCTGCGTGTTGTATTGCATTATATTTACCAGGTTTGTTTTCTCTTTCATTCGTACCTGATGATGATTGCTTGTGTTGAAATCGAAACGTCGTATGCTATTATTTAATTTATTTTTCTTTCTACGTGACTTTACCTAAAGAACCAGTAGTATTATAGTGGTTAACACACAGCGCAGTATTAACCAGGGCGGCCGCCGCGTTCGAACCGCAAACCTCTGCAACAAGCGACGAGCGCGCTACCGCCGGGGAGCGTCACCGCCTCGGGAAGGCCAAGTGCTGTCGTTTTGCATTGAGACCTAAAGAACTCAAAAACTATTTGGACATAGGAAAAGTAGTAGGGTTGAGTTTCACGTTCAAACGCGTCTAACTTTTGGATTATTCTCACTGTGGTTCTTTATTTTTTCAATCGTGATCATAGCGTAAAATCGCCCCCGACTGAGCAAACTTGGCAAGACTATCCTGAAAAGGAGACCTGAGCCTCCGATTGGTGTACAGAACACATAACCTTGGGCAGTCACGTGACCTCTCTGCACGACCTGATTGGAGGCTGACATCCCATTCGTCCACTAGGCGGAGCGACTGATTAGATTAGTCCAGATTTGGTTAGCTATATATTTTCCCGCACCTCCGTTCAGCACGGTTGGCTACGTACGGCGTGAAAGAAATTCGACATGCATGCGTGCATACGTGCTCGATACAAAACGGCGCTGGCAACATTGCCGCCGATGGTTGGCCTTTAAAGGAGCCATACCGTGGCACGGCATTGCGACCTTTGTTCTTGAAAGCATGAAACTCAACAAAAACCTGGGTGGGAAACAAACGCTCACCTGACCCTCGCCTCCACTCAGCACGTTCACCATCACCTCCATGACCGTCTCGTGCATCCCCAGGGCTCGCATCAAGTTTGGGTGCTGGTAGAACAGCTTGTTGTTCATGATGTTGCTGCACGCGCCAGGAGGGAGACTCGTTAATTGTAAATGAAAACAGACTGTCGGGGCAAGTGCCGTTGGCTAGCACCTGTGAAGGCCGGCACGGCACACGAGGGTGTGGGTGGCCAGCATCACGCCTGGCGGCAATTGTCTTCCCACTGGCGATGTTTACACACCGCACCAGGTACTCATTTGAGGCTGAGTCGACCTAGGGGAGGCCCAGGACTGGTTCAGATAACAGTCACTGGTGTTGGTGGACGAGACCAGGAATCAAACTCGGGTGGCCGGCTTCGTGGCGCGGTGTACCAACCGCTCCACTACCGCTCCCCTACTTTGTAATTTCACACCGCGCGTGGTGGCGCCCACACCTGCCTGATCCGGGACTTAGCAGGCGGATTCCAGGGGATGCATCGCGTGAGAATAATTACCAACCTCCAGGGTTTAGACAGGCAGCAGCAGAAGACAATACAGGGACTCCTCTACTCACAAACAAGTTAGGTTCGATAGGTCTGTTCGTAAGTCGATTTGTTCGTAAGTCCAACTTTACTCCTGTCGATTCCAAACGTGTTGTGCGGCATGTACACTAAACACGGGGAATGGCTTTAAAAGTTTTATAATCTCCTGTAGATGCAGATGCCATTAGATCTTCACGTTCTGCAGATGTAGATGCCATCGATTGCGGCTGTCGGTCCGAACAGGCAACTGGACACACGGACACGTTTGTTCGTATCTCTGAAAGTTCGTACGTCGAATAGTTCCCAAGTGCAGGAATCCCTGTATAGTAAGTAGCCTAAACAGATTTAACACGTGACCACGGCTATCAACGTTAACAACGGCGGTTATAACAATCGGACAAATATAAATACATATTACATTTTTTCTACGGAACCCCATCAAATCCCCGTGCTGCATCACCCAATGCCGCGGATCATGAGCTGCTCCTCCTCCTTGCCCATGCGCACACGCAGCAGCGAGCGGATCTGCCCGAGCGAGGCGAGAAGGTCGAGCGTGTCCTCGATGGAGTTGTCGCTGATGGTGTACGTCTTGGGCAACGCGCGCATCAGCTCGCCGATGCCGTCATACTGCCGGTGGAGCAGGCCGAACATGGCGCGCACCAGCTCGGGGTCGGCCACGCGCGACTCCTGCGCCCAGTGGATCATCACCGTCGAGATGAGCTCGTGCAGCGTGGCTGGGGGGCGAGGTGGAGGAGGGGGAGGAGGAGGGGGGAGATGGTGGGGTGGGACAGGAGAGAGGTGGGGGGAAAAGGAGGTGAGTGGGGGGAGAGGTGAGTGGGGGGAGAGGTGGTGAGTGGGGGGAGAGGTGGTGAGTGGGGGAGAGACGGTGAGTGGGGGGAGAGCAAGTGAGTGGGGGTAGGGATCAGAGTAGAGGAGTAGTGAAGAGGAAGGGGTAGAGGGCAGGGGAGTGGAGGGGAGTGTGTACAAGGGGAGGAGACCAGAGAGCAAGGTGGAGAAGGAAAGCGATGGAAGGGATAGGAATTGGTTGGGAGAAGAGGAGATTTGTATTAGGGGGGGGGGGGTTGGAAAGAAAGAGACGGGACACACGGCCGTCAATATTACGTGGAGAACGTTTACGGTGAATTTGCAGGAGATGACGTGTGTCTGCACGCGAGGCTTGGGCCTGTGGGCGTTGCCATCTGCCCCGAGACTCACACGGCTTCTTCTCCTCCTCGTCTTGAGGCTTATCCTCCTCCTTGGCCTTGCGCAGGTTCTTCACGCGCTCCACCAGGGACATCAGCTTCCCGCGCCACGATGGGTCAGCCTCCCCTTCCTCCTCCTCCTCCACCTCAAGCTCAAAGCCTGGCCAAGCAGCGCCGATGTCACCGTCGTCGTCATCATCATCATCGGCATCTCCACCACGAGTGCTACCACTATTACCACCGCTAAATTCACCTTTGCACCATCACTACCATCAATGAAACTAAACGATATTTTAATTTTACCAGGTAAGGCCCACTGAGCTATGTCGCTCTTTTTCAGAAGCGACCTGGCCACAAACGATAGCTCAAGGAAGTGGCTTATCACGTGGATTTTATTTTTTTATAGCAGCCAAATACCATACACGCACATTGATTCTAAATGTGGAGGGAAAAACCGGAGGACCCGGAGAAAAATCCACGCGACCACCTGGAGAGAGACACGCAAACTCCAAATATAGAGAAGGTGTCAGGGTTGGGATCGAACCCACGACCTCCTGTATCCCCTGTGAGGTAGTTAACATCTCGCCACCATCGCAGCCATATAATATAATTTCCGATCCGCTGCTGGACGAAGACTTCCCCCGCGCTGTGTTGAAAGCGGGGGTCGCTTGATTTGGACCACGACATCATGCTCCAATTTTTTGTATTTGTTTCCAACTACTCGCAAAGTGCTTAATTGGGCAAAGTCACAGAGCAATGGCCACTTGCAGGCCGGTGCTGAATTCACATTCTGCCTCACAGGGACAGCTGCCACCGGGAGTCCCCTGCCATGGGCATGGAATAAATATAAAGCATCGATGATGATAATGATGATGATTGTGATCATCATCATTATGATCATCATGATATCCTGGCATATTTACTATCCACAGAGGGTATATACCCTATATCCTAGCAGATTCACTCACCACAGATGGTACATTCCATGTCCTGGCATCTTCACTACCCACAGATGGTATATTCCATATACAACAGAGGATGCTCTCACCGCAATGCAGCAGCAGATCATGATGGAAATTCTCCAGTTTCTCCTGAACCTCATCAGGACATGGGCTCTCCTCATCCTCCGCAATGTTCTTGAAGCTGACCAGCATGTTGACCTGCACAACAAAGACAAAGATCCCCCATAAAGTCTTTAACAGACTTAGGGCAAGTGCTGTGAGCGACCACCTATGAATGCCAGCACGACTCACAGATGGTTTAGTGAGTGGCCAGCAACATGCCCGGCCGCCTTTGTCTCCCCATTGCTGACTGTTATACATCACAAGGTACCAATTTGAGTCGACCTAGTGGAGGCCCAGGACCAGTTCAGATATTTGTCACCGACGTTGGCCGTGAGCGGGAAGCGTACTCGGGTCGCCGGGTTCGTAGCGCAGTGACCCAACCACTACGCTAACGCTGCCCACCTGGATAACAAACACACGCATGGTGATCCATCCTCTTTCCCATTACGAGCAGCAATGAGAATGAGTAGAATATGATGAGTGAATGAGGGAGTGAACGTGAGGGCGAGTGTAAGGCTATAGCGGTGGTGGCTGTGGGTGAGTGAGTAGGTGAGCGAGCGGGTGAGCGAGCGGGTGAGTGAACGTGAGGGAGAGAGTAAGGCTACAGCAGTGGTGGCTGTGTGTGAGCAGGTGAGCGAGTCCGATGAGCGAGCGAGCGGGTGAGTGTGCGTGCCGTGGGTCCGCGCGACCCTCGGAGTCACCTGTTCCTGCGGCGGCGAGCGGAACTCCTTGGTCTTGCGCGCGGTGTGCGCGGCCGACATGTTGAGCGCCTGCATGACCTCGTCGTAGCGGAACTTCTGGTTCGCCTGGACCTTGGCAACGAAGGCGTCCGAGAACGCCACGATCGCCTCGATGCGGTGGCGCAGCTGGCACTCGCACAGGTACTCCAGAAGGTGGCACATCTAGGCAGGGCGGCACACGACAGCCCATGTCGCCGTGACTCGGCCCACATCGTCAGTTCGTCCCGCATCGACGATGCGACAGGCATGGTCGGTGCCACCGGCATTGTTGATCCGAATGGCATCGTCGATGCCACTGGCATGATAGGTGTGACCAGCATCGTTGATTCAACTGGCATCGTTGATTCAACAAGCTCCAAATTTGAGTTATATCGCGTCAATGGGATGCTCCCGCCTGTTTAATGGTCAGCACACTGGGCTCACGATTCAGAGGTCAACAACTCGATTCTAGATCACGGAGCAGCAGTTGAAACAATGACGGTACAAGCTTATTAAATTCCCCCCCTCCCCCACCCCCCTTATCGGCGCCTCTGCCGAGCAGTAGAAATGGGCTCAACCAGTTAGTAGATCGGCAGGTCGTGTGTGTTGGGATAAAGCGTGGGTACTCCAACCCCTTGCAGGATGTCTGGCCAGTGTGGACGAGTACGCCATCATAACCTCCCTAGTGGGGCTCTCTGGAACTCCCTGTAGTGAAGCCGTCTCTGCCAGCAGTGTTCGTGAGCAGGGAATTGGAGGCCTGCGCCTTTATTGTAAAGCGCCGGAATGGTGACCGAATGCCAAGATGCTGCACATTGACAGATATATTTCACAGCCAAGAATCAAAGAGTCCTTGCAATGGCAACAGAATCACATCAGGCCCAGGGCAAGGCCATGATAATTAAAAACATGTATTCTATGCTCACAAAGTGCAGAACAAAGTTGAATGTAATTTTTTGGTTGTTGGAGCGGTTGGTGATGCACTTGAGAACCCAGTGTCATAAACGGGTAACCCCCGGAATTGAACACTGGCATCCCAGCGCGCCGACCTCAGAGCCAGCCGGCCGACCTCGTAGTGAACCTCGAGCCCCTTCAGCCGGTTTAAATCAAAAAAGTCTCACGAACCCCGAAGCGGCTGGGCCCACCCTTCCCCTCCACGCCCTCTCACCTGCAACTTCACCGGTTCCACGAGCTTCATGTAGAGCAGGCCCTCGCCAGCGATCACCTCCTCCTCCCCTTCCCCGTCGCCGTCGCCCGCGGCCTTCTCCTTCCTCTCCGCATCGTCTGCCTCCTTCTCCCGCCCGCTCTCCTTCTCCACCTCGTCGTCGACGCCGCCGCGTCCGCGTCTCTTCCTCAACGCCCTCCTCCTCTTCGCTTTGGACGCGGCGTGCTCCGCCTCTCCCTCGACCATCTCCACATTCTCATCCCCTTCCTCGTCCTCCTCTTCGTCGTATTCATCCCCCTCCTCGTCCTCCTCGTCGTCGTCATAAAAATCGTCCTTCTCCTCCTCATCCCCGGCGCCTTCCAGCGCCAGCAACTCCTTCGCCGGGCTCCCGCCCCCGACCCCGTCGCCACCCGCCACCTCCTCCTCCTCCTCGTCTCTATGCTCCTTGAAGACGCCGGGGTCGATGAGGAGGAGGATGTGCCGCACGTCGTCGTCCGCGAACACGCCCATGACGAGCAGCGTGCACACGAGCTTGAGCAGCGGCACGAACAGGAACTCCGTGCTGCTGCCCACGGGGTCGCGGATGTGCCAGCCGCCGTCACGCACGGCCTCCGTCAGCATGTCCAGCGTCTTCACCTGTTGTTGGCGGCAGGGGCAACAGCAGCGGCGGTGAGTTGGTCCCACACAGAAAGGTCGAGAAGAACCAGGCCCAGGCGCGGGGGCCCTACAACTCGTGCATGTGTGTACACGTGCGTGTGCGCGTGTATTGTGTGTGTGTTGTGTTTGTTGAACTTATTTCGCACCATACGTAGTCAACCGAACTAATCGGAGGTGCGGGGTAAGGAGAGGATACTAAACACACCACTGCCACCACCACCACCACCGCTACTACCAATCAACACCACCACCGCCACGACCACCACGGCCACCGCCACTACCGCCACTACCGCCACTACGACCGCCGGGCACGCCCTTCCTGCGGGAGGGGGCGGTTGGGGAGGGCCGGATGAGAGCCTCACCTTGAGGATGCCGAGCGGGAATTCGGGGCTGTGCTGGTACACGCTGCCCAGCGACTTGACAAAGCTGATCTCGGACGAGTACATGAGCGGGCGGAGCGACGTGGTGAGCCCAACGCCCGGCAGCCCGTGCCGCTTGCTCTCGTCGGGGAACAGGGTGATGCTGCACGTCTCGTCCGTCATGGGCACGATGTACTCGTTGCTCATCATCAGGCGGACCGTCGAGTACGTCTGCAGGTGGATGTCGATGAGCAGGTCGTAGTAGCCGCTGCGCAGGAGGCCCGGAATGTACTTGGACTCGATGGCGTAGAGAAGCTGGTTCTCGGCGACGTGGCTGCAGAGGGCGTGCGACACGCGGCTGTTGCCCAGGGCGCACAGCGCCGAGTAGAGCTTCAGGGTGTAGAACTGGAACTTGAGCAGGTCCATGCGCTCGGAGAGTTCCAGGATGTCAATGCACCTGCGCGGTTGGGTGGGTGGAGGGGGGAGGAGCGGGGTGGAGGGGGGTGCCAAACATCGAGACGTGTTAATAGTGTCCCTGCGGCGTCGTCCGTCACGACCGCAATCGCGAAACGCCGTACAATAATTAACACGATCGTATCGAGGGAGAGAAGGAACCCGTGAATGAGAACGCTGTTAAGTGCAGACATCAACAACATTATGAAAAGGTAGGTAAGTTCATAATTTTTTGTGTGCGTGGGTATAAATGTTTTAGGTTTCCCTTAAAGATCACAGTACTGAGCACGCGTGATTCCTCTTCCTTGAGTTGTTTAAGACAAGGTGCTTTTGAATGTCGAGGCATTTTAAGGGCCCTGTAAAAATGCAATCCCCTGTCCAACCGACACACAACTCCCAACGACGAGACAAACCTATCGAACCGACCATTTAGTCTCAATCATCAACTACCAGGGCTGGATTAAGGCTATGAGGGGCCTAAGGATAATAGGAGGGAAGCTGCCTAAGTATGTATTACACATTACAAAGAAAAATTATAAAGTCATCAAACGTCTATATATTTTTTACTTATGTAAAAGTAACACATTTATTTGCCTCAAGGCAAGTACATCGAACGTAAATCATCCACTGCACTAATTTCTTCAAGCAAACAACACGTCTTTTTTCCGACGTTTATCTGTGGCAAAGTCACGAATTACGTCACGGTAATTAAAAAAACTGAGGGTCCGCGCTACCGTCGCTCCGCTAGGAATTCAATGTGGAACGGAGGGCCTAAAGGAGGGCCTCAAAAAAATATGAAAGCCTGAGGCCTTATTAGCCTATTGGGATAATCCGGCCCCGGTCACAAACACCTGCCCTTCTTTTCGTCCCACTGCTGACTAAAATAAAAAGGGAGGCTCGATCCTCCCGTCAACCGTCCACGCCGCCAATGGCCGACCATCAACCCGAATCGGCACCGCTCCGTGTATCCTACGGGGCCACCTGATGCACAAATGGCACCGTGGAAGATCCGGCGGCATTGCGAGTGTGCGCAGCCACGTGATCCCAAACCAACCGACCCACGTCGTAAACGACTCGCCCAGCGTCTGCCTTCACTCCGTCAAAGGAGGAATGGGTACGAGATCCGCTCTGCTTCCCAACAGACAATTGACGAGCGGGCAAAGCATCTCACGACGACATCTTTGCTCTGCTGTTATCAATCCGTGCTAAAGAGGAGGAGGAGGGAAGAGGAGGAGCCCCGCGGCGCGCGACCTGTTCTCCTCGGGGAAGTGCAGCGCCATCATGACGAGCGGATCGGTGCACTCCACCATCCAGCCCTCGCGCTCGCTCGTGCGCGCCACATCCACGTGCAGGAACTCGTTGGGCGTGCGGCTCCACAGCACCGGCATGAGCATCTGCACGTCGAGCCGCGGCGGGCACTGCGGCGTCGGATGCTGGCGCTCGCTCTTGAACATGCCGGCCGACAGCGGCATCACGTTCTGACGGGCGGCAATTAGGGAGAGGGAACGGGGAGGAAGCACCGGTTGACGGAGGTGGAGCGGCGGCAGCGGCAGCAGAGAGAGCAGCAGCAGGAACAGCAGCAGTGGCAGCAGGAGCAGAGGTTGCAGCAGTAATAAATAGCAGGAATAGCAGCAGCAGGAGCAGCAGTAGTCGCAGGAGCAGTAACAACAGCAGCAGGAGCAGAAGTAGCAGCAGTAGTAGTAGCAGCAGTAGCAGCAGCAGGACAAGCAGTAGTGGCAGGAGCAGTAACAACAGCAGCAGGAGCAGAAGTAGCAGCAGCAGTTGTAGTAGCAGAAATAGCAGCAGTAGCAGCAGCAGGATCAGCAGTAGTCGCAGAAGAAGTAATAACAGCAGCAGCAGAAACAGTAGCAGCAGTAGCAGCAGGAGCAGGACGAGCAGAAGCAGCAGCAAGAGCAGCAGCAGGAGCAGCCGGGGAGAGAAACGGAGAGGTTAGAGACGTCACCCCGGTGAGGCTTCTCTGCACTGGGCAGCGTATTGAGCTTATTCCAAAAAGTTATTTCATGAAAATAAACGTTCGTGATACCGCATTGGCAGTGATGCCCAAGCATAAATAACACACATTTTGGACATTTGTCAGTGACACTGCCTTAAAATAAATCCATATATGTGTATATATATATAAAATCGGTGACGTTTTGTCCACTGGTCATATTTCATAGCACATAATTCGACAGGCCACGCCATCTCTCTGGTCTCTCTGACACACATGCTAGGAAGGAGGACCGTTGCTCAACATTTCGCCAACGTTGCATTCCTAGTAATGAGTTCACCGATTTGCCAAACAAAACCCATCTCCTACCTTGATGCGGCCCAACTCAAACTGGAACATGTTGGTGCACGTGGGCTGCACGAACACGGCCGGGAAGACCTTGGTGCCAGGCTCAATCTGCGAATGACATGCGCACGATGACGAGAATAATCTCAATGACGACAATGACGACGACGGTGACAATGACGACGACAATGACGTCGACAATAACATCGACAATGACGACGACGATGACGACGACAATGACGTCGACAATAACGTCGACAATGACGACGACGATGACAATGACGACGACGACAATGACCTCGACAATAAAGTGGACAATGACGTCGCCAATGACGACAATGACGACGACGATGACAATGACGACGACGACGATGACAATGACGTCGACAATGACGTCAACAATGACGACGATGACGACAATGAAGTCGAGAATGACAACAACGACGACAATGACGACGATAATGACGACAAGAATGACGACGAGAATGACGACGACGATGACGACAGCGGCGGCGATGGAGGGAACGACAAACATCAGAGAAGGTGAACCGATTGACCGCAGGACGAGGTCAGAGTGTATGCACGTTCTCCCGGTGGTTGCGTGGATTTTTTCCATCGGATCCTCCGGGTTTTCCCTCCGCTTTGGTGAGCTATCATTTGTGGCCAGGTCTCTTCTGAAAATTAAGCAAATTCCTCAGTGGGCTTTGCCGGGTAGAATAAGGATGGTTTAATTTGATTTGTATGTGTTTAGGTGATTTGTTTACTTTTATAGCACTTTGCACTCCTGTCGTGTTTTTGTAACGTTTGTTGTGGGTAACGTCCTTACCCACCCCTACTGGACATAGCTAATCGGATTCCTCCTGCGGCATATATATTCCGACTCTGATAGCGACGCCCGTTACTGACACGGGAAAAGCCTCGCCGGGTCTCAAGAGGCATCCTGCGGCATCAGGATATTTGGCCAAGTCCATGACTGAGTGTTTGGCTTTTGGGAGGAAATCGGAGAGCCTGGAGGAAACCCACCAGGCATAAGTGGGGTAGGCCGAGACCCAGGGCTGCCAACTGTCTGGCGCCACTGTGTCCGACACGCTTTGCACTGTCCTTTTCCACACGTTCATGTCGCCATTAAGACTAAAATATCTAGCCGGACTTAACTCGGCCCAAGAGCGAGATCGATGGGATGGGGGCCTCCGAAGATCAAGTACGGGGGACTCGGTGTGCTTCGTGCAGCACGTGGACAGCGGCCTGTGGCTCACGTACCAGGCTCCGGTCTCCAAGACCACCCGCCTGGGCATCCTCATCCGCAAGGTGCGTGCCCGCCTCTCAGATCTGTCGCGCCCGTCTCCGCGACTGCGAGCGTGTCCCATGAACACGGGGTGGGCAGGCGAGCGGGCACCGCTCATACCTTACAGTAGGTGGGGATCTCCTTGGGTGGGGGCACGCGCACCGCCCGTACCTGATAGTAGGTGGGGATCTCCTTTCCATTGGCGTAGAACGTGAGGAGTCCGCTGCCGATGTCGATGAGGCAGCCGATGTCGATGCTGATGTTGTTGCGCCCCTGGCCTTGCTGCCCCCCAAACTCACCGCACCACGCCATGAAGCAGTTGCTGCGCTTGATGCTGATGAAGTCAGAGGTCGGGGGTGGGTACGCGGAGGGAAGTAACAAAAACATTATTATTATTCCATTTGCTTCTAGCAAAGGATGGGCAGCGATGGAACACTGTGAGAACGGCGTCAATGGCCAGACATGGTCCGACGCTCGTTGTTTGCCCAGGAAATACTCAATTGGGAGACACACAAAAGCCACATCGCCACCGCCTGCCAAAACTGCAACAGCCTACGTGGCGACACTCGGCGCGTCCGTGATTGCCTCGCTTTCTGTAAGAGTAACAAACGCGCTCACGGTGAAAGCATCGCCGAGCCTCAAGACACCTTTTAAGGAGGGTCGGTCCCTGTTGGGTTTCCTCAGTGGGGCAGCGGGAGGGAAGGGTGACAATGGCTCTGTGTTTCCCTCATTAACGTGCGGCGTAATTTTTCAAATTTTATCATTTCGGACCACGACCCTTGCGCACGCGACCTCCTATCTTTGTTCGAACGACGTCGCGTGAAACTTTGACGTCCGCTGTGAAGCAGACGATCCTCATCGTGCGCCAGCATTCTTCACGAATTTTCAGAGGGGGGGGTGGCCTCTTTCGCCGATAAGACATCATCAGTGTGTGAGGGCCGCCACATATTTCAAACCACTGGGGGTTTGACAGCAGCACGACGATGATGATAGGGGGTGTTTTCAGATGTTGTGTCTCGTCGGGGGGCCCGCACGTCAGCGGCCGCACTAAAGGCCACCAGGGAGCTGCCGGCCGCCAGTGGCCCACGGGGAACACCGCTGTACGGTTAACACGACCGCAGCATTAACAGGGGGAGGCCCCGTGGCACGAACCGCGGACAAGCGGTGAACGACCGCCGCTCTCGGGCCCGTGGTCGTAGCTCCCCGGGGCACGCCGCTCTGGCCGGCGCAATGTTTGTTTAAACGCGCGGCTCTCCACGCTCCTGGGCCTCGTGAGAAACCCACCGTCGCCCCGCGGCGCGCGGCCCTACCTGGTGTTCACCTTGCCCTTGTCGTCACCGAGCGTCACCATGACGCTGCGCACCTTCTCCAGGTCGAAGGTCTTCCCGTACTGGTGGAAGTCGGGCGTCACCCAGCCGACCCACACGCCCGTCGGCTCCTGGCCGGGGAAGATCTTCACGGAGTAGTAGTACTGCTCGCCGAGCCACACAAAGAGAAAGCCCCAGTATGGCCTTTAACAGACTGTTGGGGTGAGTGCCATTCGCGAGAACGGACATGGGGGAGGTTCCACTGTAGAGCAGTTACACACGGGGCTGCCACCACCCCGGGGATATCACTCTCTAGGAGCAGGGTAAGGGTCCCACTACTGGGACAACACAAGTCACCCAGGCCGAGTGTGGCCTTCCAGGTTATCCGTCTCCCAAGCTTTCGCCAGGCACTACCGAACATGCCCGCGGCAGCGCGCGGTGAAAAGCTTCCGAGATTTGACGTTGTCAGAGCTCCCACTGCTCGACACGCTAAAATGTCATAGTCACGGGCTAAACTAGACAATATTTATATTTTACCAGGTAAGGCCCACTGAGCTATGTAGCTCTCTTTCAGAAGTGACCTGGCCGCAAATGGTAGCTCAATGAAATTTAGAGCAGCCAAAACAGGTTTCAGGGTCAGAACGGAACCCACGACCTCCTTTGGAACAGGTGAGCTGGTTAACACCTCGACGCCGTGGCGTCCCTAGGCAGGGGGCGGCGACCGGGGGTCGAGAGGTCACGCACCAGCGTGGTCCTCATGAGCGTCTCCATGTCGTCGCGGTCGTCGGGCAGCACTTCCTCCTGCAGCCGCGTGTGCACGGGCATGGGCGGCGCCGCGGGCGCCTGCGCTTGAGACACTTTCCCCCGGCGCATGAGGAACCTAAAACGCCGAAGGGGGAATGGGGAGGGGGGGGCAGTTGGGGGGGGAGGGGGCAGGCAAACCGAGGAGGTCAGCGGATCCGCCGCCGGTCGTGATCGATCATCGAGGAATCCTCGCTACCACCGACCCCACGCGCCTTGCCTCTTTCTGTCGACCACCTAACGCGACGCCGTGGTTCGGTCGCAAATATGCTAAACTCGCCAAATCCAGAACTCGCGCACAGCGAGAATTTGCCGCAGCAGTAGTGTGATTGTTACATCGATTGTGGTGATTATAGGAATTGCGCTAATTCGGCGACGCACTTAGGCTTGAGGCGCGACGTCTTCTCCTGCGCCGCGTCCTTGTTGTTGCTGCTGCCACCGCTCGACTCGGCCGTCGGGGTCGGCGTAGGCGGCGCGAGCGACGACCCCGTCACCGACGTTCCTCCAGCCCCTCCCGCCCCCACCGGCGGAGAAGCAGTCCCGCCGGTCAACGCGGCAGCCGCCGCAGCCGCCGCCGCCGCGTCCTTGTCTCCCGGCGGCGACGCAAAGCCGAACGGCAGCTGGATCAGGTTCCCACGCGCAGCCGTCTTCTTGAGCACCTCGAACTCGGAATCGATGTCGATGTCCACCTCCTCCTCCTGCATGAGCGAGTTGAGGTGGCCGGCAAGCTGCGGCTTGTAGTCCTCGTAGCACTCCACGGGCATGCTGAGGCGGAAGAACACCAGGTCGTTGTTGCTGTTCTGCGTGCCGAACGTCCTGTGGGTGACCTTGAGGCACGGCGGGCTGTCCACCGTCCCGTCGATCCGCGTCACCTGGGGGGCGGTGGCGGATGCGGAGACGCGAGGGGAACGACGCGTCTCGGTCACTTTCGCAGCGGGCCTTGCGTGGACGCGCCGTATCCCAGCTGGCCAAGGCGACCCCCGCGAACTCTCCCTTCCCATCTAGGAAGCCCGTAAAAGCGAAACGTTGGGTCGACGTTGACCCGACGTTTCCAACCACGTGGCCAACGTTGGCCCCCGACGTTGCATGTTTAACGGGATGCTTGCTACCACATCGGCTGCTTTGGCCGGGTCGCCATGATGACAAAGAGATTCTGAGCTCAATGGGCCTCATGCGAGGACGTAAACCAGGGGTAGGGAAAAAATGCCAAGGGCCATTTGGATATTTATAACATATATTCGTGGGCCATACAAAATTTAATTTATGTTGCTATGAAAAAAGCGCCTAGATTTATTGAATTTTGAGTCGTGCCGTTGCCTTGGCAGGGCTAGACTAAATGATTTTGCGGGCCTTATACGGCCCGCGGGCCGGACGTTCCCCACCCCTGACGTAAATGGACCAGCTCACCCCGTCGACGGTGGATGCGGGGGGGGGGGCGGTGGAATGAGGGGAGGGAGGTGTAATGCAGACCAGGAGGTGGGACTGCTGAGACAAGGCCACAAGAGGATCTGGAGCTGAGAGGACAGATGGGACACGAGGTGGTGGAATTTAACTGGACCATGCCGTGGAGGCAAGCGTCGGTGGATCACTGGACAAAGGGATGGAAATAAATAAATAATATTGCGTTTCTATTTTTTCTCTTCGATACGGTACACTAATGTGAACCGTATTCATTTTAAATGTAATATTAGCTCCACTGAAGATGGTATCAAATCACCGCGCAAATAGCATGCCAGATGACCGCCGGCAAAGGCACTCCAGATCCAAACGAAAAAACGGTGGCAGAGAGGACAGCCACCAAGGAGACCGAGCGATGAAATGAGTTGACGTGCAGGCAGGAGCTGGGTGGACCGTTGCATCGTGGGATCGCGAAAGGTGCCGGAGACTTAGAGAGGCCTTCATCCAGCAGTGGATTGACCACGACTGATGACGACCACAACGACGATGAAATAAAAGATAATCGATTCTCGCGCACGTCATTTGTAAGCATACCAATCAACCATAAATCCACGGATGGGTGCGTTATCACATTCCCAGTAAACGGCGTGACTATCATGATCATCGTCAGCGTCGTCGTCATTATTATAATCGTTATTTATCGTACAAGGGAGTAAAATGGTGGCGAAATTTTAACTGCCTCGCCTGGTATACAGGAGTTCGTGGGTTTGATCCCGACCCTGATGCCTGCTGTATATTTGGAGTTTGTGTGTCTCTCTCTCCGTGGTCGTGTGAATTTTTCTCCGGATCCTACGGTTGTTTTTCCTTAGAATCAACATCACGCTTTCAGAGATTTTGGCTGCTGTAAATTCCACGCGATAAGCCACTTCGAGCTATCATTTGTGGCCACGCCGCTTTTGCAAAAAGAGCTGCATAGCCCAGTGGGCCCTTCAAGCTGTTAAAGTTAAAACAGTTTACTTTATGATAATTGTTTTTTTATCCTTTTATCTGGAAACAAAACTGACACCTTTTTTACAAGGAGTCATGTTTGCATAGACCACAATACCTGCAGTCGGAATGCAAACAAAAAACATAACCCTGATAATGTATGCGCTGTCCTTGAAGTTGATTGGTCCACACCCGAGACCGCTTTCCTTAGAGCCTAGTCTCACATGGTGTTGGACCAGATGACGCCAAAAGGCGCACAACTCAAAGACAATGCACCATCAGAGTATGAGAGCTCGGGGAACCTCATTTGCCAGTAGAAAAATATGATAATTGGATGTTTTACCCTTTTATCTGTCAACAAAACTGACACCTTAAGTTTAGTAAAAAAAAACCCTCGGCATCTCCCAGGGCACCGTTGCCAGCCGGCCGCACCTCGTAGTGCTCGTGGTCGCCTTGCACTGGCAGGAACTGCGGCAGCCGCTTGGTGTACCACATGGGCACGTCGCGGTGCATGTTGACGGCGAACGGCTCGAAGCCCTCCTGCAGGCCGCAGATGGTGAAGAACTTGAACGTCGCCGCGTTGCGGCCGAAGTTCAGCCTCCCCACCTGGCTCATCCCCACGCTGCACACGGGTATGAAGCCTGTCGCACGCACACGCAAGCACACACGCACACGCAAGCACACACGCAAGCACATGAAGGGTCGGCGGGCGTTTACCCGTTCCCGTTACGACGACGTACGTGTACATCGTCGTCTTTTCTTACAGTTCCGTTCAGGATGATGTACATCAAAGAGTAACTTTCGTTGCTACCGAGGCTCCCGCAAGGCCACGCGGGAGGGCGCGCGGCACAGTTTGGTGCCGGCTATCGTAGAGCGCGGCGGTCGTGTCGCTACGGTTCTCTGCGGCGAGTGCAGTGCGATGTCTTTAAAAACAACGGCGCCACTACGCCTCTCTAAATAAAATGAACGCTGAGCCGCTCGCAAGGTTCCGAGATTGGGCAGTGAACGTGACCCCACCCACAGGCGTCTCGGAACGGGGAAAAGGGGTGAACTGAGAAGGCGAGGCGTGCTGGCCGGGTCGCTCAGAGGTCAGGGTGCTGAGCTGGCGCCGCTGACAAATCCTGGGTTTGAAACCGGGTTTCAACCGCTGCCCATGTTTTAAACCGGGCTCTCTCAAGTGCGATGTACGCACGGAGAGTTTTATTCTTTCCACAACATTGCAAGCATTTAATTCAGCGAATGCGACGTCACTCTCGGAGCCTGCGCAACGAGCCGATGTCGCACGGCGTGCGACGCCTGACGTAGCCAGATGACGTTACTCGCAATGACGTCATCGCATAGGCTTCGCTTTTGGGGAGATGCTCCTATCAACTTGGTCGGTATTGTTGGCTAAATTCCCAGGAACAGCGCAACTATGTCGAGACATTGCGTTCTTATTGGATCATAATTTTTACAGGATTTACCGTGATTTGCTAACCTTTCCTATACCTTGCACTCCTATTGTGTTTTTTATTTTTTATTAGGTATAGCCCTGTGAGCCATGCGGCTCTTGAATCGGGTGCAACCGCGACAAACAAAAACATGAACAAGAAACATCTTAAAGTGACTACGCACAACAGAAAAATCCAGGAAAAAACAGCAAAGTCTTCCAGAAAAAACACAGTATATCAACGCTGTGTGCAAAAATCCCAGAGGGATGCAAGTCAAACAATAACAACCATAAGACAATTTAGATTAAAGTTATCATGCTAACTCTGTACTTCAATATGGCTAAACCAAAACGTTTTCTAAATCACCAAAATAAAGCTATAAAAATAATGTAACAGTGATCATAGGAACTGACCCACCCCTACTGGACATCTCTAAATAAAAGAGCTTAATAGCTCATCGGATTGTTCCAATAAAAATTAAGATTTTGGTACAGACAGACGGACAAAACTAATGCTTCAACGCTTCCCATCGCATTAAATTTGAAAATGACGTAACATCGACTTGGCTGCCACTCCCCCCCCTTCCCCCGGGGCGTTGTGGGGAGGGGGACAATCCCTTGCCTTCGGAGATCTCGAAGTCACGGAAGGCGAGCTCGGAGCCCGAGTCGTTGAGGAGCACCTCGCCGTTGATGGTGAACATCATGCACCGGTCGTTGAGGTCGATGAGGCAGCCCACGATATCTCCACACTGCCAGTCTCTGCCAAAGTGCTCGCTGCCCAGGTGCCATCGCTGGGCCTATGCCGCGCGCAAGCAGGAACAGGGGAAGGTCTTGAAACCACAGCGGCCGGGAACCTTGCGAGTGTATAATATCCAAATTGGGTCATTTGTGAGCTATTTTTTTATATTTTGCAGATTAGGACCATGACGCCGACACACAATTGTATCACGGGATATTTTAACGCGAGTGAAACAAATGGTGCGTAGTGTTTTTACGGGTTTCATGTATGTATGTTGAACTTCTTTCGCACCGTACGTAGCCAACCGTGCTAATCGGAGGTGCGGGGGAATGACAACAAACTAAACACAAAGAGCAGTTCTAAAGAAATTAGTTTTTAATCTAGATTTAGAAGCGCATAGCTCCAGTGGTTTCCTAATATCAGAAGGAAGAGCCTTCCAGACGGCCGCAGAAGCGCATCTGAAAGCGCCACGCGATGCGGCGACCGTCTTTGTTCGACGGTTAGCCAAAAGCCGCTGCTGCGATGATGACCGGCAAGGCACCGTGGTTCATTTGTGGCAATCACTTTACGTGTACAACGAGTGCTAATAACACAAACACAGCATTGACCAGGACAACCACTGTGAATGGAAACCACATTCCATAACAACAAAGCATTTGCTATGCTCTGGTAGTATATGCACTGTCTTTGAAACTGATTGGTCCACACCAGGCACAGCTTTCTTTAGAGCCTAGTCTCAAAGTGTTCGACCAGAAAACGCCAAAAGGCGAACAGCACAAAGACAATCGGGGCATTTATAGCTCGGGGTGAGCAGCTACATTATGGGACCTCCTTTGCCAGTATCAAAATATAAGAATTGGTTTTACCCCTTCTGCCAATAAAACAGTGAATGCACACATGATTCCTTGAAAACGGATTCTGTTGGGTGTTTAAACATCTTAACGCCTGTTCTATTTCCAGAAAGGGCAAAACCTATTGTGACAACAAAGTATTTACCCTGAAGCCGTCGAAAACGAAGGCCTCCGCATCGGCCCCCAACTCGTGGCCCGAGGGCACGTCAGGCCGGGCCCAGCCCACGCGCATGTCCCCGGCCGTCACCGCCTCGAACTCAAAGTACCACTTCCCCGCCATCACGGCATAGGACTTCTCCGCCCGGAAGATCCGCATCTTGTCAGGGTGGCTGCTCCCGGCGGTCTCGGCCAGCAGCGCTGCAGTAACCGCGGACGGAAAAAAAATTCCATCCGATCAACGTGTCGAGCATTTCTTCTCTCACGCTGTTACCAGGCACGACTGCGGGGATCTACAACAACTCCAGTTGTGCGTGGCCAAAATTACAACTTCTGAAGATGCCCGCCAGCAGTGCCTGGCCAAAGCCTCAACTCCTGAAGATGCTCGCCAGCAGTACGTGGCCAAAATCTCAACTCCTGAAGATGTCCGCCAGCAGTGCGTGGTCAAAGCCTCAACTTCTGAAGATGCCTGCTAGTAGTGTGTGGTCAAAGCCTCAACTCCTGAAGATGCTCGCCAGCAGTGCGTGGTGAAAGCCTCAACTCCTGAAGATGCCCGCCAGCAGTGCGTGGCCAAAGCCTCAACTCCTGAAGATGATCACATTAGTGCACTGGCGACAGCTCGATGGAAGAAACGTGGCGCTCTTGGGTTTTGTAAATAACTGCAATGTTCTGAGCAGGCGGCACTGACCGGGATCCTGGTCGGGCGGCTCGATGACGTAGCCGCAGCCGATGAGCGTGCGGACGGCCTCGCGAAGGCTGTCCTTGTTCGACTTCTTGGTCCTCTCGTCGAGCAGCGCGTACGGGATGAGTCGCGGGTTGCGCTTGTTCTTGATGTCCTGCGTTGGGGTCACCGCGGGTCGGGCAGCAGCGCCGGGACGATTAGTGTCGACCGAGTCGCTCGGATAGGCGCTAAATGTTGCGATCGCCTACTTTAAACTTGATTTTTTGGGGGGGTTAAAATATTTTACGTGGTTATTCGCTGAAGCTGGAACGTCTCGTTTTGCAAAGGTGTCCACGGGGAATCAAGTGACACGCGCACAGCGAGCACGGAATGGGCGAGTATATAAACATCCAGTTCGTACATAATACAGGTCTTTGGGTTAGATTGCGTGAATATTAAACCCACCACCACCCGACACAGCCAACTAGTAAGGTTTATTCCCGTAAACAGAACGTGGCCAATTCGTCACTAGTACAGCACACCGGTGTGTTGGAGAGCAAAGCCACAACATTTACAATCTGAGTACGACTTTTCACCAGTAATTACAACTCGTTTCATGAGGCAACAACCAGATTTGTGATGACATCACTTGTGAGCACTTCTTCAGCGATGTGGGGTGGGAGGATTAATGATTTATATAAATTACAATGGGTATCCATTGCCGGTTGGGTTATTTAAATGGTAATCAACGCGCATTACGCATGCACATTATGCAAGCCCATTGCTCTTGTACCTCCTGTCGATTGTGTGTACTAAAATAACCAACGGTAATCCCTACTGAAGTATGGTGACCTGCAGCGGCATGCATTTAGACGATGTATTATTTGATGACTTGCTTCCAAGCAGCACTAAGTCAGCTCGTACAACACAGCCTCTGGGGGGCGTTCCCTCCTTTGGTTGCCACTCCGTTGCTAGTCTCGACCATCGGCCGTCGTCCCTTCATCATCCCTTCCAGCGACGCTTCCCGCCCTGCCAACGACGCATCTATAAATCCGCGTCAAAGCGTGGAAGCGCGCGGGCGCCCTTGGGGTGGTGAATCGTGAGAGGCGTCTCTCCGTTTCACTGCTGCCCCCTAAGCGACAGCCAAACTCACAATTATTTATCATGCAGGGGAGCGGGGGGGAGGGTTTTTTTTTGTTTGTGTCTGTGAACAAAGTACACAATGAGATTCATGACACATGGGAAAACGTTTTAACAAAAACACGACTTGATGAACGAAACAAAGTGCCTAATGACCAAGCATTTGTTTGGTTTCTTCTGATTGTAAAAAAAAGGAAGGCGGGAGGGAGGAGAGGGAGGGAGTTGAGGAGAGGGAGGGATGAGAGAGAGGAGAGGGAGGAGAGGGAGGGAGGAGATGGAGGGAGGATAGGGGGGAGTTGAGGAGAGGGAGGGAGGATAGGGGGGGAGTTGAGGAGAGAGAGGGAGGAGAGGGAGGGAGGGAGGAGAGGTAGGGAGGAGAGGGCATTGAGGAGAGGGAGGGAGGATAGGGGGGGAGTTGAGGAGAGGGAGGGAGGAGAGGGAGGGAGGGAGGAGAGGGAGGGAGGATAGGGGGGGAGTTGAGGAGAGGGAGGGAGGAGAGGGAGGGAGGGAGGAGAGGGCATTGAGGAGAGGGAGTGAGGGAGGGAGGGAGTGAGGGAGTGAGTGAGTGAGGAGTGAGTGAGGGAGGGCTCTCACCTGCTGGATGCCGTAGGTCCAGCCCTGGCGGATGCGGTCGCGGGCCCACACATTGTGGGCGTTCTCCGCCAGCTTGTCCACCATGGCCTCCTGGCCGGCCGTCAGCTTCACGTGGTTGAGGTCGAAGGGCGCCGGCTTGTAGCCGCTCTCCATGGAGTAGCTACGCGGGACGTGGGGGGGGGCAACGGCAACGCATGCCAGCGAACAGAATCACGGTGGGTATCTACGTCATTGCCGCGTGAATTGATGTCTTAATATACAGAGCAATGCAATGTTAGGTATCTAGAACAATATATAGTTTGAATTTTGACTGAAAACTTTCGTGACTGCAGGAGTTCATAGTCTATGGTTATTTCGGTAAAGTCACGTAGATAGAAAAAATAATACTAACAATCAAGTAAAGTGAATATTCACTCTTTGGTTATTTCGGTAAAGTCACGTAGAAAGAAAATACATTTAATAATAATAATAGAATACGACGTTTCTGCCCCACCTCCCCCTCTCTCTCTATTTAAGGCCTCGACACAGAGGCATTGGATCTCTGTGCGTCTATGTTGTGTGTGTCTCTCTCTGTGTGTCTCTGTGTTGTCTCTCTCTGTGCTTGTGTGTCTGTCTGTGTGTCTCCGTGTCTGTGTTTTGTCTCTGTCTCAAATTTAGTTCCACCTGATGACGACCGCTTGCATTGCGATCGAAACGTCGTAGTTTTTGTTAATTTATTTGAACCTATCTACGTATCTCAGAGACTTACACAATGGACGCACAACTATCTGGGACAATGACTTTAGAAACAAGCAGCTGGAACATCGATTAGACAAACATACAAAATAATGGATGTCTCAAAAGTTGGATCAATCGATTTCTCAATGGCCGGGACAATGTATATCCCAATAGCTGCGATTGGATCATCTTATTTTTCGATTTAAAGCTTTTGTGACTGCAGGGATTCATCTTCTTGGTCCTTTCGGTAAAACTTTATACGTGACTTTACCGAAAGAACCAAGAAGATGGATCATGTATATGTGTGCATATAACGAGCGAGTTTTCTCCGTGGTGCTCCGGTTTCCGCCCACTCGTCTCACAGACACCCATTAGCTGGCGGAAAACATCCCCATTCTGCATGCACACGCGCGCGTTGGCGGATTGGGCAGCGACGTGCACACGCGCGTATGTGTGCACGTACGGTCCAACAACCGTGCCAATCGGAGGTCGCTGTGCGACGCAGCCGCATACACATCACCCTATTTATACATCACGCACAAATATACACCGCATATAACAAAGAAAGAAAAGACAAAAAACACTGGGAGCGGCAAGGAGGGCGGCGCGGGCGTCCGACGGCTCTCGACGGTGCGGCGGTTACTTGCGGGGCAGCCGCAGGCGCTTGAGCTTCGACTCGGCTTGCTCGTCCCCCATGCCCACGTGGCACCCCAGCGCCAGCAGAGTCCTGCGGGGGGCACCGGGCACAGCGGCCACATGCGTCACGGCGTGCTGGCGAGATGTTGACTGCCTCGCCTGGTACGCGGGAGGCGTGGGTTCGATCCCGACCCTGTCGCCTGCTGTATATTTGGAGTGTGCGGCGTCTCTCTTTCTCTCTCATCATCATGACGGTGGCTAGGAGATGTTAACTACCTCGCCTGGTATACAGGAGGTCGTGGGTTCGATCCCGACCCTGACACCTGCTGTATATTTGGAGTTTGCGTGTCTCTCATCATCATCACGGTGGCTAAGAGATGTTAACTACCTCGCCTGGTATACAAGAGGTCGTGGGTTCGATCCCGACCCTGTCGCCTGCTATATATTTGGAGTGTGCGGCGTCTCTCTCTCTCTCATCATCATCACGGTAGCTAGGAGATGTTTTCCCTCCACGTTATAGGATCAACATCACGCTATCAGAGTATTTGCCTGCTCTACATTTCCACGTGGTGATAAGCCACTTTGCTGAGCTATCACTTGTGTCCAGGTCCCTTCTCAAAAAAGAGCTATACAGCTCAGTCGGCCTTTCCTCCCTCTCAAAGCATCTCAGCTGTACAATGCAACGCCTTCCTATGCACGTTGAATTTCTTTCGCGCCGTACGTAGCCGACCGTGCCAATCGAAGGTGTGCGGGCGAAGGACAACAAACTAAAACACGCACAAAAAAAAATCAGCACGTGAAGAAACGAAGGTGCGTCAACTCCAGACCCGCGGTGTCGGGCCTCACTTGAGGGTCTCGGTGGACATCTGCAGGTTGTAGTTGCGCTCCGGCTCGGGCAGCTTGTGGAAATCGACGAGGCACGGGTGCAGGCGCCGGTTATCGTCCCTGGCCTGCGCGCCAGACAGAAACGGGCGGCTCGAGGCGGGAGATAGACGATGGCGGCGGCTGACGTTTCCCGCAAACTCCTCGCCGCCCGCACTCCGGACGATGGCAACGACCACGACGGAGCGGGGAGGACTCCCACCATCACCCGCCACCGGTGGACATGGGCCGCGTTGCCCCCACGATTCCGCATCCCTCCCGCAAGCTCCCGATCCAATCGATTGTGAAGATAGCCACGCACCAGCTTCGTGGTCCTCTGTCGACTCGTCCCCTGCCTACCTCTCCCCACTCATCTCCCTCTGTTCCCCTCCACCCACTCTCCTATCTATCCCCTCTCACCTCCCTCTGCTCTCCTCCACGCACTCTCTTATCTCTCTCCTCTCATCTCCCTCTGCTCCGCTCCACACTCTCCTAACTGTCCCTCGCCACACACTCTCCTTCTCAACTCCAGAAACCAAGGATTCATCTTGAAGACAGCAGTCAACTCAGTAGAAAGTCACTAAGTATCCTCTGGTATGATATGTGCATATGTGCGTGTATAGAAGGGGAGCGCTACGAACCCGGCCACCTGAGTTCAATTCACACTCACGGCCAACACCAGTGACTGTTATCTGAACATGTCCGGGCCCTCCCCTAGGTCGACTCAGCCTCAACTGAATACCTGGTGCAATGTGCAAACATCGCCACTGCACGCATGTACGTTTAAAATTCGTTCGCACCGTACGTAGCCAACCGTGCCAGTCGGAGGTGCGGTACAGAGATAAAAAAAAAAAGGCGGCCGGGTGTGGTGCCAGCCACCCACCCACCCCCTCGTATGGACGCAGAGATGGGCAAAATATAATCAAATTATTGACGGGAAAAAAGTGATCATATACAAATGGCCAATGTCTCGTGTCATCTTCATACAAATTACAAGTTACTTTGAGCCATGCAATTTGCATAACAATTATGGAACGCGAATGTCCTAGAATTACACATTTAAATTTGAATGCTGATGATGTCCGTGATTGATCGGGTGTGCTGCTCGGCTCACAGTTGCGTAGGTCCACCCGATCTCGATCTTGGTCGTAGCCCACAGCTCATGGATGTTCTCCGCCAGCTTGTCTCGGATGCGCTCCAGGTTTGGGGGAAGCACAATCTTCAAACAACGACAATGACGACAACGACGTTTGTGCGTGCGCTTGTGTGTGTGCGCGTGTTTGTGTGAACGTGTGTGTGTGTGAGTGGTAGTGTAACGGTTAACGCGTTGCGCTACGAACCTGGTGACCCGGGTTCGATTCCCGCTCACGGCCAACACCCTGTGGCGATTATTTGAACCGGTCCTCCCCTAGGTCGACTCAGCCTCAATTGAGTACCTGGTGTGGTGTGTTAACATCACCACTGGAAAGACAAAGGCGGCCGGGCGTGGTGTTGGCCACCCACCCCCTCGTGTGCCGTGCTGGCCTTCATAGGTGCTTGCTAACAGCACTTGCCCCAACAGCCTGTTAAGGCCATACGGGGATGTCTTTGTATGAGTGTGGGGAAGTACGGCTGGTGCATCTGCCAGCGATCTCAGTCAGTCAACCCACAGTACCTGGATCTGTCCCGTGACCTCCTGCCAGTGAGCCTTCACTTGGCCAATTCTGCTCGAGAAATAAACTGAGGGTTTCCAAAGGAAGATTCACATCTCCGGTAGAAACCATCCAGGGTTGAGTCGCGGGGACTCACTGCACGCAGCGTGAGTCTCCCTTCTCTGATTCACACGTCGCTCGTATTTACACTCACGCCGATGGCCGGAGAGCCAGAGGACGTCCGGAGGAGAGCCAGAAAGTGGGAGAGACAGAGAGTGGGAGAGACAGAGAGTGGGAGAGCCAGAGAGTGGGAGAGCCAGAGAGTGGGAGAGACAGAGAGCCAGATAATAGGAGAGCAGGGGAGCCAGAGAGCCTGAGAGCACGAGATTGAAGAGCAGAAAAGACAGAGTGAGAGAACCAGAAAATCGGAGAACTGGAGACCCAGAAAGCCGGAGAGTCAGAGAGCCGGGCAGCGGGAACGCTGGAGAAGAGGGCCTTCCAACCTGCGTGGTGTCGACGGGCACGGGCGTGAAGGCGTCCTGCTTGAGCGAGAAGGTGGGCCCCAGCAGGTCGCGCACGCCGTCGTGGTCGTGCTTGTACTCCTTGATGGGCTCCACGCGCATGCGCTCCCGCGGCAGCAGCGCCTCGAAGCAGGGAGCGTAGCCCAGCGGCGGCAGGAAGCGGAAGTCGCCGTGACGGCCACCCAGGAGGAACCTCACCCTGCAAGGGGGGAGTTGGGGGGGGACACGCGTGTGAGTGTGTGCGCGCGCGTGGAGAGGCAATGTTCATCTTCACCATCTCATCGCAGTCATCGTCAAAGTCATCATCACAGTCATCGTCAACATATCATCATCGTCATCATCGTCGTCATCATCATGGATTGTAAAAATGACTGTGCGCGAGCACATGCAGTTAAACGCAAAATATTTGAGGGGTTCGGCCAAAGTTTGTGTTGTAAGGCCCTCCACCACCCGGCGTAGACAAACACTTAAAAACCGCTAAGCTGCAACCCAAAAATTTCGGCAGCCGAATCGACGGCGCGACATCATCGAACGGAAGGCGTAGAAAAAACCCGACCGTGCAAAAACCCCAACGCGCCAAACAAACTCCAATGCGCCAAAATCCCAACGTGCCAACCCCCTAACGAGCCAAAACCCCAATGCGCCAAAACCCCAACGTGCCAAAAAAAAGAAAAACCAATGCGCAAACAAAAACCGCTCACTTGATGCCAGCGGAGAAGCTGACGACGGGGAAGAAGAGCCCGTCCGTGTTGTAGTTCTCGAACATGCCCTGCACAGGGTGCCCGTTGATACGGAACGAGATGCTGGGGATGCTGAGGTCCAGGCAGCAGCTCACCACGTCATCCGCGCTCAGCAGGTGCTGGCCCGGCGAGCCCACGGGCTTGGCGATGCGACCTGTGGAAGCGCGGAAGGCCGTCGTGACTCTAAACTATTTTATTTTATTTGACCAGATAAGGGTCCTCCCACTGAAGCTTGTGTAACTCTTTTTTTTCAGAAGCGGCCTGGCTATCACAAACGATAGTCCAACAAAGTGGCTTATGATCGTGTGAAATCTATAGCAACCAGATATTCTAAATGCACATTTCTACAGACTCATAGAGACTCACAGAGACCCATGGAGATCCAGAGACCCACAGAGTCCCATACTCAGCGAGACCCATACTAAAATAATTATAGTTTTTTACTAGGCAAGGGCCCACTGAGCTACGTAGCTCAGAAGCGGCCTGGCGATCACAAACGATAGCCCAACGAAGTGGGTCATGATCGTCTAGAAATGTATAGCAGCCGAATACGCTAACCACACGTCGATTCTAAATGTGGAGGGGAAAATCGGAGGGGCCCAGAGAAAAATCCTCGCGACCAAAGGGGAGAGAGACCCCAGCAGAATCGCAGAGACCCCAGCGGATCGCAGAGACCGCCGTGGGAGTCACGGAGACCCCAGCAGAATTGCGAACACCCCAGCGGAATCATGGAGACCGCCGTGGTAATCGCGAACACCCCAGCGGATCGCAGAGACCGCCGCGGTTTTTATTCGCGGAGAGCCGACGGCGGCCCGCCGCCCGATTCCCAGCGGCTTTAACGCCCCGTCGTGCACGGCTCACCGGACCACAGGTGGAGGCCGTCGAAGGCGTACGAGTAGAGGTCGTCGCCCACGCCGTTGCCGCCCCAGCCCTCGCCGCCACCAGGGTACGGAGCATAGCCCTCCGTCGTGGCCCAGCCGACGCGCAGGTGCGTCGGCTCGTTGGTGACGAACGGCTCCACGTAGTCCACCACCATCTCGTAGTACCACTTCTTGTACTGCGACGTGCCCTCGCAGATGCCCAGGTAGATGTTGGGGCGCATGCTGAGCCCCGGTGGGGGAGGGGGTTAAGGGGGGAGTGTGGGACAGTTAAGTGGTGCTCGTGGTCGTTCGGCTCTTCAATGAAAGTTGGTCATCAAAAGTCGAATCTAATCAATCCTGAGCGTCGTTGCGGACAGCACGAGTAGCAGATCAATGAGCCGAGAATTCGCGCTCATTCCCATATTTGTCCCACCACGTAAAAAATACAAAATAATTAGGTTCAAGCAAGCCTGACTGTGCTGATGAGGCACTGAATGTCGGAACCGGTGCAGAGTTTGCTTGTGTTGAGAAGGGAAAAAAACCGCTGATGGGATGTGTAGATCTTTTTACAGTTGCATAGCGTGGTTGGCATAGGCCCTGGAGCAAGGGAATACATGTTGTCAGTCAGTGAATAAATGCATGTGGGTGAGTGCATTGATGAATGAGCTAATTAATGTGCGAGTGAATTCATGAGTGAGTGAGTGAGTGAATGAATGACTGGGTGAGTAAGTGAATGCACGAAGTGGGTGAGCGAGTGAAAGAGTGGGTGCAGGAGCGAATATAAATGAGTTTGCTGAGCGAGCGAATGAGTTCATGGGTGAGTGAACGAAGCAACTCGAGAGCGATTGCGAGTGACACCTGGTGACGTCGTTGACGAGCCGCGTCTGCAGCAGCAGGTCTCTGCCGGGGAGCAGGTTGTCGCAGATGAGGTTCTGATTTGCTCTCACGGCGACGCCGTTGCACACGCACAGCGAGTAGAGCACGTCCAGAATCTGCGCGCCACGCAAAACGCCGTGGTCAACCAGCCGGCGATATTTTGCTCGTCGTCAAGGCAACTACTCGACTTCCAGTCGCGTGTTTTCGGAAGGTCGCACTCATCGCGAATGAACCGCGATACCTTTGCTAAACCATCATCACGCGAACTCCGCTGATGCTCGCTTTTGGCTCATAACTTTCAGGTGTGCTCCTGCGGCCGTCTGGAACGCTCTTCTTTCCGATGTTAGGAAGCCATCGGAGCTATGAGCTTTTAAATCATCATCTAGATTGAAAACTCATTTCTTTAGAACTGTTTTTTTGTGTTTAGTTTGCAGTCCTTCCCCTCGCTACATCTCCATCTGTTGATTACATCTTTCTCATCTCACCGAATCTCTCCCTCTCTCTTCTGCATCTACCCTTCGCTCTCATCTCGCTACATCTCCTGTCTGTTGTCCACATCCTCTCTCATCTCACTCCATCTCTCCCCTTCTCTCTTCTGCATCTCCCGTAACTCTCACCTCTTCTCCATCTCATGTCTGTTGTCCACATCCTCTCTCATCTCACTACATCTCTGTCTCAGCTTAACATATCTCGGCTCCATCCTGCCCCCCCCCCCCAACTGTTTGCCACTGAGGGCCCCGCTGGTGTGGAGGGAAACCGCCGGTGCGGAGGTGCACACCTTGTGGTTGCGTCCGTGCTTGTCCAGCAGGGAGATGATGGAACGGATGTGTCCCTCCTTGATGATGTTCAGAGCCTCGGGGCTCTCCAGCAAGACACAGTGCAGCACCTCCAGGATACCTGCACACAGACAACGACGATCCCGCCCCCGCCCGGACAGCCTTCAACGGAAGGTTTGGCCAAACGATTTTAAGCGAGCACCTGCGTAGGCCGGCATGGTGTACGAGGAAGTAGTATGACAAGCATCAGGACCTACCGTTCACCCCGAATCCCTACCCTCTCCCCGAATCAACAGATGTTAAATCACCCCACCCAAGATCGCCCTACCCACTCAAAGACAAAGATTCCCCCGTGTAGCCTTTAACAGACTGTTGGGCAAGTGCTATTAGCGAGCACCTATGAAGGCCGACACATCATACTAGGGTTTGGGTGGCCAGCACCATGCCCGGCCGCTTTTGTTGCCCTAGTGGCGATGTTTACACACCACACCAGGTACGTATTTGCGGCTGAGTCGACCTCGGGGAGGCCCATGACCGGTTCAGATAATCGTCACCGGTGTTGGCCGTGAGCGGGAATCGAATTCGGCTCGCCGGGCTCGTAGCGCAGCGTGGCGCTAACCACGACACTAGAGGGCAACCAGCCCCAACAATTATAAACCCACAGTTCACGAAGGAAGTGGCCAGGTGGCTCGGAGGTTATTCCGCCGAGATACTGCGTTCGAATGCAGGCCATCCGTCAGTCCGCCCGTAACGTGGGGGCCACGATAACTCTCGTCGAGACGACGCAGCGCGAGTTCAACTTGAGTGTAAGGTCGCGTTGCTAATTAGCGACTTAGTTGGAAGGGATTGGTAGAACAAACAACCCGGAGCTAAAAGGATTGATTGCCCTTGGCGACCAATGCGATGACGTCACACGCTGCCACGGCGTCATTGTGAGAACATGCTCCGAGCAAAATCCCACAACGCCCAGTGGCCAGCAACAAACGGCACGGATACGAGGAGCGGACACGTCTGTTGAGCGGAGCGAGGTTGCAGGGCCTCGCTCGCTCAATGTCTCTCACATCCGTCGCTCGATTCACGTGAACGTGCTCATCAAACGCACCAGCTCTGTTTAAAGCTCGGCCCTTCAGTGGCGCTCCCCTTATCGGTGGCCGCTCGGCATCTTAACGGTGCCCCTCGGTTACCGCGGTCGGTAAAAGCGGCGTGCTGGGGCCGCCGACGCGGCAAGAGCGGACGGACGGAAACGCGGGCGTCGGGGCCAGCGGGTGAGGCCCCCCTCACCGGAAGATGCCTCCAGCCGGTCCAGCTTGCTGATGAGCCAGTCGAGGGAGTTGGAGAACTGCGCGCAGGTGCCGTGGTTGCCCCGGATGAGGGCAGCTGTGGGAACACGAAGTGGGGAGGGGGGGGTGCGGGCGGAAAAATGGTGATGGATTTCAACTCGATAAATTAATATTTGAAAGGGCAGAGAAGATGGAAAACGTCTCACGATGGGCCCCGTTACTCGCGTGAGTGGGCAGGTGAGGTGGAACATACCACCAACGTAACCCCCCGCCCCACCACCACCCTTCCTAAACTCAGCTTTACAAACGCTAATTCGTGCGCGTATCTTGAAACTGGCGTCAAAATCGTGCTGATCGTGGGTCTAAACTTTTAATTTTACCAGGTAAAGCCACACTGAGCTGTATAGCTAGTTTTCACAAACGACGTGGCCGCAAATGATCGCTCAACGAAGTCGAAATTTATAGCAGCCCAAATTACACTAAACGCATGATGTTGATTCTCAAAACCGGAGAAAATTCCACACGACCACGGAGGAAAACATGCAAACTCCAAATATACAGCAGGCGTCAGGGTCCGGATCAAACCCACGACCTCCTGCGTACCAGGCAAGATAGTTAACATCTCGCCACCATGCAAACTCCAAATATCCAGCAGGCGTCAGGGTCCGGATCAAACCCACGACCTCCTGCATACCAGGCGAGGTAGTTAACATCTCGCCACCTTGGTGGGTCGGGTTGGAGACCGATCGGCACTCACAGTCGTCCACTCCATCCCGAGGCCCCCGGCGGGCTCTGTGCCTACCCAGGTCTAGACGCCCATCTCGGGACTCCTTCGCTCAGCTAGCCTCCAGTTTCTGGTCACACCAAAGTTCAAATGCCTGACTGTTGAGAACAATAATAACCCCCCCCCCCCCCCCATCTCCCTCACCGTGTTCCCAATTTTCACTTCCCCCCTCTGTAGCCGACCGTTACCCCAATCAGGTAAGGGGCTGCGAGCCCGAATGGCCTGCACCGTTCCCTGACTATGAGGATACATCACAGCTGTTCCCTAATTGTGAGGGTTGCCGTTTGCATGGATGACCCTTTGTGGAATCAAACTATCGTAGTCGTCGTTGTTGTTGTTGTAATTGTTCCCTGGAGTTCTGCCGATGTTTGGCTGTCACTCAGCCTGGTTGGTGTCGCGTTTGCCTCCGTACACCATCTGTACAGGTTGCTTCAAAACATTTTAACACTTATATGGGACTATCGTTTTTAATAGTAAAAGAACGGATAAATACTGTAACATAATAACAAATGTATGTTAATCGCTTCAAAAAGTCAGAGTCTCCACTTGTTCGCCATCATTGCCAACGCATTGCCTGGAATCTTCTCCAGGTCGTCTCCAGGGCCCGGAGAAAGCACATTTATTGTGCTATTCTTAGAAGCGTTAAGGAATACATTTTAAGCACCCTGTAGAGTGTTCCTGTTGTGTCTCTACGTTGTGTCTCGCACCATCGTTGATGCTCTTTGCGACGTACAGAGCTTTGAGTTTCAATTCGCTACATGTGACGCTATATAAAATAAAAGTACTTTTATTATTATTATTGCAATGGTGGGCGAATTCTAGACTGGTGACGACGATGATACGCGGTGACGATATCACCCGCGATGCTCTCTGAGCTCGTCCGCCCTCTTTTGCCTGGACAATGCTTGGCCAAGGGACCACCTGTGCATGCCACAGGTGTTGTAGGCATGCCACAACCCCAAGACTACGAAAGGTGGGCCAGCGGAGGTGTTAGGGCAGCAAGAAAATCCACCGTGTGGCTCCGCGACTATGCCGCACGTCCCACACTTCCCACCCTCACCGATAGCCGCCAACCGGCGCGACTGAAGCGCGGTCAGAGATCCGATTAGAACCCTCCTGGCCCGCCACGGCATGGAGGGGTGGGTGCCCTCGTCCTGCCGGAACATTCCCACCGCGTTCCCCGTCACCGGCGCTGCCAACCGCTGCCGCCTGGGACGTGAACCACGGCGGTGGCGGAGGCGGCGTTGGTTTTAGCCGACTCTCTGCGCCGCGCACAAGGAAACCCGATGCCACGGGCACCTGCTCGGGTCGCCGGGAGAACGTGAGACCCGTCCACATTTAGAGGCCCCCTGGGAGGTGGGTGGTGGTGTGGTGGTGGTCGTGGTGTGGGGTGGGTGGGCGATGCGCGCCTGGTTAATGGTGCGCCCTTCTCCCCCGACGGCCCGGCCGAGGCTGAGTGAGCCACCACTAAAGCCATCTCCGCGTGGATCCCGTTTCCACCGCTAAATGGAGGCGATCAAAAAAGGTATCTCGAGCCAGGGTCGATACCCGAGAGGTCGCTCGCATGCAAGCCCGGGCCGCGCGCTTCACGCGCGCAGCCGGTGCGTGAGTGGGCTGAAGTAGTAACCGGTTGGCGAGTTGTTTACGTGGCAAACCTTGCTGGCTGTGTCGGGCTGTGGAGGGATTACGGCACAACATTTACGCTTGCGCGATCTAACCCAAAAAAAACTTTACTACGAACGATATTGGTCGCGAAAAGCCTGCCACGTGTTAAATGCGTGCAGATGTCTGCGCACGCGGCTGGTTGCGCAATCGGTTGCTTGCGACAGAGACGGACTCGACCGTCATGCGATCTGTCCGCTCAGTGATTTGTAGAAACTACGATTGCTTCGTAGAATCATGAAGTGGGGTGGGGGGGGTGTTCGGGGGGGCGGAGCTAACCAGGAATTGGGATGGGGCTTGCTGCAGAGGGAGTGGCCAGAGTCACGTCCTCATGTTAAGCTGCCCCTGGACCATTTTTTCCACTGGCAAATCCGAGCCAAGCCAGCGCAGAACCCTCTCAGCACAGGGGTCAATTTTCCGCCGATCATTTGCCATGCCGAGCTAAAACCTTGTCTCGCCATCACGCAAACTCTGGTCCATCCTCGCCAGCGGCGGCTTTTGGATCGCCATCGTACAAAGACGGCCGTCTGGAACGCTCTTCCCTCTGATACTGGAGGGATGTATCTTCAAATCTAGATTGAAAAAACTGCTGAAGTGTTTTTTTTTTCTTGCTGTGGTTGTCCCACCTGATGACGATTGCTTGTGTTGCAATCGAAACGTCGTGATCTATTTTTCTTCTACCTACGTGACATACCGAAAGAACCAAAGAGTATGGATTCCTGCAGTCACGAAAGCTTCAAATCAAGATTAATATGCTTACTTCATTCGTGACTTTCTTACACAAGTCCGAGACGCCCCGCGGCTTACCGAGCAGCTCGTACAGGGAGTTGAGGATTTCCTTCCACGAATCTCCCGCCTCCTCGCCCGCCGTCTCGGCAAAGTGTGCCGCGCTGTTGTAGAGGTTCAGGCGGTCGATGCACTCGAGCACCAGCGTGATCATGCCCTGTGACACGCGGACGCGCCACGCAACAACATTTATACACACGCACTCACACACACATATATATAATATCGGGAGAGAGGTGAGTACAGGTACAGCCCGGCAACAAACGGCTCTACCCGCATCGAACGAAGACGAGTCACTGCAATCGCGTGCTTTTCAGACGCTGCGGCCGTCTGGAACGCTCTTCCTTTCCGATATGGGGAAGCCACTGGAGCTGTCCACTTTTAAATCATCTCGATTGACAGCTCATTTCTTTAGAACTGCTTTTTGTCTTTAGTTTGCTGTCCTTCCCCTCACTACATCTCTGTCTGTTGTCCACATCCTCTCTCATCTCATTCCATCTCTCCCTCTCTCTTCTGCATCCCCCTTTGCTCTCATCTCGCTACATCTCCTGTCTGTTGTCTACATCGTCTCGAAATACATACACACACACACGTACGTACGTGGGTACATATCAAAGTTCAAAACGAGATGTTAAGAGCTCACGTGCTTCTTGAACTGGGGCAAAGGTCATGAAGTAACGTTTGAGAACAGGCACGACGGGAGGGAATTCCCCAAACCGAGCGGCTGCTATCGACTGCCAAAGGCAGCGGGGGAGGGGGGGGGCTCATAGAATGATCGAGGGCAGGGGGCGCGGTGGGCAAAATGGCGTGGCGCCATGCAGCGCGCCGCGTGGCTCGATGCCGCCCCCCCCCCCGCTCACCTCCTCCTGGAAGAGGTTCTGCCGATTCTTGAGCGAGCGCAGGTGGATCTGCTTCTCCTCGTGCTCCAGGCTGTCCGACGGTGGCTGGAAGTAGTCGATGAGGTCCTGGAGGCTCAGGCGGATGGCGACGAAGGGCAGCTCCACGCGCACCGGGCGGTTTTTGGCTCGCAGCGCGTCCAGCCCGCTGCGTCGTCGACGGTGTCGGTGGTGTCGATGGCGGTGTCAGCGGTGTCCAGGTATCGTGTGGCAGTGTCAGGGTGTCACGGTGTTATGGTGTAACGGTGTAACGGTGTAACGGTGTCATGATGTCGTGGTGTCACGGTGTCACAGTATCACGATGTCGCGGTGTTATGGTGTAACGGTGTAACGGTGTCATGATGTCCCGGTGTCACGGTGTCATGATGTCGTGGTATCACAGTGTCAAGGTGTCGTGGTGTCACGGTGTCACGGTGTCATGATACCACGGTGTCGCGTTGCCCGGGAGTCAAGCGTGCATCGACAGTGGACACGGGAGGATTAGCAAGGGGGAAAGGAAAGAAAAAACGGGTGCATGTCAGGATTGTGTTTATGTCTGTTGAACTTCTTCCGCCCCATACGTGTCCAACCGTGCTAATCGGAGGTGTGGGGAGAAGGACAACAAACTAAACACAAAAAGCAGTTCTAGAGAAATGAATTTTCAATCTTGATTATCATTTAAAAGTGTGCAGCTCCAGAGCGTTCCAGATGGCCGCAGAAGCGCGTCTGATTGCGTGCGACGCAGTGACCGTCCTTGTCCGATGGCCAGCCAAAACTGCAATTAAAGTCCCGCGCAAGCCACTTTGAGATCGCATGCACACTTTTCAAAATGCCCTCATTCCATCCTGACGGTCAGCGGCGAGCAACCCAGGACAATGCCAATGTCATTAGTTGGCACTTTAATTAAGTCGCCAACCCCACAGGAAGACCTGGTGGCGTCAATCTACCCCGAAAAGAGTGGTGCGCATTGCACCGCACGGCAGATGCGGCCTTATCCTACACCGATTGAAAAACAGGAATTTCCCCAAACTACAGGGACCAGTCTCAAACCGTGGGCCCCACCATAGCATGACCAAACGCTTCTGGGTTTTCTCATAAATTCCCATAAAATCAATGGGAAACCCCTTTTGACGCAATTTGGGCCGGTTTTCGATCATGGTTCCGAAGGGCAACAATGCACTTTTCGCCAAAGTTTTGTTCGTCCTGAAACGTGTTTGTGAAGGTCAGTGGTGGGCGAAATGTCGCACAGCCAGCGCCGAACAACACACGGTGGGGGCGCGACCCGAACTCGCGTCGTGCAGCGATACGGAATCAGAATCTGAATGCTTATTTTTACCGAAGGGATCCAATAAGCTGTGAAGCTCTTTTTCACAGACGTCCAATATTTTTTGCAGATGCCCAGCAGATGCTACGGTGCGACCCTCACTGGCCCGCTCGGCTGCCGTTACCTGTTGAAGCTGTTGAAGAGTGCGGTGGTGCTGCGGATGATTCGAGCCGTGCGCGAGTCTTCGGGCCGGGAGCGAGACAGCGTCAGCCCATCGTCCATGTGTCCCTCCTGGTGGACTATCGCCTGCCGTGTGGACGCGAGGAGCACAGAGGGGTCAACTCCACGTGGGGGTCGGCGTGACCTCACACTCAAACCACAGCGCGTCAACGTTGGGCGCCGCAGTGGCGAAATGTTCACTACCTCGCCCCGTGTGCAGGAGGTCGTGGGATTAGATTCCGACCCTGACGCCTGCTGCATATTTGGAGTCAGATTGTCTCTCTCCCTGTGGTTGTGTGGATTTTTCTCCGGGTCTGGTCCTCCAGTTTTTCCCTCCACGATTAGAATCAACGTGCGTTTAGAGCATTTGCCTGCTATAAATTTCCACAAGATGACAATCCGCTTCGGTGAGTGATCAATTGGGGGCCTGGCCGCTTCTGAAAAATAGCTACACAACTCATTGCACCTTAACTGGTGGTAAAATACAAAGTAAAAAAATAAAAATAAACTTTAGTTCACAATTTTACGTGACAGCTGCATTTCGTAGCCACGGCTCGCGGCGCGGTAAAACAACACACGAGTATACTCCCAAGCAGTATGCGGCAGTCAGCGTGGAGGGGTGGCACAGTGGTTAGCGAACTTTGCTACGAACCCGGCGGCCCGCGCAGGGGGCCACCACCTGCCCAGGTCCCGACGAGGACGGTCCGGGAATTTCCGTCTCTGTTCTCGTGGCAGGAATCGATTCAGGGGGTCCTTGTGCCGGGACCTCACGGCTGAACTTCGTTTGCAGGGTACTGCACGGTTCTGACGGGCTTGGAGGCTACTGAGAAATGCATGCGGATTTGGTCTGGACTGGAAAGGCGGAAAAACTCGAGACCTGAGTTTGATTCCTGGCCAAGGCTACCGTCGGTGGTGATTAACATTCGAACCGGTTCTGGGGCCTGTCCTCCTCTCCTCCTCCTCGCCAATGTGCACTGACCAGCATGGTGAAGTATGGTCAAATACACTCCTGTCACCGACGTTTGATTGATTGACCGTTGGATGGAATGTGTCATTTTAATTTAAACAACGGTGTATTTACATGCATGCAAAAACCAAACATCTAGTCCTCGCGTTTGGGCTGTGTTACGAGCGAACCGGTACCATTAGCGAGAGCCCATTAACACCGCACAATGCCACATTCATGGATTGGCGATGCTTTAGTCTCTCCTTAGCCAGTGTTCAGCATCGGAAAAAAAACATCCCACTGTGTCGTGTGCTCGCTTTATGCCGGCTCGACCCAAGAGGGGCACAAACCAGGTTCACATTTGCGAGTGGCGCTCGCATTCACATTCGAATATCACTCAAGGGACTTGCGCTTGGCACTCGGAGGCAGGCCGAGGGAATTGAACCCGTGCCAGGAATTGAACTCGCGTCGTTGGGATCCTAAGCCAGCGGCCTACAAAATCGTAAATGACGTCTACGCGTTCGAAGAGTAACTCGTGGCCGATGACTCATCGCCCGGAATGTGCCTGATGTCATCATATCTCAGAAGCTAAGCTGGTTTCGGCCTGGATAGCTATTGGTCGGGCAACCGCCATACACCAACAGGTGCTATAGGCTGCTGCTGCTATGGGGCTCCGTTGTCATCAGAGGGCAGTGCAGAACGATCCATTGTTGCACTGAATTGAGAACTCAAAACATAAGCACAGTGTCTTCTTCTACTTGCGAACGAGTTAGGTTCCAGAGGTCTGTTCATCAGTCGATTTGTTCCGCAGTTCAACTCTACTCCTGTCGATTCCAAACGTGTTGTACGGCATCTACACTAAACACGGGGAATGGCTTTAAAAGTTGTATAATCTTCTGTAGACATAAATGCCGCTGGTGTCTTCATGTTCTGCAGATGTATATGCCACTGTCGCCATCTATTGCACGGCGGTTGAAATTACGACTCTCGGTCGAAACAGGCAACCGAACATACGGGCAGGTTTTTTCGTTTCTCTGAAAGTTCGTAAATCGAACGTTCGTAAGTAGAGGAGTCTCTACACTGTAATTACACCTGCAATCTTTAAAAAGAGTCCTAAATTTATTTTGAAACATAATCCACTGCACGCATTCAAGTTACCATAAGTCAGTTCGAAAAATTGTTGACAGAAATGTAATAACCCTATGCGATTTGCTAAAATATATGCATATTAATACCCCGTGTGTCCTGACATTTGGGCCACCATGTGTATTCCTCAGGCACCGAACTGAGAAAGCAAAATCGGCCAAAGCGGCGGCTTTCTCTTCCGTGGAAGGAGCGCCGCGGTTTCCTCCTCGGCGATCGGCGGCGACTTGTCCCGGTCGGTCGGCACGACTGCGGGCGGGCCAGCCGTAGCATCCGTTACACATCCCGCTAAAAATAAGCGTCTCCCCAACGGCGTTGCAAACGAAAATAAAAGTGTCAACCGCGCACCCTCGCAAGCCACTTCAAAGTGCAGCCGTAAGTGCGTCCGCGTGACTATATACGGAGGGGGAGCCGGTGCGGGGTGGGGAGGGGAGGGGGGAGGCGCGTACGAGCGTCACTGCACACGAGTGGCGGTGTCGTCGGTTGGGAGCCACGACCGTGGGACACGTGGCGGTGTTGTTAGCCGGGAGCCGCGAACGTGCGACGAGTGGCGGTGTCGTCAGCCCGGGGTCGCCCGCGCGTCTGCGATTCGCCGACCCTCGCGCGGAGCGAGCGAGCGAGTTGGTGGCAAAAGTCGCTGGCAACCTGATCTCAAGACGGTTGCTCGCCACTGGCCGTACAAAAGCGACTGAAGCACCACCAGAGTGCTCAACGCGCTCAGGCCTGGCCCACAGCGATTGGGGATGTTTCGGGATCCCCTATAAGACGGGAAACATCCGGTGACGTTCACTGCGACGTTTCGTTGTTAATTTCAGTATTTCGTTCATTGGGCAGGCAGAGATGCATCAACTGTGCCACTACGTGTCAATCCAAGCAACATATCCGTCGCCTTAATAAATGTTTCTGGATAATATTTGTCCAGACTGTCCACGAGATTGATGGATATATAACGCAAGTGTGAAAAATCTGAATGGAATTTTGCTTTTCAATAAAATGTTAATCGCCGATTCCAGAATCCATTTGGCGGTGGCGACACGGCTAGGCAATCGTGCGTTCGCCGATGTTACGGAGGTTCGGGGGTTCGAATCCGATTTAGCTGCCCTGGATAATACTGCGGAGGCATTAATCGTAAAATGCTAGGTTCCATCTGCTGCACAGTGGACGTTAAATATCCTGCGGCGTCATTAAAAAACAAAACAGTAGGCCACTGTGTGCCGGCATTGTGCTCCAAATTTGATTAAACTTGAAAAATTACCCACAAATCACCCAATTGCAATCACACTTAGCCATCATTGCCTCCTCCTGCTGCGGCTAAAACTTGGCAAGACCCTCATTACAAGAGTCCTGAGACTCAGCGAGGGTTTCTTGGGTAAGCGAGCGTAACAAAAATAGATTTGAAGCTTTCGTGACTACAAGGATTCATACTCTTAGGTTTTTTCGGCAAAGTCACATAGGTAAAAATAAATAATAATAAATAAAAATAATAGAAATAATAATAGAAATAAAATTATAAACCACGACGTTTCGGAGGCAACACAAGTCTCCGTCATCAGGTGGGACCGTCACAGCTAGATTTATTTGATACAGTAAATTTAGCTGTGACGGTCCCACCTGATGACGGAGACTTGTGTTGCCTCTGAAAGTCGTGATTTATAATTTTATTTTTATCATCATTTCTATAATTTTTATTATTTATTTTTATCTACGTGACTTCACCGAAAAAAAACCTAAGAGTACGTAACAAAAATAACAATGAGCTGGCACCACTGAGATGCTGGTTCAGATTCTAGGCAGACACCTTCGGTTAAACTGGGTTATGAATTGCAGTGAGTTGATGGTGTCGGCCCAGTCCCCAATAACGGCACAAAAACACCATCACATCCGCACCTCCGACTAGCACGGTTCCCTACGTGCGGGGCGAAAGAACTTCAATGAACGTAGATCAGCGTCAAGGGCGGCAACTGCTTAACGGCGCGGTGCCGTGAGTTTGGGGGGCAGCAAGGGCAGAGGCGCAACAACATCAGCATCGACATCGGCAGCGGACTCCTCACGTTTCACTAACGGCAAGGAGATCCCCACCTACTATCAGGTACGGGTGGTGCGCGTGCCCCCACCCAAGGAGATCCCCACCTACTGTAAGGTATGAGCTGTGCCCGCTCGCCTGCCCGCCCCGTGTTCATGGGACGCGCTCGCAGTCGCGGAGACGGGCGCGACAGATCTGAGAGGCGGGAGCGACAGATCTGAGAGGCGGGCGCGCACCTTGCGGATGAGGATGCCCAGGCGGGCAGTCTTGGAGTCCGGAGCCTGGTACGTGAGCCACAGGCCGCTGTCCACGTGCTGCACGAAGCACACCGAGTCCCCGTACTTGATCTCCGGAGGCCCCATCCCATCGATCTCGCGCTTGGGCCCAGAGTCGAGCTTTTCCTGCATCGCCACAGCGCACGACCCATCGTTGGAGGCCACCGTTCACAGCTCAACAAGGGCCACGGGGGTCGTGACGGGCATCGCCAAGGGCGTCGCAACGTTTCTCAACCGTGGCCTGCTCCCCACGCATGCCTCTCAAGCCACGGAGTCGCTCCGCTCAAAGCAAACGATGGAACCATGGCGGAATTCTTCACCTGAATAACGCCGTGCATTTCCAGTGGTTGCTGTGCGCATTGACAACGGAAGTTAACTGCCACACTGCAGAGATCTTGGGGCCAAACACTCTCGAAAGCTCCCTCTGGCGGAGTCCCTTCCGCCAGCAGGAGCGTGAGCGAGCGATTGCATGGATGCGCCTTTACCTTGTTGACGCCGCGGTGTCTACCGTTTAACTGATCGTCAAAAAACAAAAAACTTTGTCGAGATTCTCATGCCACCCTCGTGTGCGGCGCTCCATTCAAACCGAGCTTGATTACATTGACGCTCGGGCACTTTTGTTTTTACACTTGCGGTGTGTGACAATGACGATGACTGACGATGAATGTCCGGGGTGGGGGGGGGGGTTGGGGGAGGTGGGTCGGGGGCACCTTGGAAATTCGGAAGCAGAACGCGGTGGACTTGACGTCGGACTTCTCGCGGTCCTGCAGGCACAGCGTCTTGTCCTCCGTGAGGCCCAGGTATTTCCCGGTCGTGATGTGCTTGAGCCGGAACGGCTGCCCCCAGCGCACGTGGTTTCCGCTCCAGCTACGGGGGGGGGGGGCGGAACGTTAAGCAGATTCGAATCTAGCAGGCCGCCCTGGTGAACGTCGCGCGGCCGACTGCTCAACGGGGACCGCACGCTCGCAGCGTCGCGCCCAACCATGGGACGACTGCGGACTGTGCTTGTGAAACGGCGCCTCAGTGCCAGCCTTGCGCTACAAGAATGGCATTAATACCACGTGGTGGTCAATTATGATTCGTTGTTAAGGCAAGAGGGTGGGCGGAGGATTGGAAAGCGTGTTGAGTGATTTCTAAATCCCGTGAGATCAGCTGGTTCCCTCCCGTCAGAATGAGCCCCTGTTTAACTCTGCATGATGACAATCACCCAAGGGAGTGTGCGGACTGACAAATAGACAAATTAAGATTGTCATCATCAGCCATGATCTATCCACTTCTGGAGGATGGTCTCTCTCTAAGCCGTCACCATCTATCAGGGTCTCGCAACGCAACAGTCAATTGAGCTCCCGCGCAGGACCGCAAATTCCCTCGCTTCATCTCCGCACCAGGCCACCCTCTCGGGCATCTTCTCTCCACCTTTGGCTGCCACTCGGCCATTAGTCTCGACCGCCAGCCATCAATCCCTTCTAGCAACACCTCCCGCACGGGCCCGGATTACTTATCAATCACAGCCAACATGGGTGCGTTTCTCCTCTCTGCCACCGAATCTCTTTTTTCCCTACGGCTGGCTGGTGCAGACGCAGACACGAAAACCGCATTCTCACATGCAGGTGGTTCAAGGCAAGATAAGCGCGTCAGCAGGAGCAAGCGGAGTGCATCGTCGTGATGCCTCCTGAGTATTTGTGGATCGGGGGCGTTGCATCGTTTACACGTCGTCACGGTCTGTTCTGGATGACCACGGTCGCACACCACTGGAGAGTATCCGACCGCGGTCATCCAGAACGCATGACCAAGTTCGCGTGCCGACGTGCGTGCTGACGCGCGGTCACCTGACTCGCAGAGTCTCCAAGCGCCACAGGGAGCGGGCGTGAGAGCACACGGCGCCGGCTTCGTAGTGCACCGACCTGCACGCACGCGCCGGCCGGCACAAGGCAACAGGGTCAACGGCACGCCGCATGCCGTCACTCCACCGCCCACCAACTCACTCCTCGCCGACTCACTGACTCACTCCTTACTGATTCACTCCTTACTGACTCACTCCTTACTGATTCACTCCACCGCCCACCAACTCACTCCTCGCCGACTCACTGCTCACACCTTACTGATTCACTCCTTACTGATTCACTCGATCCTGACTCACTCCTCACCGACTCACCCCATAAACCTACTGGCTCACTCCTCACTGACCGACTTCTCACTGACTCACTCCAGCACTCACTGACTCACTCCTTACTGACTCACTGCTAACTGACTCACTCGTTCCTGACTCACTCCTCACCGACTCACTCCATCAACCTACTGACTCACTCCTCACCGACCGACTTCTTACTGACTCACTCCAGCACTCACTGACTCACTCTTTACTGACTCACTCCTTACTGACTCACTCCTTACTGACTCACTCCTTACTGACTCACTCCTTACTGACTCACTCCACCGCCCACCGGATCACTCCTCGCCGACTCACTGACTCACTCCTTACTGACTCACTCGTTCCTGACTCACTCCTCACCGACTCACTCCATGAACCTACTGGCTCACTCCTCACCGACCGACTTCTTACTGACTCACTCCAGCACTCACTGACTCACTGCTTACTCGCTCACTCCTGACTCACACTGTAGGCCACTGCACTTTCTCTTCCCGCTCCTTCCCAAACACCGCTCGACTTGGGAATTTCCTCTCCCATCGCCTCCTTTCCCAAGTTCTAATAAGTTCGCTCAATTCATCATCTGTTCCAACTCTTACAGTGCTGTTTGTTACTGACTGCTTGGTGCTTGCGACCTCTGAGCCATGCAGACCAGCAGTGCGGAGGCGGCGGCAAGGAGCTCTGGGCCCCATCTCATCAGCAGAACGCGCTAAAGCGGAGTGTGGAATAATCTCCATCTGTTCCACCTGTATGGGATCGAGCTTTGCCCCGTCGCACGTGCGGGTTTTCCCCGTAGTCCTTCTGTCTCCTCCCACGTGTATAAACATTCAGTAATTGGCCCGAAAACATCTGAACACATAGAGGACCGCAGAGCTTGAGAGAGTTTACAGCGACGGCCCACAGCCTGCCCGTCCATGCTTCCTCGCGCTCCTCGGGAGTGGTACTCTCTCTCTCTCTCTCCCTTCAAGAGCGAGCGAAGACCCGGGTGGCCGCCGCGTGACACGTTGGAATAGCGGATCCACATTCGCTCGCTCGGGCAGCGTATCTGTTGGAACCGCGGTTCCGCATTCGCTCGCTCGGGGAACGTATTTCCGGGGCCAACGTGCAGTCCCAAACCTTCGCTGCTCCTCGGGGAGGTCGGCGGACGGGACGGTGAGGCACTCGTCCATGTGACCGTGGAAGAGGCGCAAGACGTCCCCGCCAATCAAAAAGCCTGCAGCAGAGCAGCGGCGGTCAGCCAATCGCGGGGCCTCGTCTTAACAAGCATCCAGTCGTCTGACCAATCGGGACTGTCGATAAGCTCATACAGATTCGTATCGTACTACGTACTGTGCGAAAGAAGTTCAACATACGAATATATTTACGAGAGCATCCGGCGACTGAGTAGCAGTTGGTTAACAGGACGACTGGCTGTGCTTATGAGACACAACAAGTCAAAAGTGGTGCAGAAATTTTGGCTTAAAACTTTCGTGACTGCAGGAATTCATATTCTGGGTTCTTTCGTTGAAGTCACGCCTGAGGAAGACCGATTGTGTTGCGATCGAAACGTCGTGGGTTTTTTTGCTTTTATAATTTTCAATTTTTTTTTCATTATAAAAATTTTCATTTTATTTGATACTTTTTATTTTCTATCTACGTGACTTTACCGAAAGAACCAAGAATATGGTACAGAAATGTTCCTACTTGCACCAACACTGCCGGGAAACATCGGTTCCACAATCCCAAAGGCCAATGGACTAAAAATATTATGACCAAAAAAATGTTAATACATTTTACATGATTAAATTATCCCTCGTCTCTCCATTGTATGCTTGTTATTACACGCAACCCACTATGAACGTGCCCAACGTATTTTCCCAGAAAATGTTGGCGACTCATATTTGAGTTAAAAAAGTAATTGGGAAGCCCATCCATCCAGCAGTGGCTTGCTCATGGCTGACAACAATGACAATTATGGAATCAAACCCAGGATCTCGGCCGTGATTGTTTAATGCCGAGCCACCTTCCACAGCACACGATGTTGTTTTATAATTATCTATATTATTGTTATCATCATTATTGCTGAAAGGGTTTTTCCCCTTTTTTTCTGGCAACAAAACTGACACCTTTTGCAAGGAATCATGCTTACATTAACCACAATACTTGCAGTCAAATGCAAACAAAAAACAATACTCTGATCATTTATGCATTGTCTTTGAAACTGATTGGTCCACACCAGAGACAGCTTTCTTTAGAGCCTAGTCTCATATGGTGTTCGACCAGATGACGCTCTAAAGAAAGCTGTCTCTGGTGTGGACCAATCAGTTTCAAAGACAATGCATAAATGATCAGAGTATTGTTTTTGTTTGCATTTGACTGCAAGTATTGTGGTTAATGTAAGCATGATTCCTTGAAAAAGGTGTCAGTTTTGTTGCCAGAAATAAGGGGAAAAACCCTATTAGTAAATGTTGGTACTGGCAAACGAGGTCCCATGATCATTATTGCTGTTGAAATTCAAATATATTTCATTTTGGTTTTTTTTACCCGCCACCGCAAACGCGCCACCCACCCCCTCGGCTACCGAGCCGTCTCCGGCACTCACCCTGCGCGATCTCGCTGCCGGACGACGTCGGAGCGACATTCCAGAGCGTTTGTTGAAACGACGCGTCCACGTTGAGGCCTCCCGTGGCGTAGGAGAGGTGCTGCCGCGCAGAGACACAGAGCAGAGCCGGTCACGCGGCGCCGGCAACGCGAGCCCCACGGCGCCCGCTACCCGTGCCGCTCACACCGCAGACGAAGCGTCGCCCACATTTGCCCTCCACAGAGGCCACCGAGTGGCTGAATAAACTTATTTTTTTCCCCAGGTAAGGCCTCACTGAGCTATATAGCTCTTTTTCAGAGATTGACCTGGCCAAGCTCACAAATTATAAGCCCAAGGAATTGGCTTATGATCGTGTGGAAATTTAGAGCAGTCAAATACTCTAAACCAGCGGTCCCCAACCTTTTTGGCACCAGGGACCGGTTTCGTGGAAGACAATTTTTTCACGGACCGGGGGGGGGGGGGGGTTCATCATTGGGTCTTTCCCCCTTTTCAAAGAAGCACTCCAGCCACGTTTGTTGTTTACTTATTTTGGCTAGGGGTTAGAGCTTGTGGGGTTAGCTACATGGTGACTGAGACAAGTGCGCAGTGCGGGAAAGAGATGCGGATGGAAGTGGTGAATAATAAAACAATGGGGACGGGCCACGCGTGGTCTCACCGCTCTTACCTCCTGCTGCTATGCGGCCCGGTTCCTAACAGGCCACGGACCGGTAGCGGTCTGTGGCCCGGTGGTTGGGTGGGGCTGGGTGGGGGGTGGGAGGGGTGGAGCTGGGTGGGGAGGGGCTGGTCACCCCGTGGTGCCCTTATAAAACTCAACGTTTAACCTACTCACACCGGCTTGTGCCCACCCTCACATTCGGGCATATTTGCGGAATACACCACGCCGCCGTTGACCCTGGCCATTGACCGAGCAACCCAACGTTCCTACCAGCTCCCTCCAAAGGAATGTGTTTTCACAGATGTCCAGTAGGGGCGGGTCAGAACGTTACAACAACAAACGATACAAAAACACGATAGGAGTGCAAAGTGTAAGCAAATTAAAAAAAGTTTACAAATAAAACTAAAGATTTTATTGTACCGGGTAAAGCCCACTGAGATATTACTTTTTTTTCAGAAGAGACCTCGCAACAAATGATGGCTCAACGAAATGGCTTCTTCACGTGGCCATTTTCAGCAGCCAAATCATCTCCACAACTTAAAGGCGTGTTTCTAATCCAAGCGACGTACTCATGGGCTGATCACAACCATCTGACTGTCTGGTCGCTGACCTACGGGGTGCCCGACATTGAGAGTGTGTGCAGCCGTGAAAGGACAAGAGACAGGAGAGGGCCCCAGGATGGAACGCGACAGAGATGGGGGCGAGGATGGCGGCCGTCCCCGGGGGAGAGACGCGACGAGACGCGACCGCGACGGGCCGTCTCACCAGGTAGCGCTCCGACGAGACGCTGACCAGGATGAGGTCGTCTCCCACCCGGACCTTCTCTCCCTCCGAGCGCTGCTTGGACGCCGGGTGAATTGTCCACCAGCACGACTCGCCTGCGCAGGGGAGGGACCACGTCGACAACCAACTCAATCACGTGGCACGGCTCCCGATTTGCGCTGGGCCACGGCGCGCACAAGGACGCGTGCGTCTCTGGGTGTCCGTGGCAGGAATCGAACTATCGATCAATGCCGAGCTCGTCAGGGAGCATAAGCCATCGTCGCGCAAAATCTGGTCATCCTCGTAGCTGTAGCAGCAGCGGCGGCGGCGATGGTGGCTTTCGGCCGTGTGTGTTGTACTAGTAACGAATTGGCCACGTTGTTTACATGACAAACCTCACTAATTGGCTGTGTCGGGTGGTGGTGGGTTTGACAACACATATATATTTACACGATCTAACCCAAGAAAACTCTATTATGGATAAATGGAAAACTACATGATATAATTTATATTTTTTTTGGTAAAGTGATTTACAAAAATAAATCAATAAAATCTGCCCTAGCGTTAAATTCCCGACAACATGAATTTCCTTCCACGGAAGCAATGGCGGGGGGGGGGGGGACACGGTCGCACGCACCTGACGCGTCTTGCTGGAGCCCGACGTCGAACGCGAGTTTGTCTGTCGAAGACCTCGACGTCGACAGGCAGCTCAAGTACTGCAAGGTCAAAACACGCACACACACACAAAGACAAAGGTGCCCCCCCCGTATAGCCTTAACGGACTGTCAGGGCAAGTGCCGTTAGCGAGCAGCAGCCATGAAGGCCCGAACGGCACACGAGGGGGTGGGTGGCCAGCGGCACCGGGCCCAGCCGCCTTTGTCTCTCCGGTGGCGTTGTTTACAAACCGCAACAGGTACTCATTTAAGGCTGAGTTGACCTAGGGGAGGAGGCCCAGGACCGGTTCAGATAATCGTCACCGGCGTTGGCCGCGAGTGGAAATCGAAATTGGGTCGCCAGGTTCGTAGCGCAGCGCGCTAACCGCTACACTACCGCTACCCACACGCACACACAGACACACAAAACCACACGGACCCCCCCCCCCCTCCCCCATGTAGCCAGCACGGCTCAAGTGGGGATGGTGTGGCCACACCACGCTAGCTACTCATCTGAGGCTAACTTCGACACAGGGGAGGCACACAACACTGGTTCTGATATCACCTGCCCATGGTAGCCACAGCTGCGAATTGAACTCAGGTGGCAGGATTCGTAGTGCAGGGCGCTACTCCACACAGACAACAGCAGCAGCAGCAGCAGCCGCCATTCGCCACCATGTGGCGGTGACGTCACCGCAGCGCTGGTGCCAGGCTAGGTGCACTTTGAGACTGTCCCGTGAAGTGTGAAAGTCTCGTCGCTGGCATGAGGCCGCGGCAAGACAGAGTCAGGTGTTACGGGGTTAACCGACTGGGATGACGGGCAGATGCACCACCCGTACTCCCCACCGCACCAACTCGCTGCGCGCACACGTAATGCAACACACGCAGAGGTGGGTCATTGGAATTCCGTTGGGTGACAGGAAGAGGAACGCGTGGATCAGGGATCGCATGCGAATCGAAGACACCGAGCAGCTGGGGAAGTAAGTGGGGCTTGGGTAAGACGTGCCACGACTGGAGATGATTGACGGCCGGTGGACGAGACTGGTGACAGAACGGCAGCAAAAAGGAGGGAAGAGGGCCCACCGCGCGACCAACGCGGGGTGGAGCGGGAGAAGGATTGCGGCATCGCAGGATTGCGAGCGATTTCAAAGTGCCCGGGGGGGAGCCGGGTTATTTCTTCTCGTTCCAAATGTGAACCCAGCGATCGCCTCCCACCCCCTCACCCCCCTCCTGCCCCCCTTTGTCCCAACTTCCCATGGGGGGGGGGGAAGAGGGGATCACCCCCATCGGCCACCCCCACGCCCCACACCTCCTGTGCCCCCTCCACACACATCCACCAGTGGTGCTTCGAGAGAGAGAGAACGGAACCCACCATCCCGCTGTAGGAGTGCCGCAGGAGGATCGCGTGTCCGTACAGCAGCGTCCTGTGTCCACCTCCCTGTGCCGTCTGTGCTCGCCCCACACACACAGAGGCACTCGTCAGCGCGGGGAGCGTGGCGGGATCGTGTGGGGGTCGGGGTAGGGGTGGGTTACGGCCGGTGATGAACCTTCCCGACGCACCTCCGCGTCTTGCCTCCACGCATCCCACCTGTGCATCGACTCGACCTCGCGAGCCGACGGCGGTCGACCTCCTGCTTGGACGCGGCGTGGAGGTCGTCACATTGCGGGTCGCGCGAGGACGTCGATAGTCGCGTCCTCAAAATAACCGGCTGACGGTCGAGACCGTTTAAGCCCAACAAACGTGAACACAACCCACCCCCCAACCCCCCCCCCCCCCCCCCCACGTTATATTCCACTGAAGGTTGAACGGTGGGCCTCGTGCCTACAGGTCAATGTGATTCAATGTTGATTTGAAGCTTTCGTGACTGCAGGAATCCATACTCGTTGGTTCTTTCAAGTGATGACGGACGCTTGTGTTGCGCCCGAAACGTCGTGATCTATTTCATTTTATACCTACGTGACTTTACCGAAAGAACCAAAGAGTATCGATGTATCTTCTTGGTTCTTTCGGTAAAGTCACGTAGAAGGGAAATAATAAAATAATAAAAATAAAATATTATAAAATAATTCTCACAACGTTTCGGCCACAACGCAAGCAGCCGTTCTCAGGTGAAGAACAGGTCTGTCGGGAAGACAGCGTCTGAATTATTTAATTATGCTTTCTTTTTATTATTTTATTATTTCCCTTCTACGTGACTTTACCGAAAGAACCAAGAAGATGAATCCCTGCAGTCACGAAAGCTTTAAATCGAAGAGTATCGATGTAGTTCGTTACTCGTGTTTACTTTCGCGCACGTTGCAATAAAGCGCACGAGTCGATGCACTTAGCAACAAGTCAACGTTGATAATTGTTTTTTTTTACCCTTTTATCTGGCAACAAAACTGACGCCTTTTTTACGAGGAGTCATGTTTGCATAGACCACAATACCTGCAGTCATAATGCAAACAAAAAACATAACTCTGATAATGTATGCACTGTCCTTGAAGTTGATTGGTCCACACCCGAGACAGCTTTCCTTAGAGCCTAGTCTCACATGGGTTGGACCAGATGACGCCAAAAGGCGCACAACTCAAAGATAATGCACCATCAGAGTATGATAGCTCGGAGTAAGCATTTACACCATTGGTACCTCATTTGCCAGTAAAAAATATGATAATTGTTTTTTTACTGGCAAATGAGGTACCAATGAAGTCAACGTTGATTTTAGAGCCCCGAAAAGATTTGAACTTCAAAAAAGTATTTTTTTCTTAAATGTTCTCCATTTTTCTCCCCAAATTTCAGGATTATTCCCGAACATCCCAGTTTATGTGGGACACAATAAAATCTGGCCACGCTATTTTGAGGACAAAGCATATTTTCTATTTGTTAAAATAAATTGTCCTTAACCAACCTCCTCCCCCACGCCCCCCCCCCCCCCCAAATTATTTCCAACTGCCGTGGTCGGCGTCACGCGCCACGAGACGAAGGGTCCAATCAGAATGCTCGCTGAGCGGCGAATTCCTCCCCCCCTCCCCCACCACTCTGTGTGTTGAAGAGAGGCCCGCAGAAGGTGATACCACAGAACCACTTCTGAGATCCCTTCGAGTGACCTCTTATCCACATCGGTGGGAGGGGAGGGGGGGGGAGCTGAATTATTTTTTTTATCAAAAATTCCAATCTCACTATTTTATATTTTTAGTTATTTGAGATTAAATTTAACCAAGTCGAGGGAACGCATTAAATATATATTTTTTATACGCAGTCATTGGTGACCAGGCCGAGTCCATACACTCAAGCTATCAAATTTGGTTTAGTCACATGCTTGGGCAGATGAACCCTGGAATCGAACCCAGGTTCTCAGCCGTACCGGCTTAATGCCGAGCCACCTTGCACAGCGCACGATAATTTGTCATTATTGCTATCCATATTATTGTTATCATCGTCGTTGCTGTTTAACTTTTAATATAAATTTTATTAAGTCATTATTATATTTTTTTGTTAGCATTTAATGAGCCAAGCATACATACAGCATTTGCACAATTATACAGTATAGCATTTATATATTTTACAAGCTATAACACGTACACGCAAGACAGACACGAATGGCAGTCAAAAAGGCTTTTACAAAACTCCCAATTGTGTTCAAATTGAAAAGCAACGGCTCACAATTTAAGCGACTTCTTAACGCCATTTCATTAAAACATCACCACCGATCGTTTATTACCGGCGCCTCCGAAGCACCACATCTCAAGGCATTGCCGCCAGCAGGCAACAACGACCTCCTCCGTTAAGAATAACTTCAAAGGGATCTTCAATGCCCACCGCGAAGCAGACGGGCGTGTAGCGCTCACGGTTAATGCAGCCGCGGTGTTAACCAGGGCGGGCCGCTGGGTTCAAACCATGTGACCTCGGCAACAAGCGGGCGAACGCCGGGTCCGTCTTTTTGCCGTCATAATCCACTCACGGCTTTGCTACGCGGTTACGTGGACAAGATGAGAATATCAAAATGTAGTGTCTGGTAGAAAAGAAAAAAACACTTTTTGACTGCCTCTCATGTATTCACGTACAGCGTAAATTTGCAAATATACATTTTAGCTGCACAGTCAACTCTCGAATATCCGGAGCACAGAGGGGAGTGGGGGGACAGGAGAGGTGGCCTGAGGTGTCCATGTAGTCGGCATGTTGTATTTTTAGCCGCAGCCCAAGCCTTGTTGACGACAACCTGCGGATTCGTGGTCAAGTCTTACTAGGCCCGTGCCCTAAACCTATTTCCTAATTTGTATTTGATTTATTTTACCACTCAGCTGTGTCGCCCTTTTTAAGAAGCGACCTGGCTATCACAAATGATAGCTCAACGAAATCGGTGGCTTATCGCGTGGGATTTGATTGCAGCCAAAATGCTCTGAACGCGCGTCGATTCTAAATGAGGAGGGAAAAACCGGAGGGACCTGGAGAAAATTCCACGCGGCCACAGCGAGAGCACGCAAACTCCAGGCGTCAGGGTCAGGATCGAACCCAAGACCTCCTGTATACCAGGCGAGGTAATTAACATCTTGCCACGGCCTAGCTCAGCCTCAGCCTCGTGGTTCCATTTCAACGCTAACCTCGGAATATTTATTTGAAAGAGTATTTATTTACACCGGACGCTTTCGAGCTTTTTTGCTTTGTTTGGGGGCTTGCGCACAGATGTCCGGCGGGACGAGGTCCGTGGAATTGCGGTCGGTTTGCTCGCAGACAGCGCCGTGCGGCAGAGATCGCAAACGGGTTTTGATTCCTTACCCGTACCCGGCCGCACCAGGGTCGCAAATGGGTTCCCGTACCCGGCCGGGTACGGGTACTCGTTCCCTACCCGTACCCTACCCGAAATGAGTGACAAACGGTTACTCACCAGTGACTCACGGCCTACCCGTACCCGTACCCGGCCGCACCAGGGTCGCAAACGGGTACCCGTACCCGGCCGGGTACGGGTAGCCGGGTATCAGGTAGGGTACGGGTATCGGGTACCCGGATGCGACCTCTGCCGTGCGGCCAAGTGGTTAGCCGTCACCGACCCCCCCCCCCCCCCACACCGCGGGACGGTGCAGCGAACAATTCAAACGGCACGCGCGGGGGGTGCATCGCCGTTGTCGGGTTTGTTGTTGTTGGGTTCTTCGCGAGCGAACGGTTAAAATCGAGCGGACCTGGAACCGATAATTACATGCCCGCGGATAATCGAGAGCCGACTGCGTTTTAACGCAACGCGTCCACGGTGCACATTGGGCAAGCGTCGACATTCACGTTTCTACTGCCGTGAATACGAAGCGTGCTCCGAGAAACTCCGCCAAGTGGTGCTCTTGTTCCGTATATTTGCTTCAAATAAATACGTACAAAGAATAGTTATACTCGTTAAATCTGTACGAAACGTTAAATGTGAAGGAGAGCTGTTATATTTAAACGGAGAAACCAGGGCCTTCAATCCAGCCACGGATTGGCAAAGGGGCTGTAAATTGTTGTAATGTGTATGTATATATACACACATCATGTACCTATATATGTTGATGCTACAACACGTTGGCCCGTGAGACACCACTTGCCTGCTGTTAACAAACGGGTTCACAGCCGTCGGTTGATTGCTTTGTATTTGAATAAACAAGTGCAAACTTACCTTGAGCAACATTTTCTACATCGGTTTGCAATGTTTAGCGTACACACACACACATATTTTTTTTTTGCGTTAAAACAGGAGAAGAAAAAAAACAAAAAACACATGTTAGCTCGGATTCCAGGAAGTGTTGTTAGTGAGTACACGAGGGGACATTTAATGACACTGAGAGGGAGGGGACGGAGGGGTCAACGTTGACACGGAAGGGTCAAATACATTTTTGAGGTTTGATTAGGAGTAACGGTCAAATTAGTTACAACACAGGTTATTAACAACGCAATTCAACAATCACCAGTTGCATCGTCAATACCAAGGTCATTAATGAACACTGTAACCAAAGCATACCAAGGTGAAATACACTTGTTAGAAGACACATTTGTGAACAGTTTCGGTCAGTAATACGACATATCCAAAACAAATCCATTCCTATTATTATAATCATGACTTTCATCATCAAATGTCTTCTCAATTCTATTTCTTTCGTGGCCAATTTCAACAAATTCCGTGTACAGCTTACTTCCTGTCCATCAGTGACGATGCTAACTTAACGTCTTACATTAACGTCGGGAACACGTAAATTTACGTTACTTAGTAACCAATTTGACGTTACATATATAGCATGTGCATAGATGAAATGACATGCGATGTGTGTGTATATGTAATGACATGGGTGGCTTTTGTAAAGCATATATTAAATGAACATTGTTGACATTTTTTTCCAAAGGGCATGAAGGCCAGATTATAAACTAATCTATGTTTTATTTGACCAGGTTAGGCCCACTGAACCGTGTAGCTCTTTCTCGGAAGCGACCTGGCCACAAATGAAAGCTCAAGGAAGTGGCTTATCATGGTGTGGAAATGTATATCAGACAAATGCTTTGAACGCACGTTCATTCGAAATGCAGAGGGGGGAAGAAAAAAAAAGGAGGACCCGGAGAAAAATCCACATGACCACGGGGAGAACATGCAAACTCCAAATATACAGGTGTCAGGGTCGGGATCGAACCCACGACCTCCTGTATACCAGGTGAGGTGGTGAATAGTAGTTAGAAGTTGTGTGCTAGACTTACAGTGGGTGTCCTGAACTGTGTGTGCACGCGGTGTGTGCGTCTGGTCTCTGTTTAAAGGCCCAGTGTACCTATGTGCACTCGTCTGTGTGTTCATTGCATTACCACATAATGCAATGTCTCTGAACATAGGCACATGATCTCTCCTTACAGTATATTTATATTATTATAATTAAGTTGATGCATACATCATTAAAACGCATTATTACTATTATTCATGTGACCAATACATTATTGCCTATATATTTTAATATTCGCAATGAAGATTGTTTATTTATCACCGTTTGTAGTCGACGGTTATCTTCTCAAACGTTGAATTGTGCCTGCGTTGGCTAGCTCTATCGTCTGCGGACATTAAGGACCCTACGCTGGAAACACAAAATCGGTCAACCGAAATCTGGGGGGCGAGTGCAAAGCAAACGCAGACCCAGACCACCCCCCCCCCCGACCCCCCCAATTTCAGCCTCCGCTAAACTTCGAGGAGAATCAAAAGGTAGGGGGCAACGGGTTTGTGATTTGGACGGAATGAATCAGAAGGTTTTTTTTTTCTGTTTTCATGATGGTGGGGGGTGGCTTGGTTGGTGGGTTGGTGGGTGGGTTGGTGGGTGGGGAGAGGAGGGGGAGGGTGGTTGGGAAGGAATCATTTGGAGAGAGAAATAAAATCCAAGCTGAAAGAAAAGGAAGGGGGACATGGTGGACGACGAGGACGACAGGCGACAGAGCGAACACGGAGGGGGGGAGGAGGGGGAATGCTGAGACGCGTGAGAGTTAGCCAGTCCAACACCGCCGTTAAACAGAGCAACTTTTAAATCGCCGTATGTTGTCGTGCCTCGACCCCCCGCCCTAGCCCCAAAACGCAGCGTGGCCGTGCGGAAATTCTCTCGGATTTCAGCAGAGAGCGATGGGTCGCGAGGCAAAATGCGGGAGCCGCATTTGACCCCGTTTTATTTTGTCACCTGAATTGTCTGTGGGTCGTTTGAATGTCAGTTGCCCTGTTTGACTTTGGGGTTTTTTGTTTGTGTTGTTGTCAATATAGTTGTAGTTGTTGGGAGGTTTTTTTTTTTTGGAGGGTTGGGGTGGGGAGGAATTCTTCACCTGTGCTGGTCAGACTCAATGAGTTAAATTGACAAACAGAACTTAAAGCCGCCATGCCCGATCTCAGCCAACCGTGTAAATTCAAACCTCGAGGTCAAATTACAATGTGCGCCGCTGCAGTGGCCACGGTATACACATGTTGGAAACCGTTGACATAATCCACGCGTACGCATGTTTTTTTTTAAACCCCAAACATTTAACGAATGCATAGATATGTCTTTTTCTAAATATATATATACGGCAAGTGACAAAATGCCACGGGCAAACATTGGTATAAATTTCCTCGTTCTTACACCGAAATTCACAGCTGTTAGTTGTTACTATTTCGGGTTGTTTTTTTAATCCGCAGAATAATCCCACGGGGGGGGGACGGGGGGGGGGGGGCTTGCGTGGGTCAATGGTCGAGTCGCCGGGCATGTCAGCTTTAAATTGCTCACGGACAAAGTGAGTAGGAGAGGGAGGCAAGAAGAGGACATAAAAACGAGTGAGACAACCAAGGAGACACCGTCACACGGGAGGGAGAGATGTTTAGAGTGACGGGGAAACTTAGGAAAAAAAACCTAAAAAAGGGAACATACCCATTTCTCCATGTCAACATTCTGTCATCGACAAATAAAACAAAAAAACACACACACAAGAAAACACAGAGCAAAACAAATCAGTTTCACGACAAAAAAATGGAGATTCAGTTGCGTTTTCTTAAGTTGCATAAGGATAACTTAGTGCATTCATGAGCTTCATTTGTTGCCTATGTCTAACGATCCGACCGTCGTTACGCGTTTGCTTGTGGTAAATGTATAATTTGTTTTCACGTCCGTAGACTCCAGTGAAAAGCATTGCGGTTGCAACGCTGGTATGCAGGTATACATCAAATGACGTTTCGATTCCCAGCCTTTGCCACTCAGCCTTCATGGATCTGTCTCTCTTGCTCTCTCTCTGTCTCTCTGATGCAGACACTAAACTAAAATATCTGAGATACATCATCTGTGGGCCAGAGCAGAATTCAGTACCAGAAGGGGTGGAAACGATTCCAGTTTCTGCATTTTCACTGATAAATGTGTATTAGGTGATCGCGTATTGCACTTATAAAATAATGTTATTGTATAATTACATTTTATTGCCGATTTAAAGATGATGGTATAACTCAAGTTTTGCCATCGCTGGTGGAACCAATGAGGACAACATTTTATTTGGACCCATGAACTACGAAGCTGAAATATCTACACAAGACGGTGGTTGATTCAATTCTCAAAACAAAGTTTAGTGAAAAAATAAATAATGAGTTTTCTTTCTTCGCACAATAATTTGGGTCCGAAAAATATAACCACAGATTATAAGCTAGTTTTTGTTGTTATAATAATGATAGTGAATACAATCAACGTGGTCTCCCACTCAATAAAGCAATTTGAATATTCCCACGTCATGTTTGCGGCCCCAAGCCAGCGAAGGAAATTCCACATTCACGATCTCGCTTCCCTTATCTCTCTCCTCCACACTACCCACTCACCCTCCCTCCCTCCCTCCGCTCCAGGTGGGATTTAATTCACGTCGCGATCTTCGATTTGGACGTAGCCGAGGTGACCCTTGCAACACAAAGATCCACGTTGGTGCGTTTTTGTTTTCTTTCTTTCTGGACCGTTGTCCCATCTTCCTTGCGAAGTAACGATTCGACTGGACTGGGTTTGGTTGATACGATTCTCAGAGGGGCTCACCACAAGTCCCAGGCGTCGTTACGTTGACGGCACGAACCCATCACACGAAAAAACGTGCGCGGGTCAATGACAGCTGGAACTATGGCAGCGTGGCTTCTACATCTTAGCAAGTGGGACTCAAATTCAAAGTTCACACCTTATGGACGAATAAGTAATAATAAACTCAACTGGCCCTAAAAGGCATATATATATTTACGTATGAAAGACGACGGGTTCGGGCAGTAGCTCTAGTTTTTATTACACGCTTTCATTTAACTCACTCTGTCTGTTGTGGTTGTCGTTGTTGTTGTATCCTCAAATCTTGTAACTTAATTTTAACCCACTTCCCAATGTGGTATCGTATTATCTGGCTGTATAGCAAATGAAAAAATACGATTACTTTACTACACAAGTTAAAAATATAAGTGCTTTAATATTTAAGTGTTTTAGGGCCCCTTTATAACATATGCTACAGGCCCCGCACCAGCTTAATCCGGCACTGGCACTCAGTTGAGGCCAAGTCGACCTAGGGGAGCCCCGGGGACCGGTTCAGATAACCATCACCGGTGTTTGCCGTGAGCGGGAATCGAACTCGGGTGGCCAGGTTCGTAGCGCAGCGTAGCGCTAACCGCTGCGCCACCGCTCCCCACCTATGGGACACACTCACACAGGGGGTGGCATCCACCACAGAATGCAAAACGCCGTCTGCAGCAACGTGGGTCTCGCGTACCTCGGAGGGCACGGATGGGCGCGAAGTTTAACCCCCTGGCAGTGTTGGCGGCAGGAGTGAGAGAACCCCAAGCGAAATAAAATTGGACCGTGTGATGGCTTAAGAGGGCTGCAGATTTAATGTTGAAAAATAAATAAATGAGGCAACATTAAATGTCAGCTGGAATTCAACAAGGGAATGGACATAACACGTGAATCTCTCTTGCACCTTGTCTGCATCTCTCTTCTCACTACAGCTCTGTCTACATTTCCTTACCTCGGCTCATCGATATACCTCGAGTCATCTGACGAAGATATTGCAAATTGAAAATGTGCGGCGCGATGATATTTTCTGCTTAGGGCCCCCAAATGTGCAAAACTGCAACCCCCGTGGATTACCTGTAGCAGCATCGTCACCCATCATCGCCGCGTCTCACCTCCACCTGCCGTGTATCCTGCACCCGTCTCGTGCACGATCATCCGGTGCACTCCGACGTCGTTTGTTATATATGTTTCACTATATAAATCCAGGGCACCTTGAATCTACTTGGAAACCTCTACGAGTTCGCTAAACACCTCGCTCCGCCAACGTTCACACGTGCAGCGTCTCCTTGAACGAACGCCGCCTAGCCTCGACCCTCACCACCACCTACCCCAATAGGAGGAGTGACCCACAAGCCGGTTGACGACTTTTGCCCAGCACGCGGTGGCCACTCACCCCTTCCATCTTGTCCTCGTTGCTGGCCAGCATCTCCTGCAGGGCTCGCACCGACAGAGACTGCTCCAGCACGAAGATGCAAATGGAGAGATCTGGAGGCACGTTCTGCAGGAACACGGTGGGGAGAGAGAGAGCGAGTGGGAGAACGCTTGCTTCACGCGAGGACGACGATGACACAGTTCAAGTTCAAGTTCATTTATTAGGTATAGCCCTGTGAGCCATTCGGCTCTTGAATCGGGTGCAACCGCAACAAACAAAAAACAAAAACATGAACAAAAAAACATCTTAAAGTGAATATGTGACTGAGTGCAAACAGAAAATCCAAGAAAAGACAGCAAAATATTGCAGAAAAAAACACCGTACACCAACGCTGTGTGCAAAAATCCCAGTGGGTGGTGGTGGGTGAGTGGTGGTGGGTGGGTGGTGTAGCGCCTGAACGTCGACTCACCCTGGAGTTGGTCGTAGACTCCAGGAAGCAGAGGCGGTTTCCGAAGCCCTCCGCCGCCAGACACACCTTGACGGCCTCCTTGAGCTTCGAGGCCGTGCATTGCAGCACCACCTCGTCATCCTGCGGGGTGGACGGAGGGGGCAGGGCGGTGAGAAACGTCGAGAGAACAAAACATCAACAAAATATGGTTTTGCGCTGGAAATGCATTTGACGCGACGGTCTCTGTAACGCGGTTGACGGTGGGCAGGTTCGACAAGAACGTCGGCATGGTAGGTCACACAAAGACACAGTACCCCGTGTAGCCTTAACAGACTGTTGGGGCAAGTGCTGCTCGCGAGTAGCGCCTATGAAGGCCGGCACGGCACACGAGGGGGTGGGTTGGCCAACACCACGCCTGATCGCCTTTGTCTCCCCAGTGAAGATGTTTACTCACCGCACCAGGTACTCATTTGAGGCTGAGTCGACCTAAGGGAGGCCCAGGACCGGTACAGAAGATCGCCACCGGTGTTGGCCATGAGCGGGAATCGAACCCGGGTCGCCGGGTGGGTTTAGCGCAGCGTAGCGCTGACCGCGACACCACCACTACCCGCTAACGCGCGCCAGTAAGTTGCCCTGAGGGGCCGTCCATAAATGACGTCACGCGATTTTGGACGATTTTTGACCTACCCCCCCCTTCGTCACACGGCGTCACAAAAAGTCAGACCCCCCCTCAAATATGACGTCACAAAGCTCTGCCCCCCCCCCCCCCAAACCATATTTCCATTTTGAAAATAAAACATGCTTCAAATCGCTTTAAACTATTGTCATAGTAGTGCGTATTTAATGTGGCGCTGCACTCTGATGTTGTAGGAGTGTTTTGGTTCTTTCGGTAAAGACTTACCGAAAGAACCAAGACGATGAATCCCTGCAGTCACGAAAGCTTTAAATCGAAATGTAGGAGTGTTGTTATAAACAATTAGTGTTGTTATAACAATTCTGTATTTATTTAAAGTTGCGCATTTTGATGTGACGTCACATTTCTCAACCCCCCCCCCCCCCCCGTCAGACATCGTCACAAATGTGTGACCCCCCCCCAGGTGGGTAACGTCATTTATGGACGGCCCCTTATTGCATGGGGGGCTCGCTGCTGCCCCGAACGAGTGGGGACCACGAGCGGGGTGCGTGGACTTTTATATGGGGAGGGGAAGGTGGGGGGGGGAAGAGGGATAGTTTCTTGACTCAAACCACACGTCTCTGTCCACCCAGCAGTACTAAACGGGTTTCCCGACAACGTCGCTGAAGTTGATCGGCAGGTTGCATGCGGTGAGCAGTGCCGGATTATATTATTCTAGTAACACAAGTAGCTACATAAGTAGATACGGGTCCCGCACGTTCAAGGGTCCCGCAATAAATGCTTTCATGCCATCAATTCCGGTTTAGTAATTCTGCACTTGCTCTGTTCCTATAGTACGAAACTGCCTTCAACTTTTACAAACGACTGGGCGTTTAAGCTTAGCGATTTGTCGTATTATCCGGCTGTACAGCAAATGAAAAAATACAATGACTTTACTGTGCAAGTTAAAAAAATAGTTTTTTAATATTTACGTGGTTTTTTTTGGGCCCCTACAGGCCCGGCACTAGCTTCATCCGGCACTGGTGGTGGAGCCATCATCATCATCACGATCCATGGGCAGATCGCCCCGTAGGTGTCCACTGCACATTTCGTCATTTGCTTCCACTTTTCTCTCTGTCTTGTGCCAATATGGCTCAAGTAGTGGCCGCGTCTTTCTGGTACCAATCTGCTGTGATGCCCTCGTCATCGTCAAGCCATTCTCTGTGAGGTCTTCCTCTCTTTCCAGTTCCTTCCATTCTTCTTGTGTGAACAACAACACTTTAAACTTTCCTGCCGTTGTCCATTCTACTTATGGCGTCCAGAGTGCCAGTTTCCTTCTGATCACTGCCTGCATCAGGTTGCGGCGGAGTGCGTACGTAATGTTCGGTACATTTAACTTATTTCGCACCGTACGTAGCCAACCGTGCTAATTGGAGGTGCGAGGGCGCCAGTGACTCCCACCTTGTCAAAGAAGCCTGGCCGGTTGGGAAGAGTAGGCCAAGCGAAGTGGTGTCAGCAAGCAATTGCAGGGCTGCATCTTTGCCTTTTTTTACGCAGCGTTCAATGGCGGCTCGTGACGTGTCCATCAGGTGGGGCTGTTGTGAGTGACCTCTGACCAGACGGTGGTCTAATTAAGGAAAACCTCGTGGTGCTATTGGCCTCCCCGTGAAAGTGATACAACTGTGTTGTCGACCAACGGGAGGCGTTTATAAACAATACGGAACAAAACAACAAGGCACTCAAATGCTGTCCCCATGACCCTCAAGTCCACACTACATAGCCCCTTTGACACTGGCAAAAGCCGTGAGATGCTGTATTTTCACAGTGCACCCTCGCGTTGTGATATCGCCTCTCATCACAGCCATGGCCGCCTTCTTCACCACCCTGAATGGATCTCAAACGGCGTGGCCAGAATGCTGGAAGCTGCTCATCGCAACGACTGAAGGGAAATCTCTCACTCGGACGCCTTCACAGCTGCCCCGAGACCTCCCCGAGGCACAAGTCAGCGATTTCGAATATGAACGACTTAAAATGTTATCTCCATTAGGCAATTCACGTTGAAAGAATCTTTTTTTTTTTTATACAACTTCTTCTTCTTTAGTGCTGCCTAACGGCGTGTGCGACTTCACGATGATATTGGTCCCGGTCTAGCACGGCGTGTAGAGTTTGTGCTGTTGTTAATTGTAGCCATGTTTTGATGTTACTGAGCCATGTCGTTTTTGGCCGTCCTGGTCGTTTTTTCCCTTCGATTTTTCATTCCAGGATTTGCTTTAATGGCTGGTATTTGCAATTTATAGAAAAGTTTTTTTTTATTGCTATAGAAAGAATTTCTCATCCCCAGCTGCTTGGCGGGGCGGCGCTCCCACGACCCAAGCGGACGAAGCGCGCGTCGCTTGAAGCTCACGACTGCAAGCCAACCCACGGGTGTGCAGCCTCCGTCAGGGGCCCTCCTCCAGAGACAAGAGGGGAGTGGGGGGGTGGGATCTCGCTTGCCCTCCACACCCTTGTTGTACCGTACTACGCTCTGAAGTTCTATGGCCTGCTCACAGCACCGCGGGCACACGCTCGCCGCTCAACTCCACAAAGGCAGTGGGGAAGGGGGGCGCAAGGTTACGGCGCATTTATTTATTTACTTGTTTATTCTGCGAAGGACGACGGATCGCGCCTATTTAGAGACGTTTTTTTTAATCCAGGAGGTATTCGGTTTGGCCGGCGATGTTTTGCCGGGCCGGTTGTTGCGCGTTGCGTTTAGAGTTTCCTCCGGCGTCTGAGCCAACGTTTCGGCGTTGCGAGCAGCAGCTCCCCCGACCACCACCTCCCCAACGCGCTCCGAGCAATAAAAAAAAACGTCGGCAATTTCGACGAGCTCCTTTGCCAAACTCGTCGGCGAGCGGCTCAAGGTCATTTTAAACTATGAGCGATTTTTTTTTTTTTTTGTTTATCATTTTAATCCAACCGAGCTTACGCACCTCTTTTTTCAGAAGCGACCTGGACCACCGCGAACGATCTCCGCTCGACGGAGCGGCCAAAATGCTCGAAACGCGTGACGTCGATTTCCAAATGCGGAGGGAAAAACCGGGAGGGCTCGGAGAAAAATCCACGCGACCGCAGGGAGAGAGAGACACGCAAACTCCAAATATACAGCGGCAGGCGTCAGGGGTCGTGATCGAACCCACGACCTCCTGTATACCAGGCGAGGTAGTTAACATCTCCTAGCCACCGTGATGATGATGAGATAGAGAGAGGAAAACTCCACATATACAGCAGCAGGCATCAGAGTCGTGATCGAACCCACGACCTCCTGCATACCAGGCGAGGTAGTTAACATCTCATAGCCACCGTGATGATGATGATGAGAGAAAGAAACACGCAAGCTCCAAATATATAGCAGGCGTCAGGGTCGTGATCGAACCCACGACCTCCTGTATACCAGGCGAGGTAGTTAACATCTCATAGCCACCGTGATGATGATGATGATGAGAGAGAGAGAGAGACACGCAAGCTCCAAATATACAGAAGGCATCAGGGTCGTGATCGAACCCACGACCTCCTGTATACCAGTCGAGGTAGTTAACATCTCATAGCCACCGTGATGATGATGATGAGAGAGACACGCAAGCTCCAAATATACAGCAGGCGTCAGGGTCGTGATCGAACCCACGACCTCCTGTATACCAGGCGAGGTAGTTAACATCTCCGAGCCACCGTGGCAAGAACAGCTATTCGACACGATATGAAACGCAACGTTCGGACAAAGTTGGAGGGATCCTGTTGCTGTCACAAATGGGACGGAGCGCCCAGGTTCCTACCCCACGCGCACTCCATACGATCCGACGCAAAAGCAGTCGGGATGACCGGTGATCCGGTGATCCGCTCCAGTAACACAATCACTCACCGGCCGCTAGTCACCTCCCTGTCACTCTTCTATTGCTACGACCCTGGTTTACCGTTCCCCTGAACTTCACCTCTTCGTTTCTCCTCGCATACCGAGGACTCGGCCACACTGAATTCAGCCCTGCCACACTGCAGGTCACAGCTACGAAACCAATCACTCACAACACGCGCCCACTCACCCACTCACTCCCTCACCGATTAGCGGTTAGCGCGCTGCACTAAGAACCTGGCGACCCGGGTTTGATTTCCGCTCACGGCAAACACCGGTGACGATTATCTGAACCGGTCCTGGGCCTCCCGTAGGTCGACTCAGCCTCAAATGAGTACCTGATACGATGTGTAAACATCGCCGCTAGGGAGACGAAGGCGGCCGGGCGTGGTGTTGGTCACCCACCCCCCTCGTGTGACGTGCCGGCCTTTCTAGGTGCTCGCTAACAGCACTTGCCCCTACAGTCTGTTAAGGCTATACGGGGATCCTTGTCTTTGTTGCACGGTAAACGCCCTAAACGCAATCTTCGCTCGGCGCGAGAGAGAGAGAGCTCAGTCAGCGGGGCCGAGGGGGGGTTCTGTGTGTGCAGCAGCAGGCGGTGGTGCCGGGTAGTTGTCTCGCGTTGACCTGTCGGCCCGATTGCCG